CTACCTCTGTCACATACCATTACACACCACCTAAACTTACTGAAACCACATAAAAATACCTTAAATAAACCCACATCTCTCTTCATGCAAGTTTTATTGTGATTTGCCTCTCCTCACTTCCTTCAGATTATATTTTTCGCTTTTATTTTGGGCCACACATGAGAAAACAATGAGAATTCGACTTATTTGCCATTAGAACACATGTCCCAGGGCTGAGAGAGCCCAAGCATAGTATTTACATTGGTGTTACAAAAGGATCTGTGCAAAAAGATGTATGGGTGACCGAAGTACCGTGCTCATCGTCGAGCACAGCGGCGACGAGCAGCCTACACGACGCGACAACGACAACACACGAACGTGTGGGAATCCCACGGCAGAACCTGCGCGACGACGAACGCTCGAGCATGTCAGAGCGCACATGCAGCCGTTAGTTGAGGCAATCGTCGTCGTCGACGTCGAGGACGGCGCTGAGTCGCAGGGTGAGTGGCGCTATAGGGGCAAGTTGACAGGGATGCGGGGGAGGAGATGTGGCGAGGGGCAGGCCTCGGAACGCCTCCGATAACGACGACGGAAGACGGGGCCGCAAGAGACTCGAGGCCACTGAAAGTCGCGACGAAACAAGAGGCGAACCCGGAGGCGAAGATCCAAGTCCGATCAAGCCTAACTAGGCTCGGGTGCCACACCCTGCCACCCCAGCCTAGTTAGGCTCCTTATCAGTGTCATCCAGGTGAGAGACAACAGGTGAATCAGAACCGATATAGTAATGTGGATCAACGAATATGGCGCCGATGGATAAGACGCGGGCGGACGTGGATGCCTTAGACTTGGCCCGGGGTGGATATATATGCGCTTTCAGGAAGCAGGTGGATACGTGGATATCTACGTGGATGTGTGGATAATCGGAACGAATGAGTGGGTGTTGGCTGACTGGTGCCGCGAGCCGGAACATGGAGATACGTGTGTATGTGCGGTCGTGTAGTCTTGAAAGTACTCCATGATGTGATCAAACCACCTCAGCGTAACTGCAAGGCTGTAATGATAGAAGACTCAGACAAGACTCAGGAAATAATCGTCGAGACAAAACACCCGAGATCACAGAGCAGACAGGGCCCACTGATTGCGGCCGCAACGCCGTATCCTCCTCGTCTCATCGATGCGCCATATCCCAGAGCAGACCATGTCCGATACTACTCCCCTGGGCCATAGCTAGATGAAAGTTCCAGAATCGAACCCGATCCCACGCTTGCCGTACCGTACCGGGCTGTACTGAGCAAGTCTTCCCACGGACGTGCTGTACGTTGAACGACAGCGTGCGATTGCGATAGCAGATACACACACGCACAGTAAGTATCTTAACAAGTCGCGAGTTCGTGGTCAGTAATCGATCCCGGGGCGTTCCAGAATGTCTGGGATGGGCGAGATCAAAGCGTAAGCCTGCTTTGCGCACTTATTAGTGGCGGTCTGATCATCTGAGGACGATTCCGTGACCCGTCAGCTAATGGTAACGCAGGAAAGCACGTAGAGATGGAAAAGCGGATAGAAAGGACTGACGGAAACGAACACACTCGGGTTCCACGGACCACCAAGCCTGAGGTTACTGTCCGTTCCAGGATCACCGCATACCATCGCGAGATCGCAGTCATCGTTGGCAAGGGCTGAACATAAGCCGCCGAGCACACAGGAGGGACGACGACGACGCGTGCATCAGAACATCCCCTTGTACAACTCACGAGGAGTAGTAACTTATGACCAAAGGATACCAGACCAGGAAGTTCGAACGGCACAAGAGAGCCTTGAGAAGAAGTGCCATTGAAGGGTCGGAGACAGCAGGCAGTGAACAAGTGGGGTAAAGACGCTGATAGCCTGAGATACGCGAAAGTCGGCGGCCGAGAAGTGTTGTCATTGTCAGCGCGAGAGGATCGTTATACGTTAACTGAGAAAGACATAGATCTCTTCGCACGGAAAGGTCAGGGCACTGTGACTTGACCTCAGGACTCCTATGAGCTTGGACATCCAGCTAGTAGCGGTAATTGCACGACTTCTAGCGTACCTCACCTTTAGTGAACTTCCTAGACAAAGTTCTCAAGACCAGGGAGAATGAACGGCGTCCGACGCACATGTATGTTCAAGTTCGACGCCAAGTCGTTGTGGCGGCCACAATGAAAGTGCTGTGCTCCGGGGAACCCCGCAAGGCACGCGCGATCCACGTGGCGCCCACGTTCCGTCCTCCCCGGATTTTCCTCAATTCTGAATTCATTGTTCGACATATGCATAAGGGACGAGCTGGGACGAGTCAACGGCGATCCTCTCTCTGATACTCTTCGGCAGGTTCAAGAGGTATACAGAAAGCGTTTATTAGCCTGCTAGCATGGAAGACATGTTCACCGACTTCAAGAAAGAGCGTGGATGACGAGCCGCTGCAGATGTTGACTGTTTAGTAATCGCACTTAGGTTCACACAAGGATGTTTGTTTGGATATGAGGTTTATATTCTTTTCGGACTGTACCAGCGATCGTAATGTAGTGGTACGTATACTGTCCTACTTCGTAGTAAGCTATACGAGCGAATCGTGATAAGTAAATCGGGAGAACGAGAAATTCGAATGCTGCAGCAGATTGATTGGATGCGAAGCAAGAACGTGTGGGAACTTCAAATATGGAAAGATGGTGGAGGCGAAGTACAGTAGCTGTAACGCGAACACGAACATGACGGAATCGATGACGAAAGAAACCGAAGTGCAGGAGAAAATGCATGGTAAACGACGACGAAACATGATGAGCTCAGAAATCGACGATGACGACGATGATGATGAAGGAACTGCGAAGGGAAAAACAAACGGTGACCAGAACTGCGAAAGGGTGGGGCGTCATCGCAGCAGGACTGCGTCAACTGCATCCCACGGGAGGGAGCTCGGCTTGGGGAGAGGCGTCGCAGTTGCAAAGCGGCGGATGACACACTCGCGCCACGTCATCACGTACTGTCCCTCCCGCCCGTGCCCTCCGTGAATAGCCCGCCTCCGAATCTGATTCCGCGTCCGACGCGAGATCTCATCGCCTCCGACGGCCCCCGCTCCGAGCCCGAAAGGCAAAGTGCTGAGGAATTCGCCTCAGTCATCAAAGCCGGAAGCAGGAGGTGAATCCGAGTCAGCACGATGGATGGTGCGATGGACGCGATGGAAAAAAATCGATGCTAGTCGTATGATCGTTTACACGCAGACTCTCGTCGTTGGTTGGGTCGGGAACAGCGGCAACGAACTCTGGCATCTCGGATGTGTCGAACGATGATGTGGTGGCGGCACTGATGCTTGAGAGAACTGCGCGTGTGATGAGCAGCTAGTGTGGTGGCGACCGGGCATGGGGAAGGAACGGAGGAGGCGGAGCGTGGAAGCTGAGACGCTGTGACGTTTCTCAGGATGATGCGAATGAGGAACAGAGTGTTCCTGATGAGGATGTGAGTGAGAGTCGGAAACGGCGAGATGTGCGATCTGTGGCTTGACGACTTCCGGTTCATGTCCGTCCACGAGTGTGGGTGGCGTCCTGGGCGACAAGGACAGATCGCTCTCTTCTGACGAATTCGAATGCGAGACTGAGATCGTGGGGCTGGAAGACTCGAGTTCGGAAGAATCTGAAGACGAAGACGAAGGACTGAGGTCGACGTCCATGAACGAAGACGGTGTCTCGACGATCGCCGAGATCTGAGAACGGTAATGGTGCGAGGGAGGCGAGACAATGGCCATGATGGGCTCGTGAAGGGAGAGGATATCTGATTCGGAGACACCGAGCTCGAAGTCGAGGACATCGAGGAATTCCCGCTCGATGCGGCCAATGTCACGCTTGCCGAAGACCCCGGTGCATACTGCCCAGTGGACGTTCTTCAAAGAAGAGTCGTTCAAGTACTAAAGAAACATCATGAAGTCAGCATCGATATAAGAAACAAGATATTGCTATACACGGTGACTTACCTTAGAAGCAACGATGAGAGCACCGAGGAACACACGTTCGCAAGCCCACTCCTCGAGCGCGATGTGGAGATGAGGCTTTGCGCGCTGGAGGTAGACAAGGGTAGCGAGGACGACTGGCATCTCAACCTCTGCGCGTTCGATCACGTTGTATACGCAGGTGGCGAATGCGGAGTTTTCTGAGTGGCGGTGGAGAGACCGACCACGGCGCGAGGGAGATGGACGCCCGAGGGCGTAGTCGACTGTCTCGACGACAGAGTCGATGAGATATTCTGTGATAGATGGGGCTTGATCAGCTACGATACAAGATGAGATGCTGTCTGTATAAAACTTACCAGTGACAGTTCGGTCGAGCTTGACATCGACGAGCTCGAGAAGAGCAGGCGGGTGAAGAGAGGCGTCTACGAGACTTGCTTTGTGAATTGTTGGGAAGAACATCGCTGGGGTTGGTGGATATGTCGTTGGAGGGAGTGAGCAGCTGAGGGCGGACGGCGGCGGAGTGGGGAGACAGCTGTGGGATGCATTGCGGATTATATATGTGTTCTCCGGGCAGTTCGCAATGGACGGGGGAGGAGACAGAAATGCGATGACTGTACGGCTACGCAGCGCTCAGTCACTTGGCGCCACCGAGCGAGATCTGAGATCCAGATCGGCGCGCATTGCCTTCCCGAGCTGACGAATGAGCCGGGCCCACGCTCGCCGCCCGGCATCGCTCTATCGAAACCCACCAGCGACATCCACTTGCATGACACACCCACTTCGTCCTTCATCCGCTCGGCAGCCTCAACACAAAGGGCACGCTCAGGCGTCCCAAAGACCCGCCGTCCTGCGACGCAAGCCTCCGTAGGTCCTTTCCTTGTCTTTCCGTTTTCTCGCCGTCGGACTCATTCCGTCCTCCACCGAGCGCTACTCAATGGAATATTACGGATATACTTTGGCTTCACCTACCCGATCCCAGTCACGGGCAGGATGACAGCGGATGACTCCTTTCCTCCAGCTTCGTCCCCTTGACAGTCTCGCAATTACCCTACGTTACACGTTTACAGCCGTAGATACACATCATATCCCCTCTCCAGGTGGCTTCGGGATACGCGTTCCACAGAACACGTACTACCGTGGATGCCACACCCACAACCGTATCCGTTTACAGTTGTGAAATCATCTTCCGCGATCAGAACCCGCAGACAACTGTATCGCTATAATGATCTCTGCTGCTCTATGACCTCTTCTTCCTATACGCCCAGGTATAGCTGTGAGTGCACTATTCTGGTCTACCCCTGAATAAATCCAATTTCTTTGTCCGACCATTTCGCTCTCCATCCTCTTCCCTTCCGCGCGCTCAACATCGCATTTACGGCGTTACCCGGTCCATCCTCCCAACTGTAATTAATTCGGTTACAGTTAGTATCGATGTTCGTCTTCCATCCATGACCATCCTCTAACCCATCCGCCAAGGATCACCTCCCGTATTCGGCCATCTATGTCCATCCCGATAGCTTCTCCTTCAACCGAGCGACGTACTACTCGTATCGTCTGCCGCATCGATATCATGGAAGTTGCCAGACGTGTCACGCTGAACTTTCTCTCTTACCTCGAGCGACGAGCAGTCTCGATTCGAACCTTCCGAGCCCGAGCCCTCTCTCTACTCACGCCGCATGATGTACCCGACACGTACGCGCAAACTCAGAACAACACGACACCCATCCAAGTCCTCACTTACGCTTTGATTCTATTCCGCACGGTTGTCACATGCCATTTTTCAACGTCCCGAGCCGAACGCACTTTCCATCTCTGGCGACCGCAATATCGATATCTGTCCCTGGGACTGCTCACAATATAGACCTGTTCGTCCCACGTTCTTCCGTTGTACACCCGTCCTCCCTATCCTCTTCTCCTTCTCCTTCCGCGTCCCTTTCTTCCTTTCAATCTCCAGTCCAGACCTCGAGATAAGTAGTCCAGATTACCTCTCAGCGACCTATTTTCGGGAGGTATCGTGTCGTGCGCATGTACGAGGGAGCCGATTCCTCGTGTTTATGAACTTATTTTTGGCTTTGTTTTTGTTCGGGTTGGGTGGCGTGACTGGTACGTTCCTGGAATAAGCAACCTCGGTGGTGCCACGATGCTAATGATAGCGTCCTACGCAGTCTCGGGCTTCAGCTAAGTGATAGTGAATCCCTCCCCGAACACGAACACTACATCGCATCACTGCACTACTGTGGAGTACCGACGGCCGCGATGGGTGTTAGCTCTGTATTCTATTGCAAATATGGATATATGGCCATCACTTCAATGGTTCATGGACATCGTCCCCGAACCACCCGTGTCAGTGCATCCGAGCACTCATCATGCATGATGCACTACTTGCCAAGCACCGGCCGTGCACCCTGCCCGTGCGCGTATAACCATCGGGAATAAGGTCACGGTTAGGCGCCTACCAATCACCGTCGACGATGAGCGTCCAAAGGAGTTAAACGCTCGCTTGGGCCCGTGACTAAGCCGACATTATCTTCGTCAGCCAAATATCTTCTCTCTCAGCACATCACGGTCGATTTATGATATGATACTTTACAGGACGAGTCGGACGCGAGGCGCGGTGTCGCGAAAATCGCGTCTTCGAGCTTCGAGGCGACCTTTGTCATCCAAATTCGGGTCGGAGTCGAGAGGTTCTGAAGCTTGTTATTCAGCCACCTTCTTGACAATACAGTGTCGCGTCGACGACATCCTATTCCACGTTCTCGTTCTGGCAATCACCAAACTAAACACCGAGAGTCAATAGTCAATCGGTGGCGAAAGCGCCGAATGTACTGTAATTATGGTGGATCGTCCTCGAGCACCGGAACCCACCTCCTCGTCTGACTCTGACTCCTATCCACCCCCACACAAAACAGGAAAGAATCTCGACCCACTTCCATTCCTCTGTGAATCGGCTCACTCGCGTCACCACAAGCTCCCGACACCGGAAGCGCCAAGGTAATTATTTTCTGACTTCCTTACTCGAAGTGTTTCGACCGCCAATCTCAACTCGGTGGCCGAAATACCTACATACTCGAATGACACGCGTATGTCGTTCGAGCTTCCTTGTCGGCCCACCCGACTTGCCTTTCTTTCCTTGGCCCGAGCCGAACCGCTGCCGAATCTGACCACCTTTGAGACATCTCTGCGTGGTTCTATATGTCTCAAGCTTTTACTTTGGCGTATGGTCCCATTTTGTCCCGTCGCCATCCTAATTCACCCTGTCGAGCGTCTGTGAGTCGCCGCATCATCTGTGCGCGTCGTCCGTTGCCTTCAATTACGTTGCTCGTTTCGGTACCAAGTAACGACGCCGCCACCGTCGCCTCTGAAACCGTGGCGGTACGCCGCCCCTAAAAAAGCGTATGCATGTACTCTATACGAACCCCCGGGGCCTCTCCTCGGCCGGCGTTTACGAGTTGGTGGTGTTCGTTTCGGTGGCCCCGCCCTCCGGTGTTATGTTGAAGACCATTCATCCCGATTTGGTTGTGAGTTATTGTACTGTACTGCTTGCGCTTCCTATTTGTGACTGTTCTATCTTTGAGCAGGGATCGTGAGACATGTCAGTAGAATGAGTTGAACGCTCGCAGCGCTCGCGCTCGCGTCTGTATGGATCCAGAAGAATATATATATTGTTGCATTATGTATATTCCTTCCAGCGCCTCGCCATACGCGTCCCGACAAGTTCGACTCAATCAACGAAGCTCGAAAAACTCACGATTCTCTGCCGAGCGCAATGCGGCGTAGCCAACCTCGGTGCAAATGTATCCCGCCTCAGCCTCATTGGCGCACACAACGCAAGTTTTTTCTCTCCTTTCCCTGACTCGCCGCACCGCTTCCGGAGAGTAAAGGCAAGCCAGCCTGAGTCGTCCGCTCGAGCTAGCTTTGAACAGACGACTCTGTCTCGGAGGAAAGTCGAGCCGCGTCAGACAACGATGGTCATCCCCGGGTTCGGAAGTCAAGGACCCGTGGTAATTTTATGTTTATGTAATAAATAAAATTTAAATGAGGACGAGTGAGCGATCCGGATCTGTATCTTCAGATTCCGGGATCGTCCTTGGCGTCTCCTTCTCTCGCCGAGCCCATCGAAGCAGACCATCTAATCTTATCAGTCAGGCACCGGAGAAGGTTTTGAATGCCGGCGGTGCTTGAACGTTCGCGGCGGGGGTGGCGGTGCCACAGTGTGTTGAACTTCAATAAGGGCCTGTACCTTTGGGCAGAGGGGTTGGGCTCGGAAGACGACAAGTGAAGATGATGTGTATACTCGGTGCGAGAGATAATAGTGTGGTACATACTCGGAAACACGCAGTGCATACGCAACGCCATCGTTATCTTCCACACAACTGTTGACTACCGCGCTCTGACTGGGATCCATGGACCGCAGTCGAATCTATTCCTGAAGTCGCGGATAAGTATCCCGATCTGGATGTGAAAGCGTATACACCTATCTTGCAAGATCATGGGCACTGCGTGCCGAGCATAGTGAACGGTACACATACGCGGAAACGAGGCAACACGTCGACATCATTTGGATGGACACTACGACATCATGCCATGGGCAAAGTCGTCCACCCAGCCACTCATTGTGGGTCCGTCAAAGATGCAAGAAATCATACAAAGATACATACAGGACTGTGGATCCACAAAACAAGATTAGTGAATATATGACATGAGCATCGTCATCGGCATCGAATCGTCCTATGGTCGTCTCCGTCATCGCCAGTGGAAAGCATACCACACATTTTCCAAGAGTGTGGTAAACTGTAGGTCATCCGGGTTGAATCGTAAGATGTCGTCCAGTCATAACCGAAGACTTCGATTTCTCAACTATTTCGCTCATCCACTCCCCGATGCCCCAGCCCCGCCGGTCTGAGCCTTCCCACCCCTCGTCTTACTCCCTTTCGGCCTCCCCCTCGGCCTCTTGCCCGGCGGCTGTGCCGACCCAGACCCGGAGCCGTCCCCTCCGCCAGACATCACATCTGCGGCTCGTTTATTGTTTTGCTCGGCGGACAGTCTCCTTTCGTTCAGGTACCTGTATGACAAGGAGAGTAGCAAGGAACGAACGTGTCAGCACAGCCAGTTTGATGAGTTTGAATTGTCAGACTCTAAATGATTGAGTATAGGGGTGTATGAAAAGGGTGAGGAGATGGGAGGTTGAAGTGTTGGGATATGAGGCTATACACAATGGGTCGCCCAGCTCAATTAGGAGCATGGGTCACGGATGAAGGTGGTGTACAAGCGGATGGTGTAAGGTCACGACGAGATAAGTACGAGCCAAGGTATGACAGGGGCAATGACAAGTACGAGCCCAAGTAGGCCAAGGATGGTAGCAAGAATCGAACGTACTGCTGCGACTTCTCCTCGAGGACCTGCTGTAGACTCGGCAGTGGCGGCTCGTCAAGTTCTGAGCGAAGTGCATCGACATCACGCTTGGCGAGTGCGTAATCCCCGTCTTCGATAGTCCGAATGCGATTACGAAGGTCTGTGCATCTGATGAACGTTCGATTGTCGAAGAAAAATAGGGGATGCAAGGACGGTGTTAGTATTTCGATGTCAGGTGACAGGCCAAGGGGCCTAGAAGAAACAATCTGGCAAAGGAGTGCGAAAACGCAGGAAATGCTGTGGACATGAACCACGCCGCAGCTTGCGGAGTAGAATGGAGAAATGGAATTGAATGGGGCGGTCGTGTAGAAGAAAAGTGCACATACTCGCTCTGTATCCGCGCTTCTTCCATGTCTGCCTTTGGGTGCATAACACGTATACCGGTGCGCAAAGGCAAGTTGTAGGTCTCACGTCAATCATCTTCTCCGCACTGGCACTGCGCCGTAGGTCTCTGTGGATCAACGCACCTTATCTCGATCCTCGTTTACCTGCGTGAGGCACAGTCGTGCAAAAGAGACGCCCAAGGGCAATGCATGAGACCGGGGGTTAGCAGCCCGTTACAAACGATAGCAGGGAGACACGACGGCGAGAATGACATGAAATGTCTATAGGATATTGATGTGAGGCAGAGTTCGTTGCACGTACCTCCCTAAGACATTTCAATAACCTTTCCCGCTCGCTTTCAAGCCTGATAATTGCAGCCTTACGTCAGCCGCTAATAGGACAAAAGTAACACATCGCACAAGACAGGTGGGAGGAAGGATCTCAACTTGTTCTTCTGTTCCTTCAAGTCCTGGATAGCCTGTTGTCTCTGGTCCAAGGTCGCGTGTGCGGACAGTATGTGTGCGGTGTGTAATTGCAGCGTGAGTGCATGTTTCCTAGCGAGAACAGCAAATAGATTACTTAGTTCAGTTCCTGTGATAACTCACACTGCTCGAGCTCCGCCTCATCAGCACCAACAAATAAGCAATCATTCCCAACCGTCCAGACATGTAGCACACGAGTACACGGGACACCGTTCCACCGAGCTACAACGCTTCCCCTTTCCGCCTCACAATTGCAGAATCGAGGTAGAACGGACTCACTTCAGCTCCGCTGTCTTCGCCAGATGCACCAGGTTCTTCGTCCAATCTCCTTGCGCAATCAATGTCGGTTGCGGCAGTTTATTCGAGGATCCAGATGCCGAAGCGGAGGTGGATGCGGCAGCAGTGGTGCTCGCCATTTCCTCGACACGGATGGTTGGTTGAGCGTTAGGGTGCACGGGGGACGCGTAGAATCCACCATTTTTGAGGTGGCTGGGTTCCCGGAGTCCCACTCCGCGGGCACCTTTGTGGCGCAACTCTTGTGGCATCGCTGCTTGAGAACAACCACAACACCGGTTGCCTTTTCATGCTGCTACCTCCGAGTCTGTGACGTCGACTCTTCGTCTCTTTCTTCCCTTCACCATGCCTCAGTTCCTCCGTACGTATCACGGCTCCTACTAATTGGGCGTCGCCGCTCAAATACTCTACGCTTCCATCATCCCGTTCAAGACGACAGTAGCCCGATATCTAGTGTCATGGTAATCATTCCTTGGACTTACGAATCGGGACTCACATGCAATTGTTACTCTGCTCACTTGCAATCTAAGTCTGCTTTCTGCGCCTAATCTGTAAGTCTTGCAGGTTTCGCTTCTCCCCATCATCCTATGCTGTGGTGATCATGACCCCTTAGGCCTTACTCCTTGACATTCAAATCCAAGGTTGGCCGCCTTGTCAGACGTTCTGACCCTTTCTTCTCCGTCCATGGTCAGCGCCATCATATCACGAGGTACCTTGGCGAGTGACTCAGTGACTCAGTGTCTTATAAAGCCGGACGGACACGTCGATGCCCCACGCATGCTTACTTGACACGCGATAGCGGCACCAACGCTGCTCGTTCTGCTGTCGGACTTGCTATATCTTCTAGATCATCATAATCTACTGGCGGCTTCCACTTGTGCTGTCTTACTTTAGGCAGCCGTCTATGCTCTCTGTGGCAATATCTTCTCAAGCGTACGTTCGATTCGGGATATCTTGAAGCCAATGTCAATAGGTCTTCCTGCGGCTCGGGTTCCCGATACGCAGAACGTGGTCTCATCGTCGAGATCTATCCACTCTGCATCCGCATATTTGACCCATGTCAGGATCCACTCCCACTTTGACCCACCCTATATCTCTCCTCAGGCAGGCTACGCCTCTGGCAGAGGTCAGTATCCGTGTGCACCTAGCGTTGTACATTCGACTAGATCTACCGATTCTGGTTCATCAAGATGCCATTGGTGTCCTACGTGCTAACGAAAGTGGGTCTACGGTATTTCAAATCACCTCAAAGCTGACAAAATATTGATCAGACGTTTGTGCGAGTGAGTTACACCGACCTCACCGGGGTCGGCGTTTCTCCTTGGTGGCAAAAGCGCAACCTCCGGAGACACATGAAGGGCCCGTCGTGAGTTCACAGACGAAGAGATATGGCGGAGATTTTGCGGAAATCCAACATTCATGCCATGACTTGCTTCCTCAGCTAACAGCCACGGCTTCTTTTGTGTCCGCTCTTCTCGGCCGCTATCTTCTCGCATTGAGACATCGTACTTCCATACCTGAGCATCGCGCAATGACACATGCCTAATGCCTTTGTTCACCCGGAGCGTTCACCGTTGTCCAATACCGCACCCACCGGTTGCATTACCGATTCTCGCAGACGTGAGCATGAGCATCGACGTGACCGTCAACTCCGTTTCTGTCGGCGATACTTACGCGATTCATGATGCTGCTCATTTCTGTTCGCTCAAGCCTGTCAGACTATTCAGATATTCAGACTAGAATCTGGTTATGAGAGATGGATAGAAGTTTGCTCGTTCTTTATAGAGTCTTGTCGGCGATCTTCATTCAACATCGCGCAGGTCATCCTCAGGCTCGAGATGAACAATAGCGTAGTTCGAAGCTTGAAGCTGCAGCGACTTGACGTCTGTTCATTCTGCCACCGGCACCTTCGTATCATCGAAGTTATCCACATGCGGCCGTAGACATATAAAAAAAAAGTCCTAAAACAATCATGTCCCATTGGCGCGGCTTCTCCTGATGCCCCGTGGACCAACGCTTGAACTTCAGACCTACTGCACGGCGAGTGACCATTGCTCTGCTCTCCTGCCGCTTCGTTGTGCGCCATCATTTTCATGGTTCAACAGGCCGAAGGGGTTTCAGAGTTAGATTCGGCGGTTGAAGGAAAGTGTGATGTGGCGAGCAGAGCCAATCGTGGTGCCTCCGAACCCTTCCGAGATCACCCGACCAAGATGAGTCGGGGAGTCCACTTCACAATATTTATTCACGGCTCACGGCTCACGAGCACATATGGAGAACTATAATTTAGTGAGCAGGTGTTCAAGGTCCCATGTATGATATTAGTGTGTTTTCAAATCGTAGCAATGAGTAAACTGCTGAGGTATGGAATATTGTGCGTGCAAGTGCGTCGAATGCGTAAGATCATAGCAAAGAACAACGTGAATGTGTGTAAGTCAAAACAGAAGGTATAAGTACCAGTATAGTTTGCAGTAACGGTTCAAATTTTGATCATTTATACTGTCCAGCCAGAGTTAGCAATGTTCGTAACGTCCACGTTAGTAAAAGTTCATCTCGTCGAGGGAGGACGACGCCAAACATCCATCTCGACCTAACAAGCCTCGAATCATGATCACAAGCCACAGGCCCAACCCCGTCATTACGACCGGCGTAGAGTGATTGTCTACACACTGGCAGCAGACGACTAAGCGGAAGGTGAACCCTCGCCAGTGTTGACAGAGCCGTTGCCCTGCGTACTGACGCTGATGACCTGTACGGCCTCACCACTGGCGGGCAGAACACCCTCATAGATCCCGAGAGTGTTAGTGGCGTTTGTGATTGACGATGTATCGATACCGCAGGCGGTGGTGAAGTCGCCGTAGAGGGCTTGACGATCTATAATTCATGGCAGATCAGTCAACATCCATCCAGTAGTAAGAGACTACTACAGGACAAGCAAAAGTATACGCACCAGAAACATAACTCCCGAACGCCTCCAGCGTGCAACTTCCTCCAGGACCGCTCGCGCCACATCCCTCGATAGGAATTGGCGCTGAATTCACCACCGCCCTGACATAGTCGCTTGTCTGCACTCCACTGCTAGTCGTCTGGTTTGTGGTGGCGTTGTAAGTTCCCGTGGCGATAGAGCAGGTCAGCTTTTCGAGAGCAATATTTGCGAGGAAGGGCAGGATGTAGGATGTACGCCAAGCACGGGAAAAGTTAATGGAGGTGTCGGGCATGGAAGCGTTGGTCGTGTTGAAGAGATCGAGAGCCGTGACGATGAAAGGGGGTTCTGAATGTTGAATATGTGATATCAATTGCCTAGCTGTGTTATGCCTAAAAGAGATGATGTACTTACCCTCACGGTGCGAGAAACTGATCCAGACATTCTGCGAGGCGGCACTAGAGTTGGCACTGCTAGAGACATTGGTGGCAGCAGAACCGTCCAGGAGTCGGGTCACGGCCGATACCCATGGCATGCCGAGGTATGGTGCGACCTCAGAGCCAAAGCCAAGTTGATGATGATATTCCAAGTCGTTTGCTATACCATATGGGACAGTTAGTCCTAGAGGAGAGGGTGATAGATCCGTGGTACATACCATATTCGTAGCCCAACCACTCATCCTCGCCGAATACGCTGCACCAAGAGCTTTCGTTCTTGATGACGGTCTCGTAGCCGCACAAGGCTTGCGCAGCGAAGACATCGGTGGCGGTCCAGTTAAATTCGGGAACAATGCCGTTGAGACGGGAAGCGATGGGGGTGGCGTAGACACTGATGAACGTGGACTGTTCCTCAGAACCAGCGGAGGACGAGAAGGTATCGCAAGATTCCTGATAATCAGAACCAGAAACGATATCAGTTTCAGTAAAGAGGTTGAACAAGTGAATTAGACATACGTGGGGTGTCAAAGTATTCGCAGTCTGATTTTCGCCTTCGTCGACAATGACGAGTGAAATGTTGGAAGTAATCACTGAGCCTAAACCCTCAACGAAAGCCTTTGCTGTTTCCTAGACGGGAGAGTCAGTGTAATGTCTTCTTTGTTTGAAAAAGAAGACTGAGTTTTTACCTGGTCCCTGTCTGCATCCGCCGTCCAGACATTGAATCCTTCTCCGCTTCCACTCAGTAGGCTCTCATAGCGTCCTGCTACCAACCCTCCGAGTGCCTTTGCGTCCTCCCTCCCATATATTGTCGTCTCCTCGATCTCAGCATCTGGGTCATCTATGGGGCTTGTCCAGTTGACCAGGAACGCGAGCGCGTCATCGCGTGCCCAGGCGTTCTTGCTGGAAAAGTTGGCGAGTTTGGATATCAAGGGTGCTAGAGAGTTCTCGTATTCGTAGTCGTTGGCGTAGATATCCGTGTGGCGAATGAAAAGAGCCGCGGCAGAGACGTTGCAACCAGACGGAACAGACGGAGTTAGACCGACACCTGGTGAATTGAAGTACGGCGAGTTGCCCGAGAGATCTGTCGCAAAGAAATAAGGAAAATTAAAAACCTGCAAAAAATGAGGAAAATATGACTGACGATGCAAGACGTCAAATGCTGAGTCCGCCGTGTCGTCCGAGATGACCTGACGCTTCATATGAGGAATAGCGATGCTTCCTATTCTGTCCACATTTTCAATGAATTGGGCTGAAGCCACAAGGACCGGGGAGAGCACGACAGCGAGCGCAGACTTGATGTACGGGGACATGGCGACTACCTGAGGGGATCGGGTGCGTGTTCGCGTGAGGGTTGGCGAGACGGTCGGTCTCGCATTTTATACGCATTCGACCCGTGCAAGGTGAGCGAGTCGCGTTGGAGTCGCGCAGGACAACAGCTTGACGTCAGCCAAGCATTTCCAAAGCTTTGACGCGTTCGCCGTTGATGATCACGTGGCGTCGATCACAATGTTGTTTACCTTTTCCGGTCAGAATTCTTCTTTATTCAGGCATGAACTGGAAACCAATATGAACATAGAGCCTCAAAAGACCTCTTGAGGTAGAAACGAGACCAGATGAGCGAACCACAACGAGAGACAAGTGTCACTCATTTGGCTCGAGGCAAAACGACGCCCGGAAATTGGTGGATCTACACCAAGACGCGTCAGTTTTGGAGCAGAACAACCACGTTTTTGCCCCTTGACAACGGCTGTTTCAGCGCCAAAAGATGCGCGGAGTTTACCGATACTTTCTATCTCTCCGCCACCTTGACTCTTGAAGTTGAAGGTGCTGTCCGACTTCGCCATCGACGCCGGGGAATGCAAGTTAAACTAGATCGACCGCGCCTCTGTAGAACTCGCTCATTAACGAGTCTGTCGTGGCTAGGATCAGAAGGCTGCACGTCGCTCGCCTCATAAAATCCTCACCGCGATTTGTTGAATGACGACCCAGTGATGTTTCTACTCAGACCAACATGCTTGCCTGGTGAAAATTGCCCTCAGTTCGCCTACCCTCTGGACAAACGTCGTCGTTCATACACGGAGCTACTGATCATTGATATTGGTACATCGATGGAGATTTTTGGGACGTATCTAGCGCGATCGCAGGCTTGTCTCTTCTCAGCCAGTTTTACGGCGTGCTTCCGTCAAGCATCTCTCCATGGATTCCTTGCATGTTCGAGGATCTACGTCCTCATCTCGCTAGACTTCGGTCTTTGACTTCGGAACCATCTATATCTGTCGTGTCTTGCAGGACTTTCCGGAAGATCCACGATTGTGGCCCATCCTGCGCAGCCTGTCGATTTCCGTCCAAAATGCCAACGAGCAAGACATTGACGCCCGCTCTCCATTCGCCACTTTCGCCAATGCCTTACAATTGTAGGAGGTGGTTCTACTCGCAAAGTTCCTGCTGGCAAGCTATCGCTTCAGGAGTTGAGATTTCCGCGCGACAAACTGTCGCATCCAATATACAGAACATATCCGACACCGCCAGCATCGCTCGATTTATTCTACTTCATGCCCTTCCCTTCAACACTGTTCCCTCGACTTTATCTGACTTTGGCTGGAAAATGTTATCGTTCTGACTCTTCTATTCCAGACTTTTTCTGGTCTGAATATGTTTCGCGCGACCCTGATGTACGAGCACGGACAGGATAGGCAGGGAGTCGTCCGACTTGAATCTGACAATCGCTCGGGCTCCTCTGACGTACCTGGCGCTCGAAAACAACGAAGGTCAAATTGCCTCATTCAGTGTCTCTTGCTCAAGCTGATTTTATCGCCTCCACCGATGCACTTTCCCTTGCTCTCAATTGCTGCGGACTACCTCAGTCCGAGCCATCGCCATCAACAACTCCCTCCTCAAGCATTGCACCTCCCCTCTTACCACGGCTAAAAATCCTCCGCATCTTCGAATGCCCACGTCTACCACCAAACTCCTTAGCTTATAGTGTGGTGGTCGACAGAATCAGTTTGCGTTGGTGGTCAATAACGAACGTGCGTACGATTGTCTCCAGCTTGAAGGGGGTCGACTTGCAATGGTATAATGATGCGAGTTTGAATTTGAACGAAGCTCAGAGTAACAGGCTTTTTCTATGTAGAGAGGAAGGTATGTGTGGGTCCGGGTGGATGCCATGTGGGTCCTGAGTTGAACGTGGGTGCGAATGTGTTTTGGTCTTATTTGTTTTACATGCATATCAGTGGGACGCTGACTCCCTGTCATTCACTCAAATGATTCTGAGACTCTGCTGTGGCAACTTTATTCATGGAAGCCCGCTGACCGCTGCGAACGCAAATAGAATCATCCCACAGTACAACATCTCGTGTGACGATGGGGGGCATATATAAGTTGGCTAATACAGTGGCGTTGGGTGGGTGCTACGAACCTCTTTCCTTCCACCATCTCTGACCCATACAGGAGCAGTAAGATCACGCTCGGTATCGACGTTTTGTTCTCTCCTGTTTTCCATAACATTGCACTTACTATTCTTCTGCGACAGGTAGAATTCTCTTCTACGAAGATCTGCTTCAAATTGCAGTGTCAGCCTCGGTCTTTAGGCGATAACTAGCGAGCATTTTTCAAAGGGTCCCTAGACCACGGAGCTCACCCACAGGTAGCGAGTCTCTCATATCGTGTACTCGAATGCTAGATGCTTACGTCGCTGTAGAGTATGAGCGTTATGGAGGATATCGTTGGATACGACCAAATCGGCGCCCTCACCACGCAACACGAACGTGCGGGCTACAGCACAATCGAACACGTCCCAGCCGAAATTCTCTGCGACATCTTTCTCTCATGGATAGAAGAACAACACAGCTGCTGGCAGGGCGGGGATCGGCTTGTCTTCCTCAATTCCCCCTTCCTTCTTACCCGAGTCTGTACCCAGTGGCGCAACATCATCTATGACACACCGCACCTTTGGGCGTCACCACACGTCCGTGTCCCTTCCGGTATGGACATCACGGATGGATGGATGGAGACGTTAGTGGCGTATCTGGCCAGGTCAAAGACCTGTCCGCTTTCGGTGACGCTGGAGGCGGAACGCGTGCAGGCGGGGCTCGAGAAGCTGGTCAAGGCTCTGATCCCGCATGTTGGGAGGGTTTACTCGCTACACATCAGCCTCCCAAGCTATGTCTGCAAGGAGTTACAACACCTTGATATCGGTGAACAGGGCTGGTCGAACCTCGAGAACCTCTCCATCGTTACATGGGGGCCCACACTCTTGCGTTCAATGACGCACGGTCACTCTCTCGCATTCTCCAAGGCCCCAAAACTCCGTGAAGTCACGCTGGAGGCCGATGACAGACGGGGAGATCACTTACTCCGGACCCTCAGCCTCGCGCTTCCTTGGGCGCAGATCAAGAAACTCGTCACCAGCGGGGTCTTCCACACCGCATCGGATGCGCGTGATATCATCCTGAAATGTCCTCTCCTGGAACACTGCTCCCTAGGACACATCTTTGTCCCGCCTCGAGGTGAAGTCATCCCATACGTTCCGATTTGTACCTTCTCCCACCTTCGCAGCCTCAGCGTAGTTTTTCGAACCGACTTCCTCGGTAACGAGGCGAGCTTCTTCCAGCCACTGGTTATGCCTACGCTTCAACAACTGGACATCCGAGCAACCGCTCTTCCTGTATCATCGGAAACGCCAGCCTATATCAGCTTCATCTACTCGCATTGCGGATCGACGTTAACGCACTTATCCATCAATTGTATTCCTTTCGATGATACAAACGCGGTCGTTGTCTTGGAACTCCTTCCTGCTCTGGTCTCTTTCCGTGCCTCTCTCACATATGCCACGACGAGAGAAGATTTCTTCCGCGCCCTCACCTACGATCCCACTTCGCTTGCGACACCACTTGTTCCGCGCCTAGAGAGACTCGACATCGACGAGTATCCATCCTCAAATGGACCAAGAATCCTCCCCACCACTCTCGCCGTCAAGGCCATCGCATCTCGCTGGTGGTCCGACGCCTGTTTGGCCACAACACTACGCGCTGTGGCGAGGCTGAAGTACGTCCGTTTGTCTTGTGGTCGGGATGGTTCGCTTTTAAAGCCGGGTGATGAGGACGCGGCGACAATTGGGAGGTGTCAGGACGAGGGATTGGACGTTTGGATTAGCGGGATGCCGTATGAGGTATCTTCGGATATTGGGAGTGTGGATATCGATAACGAGGCAATAACTGCTTGGGTCAGTGGTCTCAGTGATGCCAGTGATTAGAGAGGGAGGGGCTGTTCTGTCAGCTGTGTTGTAATGGTATTCTCGGACAACGATATTTGGAACGAGGAAGCCACGAGGCCGACTATACAAGCGGGATCCTGAGCTGCGCCCTCGGAGCGCTGAATTTATGGACTGTGGGGCAAGACAATACGTGGTGGGGTGGAGATGAAGTTCATCGCACCACGGTAAACGGGCCTGATTCGTTCTCATGACTCGGAAGTAGATTCGACGGAGATGAGATGCAATATTGATATGGATCCAAAATAATGATAATATACGTGAAGGAGGACCTAAAGCAGACGGGGCAACAAAAGAAGGCGTCAGGAATGGAATGACCGCATTGAACATCCAAAGAGACAAGAAAATGACGGACCCTACAGGTCGCGGGACGCCGCCACTACTGCCACCTCACCAATGTCCGGCTTCATGGCAAAACCAAGGTATGAAAGTTCGGAAACACGAACTCCTCCTCCACCGTCTTTCTAATCACATCCTGAATGAATCTCTCCACCCTTGTCACGTTCTTCAACACATGCTTGTCCGCCTGTCCTAATTCGCTCTCTATGAAGACATTTGGCAGCAGGCGTTGACCGATAGGCAGTGGCTTTCCCCTCCTCTGTCCGCCACCTATCGATCCTCTGCTCCCCGAACCGGACCCATCATCGTCCATCCCACCTTCGCCGTTTTCCCGTCCATCGTGATTATGGGTGCTAAGCCCATCTCCGGTGTCGCCTTCTTTGTCCCGTTTCGGACGACCGACTGCAGGTCCGTATGGGTCTTGATCGTCGAGAATGCACAGATGTACTCTTCTTCGGTTGCCCTCGTACGCCACTGCGACCTCTCCCGTAAACAGCAGACCGGTAACAGAAAGCTTGATAGGCAACGACATGAACATCGGAGATGGATAGTTGATCCTCAGCGAAGTCGTAAGCGTGAGCCTCAAGTTCGACGGCCAAGTGATATGCAAGTGTATCTGCAGATCCGGTTGTTCTGATCCACCAGTAGCATCAGGTGGTATTGATGAAGGTAATGCAGATGCGGAAGGTGGCGTTGGCTGAGGGGATTGAGAAGCAGGAGTAGGAATGATGGGTGATGGTGTGTGCAACGATTGAGACCTCGAAGGCAAAGCCGTACCCATACCCATCCCGAGTCCCATACCCATACCCATGCCCATACTCATCCCAATTCCTGGCGTACCCACAAGGGGCGTTCCTAAAGCGGACATTGTCCTTCCAACGAAAGGTCGCGGCGGAAGATTAGGCATGCTCATCGCGAGGCCTGTCGGACCTGTGCTCCACGCGGCAGAAGTGGAATACGGGTCCGTATGAGCAGGTGCGAGAGAGAACACCTCGCTGGCGGAAGAAGGACCTCGTCCGTAGCGAACGTGTGGTGGTAGGTGGTGATAATGATACTCATCCTGCATCCCCGCCATCTTCGCCGCCGCGCGTCGCGATACCCATTCGAAGCCGTCATCGTCCTCGTCATCTAGTGCGCCTGAACCATGTTGGGTGACCTTGACGGGATCTCGAGAAGGTGAGGGCGAAGAAGACGACGACGAGCCCTCGTTGTCAGAATCATCGTCGAGAAAGTCGCGATAGATATTCCGGAGGTCGATGAGCTCGACGTCGGGTGGCTGCGAGCCGAAGTCAAAGGATGTGATCTGGATGGGACCGATAAAAGACGGTTGTGAGGCTGCCGCAGCCTGTAAATGCGTGTTGAGTATATCGACAAGCGAAGCGGACAGGGACTCGTCGAGCTTTGCCCAGTCGAGGTCAATCGACATATTCGTTTGTTCTGTTTTCCGCTCAAAGCAGGCGGAGAACGAAAGAGACGATCGCATTTCCGAACTCGAGCGTAAGCCACGCCACCCACTTTCACATGCAACTGATGCACCTGCCACACAAGCTTTCATTCAACCGTTGCCACACAGCCGTATACAGAGTTCACATATACGGACAACTGTACGAACACAAGGCGACACGCAGGATGCTCCGTGCCGACGACTCATAGCGGGAACGCCTTTCAGCTTGGAGGTACAGCCACGATGGGGCTACGGAACGATCAAGCACACGAGGCATACAAAGGCGTCCCGGCCTCGTGCTATCAGAACAAAAGCCTTTCCCAGTCTGTCGCTATGCTCCGATGCTTTCATGAAACAGCTCAAAGGCATCCGTGGCCACACCTTCCGCACGATGATCTATCTTGATGGATGGATGGATATTGCCATCTCCTCTCCGGTCCCCGCTTAGAAGGTTCACGCTGTCCCTTTGCCTGCATGTTGGTCGCTATCCACCCGAGCCACTGCCCCAGGTGCCAGGCATCAGCTCCTTTCTGCATCAGTACAAAAAGCGCAGCGAGTGAGAGGAGACGCGTTATATCTCCCTCCCCACCCAACGACCTACATAAAGACCCACTCCCACACGAGCTAGCAGTATTACCCACACGCATTCGGCTTAGCTCCCTTCCCGGCCCCAGCCCCGATCTATTTTCCCCCGCTTTACACTCCGCTTCGAAACCAACCAAAGATGATGAAGTCACCTCGAGGGCGCAAGTCTGACCTTCACTCTCAGCCTAACGCTACCTCTCCTCCCCACCACAATTCGCGATCTCATTCCATTCCCCGTCGTCGAGGCTCGTCATCCATGGTGTCCGGCGTCCCTCCGAATACTCCCACCAACGACTCTTTCACGTCTCACGCCTCTCCAGCCTCGTCTTCCTCCACTATCACCGACGCTGTAGCTTCCTCACAATGGCTTCAATCCACCCTCTCCACAGGCGGTCCTTCCCCCGGCGCCCCTTCGCTTCCCGACCAGATAGCCTATCTCCTCTCTGACGAACTCACAAACACCTCCCTCCTCCTCTCCAAACACCGTTCTGCACTCTGGTCTTCCCTCCTCGAAGCTCCACTCCGCTCCCTCGAACGCTCCTCCGACTCCAACGCCACCTCCGCCACTCCCACCATAAACCCGCGAGAGCTCCGTGAGGGCCTGAGCAAGTTCGAAAAAGAACTGACGGGGCGCTACCACGAGCAGATGGAGATGTTGAAGAAGAGTTTACGAAGACGGGCAGAGGCTGCGGTAGTCGAATGGGAGGAATCTTCCTGGGGACGCGTACTCGAACATGTTCAGGAGTTGGAGAACCGTGTCGAGAGGACGACGAGCGTGATGAAGAAGCCTATTCCACTTCCAGACGAACGAACTATCTCCGCGGGTCCTGGCCAAGGCGCAGCCGGACTGCGATCTCAATCACCACCCCAAGGAGCCTGGAGATACGACGAACTGGTCGTCGAGGTGCAACAGCAGCGTTCGAGGATCGCTATGCTGACGGACGAGAGGGCTCGTTTAGTGGCTGAGGTTGCTGAGGAGAGACAGCGAGCGAAGAACTTCGAGAACTCGTATCAGGTGGCGAGCGACGGGTTGGCCGACCTTAGACAGGAGCTTGGGATGGCACATGCGGTCGTCGAAGAGCTGAAGCAGCAGTTAGGCGAGGAGAAGGAGAGGAGGAAGGGTTCGGAGAGGTTACTCGGGGAAGAGAGACAGGAGAGCAGAGTGTTGAAGCAGACGCTGGCGCTGAAGGGACGTGCAGCCACTCTTGGTCCCGGAGAGCTGGTGTTCAACGAGGGGGATATCAGGGATATGGAGGACGAGTTGCTCGGTCTCAGGGCGGAGGTGAGGAGGTATCAAGATTTGGAGGCCTACGAGCGAGATCGAGGGGAGGTCCGGATGGCTGGCAGACGGAGGGCGGAGAGTCTCTACGAGGAGGAGGACCGACGAGCACGAGCAGCGAGGAGGGAGAGCAAGGACAGGGCGGGTCGCGGGAGTCCACTTCGCTCGGAACAGCCACCACGAACCTCGAGGAGCGCGAGCCACAGCCACGCCAGGCGGGGTTCGTACGACTCTGCGATGATGCTCCAGCAGGCTCAGTATCCGCCCTCCACCACAGCTTCAGGCCCGTTTGATACCAACGGTCGTCGTGTTCAGTTTGCTGCGGGGATTTAAGTCGGGCGTGTGTTCGTCGTGTTTTTGCTTCTGCTTTCGCTGTGTTCATGAGATCGGGCGTGGTGTTCTTATGTTTATGGTCATCTTTCGTGCTTAGACTTGCTGTGTTACCCTGTGCTTCACCTACTACATTACCCTCATAAATTTATCCTGATTTATTGTAATATACCCTTCTGTAACCGTCACAATCATAGAAACAAAAAGCCCATAAAGCAGTGTCGCCGATAATATCGAACAAAGCGCATAATGAACGGACAAAACAATCGCCTGCATACTCCGTAAATGTGCGCCCACAAGAACGTTGAATAACGGCAGTGGCAATTGCCTTCCACTCGATCACCACGCCTACAAACAGCCACAAAGAAAGACAAAGGTGGAGAAATGAACTTTGGAACGCTCATCGCCTTGCCTGCATTCACTAAAGAGTGAACGATCCGCACAGCTTCTCGTGTATACACGCCACGCGCCACCGCCACTGCGGCGAGACGACATACTTCGACGATTCACAAGCATCGCTGAGACTCACAACGAGTCGAATATGTCGGATGCACAATAATTCAACAAAAACGAGTAAGTAGGAGCGCGAATCATGACAGGGTCACCGGAACTTCGGGCAGCAATCCAAGCACGAGACAGAGAGGACGGAGATGGCGCAAGACGAAAAAGTCGAAGATAGATCGCTGCCAACGATCGAGGGGTCTGGAAGAAAAGGCGCAGAAGGCAAACAGAAAGTCTATGCGGGGCAAATATGCGCAAGTCACTGCTATTGTCATATACAGATATAATATCTGAGATATGGGCCAGTGTGTCGGGATAAAACAAACCGTGGGACAGTAAACGGGTAAGATGGGAGGAAGTGGAGAGACGGAAAGAGGACGAGAGGATCTAGAGGGTAGTAAGATATATCGGGAAGAAGGGTGAGGAACGATATGTATATACATGGTCCGTGTATGAGGGGGGTGGTATGTCAACAAGAGGAAGGGTAACAAAGGGACAAAGAAAATGAATGCAAGACACCTGTCCGTTGACAATAAAAAACGACGCGAGACCTCTCCAATAATGAATGAAATGGATGCAACGGACAAGGTATGATGAACGATATCGAACGAAATCGGAAACGTTGGCCTGACGGCCTCCAAGAAAGCATATGAATTCAAAACAAATGAGGGCGCAGACGGAAAACGAAATGGAAAAAAAAATGCAGAGGAAGAAGAGGAAGAAGTGAAAATGCATGATGGTAATTCCAAGGTCTCACCCACGACCATACGCGTGCGCCAACGGAGCCAACCCTTCTCCATCGCCACTTTCCTCTCCAGTGACATTCCCCGTCCCCGACTCCCCAGTCATCCCCTCACCACTAGTCCCAACCGACGGCACCCTCCCCCCTTCCTTGTGCGCAATCAAGTGCCTCTCTTCGGTACTACTTTCCCCACCTCCACTACCACCAAGACCAAGTACCTCCGACGCCACACGGGACCTCCTCGGCGATTTAACAGGGCGAGCAGGTGGGCCTGATATATTAGACGTTCCCGAGCCCATGGTCACAGCACCCGACGGGAACGCAATAGGTGAGCCACTCGAGGGAGCCTGAGGAGCGTTCGAAGTCCTGGTAGTTGGCATCGGTATGGTCTGCAATTCCGGGCTTAAAGGAGTAGCCAGACTGCGTGGCCTGCTGCCAGTAGTAGGATCCGCGCCAATGGGAGCGAAGTAGTCCATCTGCTGAGCTTGAGCTTGAAGTGGCGTTCCCGTGCCTCCAAAGTTGAGTAACGAGTTGTTCGAATAACGCCTCTCCCTGGGCCCGCCCAATGCATGGACTGACGCAGGTCTCGAAGGAATCAGGACACTACTTCCCTGGCTTCCCCTCCTTTGTGTGTTCGGGTGGTTATAGGAATAATTCATAGGAGCCGAATGAGTCGGAGAAGGACTCCTGGAACCGTGGTACATTAGGTCGGGCTGGCTCTGCCCTGGAGTACCGCCGTGTCGTCCCTTGGACCTCGGAGACGAAGATGCGCCAAGCAGCATAGTGGTGGAGTCCGGGCGACCCATGGACATATTCATGGTAGAAGAGCGGGAGGCGTTGTCTGGCCGTGGTGAACCGGCGTAAACTGGGCCAGCGCCAGGAATGGGAGGAGAGGTGGGCGGGGTCGAGGCATTCGTAGCATACGAATTTGGGCGTCCGACCAGGCCGTACTCGTATGGCTTGGGTTCAATGGTGAGGTCGACGTTGCGCCCTGATCTACGGCGGGAAATGGGGCGGGGATGCTGGTCATCGTCTTCGAGCGACACGTTGCTGGACCTGAACAGCCCTCGGCGCCTCAGCGCTCTCCTATTTGATGGCAGAACGGCAAGGCCAGGAAGGAAACATAGAATCAGAGATAAGTTCGGACTAACAGTGTGAAAGTGGAGGACGTACCAGAGCATCCAGAAGAGCGCGACAATGCCTATGAGGCCGAAGAACCCACCCAATGCCCCTCCCAATATGCCGCCCAGATTACTGCTTGAAGAGCTTGATGAACTACCACTGACTGCTCCCGACGACTGAGAAGCCCCTGTGGTACTCGCCGAGCCGGAGATCACCGAAGGGGAATAGAACATCGTGATAGTGTTATAGATGGTACTAGTCTGACCATTTTCGAGGACAGACGACCTTTCCACGGTAAGCACGGAAGGAGACGGTGTGCTCGTGGTCACGAACGACGACGAAGTCTGGCTCGTGGAGGAAATGGACGAGACACTAGTTGTAGTGGAGGGAGTCCCGGAGGTAGAGGCGGAAGTGGAGGCGGAGGCAGACGTAGAGGCGGAGGTAGTTGAGGCGGAGAGTGAAGTGGCGGTACACGAAGCGAAGAGTGTGAGGGTCGGATTGAGGTTTGTTTCGATGACGGTCACGATATAGGGGAGGGTTACGGTCGTGACAGTGTCTGAAACCCATGAAGACGCAACATTCAGCGCGGACGATAAGATATGATACCCACCGAAGCCATCAACCGCGACACAAGAAAACTGTACGAAGCCAATCGTACGACCCAAGCCCAAAGAGACCCAGCATTCTGTCTAAGAGAGCAGACGTACCAGCTAGAGTACTGACTCCGGTGATGTCGGTTGAAGAAGCGCAGGTGCCGCCTGCGGAGGACAAGCATGACGGTTGGACGATTGTGGTTGTGGCTCCCGGGATGGTTTGAATGCTCTGCGAGAAGGTGGTGATAGTATTCGTCGAGATCACCGTCTCGTACTGTGTTTCAGTAGCCACAGAGGAGCAGGTAGCCATCACCCAAGCCGGGCTTTAGGTGGGTAGAGATCCTGACGAAATTGACTCGAAGTAGAAGAAGTCTACGTTTTTTAGAACCATGAAACCGCGCCAAAAAAAAATTCAGAGAGTGAGAAATACAGAAGAATTTCACGACAGGGAGGACATGATGGAGTGAGAGAAAAAGTTAGGTTGGCAAAATAGGCGGTGAGACGGGGCAAACCGCCGGCCAGAAGGGTCACGGTTGCGGACAACAAGAAATCGGGAATGGCATCGTCCAAATGCCCCGCCTCCATCCACGTGTTTCGCACGATGTCCAGCGCCCGGGGCTTGGCGCTAAACGTACTTGTTCCTTCATTTGAACTTCGCCGTCCATCTCATGCTCTTTCCTTCAATATTCGCGCCTTCCGCACTGTCAACTGTGCCCCGCTCGCTGAGCTGCTGAGCGTATAAAATTCTGTGTATATCTTATGTTGCTAAGGACGGAGAGGAGCTCGAGCTTTCAAGGGCAACGATAGCCGACGTGAGAATCGATATCAAGATCGTCAGACATTCATCCTATCGACCAAGGCAAATCATTTGCAAAATAAATAGAGTGTTCCGCTTTGAAAGTTCCCCAAGGTCGTCGGGAGAAGCATAGCATCGTGGTGATGATACATATGTATACTAGACTGTCTTGTGTAGTCTACTGTACTTTTTCGCGCACAAGTTCACGCCACCGCCCCTCGGCCGTTGCCGAGATGACATAATCCATTCGTGTCCCGGTTCGCAAGCAGACCGGGACAAGGGACAATGTTCGTGAACATCGACGCTTTTGCAGGGAGACGACCTTTCGTAACCGTCCAACAGGCATTTACCCTCTGAATTCGGGTGGAAGAGCTCACCCAGTAGCAAAATCTAGCCCAAAGTGTGTCTCGGAGGCCTTCCTGAGGTCAATTTAGGAGCCTAAAGTATATTCACATTTTCGTCAAATTTGGGTCAAATTTTGGTTTGTCCTACTTACAAGTTCCGTGCACGTCAATGGGGTGGGACTGTCCCGCGGCACAAGTTCGTTCTCGGCCCCCATGGGACACGGGACACGAACTTGTGCGCGAAAAACTACAGTATCTCTCCAGTTGTTTCTTGAGCACCAGTGAACGAACCGCGACATCAACGCTAGTGCGGGAGAGTTACGCCGACCGAAGGACGTGATGTCGGAGTCGTCTTCAGCCGGGCGCAGCACCTCTTTCCGTTCTATCCTTGCTGTGTCCACACATCAGTTCACCTCACCGTCGAACCGAGTTAGTTAACTTCAAGGGTTGTGTGGAAGCAATTACCCTGCCAATCTCCGAAGTAGGACTCTGCATGGGACGTTTATACGTTGCTGAGTGCCTCCGCCAAGCACCTTTAATCGCGGAGGAGTTTATTTACAACGAATGCCGGTAAAAGGAGAGGAGTGATCTAGTAGGATAGCCATCAGGACAGGGCGTACTCCATTCATCAAACCAGAGAGAGCATGGCAGGAGGATGAGAACAGGCGGGCGTAAAGCCCCTGAACGCCCGAGTAGGACACTCGGAAACCTCAAGGAGCGGGATCTCGAGCATTGAGTGTTCATGCGGGGAAGCAAAGAAACCGCGCAAGTCTCACTCGCAATCCTAATTCACCGAAGACCTACAAAAGCGTAAATGTCGAACAACATATCATTCATCTATCCCACATTGACAGAAATCAGCAGCAGGCAGGGGGTGTCTCCTAAACATGTCATAGACACAACATCAAAAAAACCAGAAAGAAAGTCCTTGTGATAGGGATGGACGAGTGAGGAATGAAGAGAAGGAGAGGAAGCTGAACTTGATCCAGGACTTGGGGGAAAATATGCTGATATGTGCTGTAAATTGAACGGAGCAGCTGAAAATGAGTAGACCCGGGTCCATTAAGATCGAAGGGACGTAGGATAGTGGGGAATAGAGAGAAAAGCCGCAAACCGTGCACCCAAAAAAGAACGAAAGTAAAAATGATATAAACAGGCGGCGTGTTGATACCGTCGCCACCGCGAGATAGATAGGGGGAATGCAATAAAGGGACGTGCAATTGAGCTTCTGCAGTCATCAGAGACCATTGCCTCCATCATCCAAGCAAGGCCAAAGACAAGAATCCTGTTATCGAACCGGAATCTCTAGGGATTTCGCTCCACCCACGATCACACTCGCCCTCCTACTAAGCGTACCCGCCGTTCCTGCCCCCGCCGTCCCCGCCGCCGACTCTATATCCGAGTCCTTCGAGTCTGAACTTCTCGTCGAGCCTGGATTTGACTTATCCCCGCCCCCAATCCTGGCCAGTAACTCCGACTCAGTCACATCCTCCTCCCATACCCTCCCCTCGCCCTCTTCCATCCCCGGCAACGGCTCTTGGTCTGTCGCGTCGATGTAGAAGTGCTGCTCTCGCGGTCTCCTCCTCGTCTTCCCATCCCGCTCTTTCTCATCCGGCTTCTTGTCCTTCGAATCCCCCTTCGAGGCCACTCGTTTCCAGAACGTCTTGCTCTTGTCCATCACGTACCGACCAAACACCTCGAACGGATCTTCCTCTTCCATCTCCGTCGCCTTGCCGTTCACCGCTTCCTCGTCTAGCTCGGTCCATACGGGTTGAGGACGCGGCGCATTCATCGCGGCGTTCCGTCGGTTTTGGATCATACGTGAGCGGGCGGCCACGCCTAGTGGTACAGATGATTTTCGCCGCCGTGGGCTGATCTCGGGGAGAGGAGCGAACTGGATCGTCTGTTGCGTGCGCACGCGCTTAAGGGTAGTGGTGGTGGAGGTAGTGACGGCGCAATTCGGCATCGAAAGCGAGGGTTTCAGTTTGTGCGTTTTCGACGACTTGGGGTCTTCGGCAGAAGTGGTGGTAGTCGTAGTCGTGGTAGTGATGACGGTAGGAGAGGCGGGAGGGGTAGTAGTAGAGGTGGAGGCGACGGGAGCATCTACGCTCGCATCTTCGTCTGTGCCTGATGGTGTCGGGATGCCGTCTGCTTTATTGAGCGACAGGGAGCGATGCATGATTATTGCCTTTGGAGGCATTATTTGAGCCTCGGTGGCCATATCGTTGGTCGGAATTATAGCGATTTTTTCGTTGGTGTTGTGTGGGCCAAGTGATCTAGCCGGAGTCGGGAAAAGGAGCGTTGTAGGTGTGTAGCGGCGGCGGAGCAGAGATGTAGATATATATACCAAGCAAGCAAAGCAGAGGACCCAAAAGAAAGAAATGGTGTCAATGTCGGACGACGTAGACAAGGAGCGGCATGGACGTCGGTGGCGATGAGGAAGCGTAGAGACCGGGAAAAGCCACCACCAGACCGACATCAAAACAGGAAAAGCATGCGCCCGCTGCTCCAGCGCGTTGCAAATTCATCTCTCGTGTTCGACATCGACGCGTCTGGTAGACCCGCCAAACTTCTTCGCCGACTTTGTCTTCAATGTTATTCTGAACAATACTGGGATAAACCATGTCTGTCTCTCGTGCAGAGTCTCAATATGGCCGTCGGAGGTCCAATACTGCTCAGTCTCTGTTCAGGCCTCCACCCCAAACTACCCCGCTGAAAGTCGGCGATTCTACGGTTCTTAGCACTTGGGTACATGAGAAAGAGTCTTCCAACGTTCTACTCAATAGGTCGTACTGGCCAGGAGTCTCAGAGGGAGAGCTTCTCCGAATCACATACGCGAACGCGGAGGAAAAAAGGGATGGATTCTTGTTCCTCGTTCCGAACGAGGATAGTTCAGCGAAAGCGCAACTCCAGGTTCGTCAACATGATTCCATCACCAAGCCACCTTACTGATTTTATTTGTGGTGTTTTTACGCTTAGATATCCCTGCCCAAGACAGTCGCAGACGCTTTCGGCATTCGGAACAACGGCGAGGTCACAGTGACCAAAGTAATGTCGTCTTCGCGAGTCCAAGTCGACGTCTTCGCGCCCTCATCACCTCCGTCTCGGCCAGGTTGACAAGATACTATGTTCTGCTGACTTTGTCGAATTCACTTTCCAAGACCAATATCTCGGTCGGAACGACATGTGGAGGTTGGGAGAGCAGCTCGTTGGGCAGTGTGTTCATGTGGATCAGCAGGTGCCGTTCTTGGGCTCAATGGTGGCGAAGGTGACCGCTATCTATATTGGTGGCGAGAAGGTAAACATCTGCACATATTTGGAGCAAGACTTGCAGGATGTGCTGATCCGTTGATGCTCAAATGCAGGTCTCGAGCGCCTATGTCACTTCGACGACCAAAACGATTTATCGCTCGCTCACTGCCCGAGTCACTATCTTCATTCAAGTCTGTCGTGAGCTTTGGGAATTCGCTGCAGACGGAGAACGCTTCAACGAGAAGATCGTACACTCATTCCTGCCTGCGCTCTTTGGCAGATGGAAAGACGCTGGCGCAAATCATACGGTCACCATCGTCCTGATCTCTCGCGTCTTCTATGACCGTACAGAAATCGATTATGCCGAGGGACCTCTCCGTCAAGACGAGGACAGTCGCTGGTACAAGGACTTCTACAAAGTCATCACCGACCTCGAGGTGATCTACAACTGGCAATCCACCCTCGTCAGCCTCAAAGATTCCTTCTGGGCATTTCAACGCGATATTCTCCTGGCGCACCATTACCACCGCGCGAACCTCGCATCTGCCTCTTCAACCACCGCGCACATCAATTACAAGGAACCTCAAGAAGCCCGGCTAGTAGGCCGGCTTTCTTTCGCACACGACGGCCCCTTCCTCGAAGCCCTCAATATGGGCCTCAATCCCACCGAAACGCATTATATCGACCGTTCTCTCTCGCTCACCGGCTCCTCCACCATCGTTATTACTCCAGGCACAGGCTTCTACCGTGTCTCGAAGCAGCTCCTTCGCCTCACCACCACTCGTATCCTCGATCAGGGCTTCGGCGTTGATCTGGTGTCACTCGCTAAACCGCCCCTGCATAGAACGCCGGTGTTCTCGTTTCACGGAGTAGATCCAGAGCTCTTTAGGAGCGAGAAGGTGAGTAGGTATGGCGCGAGGGCGTTCGATCCGTTGTGGGGTGGTGATGATGGACCGGCCGACTGTGTCGGGAAGGAGAAGAGGACGTTTTGGTGGGAGCCGTTCTGGATTACCATGAACTTTTGGGATAAGCAGATGGACTTGCCGTTGAGGCAGGACAGGTTGGTGGTTTCCCGTCTCATGGCTGGCGAAGTCTCACAGGAAGCTTTTTTTTTTTGCCAGATTTGTCCCGCGGGCCAAAATGCACGAGATCCAGATGCTAGGCCTACTTGATTTTGACGTACTGTCGAGCATCGACTTACCCTACCTCCCGGAACAATTCGACTCCATCCTTAGCCCTGTCCAAGAAGATTCCGAAAACGCAGACCCTGCTTACGCCAAGATCGAGGCCGATAGGTTCGACTCGGAAATATTCGCGGTCAGACGAGAGGCTAGGGAACACAGGTCCTCCATCGCCAGTCGCGGCTCGTCCGGTGGCACCGCTTCGAGCTCTAGTACCTACGTGGCGTCGTCAATCAGGAGCACGTCGGAGAAGAGGCCCGCAGCTGCGCATCGAAACTCCAATGCCTCGTCAAGGATTCCGCCCATCGCGGAAAGTCCGAGAATTGGTGGCAAGGAGATCATCAATGATTTGGACGAAATGGCCTCGGATAGGGATAGCAAGCGACTTTCGGTCAACTTCTCGTCTAGTTCTGGGTTGAGTACCTCGCCAGCACAGTCGTCTATACGGTCGGTGCGGTCGACGCGCTCGAACAGATCAGTTTCCTCCGCTGCATCGGCAGGTGTCACTCCTGAGCGTCGGTCGTCGTCGAGAGGAAGTACGCCTTCACGACCGTCCTTGATGTCCAAATTTACGTCTTCGTGGTCGTTCAATCCCTTCAGGAGTGGCCCAAGCGAGCCGGAAACGTCGAATGTCTCTGCCTCTGGAGTGTCTACTCCCGTGAAGCAGACCCAAACACCAACCCGACCAATCACTCTCCTGATCCCATCTACCGCCACACCGGCTCCTACCTCCATCTCCACTTCTACCGTCTCCACTGCCGAGACATCTCGCACCCCCAAACCAGTGGCCATAAAGAAATCTTCGCTCAGCACTCGCTCACGCACATATGACGATCCAGATGCCATCCTCATCCATCGTGGCTCTCTCGGTCGATACTCCGGCTCACCACAGAACACACCACCACGGGACGACTCCCATATGCATTCCCGTCGCAGCACAGCTCTCACCTCTGTATCCTTCCCTTACAATGCAGCCTCAACATCCTCCTCTTACACCCAGAGCTCGCAGCATCCCAACCCTTCTGCACCTCGAACGTCGGTCGCGTACAGCCAAGCTGCTCTCGCCCGGCGCTGGCAGCACATGTTCCCACAACCGATGTACAAGCAGGACGTCAAATGGAAGTCGATGGTCACTCCTGGCTGTCTACCGCTAACAACGGAACAGTTCCCTACTGCAAACGAACTAGAGACGAGCTATGATGTGTTCTCGTACGACTTCGTCGTCGATCCGGATACACAGAGTTTCTTGGTCAGGCAGCCCAGTAGCCCCAGCGGTGGGAAACAGTCGGGAGATGAGGCGAGAAGAGCGTGTGCGCTTGTGGTCATGAGGGGCATGATTGCGTTGAGGTTAGCACAGGGGTTTCAGTTCGTGTTGAGAGCGTCGAGTTCCACGGGCACGTCGACCCCAATTCATACCGCTACCGGTACTGGTACTGGTAGCGTCAGTGGTTCCTACTCCACCACAGCGAGCAACCAGGCCACCGCTGTCATCGACCCGGAATACGCCTCTGCATCTCAACCGCACACCTCACACCGCTCAAAATCGTACATCTCAGACGAAGACAGGACACCGAAACCAGGCGGCGCGTCGGAGGCTCTGAAGTCGCAAGCGGAGCCGGTGTATCTGAGCATGAGCAACGAAATACATCGAATTTCGTACAACGGGGAACAGATACAGGTGAGGAGATATGTGAGAAGGATGCCGCATGCCGTGCCGTTTGATTATAAGTGTTTGATTTGGCCGAAGTTGGGGGTTGGGTATACGGAGTTGGAGACTTCGTTTACGGCCAGAGGGTTGGAAAGTTATGGTTGGAACAGGTGCGCTAATTCTTTCGATGGTAGACGACAGGTTATTTGGCTGAATTTTCGTTGTAGGCTGGATATGTTGGTGGCAGGATATGAAGACCAGTTCAACGAATCAGTACGCTACTGGCGTACACGCTTCATCGTCATTCCTAGCATGGACCCTCTGCCGCACAACACTGGCCCCGCAGGCGAGAAACTCAACGATGAAGAGATGCGTATCCTCGGCATCGAAAAGCTCGCGAACATTTTCTCCGGCCTACGGTGGCATCCTCCTTCGCAACAAAGCCAAAACAAGACCCTACCGCCCCTCCGTTTCCTCCCCACCGACCTTGGACCTTCTTCCTCTGTCCTCGATGAACATCTCATGGCCCAACTCGACGATATCCATGCCGCGGGCCCATTGCGCAAGAAAATGAAATCGGAGAGGGATATTGCGGATATGACTCTTGCTCAGATCGCCAAGGCGATGAGGGAGGAAGGGGGGGTGCCGATCAAGGAGCATAGGTGGCATAGGCAGCGGTATGTGGAGAGCTTTATTGGGTCGGAGTTTGTGAGTTGGATGGTCAGGGAGTTTAGGGATGTTTCGAGTAGGGAGCAGGGAACAGAATGGGGGATCAAATTGCAGGATAGGGGATTGTTTGAGCATTGTACGGGGAGGCACAGCTTTTTAGATGGGTGAGTGCCCCTTCTTTTCTTTGTCAACTACAGAGGCGATACTAATTGGGGTTTCAGACATTACTTCTATCAGTTGAAAGGCGAATATGCGGCGGTGTCCACGCCAAGAAGACTATGGTTCAGAGACCGAGCCTCATTGATACCAGAAATGACTGAAGTTCATCCGCGCTCTGGACACTACCCTTCCAGTCTCCCGAAGGTGGTGGCTAAGAAACAGAAGAAACAACTCATCCTCAGTCAGCGCGTCGTTATCGACCTCGACCCTCACAAGGTTCGCCACGACCGCCTTTTTTTTGCGTCGAGTCGTACTAATTGCCCACGATATCTTCATAGAAATCAGACCAGGCTGAATGTGTTGTTCTCCATCACGATATAATCCACAACCCAGCCACCGTTTTCCACTTTGAACTGCATTGGATCGGCACCACTGCACGCATGATCGAGGACGCCCTCCGAATATGGACGCGTACCATCGAGCGCTACGGCCTCAAGCTCGTCGAAGCCTACGTCACCCAAATATCCGACATCGCCACTACGAACCCTTTCCAGTCTTGCTTCCCCGTCAGACTGGCCGTTCCACCGCCCATCGTGCTCGACCTCGCCTCAAGGGTGCCCGAGGGAACACACGTAGACCGATACTTCGAATACGCACTACTCAGAAAGTTCGACTTCGTCCTGGATATAGAAGCATCGGGGCTCTATCCGCCTCACATCGACGCAATATATTCGTACCGTCGCTCACCCTTCACTTACTCCCAATTCGTTCATCGCTCCGGCGTTGCTTTCGTGCAAGTCCTCGGTGGCGCGCAAGGTTTCCTTTTCTTGACAAATAGGTTGATGGGGCCAGGGAGGTTCGCTGGCAGTGCGGCGAATCATCCTATGAACGAGAAACAGTTCAACAAGGAGAGGCCGGCCTTGGCGGCGGAGGAGCTGAGGAAGAGGTTACATCAGTTTTGTAAAGATAGGGATGGATTGAATAGGTTTTGGGACGACGAGTTGGCGGCGCTGGGACCGCCGGGGAGTAATGGAAGTGGGGCGGTATCTGCGGGAGCAGGGCAGCAGGCCGTGTCGGAGGAACCACCGCCACTTGCGATTTAGAGTCGCTGACGGGTACTGTGGCGAGATTGTAAGGCGTGGCGACGGACTCATATTTCGTTTGTGCGCTCTTGTGTGTATTTGTAGAATGATGTATATACAGTGTAATGCGAGAAGAGCTGAACATTAAAAGTGAACGAGGTCAGTGCCTCTTTTGGCGGGTACTATGAGACGTCGTGTGCGCTAACGAGCATGTCGCGACCGTTCGGTCGTACGGATCGTCTCATTGGATCCCTAGACAGTGGTTTTCGCATATCTACACGACACCAATGCCAAAGATCATCAGGAATAGCTCAATACACATTCACAAAAAGAAACAGATAAGGGAAACTCACCAAACGCATCCTCCTCATCCTTCCCGCTCGCGCCCATTCCTAGGCTCCCATAATACTCTCGTACCCTCCGATACACACTATACCCCAAACCCTCGTACATTCCAATTGCGACCCCGTTCGCACAGCGTACGTATAGGTCGACAAAGAACCCATGATATGTCTCATCCGAGACACGCTCGAGAAGAGACATCATCTTGCGTGCGAGGGAAAGTCGGCGGTATTCGGGAGCGACAGTGAGGGCGGTTACGTGCCCGTGATGGTCTGTCGATTGACCTTCGGCTTTACCGAGCACTAGGAGGGGTAGTGCAAGTTCAGAAAACGGGTTGTGCGGATGGTTTGCCTCACAACCCACGAAGCACAATAGATAGAGGAAAGAGGGGGGACGGATAACAGACAAGGACGTACCATATCCCATCAGCTTTCCTGAAGGTGCCTCCTGCACGCAGCACAAATCAGGCCAGCGTGCGAGGTATGTCAGATAGAATCCAATGCCATACTGCCCATTTGAATGCCGTTCCCAATCCAGACATCGCGTAGAGCCGTGTCGACGGAGTTTGATTCACCGTGTCGTGCATGGCCGCGTTGGTTGTTTGGACATTCGAATATATGGAGTACCGCCATGATGCGTGATATATTTGTTAGGTTTTGTTGCACAAATAAAGCATGTAAAAGCCATTGGATGGTCATAGTTGAAGCCGTCAGCAAACGGTCGTGAAAGGACAAATGGTGAATAGACAGAAATAGGTAGCAGTCGGACTCACAGTTTCAGTCCACAAGTCAAGATTGCTAGACACCACAGTGAGAGAATATTATTGGCAGTATGATGAGATGGGTAAAGCCACGGACGGAAGAAAGATGGGCGTACATGTTATTGAATTTAAACATATCTGTCGCGCGGAAAGGTCGGAGAACGGACATCGTGAAGTATGCAAGGGATCTTATGAGTAGGATGCTGCAGATGTTATATGAGGAACTGAGTCCTATAGTCGAAGTGGGGAAGGATGCAACAGCCTACAGGTGTACACAACGAGGAAGTGTGGCGAGCAACCGAATCGGACTTGTTCCGGAAAACTCCGATATGCCGTGAGTTCCGTGTACACAATCTCTACCATATCCCTCGATACCTGCCAATTCGATCTGCCATCTGTGAAGGTACGTCGGTCTGCTCGTTCGTATGTATTCCCTCCAAACTTGTCATTAACTAGCCAGCACTTTGGAATCGCAGACGCGGATCGTGCAATAAAACATTGCCGCTGAACCTGTTTCGCAAGCGCACTCAGGCTGGGTATGGATGCGAGTGTAAACAAAGAGATAAGGACGACCGTTTCTGCAGCGGATTTTGACTCCAGCGTAAGCATTTTCTTACTCCTGTTATGAATCGTATCTTACCCGCATAGCTACAGTCTTCAAGCTCTCCTGCGCGAATGGCATTCCTGATGATATGCGACAGAGCATCGAGCCATTTCGAACCCGAACAGCTGCGAGAGTTCATCGCTGCTGGCGAATCCGAAGTACAACGACTCGACCGCGCTTCGTTAGAGATCGCCCGTCAACGTGATTTTGTAATATCCAAAATCAAACAGTGGCGCAATGATCTCTGTCCCACTCGTCGCTTGCCCCCCGAGATTCTCGCCGAAATCTTCCTCCAATGGGTACAACAGAATTACTATTCATCCTGTCTTCTCCTCCATACTCCTTTCGTGCTTGCGCAGGTGTGCTCGACCTGGAGAAAGGTGGTCTACAACACGCCCGCCCTCTGGACAGAGATACACCTGGTCAGACGCCACTCCAAGTCTGATCAATTCATCACACACGACTGGATAGACATGTTCGAGATGTATCTTGATCGTTCAAAAGTCTTACCCATCTTCGTGACGCTTTCGACGGATTTACTTGAAGCGGTACCCAAAGGATTCCCACGATTTTTTGAAGCTCTTCGTCCACACATCACCAGAATCCGGTCTTTAAAAATCGCCTCTCCCATCTCAATTTACAATATTTTGAAGAGTCTTCCCACTGCTATGGTGTCGTGGTCTGTCTTGCGGACCATATCGTTCACAATCTGGGACACAGCTGAGCCAGTTGCCGAATCCCATCTTCCCTTCACGACTTTCTCAAATGCTCCCCAATTGCGAGAGGTAGAACTTGGGGGCACACGGCGAAGTTAGCGAACGATCCCTGCAGAAGATGGCTCTTCCGTGGTCACAGATCACGAAACTCGATAGGACAGGCTTGTTTGATCGTGGTCGCAAAATTTTATTCCAAGCGCCTGCACTCGAACACTGCTTTCTGCGTACTGTTCTCCCCTGGACCGATACTCCTGTGACCACGTCACACCTTCCTGTTCAAACATTTCCTGCTTTGAAAACCTTCGTCGTGTCACTGGTATGCGGCGATGAGGGAGGATGATTCGGTGGAAAGCACAGCACGATTTTTCTAGCCCTTGAATATGCCCGCGCTCACGACGCTCGAAATCACATCGAGTAGAATTCACGAAGTTGGTGTTGCCGAGGAATGGATATACTTGTTATATTCGCGATCCGGCTCGACCCTAACTCATCTGTCCGTTGACGGCATTAAATTCGGGAATGGAGGGATTACACGAATTCTTGGACATCTTCCTGCCCTCGAAAGTTTACGCACCGCCCTCACGCATATCGCTTACACTGACGAAATCTTTCTCGCCCTTCGATACCGCGAAACTTCCTCTGTCTCGTCTCAGGACGTGATCATTGACATGATACTGTCGCGATGGTGGTCAGACGAGGAGCTCACAAACGTGCACCCTGCGGTGTCCAGGTGGAAGAGAATAGCGTTGGCCTGGAGGAAAAAGACGATATTTGACCAGGCTCAACTTGCACAGCTTGTCAGATGTAGAGAAGAGGGGTTGGATGTATGTGTGCACGGCATGCCGACGGCCGGTCTTCGTGCTCAATGATTGCCCAAGTGACCATACGTACTCTGGCTGTCTCAAAGCAGACGCCATACCGTTGAATCCGAACGGATCCCGACAGATTTCATAGACAATGGAATGCAGGTACCGGTGTTGAGCACTGAATGCTATATATATCAGGTATGCCTCATAAAGAAAACAGATGGAAGGTTTGCGCCCTACAGTGGTAAAATAAAAAGGATTCTGTCCGTCCATTCGCACATTGTCAATCTATACCACAACAAACATATCCCAATAAGTCCAAGGAAACGAAGAAATCCAAGCACGCTCTTTGCAGCAGGGTAGCGGAATCCAATGGCTGAAACTAGATCAAGCTCTTCCAACCAGCATCCTTGACCTTCTTTACAAGACGCTTGACTTCTTGCGAACGCGCGCGAGTCGTGATCAAAAGAGTGTCGGGCATGTCGACGACGACAAGATCGTCAACACCCAAACAGGCGACCAGGCGTCCTGATCCGGGGACGATGATACCGCCAGCAACTTGTTCGGTGAGAACTGAAGACCGTTGTCAGCGTATAATTAATGTTATGAATGAGTATGCGAGAGCGTACCGAGGCTAGTATCGCCGAGAACACGAGATTGGTTGGATTCGGCGGGAAGGAGATCTGCCAAAGAAGAAAAGTCCCCAACATCGTCCCAACCTAGACGGACAGGCTCAGTACATAATCTCATGACCAACCTACACGCGTCGACGTACCGAATGTAGCTGGCACGACGGCAACTCTTCCCTCAGCTGCAGCAGGCTCTGCCACCGCATTATCGATGGGGATCTTCTCTAACCCTGGCCATATCTCCTCCAAAGCCTTAGCCCTAAGGCTCTCGTCATCCCAAACCTTTGCAATATTCGTTAGACCCTCCTCCATCTCCGGCAAGTATTGCTTGAGGAGCTTCATAAGGAAAGCAGCTTTCACGACGAACATTCCGGCATTCCAACGGTAATTTCCAGTGTTGATGTATGCCGCTGCTGTCCTTGCATCAGGCTTCTCTTTGAACGAGGAAACGATCCTCGCATTGGGAGCCTCATCCACCTCAAGCCTCTCCCCGAGACGAATGTAACCAAAGCCAGTGGATGGATGTGCGGGGGCTATACCGATGGTGACTAGGTAATCCTTCTTCGCCACCTCGACGGCCTCTGAGACCGCGCTAAGGAAGGCGTCGTCACCGGAGATCATATGGTCCGCTGCGAAACTACCAATAACAGCATTGGGATCACGGCGGACAAGGATGGCTGCGGCCAGACCGATGGCGGCCATAGAATCTTTCGGTCCCGGCTCGCAGAAGAGGTTGTGGGGAAGGAGGTCGGGAAGCTGCGCTGCAATGCTCTTCATGTGGCCTGAGCCGGCGACAATGGTAGTCCGAGCGGGGGAAGTGAGAGGGAGGAGACGGTCCCATGTCGCCTGGATAAGACTGCGCCCTTGAAGTGTAACGTCCAGGAGGAACTTAGGGTGGTTCTCGCGCGAGAGCGGCCAAAGACGGGTCCCGGCGCCACCAGCGGGAATGACGACGTAAAAGCCAGGTATTTCACGGATAGGACCGTTAAATGGTTGAGAGGCATTATTACCTAAGGGGGAGGGGGCATGTATGGATGCAGGGGTAGCAGCGGAGGGTATCGTTGACGGGGAGAGGAAGGGAGACCTGGCACGAAGCTGAGGGGAGCCGGGAACGGGTGTCACGAAGCCCGGCGTCGTAAAGCCTGGCGTCGTGAGTCCTCGGGATACATTTTGATTCTGTGGTGGGCCATGAGTACAATTTACGAGCGAGCAGAAGGATCGGAAAAGTATGAAGATAGTGTCATTTCACAATGCAGCCGTCTTCTAGGACGACGAGCTCTTTCTATGCCCGCCAAATTAACGTGTGTGATCACGTGACATTTACAGCACGATCATGGTTATCTTTGGATGCAAGAGGATAGTCAGGAGGTCGGTGAACGTGTGTTTATATGGAGGAGGAAGACTCCTCCTACCCGAGAGCAGACCGACCAAGACATATTGCCACGTAGTGATGAAGTATGCAGCAAATACGTGCCGCCTGCGACGAACATCCCGATGGTCCGAGATGACCTCTTTCGATGACCCGACGCGAAAAATGCGAATGGAAACCCTCACCTGCTGCTGTTGCATCCCGTCCCGCACCTGGCGTTCCAGAGAATGATTCGCCTGCCTGAGTTCCGTGCACTCCTGACGAAGTTCCGCAATCTCTGCGGTCTAGTAAACGTACCACTTAGAATTGGTTCATGACTATACTAATACTGAGCTCATTGGCGTACCGACTTCTGCACTACATCCATTATCTGCTTAAACATGTCCTCCACTCCAAAAGCGCTGGCAGTTGACACGCTAACCGGTTTCTGGGCCGCATCTTCCTGGGCCTGCCCAGGTATGACCTTGCGAGCTGCAGAAGCGATTGTCGAGGCCATTTCAAGGACAAGACACGAGTGAGGTGTTACGATGGGTGACTACCGTAGATAAGAGGGAAAAGGAGTGGATTGGGGTTGGAATGCTGGTGGACGTTTTTATAGACGATGAAAGCGGCGGTTGAGAGTCTCGAAGGGACAACCGCGGATTTTGTCGCGCCGCGTAGATCGAACGCCACACACATCGCTGTGGCGGACAATTGTGAGATAACTTGACACAGCCGACGACTGTGGGCTGGAGGACCGAGACAGAACGGTTCGTGAAACCGTGCGCTGCAGTTTCCTACATGCAAGTCTCACACCAATGTTAGGGATCAATCGATGTGCTCTGGACTAGTCTTGATTGCATACATGCCGCTGTATACAAAGACAGATTCCAGGATGATACAGAGGGCGAGTACTACATGTATACATAGGCAATACATCAAAGAACACTAAACCTACTTTTGATACAACAACTACAGCAGCGACTTGCTCATATACGGACCATCGAGCTCATATCCAAGCCGTCGATAATAGTCCCGAGTTCCAACACCTGCAACCCGGTTCCATTTCTATCAGCGTCTGTGGCGGCGACATTGAGGTTACAAGGCGGGTGTATGACGACATACCAGAGATAACAGCGAGCTTGACGCTTCCATGCTCCTCCCTCGCTATCCGCTCTGCCTCCTCCATCAACAACGTTCCAAAGCCCTGATGCTGGAACTTCGTAGGATCCCTTCCATGCACCGGTACTGCCGTCCCATACACATGCAACTCTCTCACTATACTCGTGCCACCCCAATCTTCATCCTCTTCCTCATCCGTCTTGCCAGTCCGCCTCGGCCGTACAAGCTCTGGCCGGAAAGTTCCCTCCTCGGAACACTTGCGTAGACGCAGAAGTCCGATGAGGATATCGCGTTCGGGGTCTTCGTAGGAGAGGAAGGTTTCCCAGCCGCCGTTGGCGGTGTAATCTCGTCGGAGGAGCTCAACGGATTCTGGGCGGACTTTATGGTGGATTTCGTGTATCTAGTGGCGAAAAAGCGATCAAGACGGGCCAATTTAGAGCCAAATACGGTGGGGAAAGACGTACGCCAACTTCGCGGAACCGAACATCCCTGCACTCTGCTCCGAAGTCCTTCATCCGATTCAAAGCTAATTCACGGAGGTTACCCGAATTCTCACACCCAGATGTTACGAGCGGCAGTGGAATATCTCTGGATGAGGATGGTGAGCAATTGAAATTCAAGATATGACGAAGAAGCTATTACCTTTGTACCCTGTATACTCTCGTCCATGGTGGTACGAGTGCCAATATTCTCGCCACCACATCCACCAAGACATTCGGAGTATAATTCTTATATCTCCCCGTCCTCCAAAGTTCATAAAGCCCTGTCCCCCTAATCACCAAGGTCGGATATATCTTCAGTCCATCACTCCTGAACGCAGGATTTTCGAAATACTCCTTGAACCCCTCCAGATCCCGTTCTACACCCATGTTAGGCAGATCAGGCATCATGTGCGCCACGACCTTGAATCCTGCATCTTTCGCTAGGTGGAAAGACTCGGAGACGGCACGAACAGTGTGGCCGCGATTGGTGTCACGGGCAACATCTTCGTAAACTGATTGGACCCCGATTTCTAGACGTGTGCATCCGTAGCGGAGCATTTGCGAGAGGTGAGGTTTGAGGCAGTAATCCGGTCGGGTCTCGATTGTGATACCGATAGCCTTCGATTTACTTTGCTCCGAATATCTGAATAACTGTACATGAGAAAAGAGTTCATCGTTTTAACCGAAAGTAGGGCGACGTACCTAACGGCCTCATCGACGTCCGTCCCTGTAAATCCTGACAGTGCGTTATGCAACTGCGCCACGAACTTGCTTCGATACTCTTCGGGCATACTCATGAATGTACCGCCCATGATGATGAACTCGACCTGAATACAGTCCTCAGAACGCGAACTTCCTCGTGACACGAATCTGCTCACCTTGTCAACACTGTGGCCCAACGCCTTCAGCTGCTCCACCCGTCCTCTCGTCTGTTCATAAGGATCGTAACGCGCTCGGATGGCACGCATACTGGTTGGTTCGTAACCTGTATAACTCTGTGTGCTGTAGTCGAAGTCTGAGTCGGGGCCACCTGGACAATAGCTATATACGTACACGAACAAAATGAATAGGACAAACGGATAGATGGGATGGATCGACATACACACATATGTTTCCGGTCATTGCAATATGTGGACACCGATGTGGCTTGCACATTACTGCGACTACAGCAATCTGAACAAATCGATGTTGGTAGTCAGCTTTCCTTGTTCCTTCCTCACTCTCCTTTTACACGAGCAAGGGCCCAGCCTGAAAACTATGGACGGAAGGAGGAGTAGATGATATTGCAGAGAGGAACGCACCCCACTAGCCGTCCGAATTGGTCTCGCCTTCAACTTCGGCAACAACGCCTTCTTATACTCGTCCGGGATCGCACTGATGATGTCGACCAGGCGCGGCACCCCTCCATACCCATGCTTCTTCGACATCTTCGCTCGCAACTCATTTAGCGATACTGAAGTGTTGGAATCATGGGCTTTAATGAGTTCCGAAGCAATTCCGGAGGTAACACGGAGGAGTTGTTCGGCCTGTGAAGGGCCTGGTATTGAGGAAATGTGGTGGTTCGAAGGATAATTGAGTGAGGTATGATTGAGACAATGAGCATGGACGTAGTATTCGTGAACGAGGAGATAGACGTACCTTCTACCCTTGTTTTCTGTACCATAGTATTGGACGCTGGGTGGAAGAGGATACAGGAGTACTGCTTGCAATGTTTTCACCGGTGGCGAACTCAAGATTGTACTTCAGTGTACACGGAGAGAGCCTGATATAAGAACAATAACGGTCAAGCTTGAGCTAGGTGATATAGCAGGGTAGATCGATAGAAAACAAGACAAGCGGATGCGGAGAAGGCAAGCAAATATTTGCTTGCAATGAAATTCAGCGGCTCGCCACTCGTGGGAATAGATTGGCCGTGAGACGACTCTATTGGAGTAACTTTGTGCGCCGTGCAGTTGGGAAAGTCATGTGCACAAGTGCAACCTGAGTATTGTGTGGCGCCCACGCATGAGTGGCGAACATTCTTCCTTGAATCTTTGCAAGCTCTCACGAAACTCTCACTCAAAAACTCAACTTAGAGATACCGCAGTATAAGTTATGTGACCATGAACGTTCTATAACAGCCGCAAAATACGGGGATGCGTAGGCGGACGAATCTCACCGGCCCGAGTTGAGGTCACTTCCCTTGAAGCTCGAAGGACGTTCCCGGGGCGGTCTCTGTCATACCATCAACAGCGTATAGGCAGACGCCAGTCGTAAGGTCCGCCCCGACCCCCGAAAATATTGTCATCGTATAAGCGTACCTTCAGATTATTTTCACTCGTTTGACGAAGGCTATGAAGATATCTGTGTTATACCTCGTCTTGACACAGCCCCACCACTCACGACGCAGGCAGCGCAACGAACAAGTTTAATAGCGGCTGGTCTGACAAGCTCAAAAGCTGACGGTATGCGCCAAGAGCAATGTATCGATCTGCATACAAATGTCAAAATAAAATAAGATGTGCAAAAATCTAAGAGCAAGAAAAGGCATCACACGTCGAGCGTTATGACGGTGAAGAGCAATAATTCACGGATAGATTGATTGCTCACCAAGTTCATCAGCACCGTTCCTTTGCTGACGACCGTCCAAAATAGTATTGGACGCATACTGTGATGCCCCTGAACAGAATTGGCCTGGTCAAGAGCACTGTTACACTGTACATCCAGAGTCAGCGATGAAAGATGAACTTAGTACCACAGCTACCGTGGCATTGGGCTTTTAGCGCGCCAGATCGCCGTATTACTATGGGATGAAGCTTGAAGCGCAGTCAAGGGCGGAATTGCATCGCCCAATATAACCTAGCCGGCACAAACATACAGTTATGTTCGTGAGAAGGGGCTTGATTTGGTACCAAGTGGAAAACAGATCGGAAGCGGTAAGAGATGTGGACTTCTCGTGAGCTGAGTGTATTCTTTGTCGAAGAACGACGCAACGGCATCTTTCTCATGGTAGCTGAAGAGACTCACCTAGCGTTACAACGATGAGCTTCGGCTCATCACCACTCCCACTCCACGCTCACATTGGACTTGTAACCCTTAAATCTGTATATTTCTTTCGGCTTTTCAGTGCGCTGCGAGGATATAGCGTGCCGCACGGAGCACTGCACCCGAGTATGTCGCTGGATCTCGCTGGAATCAAGACGGCCGACAAGAGACAAGGAGCGCCGAGTGAGAGACTGATAAGTAAAGCCTAGCTGCTGATATCCATACAAAGCATAGGGCGTCGACGAGAAGGTGAGCAGTGACGGAGCCCCGCAGAGACTATCGTTATGACAGGAGAAACGAACGTTGGATTCAGGTCGCAAACGGGTACGGAACCAGCCTTAGCCCGACAGTGCGGTTTCTGATGCCAGAAAAACATTCAAGGATAAACCGCGATCATCCTTCATAATGACAAGTTATTCAGAGGGTGAAAAGGAGTGATGATACCTGTTTACTGTAAGTCGTCTAAGACTGACTGAATAATTGTCCAGCGATCCCAAGGTTTACGACTAGCCTCGGGTAAAGCCCGCCGTGACAGGATAAAACGGACGAGCCGGTTAGAACAGCCAGCGTTTCATGGAGCATGAAGGCGCAAAATGAGCTAAAATAATCATGGAGACTTTCGGGGCTCGAGGTACGGACTCGGGGAGGCATTCGGGTTGAAGCGCTGAAGATGTTGTTGCCGATCTTTGTATTTCCAATTCTGCGAATGAGCGTGAGACCTACCTACCTAATTTAACGTACCAAATATTCGGAAGTTTCAAATTTGGCCTGACGTGGAGAATTGCTAGTAGTCGCGCGAGGACGCCCCTCATCCCCAAACAACTCCTAGACTTCGGGGACAAACGACTTCTATATTCATCAAGAACGGCCGCCCTCCAAACGTTCTCGCTGGCCAGTTATGCCCCCACCGACAGCAGCTGATTCGTGGCTCACTGCACGCCGCTTCGGTATCGTCATAGATGCAGGCTCGTCCGGCTCGCGTCTGCAAATCTACAGCTGGAGAGACCCGCGCGTTGCGAGAGATGAAGGGGGGCAGAAGGTGGCCTATAACCTCCCAAAGGTTGAGAAGGGAACCCAGGATGCAGACGAATGGGTAAGTAAAGTGGAACCCGGTGCGTGACCTCTCGCCACACCAAATGGTTAAAGTATATTGACCCATTCTATGCACACACCCACATAATATGTAGGCCTCTCTTCATTTGCTGAGAACCCCGATGGGGTAGCATCCTATCTCAGGCCGCTGCTCGAACACGCACGTTCTCATATCCCGCCGTCACTTCACTCCGAGACGCCCCTCTTTCTCCTCGCCACTGCGGGCATGCGTCTCCTTTCACCGGAGCATCAGGCTTCTGTACTGCAGTCAACATGTCAATTTCTAAAATTTCACTCCGAATTTCGCATTGACGACCCGTCTGTCGTGGGTCCTTGTGGCTCAAGCGTTCGCATCATCACGGGAGAGGAGGAGGGACTGTTTGGATGGATTGCGGTCAACTACCTGATGGATGGCTTCGGTCGTTCCGACGATGATCGCACTACCTATGGCTTCCTTGACATGGGAGGTGCCTCGACTCAGATCGCATTCGAACCTAGCCCAGAGGAGCGGGAGAAGGCCGGTAATCTCATAGACGTGCGACTACGGCTGCTCGGAGGAGAGGAGATTCGCCATTCGGTCTTTGTCACTACCTGGCTTGGATACGGCACAAACCAGGCCCGCGAACGATATGTTGCGCAAGCTATCGACGCCTATGAAATGACGAGACCCACTCCGTCACACGGCGAACCTTCTGACGTTGAACTCATTGAGGATCCTTGTCTTCCGAAGGACCTGACACTGACAGAACAGCCAATCCACGTCGGTCCTTCCACTTCTCACACCCGCAAACCTCACACTCTGGTTGGCACTGGCTCGTTCAGTCAGTGCCTGAGCGAAGTTACCCCATTGCTCAACAAGACGGTTCCTTGTCCCGATTCTCCGTGCTTGTTCAATGGCGTCCACGTTCCTCCTATCGACTTCTCTGTCTCACATTTCATAGGAGTCTCCGAGTATTGGTACTCCTCCGAGCATATTTTTGGCTTGGGTGGAGCATACGACTTCGTCCAATACGAGCGGGCCGCCCAGGAGTACTGTGGCAAACCTTGGTCAGAGGTTCTGCGAATGCACGAGGAGTCGAAGGAGAAGGGACATCTTGGGGGTGACGGAGAGGTACAAGAGAAGGGAGAGGTCGTCGGCTTGGACAAGTGGGGTGACAAGGTTGAGATCTCGCGGCTTGAGATGCAATGTTTCAAAGCCGCGTGGATCGTTAACGTCCTCCACGATGGTCTCGGCATGCCTCGCATCGTAGATCCTGGTGGCAATCACTCGACACACGGTGACGATCTGAAGAAGCAGGCGGAACAGAAGGGCTTAGGGCGGCCGACTTTCCAGTCCATGGACACAGTCGGCGACATTGCGATAAGCTGGACACTTGGCAAGATGGTGCTCGAGGCAAGCAGAGAGGTGCCGCCTCTATTTGTGGACGACAAACCGATTGTCGACCCGATAGAAGACATCCCTGATCTTGACCACTCCCTTATTCAACCCATACGCCCGCCTTTCATCGATGTGATTGAGGACCACCTATCGCCCCATCTCCCGCCATCTCTCACTCGAGAGTCGTTAGGTTTCTCGCTCATCGGATTCTTGTTTTATCTTATCATCGTTCTCTTCGTCCTCTCCGTGGCGTACCGCCTCCGGCATCATCTCCGAGTCTGCTTAGGTCGTTTATCACGATTGTCTCACAAACGAGACCACGATCTGACGGCCTATTCGCTCGAGGAGGGGCAGTTCTTGAACGGGAACGGCAAGTACCCTTCACCCTACTCCTCTCGCCCGTCCTCGCCCACGTCGCGTAAATGGCTCCGTTCCTTACGGAAATATAATCCTTTCTGGCGTAGTCGGCCACCGACGCTCAATACGACGTGGTCGAGGCCGCCTGTTCGACACATGCAAACGTCGCCTGCGGGCTTCTCTCCATCGCGCGGCATGACATACCCTCCAGCTACTCCGCCCAACGGCTACACGGTGCAAGGTCCAAATTCGGTGACACCTTCGCCCACGACGGCCACATTCAACGACGTCTTTTCGAAGCCGAACAGCGATGGTATGGGGGTCGCTTCGCTCTCGTCCTACTCTCGATCGCGTAACTCTTCCACCATCAGCCTCTCGACGCTCGTTCCTCGTGGCACCATCTCTCGGACAGCTAGCGCAATGCATCTGAATGGTATGGCTCGTGATGACTAAAATAGGTATCGTTTATGATTGTTAGCATCTCCTCTTACTTATACCGCGTTACACTGTACGACCTCATGTCCCTTACTTTTTCCCCACATGTCTTAGACTTTCCATGGTCACCTTCGCCTTGTGCTATATTCTTTTACCTTACGTTTTCACGACTGTTCACTATCACTCACGCGGATTTTCTGCGGAGCAGTCTGCTATGGATTCTGAATGTTCTCATATGGATACTTACCCTTGATTTATCTATAACATATGCTCCACGCAACGCAGTAGATATGTTTCATTGACTCTGACCCCACCCTACAGTCCATGCATATTTATACACAATTTTTTCTTTTCCGACGACGTGATATTGAACCCTTCGACCGGGCAAAAACTTGATGCGCTAGAGGTTGCGAGCAGATCAAGCCCAACCTCGGTGTCAAAGATAGCTCAATGGCCAAAAAGGAGTTTTGTGAGCACACAAGGCCCTCGTTCTGAGCAAAATGCGGCCAGGGCGTCTACACGCTATATCCAAACATACGCCACGAGTGGCATCTGTGCGTCTGAAAACTCTCATTCATGCTTCATCTTTACACCGAGGAACAAAGAACGAACAACCGTTCTGAGGAAGAGCAGGAATATGCATATGCAGCACTGGCCGTACAAAGCACAGCACCCGTTCGAACGATTCCATACGTGTTGTTTCGACCTCCATGAAGTTTGCGTGTCCTAATGCGAATGGTGAATGTAAAGTCACCGACGACACGGCTGCTCTCGAGGACGCATTCGTGCCTTCGCAAGTCTGATAGCGACCCGCGTTCATAATGAAAAGCATGCGCTTCACTCTGGATCTATCAGATACGAACGGTTCTGGTCCTTGGGAGTTGACACAGCCTGGCGAATGGGATGGGCTTCCACCCAGCGTCTCATCGGGCACGGGCACGGGCACGGTGGGCTCCAACTACTTCCAACTACCGCCATCCGAAGAGTAGATAACGAAAGCGATGGCCTAACCCGCTCAATGGCTCTGTCAAATCCAGAAGCTCAGGCTCAAGCTCCACCCGCAGGCTTCATCTCGTCAATCCGCCCACGCAGAAGCTAGGGACAGGATATGGCCTTCCGAGGATTGCTGGAGCGAGTCGGTTTCGAGTTTCGTTCACGGTGTGTAGCACATGGGCCCGAAGTCTTGATGATCGTTTCGTGAGAGAGAGGTTCTCAGGAGATGCCATAGGTGTCAGGGAGAGTCTGTACCGTTTGTAGGTTGAGATTGCCGTAACGTCAAGATTGGAGAGGTAGGATTTGGAAAGTATGGTTAGAATGGCTCGGTCTCGTATACGGCGATAACTCGAGGGTGTGTGGTTGGTAGGTGGAAGGGTCTTTACCAAGATCCTCTGGCCAAGACTCCAGATTCGCGGTACCCCGGTATGTTGCTAGGGAAGTGAGATGAGCGCACAAGGATTGTGACAAGGTGCATGAAAAATTGCAGGTCACGAGGTGTATATTCTTGCCACAGCGTACAATCGATCCTCCACCATCTTGAGCCCTCGTACACCACACCGTCTGCCGAGAAGCCACCAACGTGTTCCAAGATAAACCATACAAGGCTCGCTGTTCTTGACAATCACTCATGGAAGACTGAGCGCGCCGCACTAGCACGCGGCCCGTATTGCGTATGACCACAAGCTACGCAATAGAAAACGTACCGTCATGACATTATGCAGCAATCGTACAACGAGTTCGAATAGGAAGCAACTATTGACGAGCGGGACGGAGCGTCTGCTTCGACCGCGTCCGACTGAGGACCTGCGGCTGAGATATGGCGGCTGCAGTCCCCGAGCTTCGCTCTGGGCCCAATCCCCTCGTCCGGCGACCCAGCTCTCGAATGTGCCGCACCGTCTTGACCATGTCAGTCTCTTCTGCATCCTCAGCAGCCAGCTCGTGCAACGACTCCTCTTCTGCTGGATCGAGTAGCTCGACCGACCGTCGTTTTCCATGGCGCCAGAGCAATAGCTGCAGGAGCGCTTCATGTTGGAGGACCAGCATGCAATAATCAAGCTTGTCGTTCTCATGCAGGTCTCTGTACTTGGGCAATCGCTGGGGCGGTGAATCGTTCTAGAGTAACATTAAGTTGAGAAGTATAGTTAAGAGTGGCAAGGGGCAACTCACAGAATCACTGTTGGACACAGAGGTGATAGATGTAGTCGCCTGGGATAGAGTTTGGGGGAGGTCAGGCTATGCGGCAGACATTTAGCAACATAGCGTCGCAAATCCTGGAAGTTGACTGACCTCTAGGTCGTCTGGAAGGTCGGAGAGAACGGATGAGGCCCTTGACGATGGATTACGAACTGTCGCACTATCGCTTGCAGCCTCCTGCAGAACGTATGTTAGCTGCCGCTCAGCAAGCTGACAAAACTAGCAGAGTTTACCGCAAATACATCGCCATCATCTTTGTCGCCAGAGCTGGTATCCGTTTCCTGAACGTTCGTACCTTGAGGCATGAGCCAGCGCCGCAAGACTTTCCCCAGCTGGTCAAATTCTTTGGCACTGAGGTCACCGATTCCACCAGACTGGGTGCGCAGATTTTGACGCGACTTCTGGTTCATGAAGTCCTTGTGGCGTTGACGTGCTGGTTCATACACGTCATCGATAATGGCGCGCATGACAGGTTTGACGTAGGCAAACTGTTCTCGGATTCCGAGCTCACAGAACGAATTGGGAGAAGGAGGTGATTCAGCGGGGGCGGGGCTTTCTTCGTGGTCAATATCCACTGTTGGGCCGTCCCCTTCCACGTCATCCTCGTTCAAGTCCGTATTGCTTTCGAACTGGCCGAGCTATTTCGATCGTCAAATCTTGAGGTTCGATTGCACAACCAACTGCCACATACCTTGCACGTAAAGAATTCGTTCTGGTCCTGACTATAAAACATGTCCCTATCGGCCAGGAGCTCGATGTCGTCCATAAATTTGATCTTGTATTTCGGCCTCCGTTGTCGTTCAGTCGGGCCGACGTACTCCAAAATCTTGGCTGGCCAGTATTCTGTTGTAGCGGTGTGTTCTCTCTTTACTCGCGCGAATACAAGCTCCCTCCCGATAAGGAAGCTGGGATCAGGCCCAAAGTCTGCAATTCATCGATTAGCCATAGAAGCTGAGGTAGTATTAGGACATACCTTTGACTGGGGATCGAGAGGCGGAGACAGAGTCCTGGCTCGAGGTATGTGGCACAGGTTGACTGCTCGGAAGACTAGTAGAGACAAAACAAGGAAGACCATCATTTTCTGCCTCGTCTGCCTCGACCATCAGGTCAAGAGCGATCTGGAAGCGGTCTTGGAGGGCGGTCTTCGGCTTCTTGGCCGGCGGTCCCCGCTCACCACTAAGATCGCGAAAAGTAGAGGAAGTGAAGCGCGGGTGGCCTTGAACTGTCATGGAGAGGATAGTGCTTTCATTGGGTCTCCCAATAATCATATCCTCGGCAGGATGGGATGGTGTAAACCGGATAAGTCGTACGCGTGTTGGCCCCTTATTTAAACTTCCACTGCGAAGCTGCGCAACGTTATTAACTCGGGATATCACGACACAACGTTGATATCCTTACCTCCGCAGGCCACCAGTAAGTCTCAGTCTCATCAGTTCCGGCAACATCTCCATGTCCATTGACCTTCACCCACACCAGTTCCCCGCTGATGTTGGCTAGAATGTCCCGCCGTTCCCGTTCGGTAATTGTGGGGCGTGTCATCGATGTGGGTGCGAGTTGAGGCGAAAGCATATCCACAAATTCGATGCTATCACTAGAGGTGTTTCCGGAGAATGTGCGAGATAATGATGCAGCTTTCATCACGGAGGACTTCGGTGTGGGTCGCGAGCGACGTGGTGGTGTGTCTGGTTCAGGAGAACTGGAGACTTGACGCTTGATGGCTTGTCGCGCATTATTTGCGGCTGAGCGTCCAGTTCGGACGAAGTTACTTGTTTCTGGAGACGATATAGTGGGTGCCATGAGTTGCACGCGACGAGAACGAGGAAGCCAGAATGCCTGTTTTGTGTCAAGATGGTATGCAGCAAGAACAACCGGTACCCCGCGGGAGTATTTCGCGCAATACGCGTCTGTCACGCGTCTGTCACGCGTTTACTCACGCCCCGGGCCGTGACCCGAAGACGCGCTTGTGGCTGTTTGTGGCCCTTGTTGACTGGAACGCTTTGATATCATCTCCCTGACTTGCCAAAACGCGCGGTGGACTCAGGTTGCGTCAATGCTACTTTCCGACTGCATCGTTCATGATGGAACGACGAGGTAAGTTTTCCCACTAATGATATTGCTTTCGCTGAGCAGAAACGTCCATGGGACTTCTGCACGTGCAGGGTATATTATCGTCAAAATGTACAACACAAGCCCTTCATTGACCCCAGAACCCAAAATGAAGACGACACCATCGACAGGAATTACCACGCCAGGACAAGAAACGCAACTCCAGCAAATACAGGCAGCGCCGCCAACGTTGACACCACATCCCTCGATGCGCCACTTGTGTTGGCTTCAGTCGCACTAGCAGAAGCAGAACTGCCCGTCACGGAGACTGACGACCCGGATGCGGTCTTCGAGGCGATGGTATTCGAGGAACCTGCGGCTGGGGTCGAAGACCCGGCAGCGGTCGCGCCCTCAACGATGAAGCCGCTGATGGTTTCCGACTCGACCATGGTGGTGGAGAAGGCGGCATCGATGACGGTACAGACGGCGATTCCATCGGAGAACGTGCAGGACTCGCCAATTTGATCCGAGATGCCCTCCTCGCTGATGTCCATTGTGACGAAAGCGTCGTTCGCGCCCTCAACAAGGGTTGCTGGATGGAGGTAAAGTGGGTCTGAATTAGCCCCATTCATTGTACAAGGAACATCCCAAACTGACCTGTAGCAGGGAAGCTGCCGTCGGTAGCATCAGGGGCTTGGACGATCACGTAAGTTGTCCGACCGTCGTCGCCAACTCCGGCGATGCTGGCGCTGAGCTCTTGAGAGTCAAAACCAGGAATGTATAGTGATTCATCGGCAACGACGACTGATCAATCCAGTTATGTTAGCGTCCATGAGGTTTACCACAGGTCATGAATATGCGTACTTTTGGCAAGAATCGCACAAGCCAGGAGGGTGTTGAAGCGGAAGGAAGTCATGAGTCAAGTTGGTTCCGAAAAAAGAATGCTGCAAGAGAGTGTGAAGAAAAAAAGACAGACTGCACTGTTGGTAGTAGCGGAGACGCGAGTTGGTGATGCGGTCAGTGGATCCTCGGTGCACTTTATACTCTGGCTGATCGCTATTATACTGTGTGCAATCGGCCGGAGTTTGTTGGCTAGGCTATGGTCGGTTATGCTTGGCGTGTCCCTGATGAGCACAGGTTTGCTAGTAATCGACGTTGATTTGCGTGCCTCGAGATATATTCCCTTGGCAATCGGGCACCTTGGCAGCAAGTTCGAGTTCGCCGCACAAATGTGGAGAGCAACTCGGACCTCGCCATACCATTTCTTCGTCACTTCACCCTGATAGTGGCATATATATACTCCAATTGTTTTCAACAAAGTTCTATCTAACGTGCTCCCTCAAAAGTGGTAGGAAATCTGGCGACTTTTAGATACCATGTGGCTGATTTTCTGTGTTCCTGATCACGCCGTGATATATTTAGCGCCCAGTAAGACACTCGGTGCCGCCGGCGATACAAGGCCGACAAGACCTGAGGCCTGCCTTGTAGCCAGGATGACTCTGAACCATTCTCTGCGTGCGACCGACATAAGGACAGTTGACTTGACCCTCTTCGTCATGTTGGGTGGACATATCCCCCAGTAGATTGTGCCTGTACATGACGATGTTAGCCACTAACTCATATATGTGGTTCTTCACTTCACTTTACATCTGACCTTTGCACTGTCGCTCAGTCTGCTCCTCGTTTATAGCCTCACGGCGAGCTTCAAAGATATTCGGGACAGGCTGCAAGCCACGGGAATGACTCTGCTGACTACTTTCGTTCGAACACTCGTCGACGATCCCTCAGCTCCTGCCGCGAATGTCAAGGCTGTCTTTCGCGTAGGATCATATGAGATGTTCCCGAGGTTCTTAGGCTGTTGAGGTGAGTCAACGCGGCCTGACGACCATCGTGATATCATACATATTCACTGCTTCATCTCTCTCGCTCTCATTAGGTTAGACAACCATGAAATTCCCTGTCAGTGCCATGTCCAGAAGAACTTTGGACGGTCATTCGAAGGGCAGATACTTCGGCTCGGTTGTGTGTCTGTGCACGCTTCCCGTATAGAGCTATGCGAGTTCTCTGCCCCATGTCAACGGTTGTCGTTTTTCTCCATGGTTCGGGACGTTCATGAACGCTATGATTAGTCTCCCGTGGATGGAAGGTATCAGGATGGAACCGCTGAATATCATGATCTTAGGGTGTCTACGGCGTTCCGCAACGCGACCGACCTGATTCCAGCGTTCCTCTTGTACACCAGACCTCCGTCGTTCCGTGTTTCGTCGTCCACGTCCTCAGATAGAGCTTCCGAGTTGTCGACCACTACGCACGGAACTCCCGCGCGCTCCTTCGTTCGCTCGCACGTTTGGGTCTTTTATCCGATGTTTTCTTGCAGGTGACCGTATCCTTTACCTTTCACTCTGCCATGATTTATCCTCGTGTTTTGTATACGACCAGAACTCGCATGCGGAGAACCAGTTGTTCCGCATATGTATGAGGCTTCTTGTCCTCGGAATTGATCACACGAGTTTATCGACATCCTTCGCTCGTTGTTCCTCGGGCTTCACGGTACTGGGCGCTAATAACAGAAGGTTTGGGATACGTCTTGTACGGTGACTTGGAATGGCCTACACTCTGCGCCCACAAATAAGATTATATACTTATTCGAGAGGGAATTGACCTGCCAGAGGTTCGGAACTCAATACGTGGTGTGTACATATAAATCTTCGCCCCTCTATCCCACTAGGAATGACGATTCTTGCAGACTGATTCCTCATGCTGTATTCATCTCGTTAACGGCACATAAATCTACACATACGCCCGACCACTTTGCATGAGAGATTCCATGACGCAGTTATCACATTGCTCCAGCAAGATCATTGCCACAACAAAAGCTACGGAGCCGACCTCTCCAACTCGGTTCCACGCGACATGACCATCTCACGCACCTACCATCCGCCGTCCGAGCTTTAAATGAAAAGATTTACGTTACGCAAAATGTCCGAGGGGTACCTACATAGATCACTGGTGAGAACGAACAGGACCCGACTGCTCGCGCCGCCCCTCTCCCAGTGGCGCAAGGGATGCCGTAAAGTAAGTTCGAACCTGGGAACGCCTGCACACCGCCGCGCGTATCATATATCAACGTGCGCTCGCACTCGGAAATGGGATAGCTCCCGCCTCAGCTTCCCTCAATCGAGCCCTCTTCGTCTGAACGCCAACCTATATATACATCACAGTGCCGCCGACACCGTCATCGGTTCATCCTCTTTGCTGCCATCAGTGTGAATGGGGGAACTTCGTACTTTATACGAACGTGTAGTACCGCCCGGTTACCAGTATCGAGGATCGGATGCATGCATGATTATAATAACTTAGGGGTGTGGCATACGACCAATGGGTGGTCTGAATATAGACTTGGACATAGCAGTGGTACTGGGAAGTACGCATGATGTGGGATCCGTGGTTCTGAGAAAAAGGTCGACGTGCCGTACCTACATATCACCGACATGTCTATATTCTACTTCCGTTACTACCGGCCTTACCCCACACGGAACAGATGTTAATTGACCATGGTAGTAGGAAACCGTGACTGCCTTTTGAGGTGACATGTCTCAATCGGTCGTGTGGTCGCAACTGTCTCTATTTTCTTGGTTCATATCCCTACAGGGAGGCTCGTGCAAGGCCAGCCGAGATTTCAAGTCGGTCGCGCCCAAATATGACCATCTTGGAGTATGATCTTCGTCGCACGCAGGTCAAACAAAGGTCGATCACACTCAATACAAGACAAAGAATTAAACCAAGCTACGAATGAGCAATAGCATTTGTTCTGATCATAAAGTACCGTAGGTTCTACAAAGACAGACATTCGAACGCAAAACAATTGAGAGCCCAAGTTAGCTATGAGTCGGAGACAGACGAGACGGACGGACAACGAACCAAGCAGAAAACAAGACGAGATGAGCAGTGCGGTTCAGTTACTAATATACACAACACACGTCGCATTGATTCGACGGCAAAGAGACAAGAGCGAGGAGAACAGAGTAAGGTTCGGCGACACTGAAGGGGTCGAAGCCATCAATAGCTCTGAATCGAACGACTATATGGTACACAAAAAAGAAGAAGAGGGATGCCAGCCAAGGTAGGACCCGTAAGACAACACAGCGAACAACAGAAGAACCGGGAGACAAAACACAGAAGAAACCGAGGCGATTCCAGTGGGTCAGTGAGTATTCTCGACGCGCACGCCAAGCTGCCCCGGGAGATCCTCGACGCCGCAAACACAAGAATACCACCACCAAACGGTCATCCTTCCGTCCAATCTCCCCCACCTCCCCACTCACCGCCACCACCCACTACCATGGTATCTCATGTTACTAGATGGAGTAGACTGGTGAGGTGTGGATAGTATGATTGTTTTGCGAGCCCTACGACGAGGGTGAAGTCTGGAAAGCCGCATTCAGCCCATGCTGCGTGATCTCGCTCATGGGACCCGAGGAAAGCCTCGAAGGGCTATTCTGTCCAGACGCAGCGGGCGAGAGTCCCAGAGACATAGACGGCGTGATGAACCCGCTGCCACCGGCACCATAGACGAACCCGCCGCTGAGTCCCTCCATGGGATTCGCGTAGCCTATTCAGTCGAACAAAGCTTAAGGTCAATACCACTTCATGTCCGTCAAAGAGAAGGCCAGGAGATGAAAAAGAAGTTCAAGCGGTGAAAGAGCGCGAATGTGGAGAGGGTTAAATGATGACAACGAGCACACGACGCTCAAGAGCGGGAAGCCATTTGATGAAAGGACGTGTGAAAGTCAAGAAAGCAAAATGAAAGGAACCCGGAAAAGTTGGGGGGAAGGCGAAAGGTCATGAACGCACCAGGAACGAGCACGTTATCCCAGAACCCTCCGCTGAGAATATGGTCCATCGACAACCCTGCCAGCTCCCCATCCGTCGAACTCCTCGACGCCATCGTCGGTGGGAACACCGAAAGATCTGCGACGGGTCCCATCTCGCCCGTGAACTGGAAGTCAGGCAGCGTGAACGCTGACTCTCCATGTGCACTTCCGCCCTGGTTCCCACCACCGAACCCAAGCCCATTAGCGAGCTCGCTGTCATGCATGTTGTTGTTGGCGGCTCTGTTGTGAGAATTGTGGCTGTGCGATTGGTCGAGAGAGGACTGTTGTTGCTGTTGCTGTGGTTGGGCGTCGGGGTCGGTGCGAGCGGAGATGAGTGCGCGAAGGAAGATAGCGTAGAGTGCGGGGGTGTGCGTGGGTCCTGCAGCGACGTTATCAAAAGTGTCTGCGACGGCTTTGACTAGGCTAATGGTATCTGGCTCGTTCTCCGGTGACGAGAGAAATTCCGGCCGCATCAACTGCTCAAAATGATACAACGCGTATAGTCAGCCGAGTAATCGATTCTATAGGTGATCTTGCCGTACCTTCAGCAAACTCAGCACGGCATACGACCCAAACACGAAGTGCGAGTCGGGCGAAAATCGCAGATAATTCCTAGGGCCCAACTCATCCCTGATAATGATTGCACATGTCTTCGCGCACGTATGGACCCTCGTGAAGAAATGCTGCTTGTTCACGGGCGAGCGCTCAAGGGCGTTCTGCAGACCGAAGGAGTTGATGACGAGCATCGCGTAGTTCGCGTAGAAAGACGACATCATCGACGCGTACTGATCCGCCGGATCAGAACTCGCTGAACCTCCTGAGAAAGTAGGACAAAAGCGTCAATCGTCGGGTTGTGCATGGAAAGACGAAGGATGTAAAAGGGAAGCGACTTACTGTGGATATCGCCTTCCCAGATTTGGGCATACCAACCTTGGATCTGACGTTCCATAGTTTTGATAACAAGCAGATAGTCGCAGTGTACCAACAGCCCCGAAGGAGTGTCGGTATCCGAGTACAGCTGCTCAAGACTCCGTGACACTATGCGTTGCAGCTCCTAGAAAACCCAAGCATCTGTCAGCGGCAAGTAACCTAACATCACAAGCGAAATAAACTGACCACATAGGCCGCCAACGCGAAATCGCCCTTCGTAGCGAGCGGCGATTGAATCCAGGACAGTGCGTTGCGTATGATGGCACTGTTGCGCGGCGACGTCAGCGAAACGCCACAAGCTCAAAAAAGGAAACCTAGGAAAGCGAAAGAGGAAGTGGCGCTCGCCAACTTACTCTTCCTTTATCGAGAACGGCTTCCCCATCTGGGCACCAACGCTCCGGTCCAGACAAAAACAGAGTAACCACGTTCGCTCCCGATTATGCACCTCCTTGTCGCGCGCCTTGCCCGCCTCTGTCTCCGGCACTGCCACAGCCGTCTTACGGTGCAAGTTCAAGTCGACCGCCATCCTGAATCGCCGACCGAAGGTTCGTTCCATGCAAGAACAACGGGCCGGCAACAGCAGATAAAGAGGAACAAGGAAGGTCAGCCGATCCGGATACGCCGGAGAGTAGATCATCAAAGTATAATCACCGGATCGCCATCCCAAGAAGCATCCACGTCTTATCCTGCTCGTAGCGCTCGACCGGTCCACAACCCCACATCGCAAGGATGAGGTAGGCTTGGACTATCTCGACGGACTTGTAGCCTTGCGCAGGGACATTGAACGCGAGTTTCTTCGAGAGGTCGGTTAGCTTGCCATGAAGTTCTGGGCGTTGACTATAGAACTTGGAGGAGACGGCGCAGACTGTGGAGTGAGAGTAATGGAGACGGGTAGAAACATTTTTGGGTCAGAACGAGGAAGGAAAATTCCTAAATAGTAAGCGAGACTCACTGGTGGTGAGCAGGAATGGTGATCGCGAGCAGACCAGCGATGGTGTATGGAATTCGCGGTCCAATAGATTGCAATGCATCTAGAACATCGTTTTAGTACGGAGAGCATCAAAGCAGCCGAAGCTCTTGAACTAACATGCAGTTGGTTGAAGTAGCTAGTTAATTGATAAAAATTCAGACCCCGTTCATCCGCGGAGGAGCGACAAAGAATAGCTCACATGTCAAACAAAGCGACTACCTCCTCCGTAGACACAAACGTCAACATCTCAGGCTGAATTTGCCGTTCAATGAACAACCTTCGCAGAGGTAAAATGTTCATGGGTCCTAAATAAAGGCTGAATGTTAGCGCGGTGGGCACCACAATGAGCGTATGACCTCCATACCTGGTTTAAAATACGCATCGCTTGCCACACCCATAGCCTTCGGCGGATCTCCTCCAGATCCAGGTGATGGCTGCGCAGGGTGAGCTACCTGAGCCCTTCGATTAGCCAAACTTGCCTCGGCCAAGAGACCCAAAGGGTTGAGGCTGTTGTCGGGAAGGGAATGCAGCTTGGGAGAACTGGGCGGATTTTGTGAGCGGTGCTGGTAATATGTCGGCGAAGGCGACTCAGTCTGAGACATCAAAGCCTGAGTCGCGTCCAACTGAGCCGAGGGCGATGGTGAACGCGAAATCATCCCAGAAACAATACTAGGATTTCCTATGGACTTGAGCACCGTGTCGAGCGTGCGCTCCATTTTGCGCAGCGAACGAGTGAGAATCTCATGCTTTCTAGTACTATCACTGAGCCATTCATTTAGCGACTCTGAGAGCGCAAGTATGAACTCACTTGGACGACCGTTTCCCCCTGTTCGACTCCTCGAAAATGCACTCGTGATTTCCCGCCTGACAGCGCTTGCATGGCGGGCCCTGTTCAGCCCCGACACATTTCATCTTCAACCGTCGGCAGACTGTGCATGCTCTAGTAATGCATTGTCAGGGGAAACAAGTGTATGATTAAGCATGAGTTAGCTACCTCGAGCCGCGAGTGGGCTTTGTCTTGGGTTCGCCAGGTTTAGCGCCGTTCGAAGGTCCCGCCTCAGGCTCCTCGTCCTTCCGTGGGCGCTTCCTGCCCTCGGCGTCGGTGGTGCTGGCAGATGAAGGCCGCTTGTGTGGGCCAGGGAAGGACATCTGCTCGGTGGGCGGAGTGCTGATACTTTCTGAAGCCTGTGACGATGGAGAGGAGAGGCTAGGGGCTAGGGATAGTTGCTGGGGGTGCTGGTGCTGAGAGTGGTGCTGCTGCTGGTACTGCTGAGGGTAGTAGTTGTTGGGCGAATAAAGCGCGAGTTGGGGGTCGATCGGGATGTTGGGCGACGGAGGGGGCTGCATGGACTGGGGTACGTGCTGTTCGTGGTGAAGAAGCTGGATGTGTTGCTGGTTGTATGAATGTTGGTGTTGAGACATTTGTTGCTCGTGGGGGAGGTAATACTGGGAGAAGATAGGAGGATCAGTCGGCATGACATACATCTGGACGGATGTGGGAATTGGAGGGGCTCTGACCAGGGGTGCGCTGTGAGGCAGCCTCTTGGGTTATAAACGAGGCAGGGGCCCCATTGTGGATAAGGATGTAGCAAGAAGAAACGATCCAACTCACGTGCGGCGCTTCCTTCGAGACCTAATTCTGAGCTCTGTTCGGCGTCTGGCGGCTCCCACGGACGTGTTTTTACTGTTGAGAACGTCTGGTCAAGAAAAGGCTGGAGAGCAGGGCGAACACCGGGGCGTTGGAGGGCGTGGTGTCAGCAATACAGGCCGAAGAAGCAAGGGGTGGGCAGAGTGTGAGTCTGTCGAGATGGACAATCGGGCACGAAGAGTCACAGCTGCGAGCGAGCACAAGGCGAGGACAAGCAAGGGCAGAAGGCAAGACAGCTGAGAAACCGTCCATCGCGTCGCGTTCAGACCCCCACAGCTCCCCGCGCTTGGTCATATCCAACGACACCTGGTGGCCCGACGCCACACTCCCCTTTGTCCTCGACCACCACCATCCTCGAGCTCTCCCTGGCCACGCAGACGACCGTCGTTCACTGGATGTACTATCTCGCGTGGCGAACGAGCCATTAATACTGCCTTACACCGTGTCTTCGGAGTATTCAGATCCATTCTTAGTCCATCTCTGGGAGTCGTTTGAAGCTCAGGTACACCCAGCTACCTTGCCATCGGGGTGCTCGACTTGTCTCTCCATCCTATCTTCATTCCTAGGGATCCACAACGTCTGTTTGACACGGCTGCGTCCGAGCCCGCCCCGCTGGAAACGTCTTCCACTCTTTGCTCGCGGCAGCGAACTGCATCCAACACATCGTTATCAGCCCGTATTTTTTCATGCTCCGTACTCTTCCACCGACATTGCTCGTCTTGTGAACATCGAACACGACTTTCGCCATATTCTCGAGTTCCCCCTCCTCCGCATTTCCCTCGCTTGCTTCATCTCCTCACGACTACCACTCTCTCCACGTTGCTCCTTCCACACACATTGTCTGCTACCGCTTTGCTGGTTCAGCAGGGCGCACAGAGCGTCTTCTACTCATAGCGATCCAGCAGCTAATCCCACTGGCTGGCCGGGTCGGGTCCAATCAGCTTCTTTCTCCAGCTCTCTTTTCTGTATGGGCGTCTTTGGGAGCCCACTAGTGCCTTCTATCTACCAGCCAGTTTATTTTTCTTCAGTCGTTCTGCGGTGATACTGATCTGCAATCTGACGCATCGAGTTCTCGGTGTTTAACGCTCCGGCCTTGACCGAGTCAATCGTCAGAATAGTTTGTTCTGGTGAGATCGGGTCGCCAGGATTTTCCTCTGTTTGACACATCTCTTATCTTGCCATATATCCAGACCTGCAGAATGAACACATCACTTACGTCGTACATTTGATCCCGACGACGTCGGCGGGGCCATTTTCCAGGAATTATGCAGCCTTCTCCTCAGTCAAGGTAACTTTCTACTATCGTCTCGTGACAATTATCCAGAGGCGCTGACGCTCTTTGAATATTTTCTGCGACAGTACCACCTCTGACAGAGGCTTTTTTCTTCGCTTCTGCCACAAAGGAAGCCAATCAAACCCACCCGTCGTTGTGCGAGGGATTGACACGAACCGAACCGCTCATAGCAAGCTCTCAGAATCGTTCGTCGGTCATCTATCATCGTCGCATGGAGGGGTCGTCCGTGAGACGGTGCAGATAAGGCATAGTACCCCTTGACAACGTGTTTCTCTCTGTCTATGTCGCATCCGAAATACAGCTCTCTAAATGGCTCTTTCCTGGTGTCTCGCATCCACGGCAGTCACGTAAACATTAAACTTCGACATACACCGCAACGCTCCTCAACTTCTACCTCGAAGAAACACTCGACTGCGCTGGTATGCGCTCCTCTTTTTGTCAAGAGCCCCCACCTCAGATCTTTGTACGATCTTTGGCGCTCTCGTAACTTACAGCCGTCGGGGCTTTTTTTTCTGAGTATTTTTCTGATGAAGCACCTTGACCGAGGACGTAACAGCCAATCAGCATCGCAGAGCCTCAGCCTTCTTGATTGGCTGTTCAGTCGTATACACTCAGGTTCGCCACTATCCTACATACGTATCTCGCTTATGTAGAGCGCTGACTGGCCTCTACATATCATGAAGGAACGCCTCGTTATCAACCTTGGACGGCCTTTCACCCTCCGTGCCCGTGGAAAGACTCTCCGAGGACACATGGCGCGCATACGCAGTGACCCTGGTGGAATAAGCGTCTCCTTTGGAAGCCGAGTTTCAGAGAACGCGAACAAGATGTATCGAAGAAGCCATGACTGCGCGAAGGCAGTGCCTGTAAATTACTGGCAGGCGACAGACAACGTTATGTATTATGGCCTAAACATTGCGCTTCCACACTCTCCAACTGAGGATTCTTCTCAGTGCTTACCTTAGCTTTGAGGATTCTAGTGCTCTCTAACTGCTACGTCTCTGTGCTTGATGACCATTGGACGACGGACGGCCGTCCTCCACGTCTTCGTCTTCGTCATTCGGTCGTCCCATCTAGAGCCTCTGCGTCGCGCCTCCAACATAATTCAAACATAGCACAGACTGACGACGTACGTAGTTGTGAGTTGTCGCAAAAGTGCTTGGCGGTCCCGAGGTCAGACCTATATGCTTTCTCTATGCATTCTCTGACGCTCCAGCCTTTCAAGGCCATCTAAAAGTGTCTGTCTCTTCAAACCGCGGGATATTCGTATCTACGAAGAATCTCCTCCAACGCCATCCAAACTCACTCCCTCTCTCTCCACCCTCCTGCCACGCTCTCTCGGACGGCGGCTGATCAAAACCTGACGCTTCTTCCTATGATCTATACACTCGCATGGCACCTCGGGACTCGACCCAAGACGCAACTCGGTCTCGGACTGAATGCAGAAAACGCAGCAGCACCCTAGCCACAGCTCTCGAGGCGACCCACTCGCTCGGAGCGCTGATTCCTCGTTCTGTCGTTTCTAGCGTCCTTCCAATCCACCGATACCGCACGGCGTTCGCCGTGTGGCAGGCGAGTTTTACTCCCCGGAACAAGCTCAGCGGCTCTCAGGACTTCCCATCGGTCGTACCATGTGCTCGAGGGCAGGGTTCTTCGATAACGTGTCTGAGTCTCTACCAGGAGCTTCGAAAAGTTCGCAGTCAGAGCGTGAGCGCTGATGATTGACCGAGTGAGTACCTGCATACTCTCTTTTGGTACTCCACCTTTTTTCCCTTTTCCTTTCTCTTGGAGCTGGCAGACCTGTTGACGTACGTGAGTAAAACTGCGGCACCGGGAGGGCATATGACGCAGCCATCGTTCATCGTCCTCTAGACTCACACTAACGTGTACGACTCGCAGGACTTCGTTCTCGTTCCTTGGAGCCCTAGAGTCCACTGGCAATGCATGACTTATTTTCGATACTATTGCATCATCACAGGAGAACATCTCGAAACAGCTCTGGCCTCGCCTAATTTTTCCGTTCGAGGACTGCAATGATATGGCGCCCAGGTGTAACTCTGTAATCTGGGCTTGACTTGGCGGGGCGTTCAGCGCTCAGGGGCCGATATCTATGCTAGGTGAGCCTATTTTCAGATCTGGATATCTATCGCTCGGGCTGTGCTCAAACTCAAGCTTTCACTATAGTCTCAAATGGCCGAGAGTCTCTTTTCACCTTTGTCGCTCAATTGATTCAATTAATCCTCCATGCGCAGTCTGGAGAAGGAGAAGTAAACCCCGTCCGCCGACTCTGCCTGGATAGAGATGATCACCGAAACCACATTTCATGTACGTTCCGCTCTCGCTTTGAATCTTAGTTTCAAGGGCACTAACGGACCGTGATCCTCAACCTACTGTCAGCGGCCCGTGGACGATTCGCCGTTCGGAGCCTGTGTCACAGCACTTAGTCTATCTCCAACTCTGAGCTGCGACTACGTCTTACACACGGTAACGATATCACGACGATCTCAGGACCCCATCCTTGTGCGCTGTGGTTCAGCTTTCCCAGGTTCAGGCTCACAATAGGGCTCGTCATACACACGCCGATTGGTCCATTTTCTGCCCGAGGGGTAGGGGTGGATGGATGGAGTAGATGGACGTCCTGACTTGCCATGGAAGCCACAAAGCCCCACTCCGCGACCCACCCTGGCACTGATTAGATCATGCCTTCTTTATCTATCTATGCCCTTGAAGATGGTCATCAGGGAGCGGCCTACGGTTTCGGGGTAGACGGATATCGTTACGTCGTGCAAGTTATTTCGCGTTCTCCGTTCTGGTTGGCCGGGTGGGAGATGGTATGTTCGTAAGATGGCTCAAGTTTAGATGTTATTCCCTCTGTGGATGGTCTGCGGCTGTTGCTTGATGTACGTAGATGCTTCGCCGCTCGTCGGACGCCAAGAGCTGACTAGGACTCTGTCTAAGGAACCGAGGGCCGTTCGGTTGATGTTCTCTTTATGGTCTCCGAACGATCTATTTTGGTTTCCTGCCATTGAGCTTAGTAAAGGCTGTCGTGGTGTAACATATTCTATGCATGCCTTTCTGGCCACTCAGAGTTTGCATCACCACAACCCTGTTACCGTGGATTATTTATGGAGCGTTCTGCTCAGCGTTTAGGCCAGTCTGAGTCTCAAACAAAAGAGGAGTGCTAGGTGGTATTATGACTCCGTTTGTTCTCTCAACTGAATAACCAAAAACGTCCAGTTCACCGGCCGCGGCACCGCTGTTTTTACCCCCATCTCTGCCATTTGCCGACTCGGAATCGTCTCAAAGTCTCATTCTACTCACTCACGGCGAAACCCAGCGGAAGCACAATCGATCCCATTCCTCCACAGTAATGGTACTCTGTTTCCCAGTTCACGCCGACCTTCAACGTCCATCAATATATCAGGACGAACAGCTTAAATGTTAATGTTAAGTCGACACCTTCATCGCACACTCTTTTGGTGAGCTTTGTCGGAGGATGCCTGAAGTTCTCACAAAATAATTACAATAGGACCAAGCGTGTACAATTTTACCTGAGGCCTTTGATGGCGAAAGGTCCCATGAGACGTCCATTCTTATTTTCTGCATCCGTCGTTACTGATATTCGGGATCGGACTCGGAGGCTCATGACCTATGTGGGTACAAGTGGGCTTAGATTTGGCTTAGATGATGTGGGAGAATAGATGGATTTGGCTTGTACATCGATGTATGCGGGTTCCCAGTGGTACGCTGTCATATCTGAAGGTCGTCCATCTATTCTTGGACTCTGATACGCTTCATAGGGGCTTCCCAGTTCGTTGGGCTCGTTCTGATGATAGACGGTAGTGATTCAGAGGCAGATAGCCCTGAGTGGTGGATGATCCGACGAAGTGACTGGGGGTGCAGTGAGTGTACATGTGGGGACTGAGGTGCTTCGTCGCGATTGCTTTGAGTGCTGAGTTGCCGCACCTTTCGCGTTCGTGTTTTTCTCATGAACATCCTTCTTCCCTGCTTAGGTTGGTATTCCGCTTTCTATTTTGAACTCCGCCGTGATAGTACCTAATCATGATCATCCACGTCAACGAAGGCGCAATGCAATAAATATTAGCTTTCGATAGCTTGCTAGCGTTGCTCATTCTCTTCTGAATGATGGAACACAAGAAAATCTCATGTTGGGCCTTGATGACCGAGGTGAAGACGAGTATCAATAGACACCCATCTTCGACACCGATCTTCGACACCGCCGCCCAATCTACTCTTCCGCTGTATAGTCGTGGCCGCGGCATGCCTCTCAGTCTCCGAACATCGTCTTCGTCATAGAGATAGAGAAGAAACGTGGTCTCATCCTACAGGTTGCTGAACGCATATGCTCTTCACGCGTATGATCAGTCCGAATGGCACCACAACTTGCCCGCGTTGGCTCTAAATGGCGCTCATGCTTACTCCCTAAATTTGTAAGACCCTTCCTCGAAGTGTCCACCGTGGAATCCCGGGTGGTATGGCCCTGCCTGAGCAACTTGAGCAATTTTAAACCACTGTAGAATTAGCCCATGACCTTCGGACCCGCGACGCCGACTTCGAGCCCGAAGACGTATGAATCGAGAGATGTACAGTTATGTTCAGCAATTAGTCAACAGGAGATGAAGTATGAAGTAAAATGGTTCATGAGACTCGGCATGGTATCCTCTACTAAGTATTCGGACTTTGTAATCGCTGAGTTGGAAGTGATGACCAGCACAGGGTCCGAAACTCTTAAGCTATCAAGCTTCAAACGTCGACCTTCGATGATGAGGCACTTCAAACGCAAGCACTGGGGTTCCTGAGCAACTTGACTGTACTTGAGCTTCGACGCCTTCGAGAAAGAGTAGGCCAAGCGAAGGAAGGAGTCAGGTACAACTGCCGGGCTATTTGGATGGAACTCGAGATGACTTCATGCTACACAAAATAGGACACTGAACACCGTTAGGAAGGACGAGAAAAAATAAACACTCTACATGCAAATTTATTCAACGGTTGTGCGGGCCTTTCCTATATTTTTCCTCGCTATGAGCCCTCAGAGCTAAGTATGGGATCGCCGGGCAAGGTGCATGCAACCCCAGAATCAGTCGGTTCTAGCATAACAAACGCCAGGGCCGTCCTGAGCAACCCTCGCGTCATTCTTCTTGGAAGTCAACCTTCAGGGAATGAACGAAGGAAAGGAAACATTTTTGCTCGCTGCTCCGAGCACAGAACCAATAGTCAGAAGTGAGGGACTGGGGCGAGCGTCGGAGCCGCAGCAAGACGCATGCGAGAGCAATTCAATAGCCAGTCCAGCTTGGCGTACGAAGCAACTGACCAGGGGCTGCAAAAGCGAGTACTCTGTGGGGGTAACACGAACACATGTCCACTAACAAAGACGTGGCCTCACCCTCTTTGTCAATTAGAGTTTTCCACGGTATTAATTGCCGAGCCTAGTAACGCACTGCCTGCTGGTGAAAATGGCTCCTGATCATGATTGGCCTTTGATAAGGGGCGTGTCGTTGCTTCCTTTCATCGAGGACGAAGAGTATACAATCTCCGATACGATCGAGGTGCATATACGGAGTAGGAACCCGATGCAATGTCACCGGTCAATTATGGAGGACGAACTACTGCCAATATAGTACTGTAAGGCTTGTTACAGTGGTACTGATACCTAAATCCTAATCCATGGACGAGGGACCAACTCCATTATATCAAAGTCGATCTGAGGGTCAGCCCTTCCTGTCCGACGTATGGTGAAGTCATGCAATGACAGCGTTTGTTGCACACAACAAACATCGGATACGAGTGCCGAAACAGATACACGTAGGTGCGGTCTCAATTAACGGTCTGCGAAGAGGCTTTCCATCATGGTCATCTGTGATAGACAAACCCGAGGGCAAGATTCCAGACGAGGAGGCCGCGGCAAGTGGTAAATAAGTATGCCGTCCATAGAAACACGAAGAACTGTTGAACGCGCAGTCAAGAAGACAAGGGAAAGCCCTGCCAAGGAGAATGAAGCATGACTTAGCCTTACTCGACTGTAGAGAAGCCCCTGTTCATCGAACGATCCTAAATCCCGGCCGAGCGGTAATGCGGTAATGTCGTCCTTATAAAGATATCGTATGACGGAGTGACTGAATGGTATGATTCATGTGGTGCCCGTTCATCACCGACACCGGAACGAGTGTCGTATACCTCTACAAGGGCGGATGGTCACTGGGCGGCATTCAACTTGAAAGCATTGTGGCTTGTGTTTTGATCATTCGTTGGAATGACCATCATGATTCAACGCACTAGATGATGGCAGCCCGATAAATATCGCAAAGACATACGGACGAGCAGTCCGAGGGAAAATAAAGACAGACAGGACGAACTAGATTGATATGTCGCGGTAGGCGAGTGCAAATATTTTGATCACGAGGCATAGAAGTTAGAAAGTCTAAGGCCCGGGATCGTGATGTCTACCTTTCGTCTCCATATCGAGGCTGCTCGGTTCCGTTGGGAGCGCCACGAAGCCCTCAGTGGTTCGGATCGACACTCGGGAGATACCGTGGCCAGTATCCAAGGTAAGTTGAGAGTGACTCAGAAAAGAAATCTGATGCAACAGTAAATTCTGCTAGCACAATCAACGACTAACACGATATTATATGTCAGCTTAGATGGAACTGAGAGTCAAAATGAGACTACGAAGAGGCCCAGAGTGCTCTCTGTATCATGGTCTTTGAACTGACCACGGTGAGTCGGAGTCGTAATTCTCCCGCTCTGACAGGGGTCAGTCAAATATGCGCTCGACTTACCAGACGTACTTACTAGCTAAAATGCAGACATTCACAAAGAGAACGTCATGCTTATCTCCGAGGTCGGTATTCTGATGAGAATAGTTAGCCGCCGCATGGAGGGAAAAGAGTAAGAAGAACCAACACTAACTGTGATGCCCGCAGATAGCTGTACACCGCTGCACACTCTATCGTGGTTGCAGTGAGTCCTGGGTTTCAAAATAATTTCTTGGCAGAATCCATTAGGGGACAAGGAAGAGTAATGACTTGGCAGGTGATAGTACGTCTGGGTCGCTCGACGAGGATAGTTGTGGCAGCTGTTGTTCGTCAGGCCGTGATAGGTGGAGCCCAAGTCTTCTCACCTTCATGATTGGGTAGAGGCTGAGCTCACGATTGGAAGGAAAGGCGAAGGGACGGTCCATGTATGAGCCAGAGGCCAATAAGCATTGACCACCCAAGAAAGGCTCCGGGATTCCGCGGTCATCTCTTGGGAGAAGAAGAGGACAGAAATCTTGAAGAATAGTCGACAGATACCGATGATGCCAGATGCTTGTGAGACGTTCGCGTAATATCGAGAATTGCTGTGGATGGAGGTGAACCTGGTACAGGTGCCGTTTTATCCTTGTTATTTTCGCAATATGCACGAGTGCAATTAATTGGAAAGTAACGATCACATCAGGTGAGGATTGTCTTTTTTTTTTGACTTGTTGGCAAACATTCTGGACATGGCAATCCTCATGCAAGCGGTGATGCAAGGTCACTGCCCGGTCATGATGAATCGGTGAGAATCAGTAGTAGAATACACACATAACTGAGGTTCGTGCACGGCGTCTGGACTCATACTCTTGTCCATCAATATATCGTACATTTATCACGTTACAGGCTCGAAAGACGTCCTCGGTTTTGCATTTGCGCTAAAGCTACCGGTGGAAGTACAGCAAAGTATATATATGAGTCAGAAATTGTGGAAAAACTGATGAAGAAAGATCAGAACGACCTCACCAAGCATCGTGTATACTGGATGGCCAAGGTTCAGTTCACCCTACTGAGATTCAGGGACCCATACACCTGTTAGGCCCTCCTTATCCCTGCCGTAGAAAGGGTCCATGTCCGGCACCGATACCTCAATCTGCCCGCCTTCTCCTCCGTAATTCATATCCCACTGTTTCCCACCTCTTGGATACGATCCAACAGTGCTTAAACCTCCGTCATCTTTGAGACACCGATGGGCGACACCACTCGGGATTATGATCACATCCCCTTCGGAGACCTCGAGAACGACCTTGTTCCTTTGCTCCAGTTCTGTGTCCTGATCGGACATCCCAAACTGCAGCTGAGCCTTCCCCTTGTAAACCCCCATCACCTCATGCGTAGTTGAATGATAATGGGATTGATATGACATTCCGCCCCTGTGTTGCTCGTCCCAGCGGTGCTTTGCGAAATGAGCAGAGATAGCATCTGGTGAGGTTCCAGCGGAAAAAGCTGACTGATAATATATCAAAGGATAGACGCTATTGGGGACAAGTTTCGTGGGCTTCAGATGAAATAATTTGGCCATGACGCAGGGGGTCCAGTCAAGGCTCTGCTAGCAAGAGATTTGATGGACGAGGCTGAGGGAACGGTGAGAAGCGGGGTTACAAATATGGCCGAAAATGGAAATGCTTCCTTTGAGCCGCGAGCGCTTGGCTGTGACATCGCGCTCGACGTTTCCCTACGTTTCCCCACTGCCGCCATCATCCTCCACGCCCTCCTCACCCTCCTCGCCACCGTCATTGACGATGAGCACGAATCAAAGACCATCGCTGGTGCTTGCGCCATCCATTAACACAACTAGGCAAGAGCGATTTACGCGCCCATGACACACTTGATCGCTGACGTGCGCGTTCGTTGAACTTCCTAGAGTTGTGACAACTACTACAACGACGACGACCTACGCTCCCATTACCTTACCTCCATTACCTCCTCCAGCATTGCCAAAGGACCCCCAGAAGTATCCGTTGCTCAATGCAGACCTCCCTAAGTCGCTTCGCCAATTTCCTCTCGTGTTTCCGAACGGTGCACGTGCTACCTTCCACGACTCCGATCTGGCTGAGGACTCGATGACTGAAGACGAAGAGTTTGTCGGCGGCAAGGGCTGGAGAATGGTGAAACATGATGAGCGGGTTAACCAGCAGAAGGTAGTAGGCCTTACAGACGCGGTGGAGAGGTATGGCAGGAAGCGGTCTTACTCGAGCGAGAACATGATGGAAGGCGTGGAATCAACATTAGAGGTCGCTGCAAGCACTCCTCCCCGCAAGAAGGCCAAGGCAGCTCCTTTGACCCAGATATCCACAGCGAACGGCGCTGCACCTCCATCGCCCTTACCGTCCCCGCATGGCTCCCCACAACCGCAGAATATATGGCCTTCAGCACCTCCCAGCGGCGCCTCTTCTCCTCAACCTTCTCAGCTTCCCATTCAACCAGATTCTTCGCTTGCCACTCTCATGTCTCTACCTTCCCTCGTCTCCCATTTCTCAGGTCTACCTCCTCCACTTCAGTCGCATCTCCTCGTGACTCTACTCCGACATTCACCGCTCCCGGTCCTGCGGAACGTGCATACTGTTTTGACGCCTATTCTCGCCCGCGACTTCCTCACACTACTTCCCCCAGAGCTCGTCTCCCATATACTCAGTTTCCTTCCCTTCCAATACATCGCGCGCGCTTCGCGTGTCTCCAAGGCATGGCGTGAAACTATCGACACTGACCCTATCCTATGGCGAGACCTTCTGAAGAACCAGAGGCTTTGGTTTGGAGGCGAATCAGAATCCTCCTTTGCCGCAGCGTTACTTCGCAGAAGAAACCGTCTTGGCTTACCTGGTCCGAACAGTCTACCTCTTCCCAGCCCCTACAAAGTCCTCTTCAAGTCACGATATCTCACTCATTCGCAATGGATCACCAACCAGGACCCTAAACACATCACGTTTACTGCTCATGGTCGCTCCGTCGTTACGTGTCTACTATTCTCGCAAGGACGCATCATCTCCGCGTCTGACGACCATTCTATCCATGTATACTCTCCAACAACCGGTCAACTTATTCGCTCGCTCGTCGGCCATGAAGGCGGTGTATGGGCGCTTGCTGCAACCAAAGATATGCTCGTCAGCGGCTCCACGGACCGTACAGTTCGAATATGGGACCTGTCCACCGGCCGCTGCACCCATGTATTCGGGGGCCACACTTCGACAGTTCGCTGCCTTGCCATCGTCAAGCCCGAATGGGTGGATGTGGAGGACGATCATGGGCTATTGAGGAAGGAGAAGTGGCCAAAGCGATCGTTAATCGTGACTGGCAGTAGGGATCATTCGTTGCGCGTCTGGATGCTACCTAAGCCCGGCGAGATGGAGTATAGGTGTTGCGGTGCTGACGATACGGACGTCGACCCTGCGGATGTACGTGCTAACAATCTGTTTCATGTCTACATAACAACTGACGCTAGGCTTGCACTTGTAGGAGGATGTTGATGAGAACCCTTACCACAAGTTACATCTCGAGGGGCATGACCACGCCGTTCGTGCTCTTGCAGCACGGGGACGTACACTCGTCTCTGGCAGCTATGACTCGACGGTTCGTGTATGGGATATCATAACGGGCAACTGCAAGTGGGTCCTGGTGGGCCACACGCAGAAAGGTGTGTTCCATCCTTTATAGAACATGTTTACATCTTCTCATGCCTGGCACCTGGATTACTGTAGTCTACAGCGTCGTCCTAGACTCGGCTCGCAATCAAGCGTGTTCGGGTTCAATGGATAGCACCGTCCGTGTCTGGAATCTTCAAACGGGCGAATGCCAACACACCTTGACAGGACACGCTTCTTTGGTCGGCCTTCTTGGCCTTTCCCCGTCGTATCTTGTATCTGCGGCCGCCGACTCTACTCTCCGCATCTGGGACCCCGACAGTGGTGAGCTTCGAAATACGCTAGCCGCTCACACGGGCGCTATCACCTGCTTCCAGCACGACGAGTTCAAGGTGCTGAGCGGTTCTGACGGTACTTTGAAGATGTGGGACGTCCGTGATGGATCGATTGTGCGGGATCTTTTGACGGGAATCATCGGTGTTTGGCAGGTGGTCTTTGAGGGACGGTGGTGCGTCGCTGCCTCCAATAGGCAAGATGCGACAGTGTTAGATGTTTGGGACTTCGGTAATGGAGAAGATGATGACGACTGGGTGGGCGAACCTGCAGGAGGTATATATGACGAGGATGAGACAGAAGACGAAGAAGACGAAGATGAAGATATGGAGCAAGCCGACGTTGATGCCATGGATCAGGATTTGGAAGTAGCGCCTTCGGAGGCTGAGATGGGCGATGGAGAGGAGGAATACGGCATGGACAATGATGGCTACGTTGAGGAAGAAGTGGGGGATGAACTTCCTACCGCTGCTACTGTTGGACGGTCAGACCGCACCTGGGATGATCACGCAGCACGTCGTTCAGCCTCAGGCTCCGGAGCGTCTTCCTACCAGCATCATTCCAGGTCTTCCAGGTCGCCGCCATACGCTTCTGGCAGCGGGAGCAATCGTCGATCTGGTACGACATCTACAAACTCGCTCATGACAAGAATGTCCAGAGCTGGAGTCCACACCCAGGGCATGATGGTCGGTCCACTAGGACGTGCTGGTGCAAGCTCCAGTTCCGGAGCTGCTGCCGGTCCATCATCATCTACACGAGCAAGGCCGTTGCCTACGAACGATGAAACGCCCACGCGTCCTAGGATTAGGCCGGCAGGCAGTCGTAAACGCTAGTCTTGATTACTTCACTCCCATCTCTCTTTTCTTTGTTCTTCGTGCTATATATTGTATCTCCTTTCACTCTACATCACTCATCCATCCATCTCATCCCCTATCTCAGCGTCTACGCTCTCACTACACGGTCTCAATCGTCTCGTCATAATGACTCTATCCATTCACCACAGTTGTACATTCTTGTTACCCCCTCATGCATCGTCGTAGCTATTATTCTCTCATGTTTTGAAGTTCATGGTTTTGTTTGCGGCTTCGCAATCAAGTCTTTTTTTTGATTCTATGGCACCATTTTGCGCTATCCTTGCACGGAATCCATAGGTCTCTCGGAACACACATTGCTGTAATTTTCCAATCGTTCTCCACTCATGTCTTCAGCACGGAACTCACATCCGACGGGCTCCGTCATTACCATATGCTTGCCTGTCCAGAGGTTGGTCCAAAACAACTCATAGCAAGTACAATAAATATATTACAAAGCACGGCCTAGCGGTCAAGCAAGCCTGATCCATCCGTTTCACACGCCGGTACTCGAAATAAATAGCAATTCGACTGACCGCCGTGTTCGAGGTAAGACAGACTAAGGGATGTAGATCCTGGAGAACCCCTCCACGCTGAAAGGAAGTGAGCCTCGTCAGTGGCAGCTCAAAGGGACGGGGTTGACGACGGTACTCACGGTTGTCTGCAGCAAGGACAAGAATGTTCCGAAGGAGCGAAGCGAGAGGCAAGGTTCTCCCTACACTCGTTGCAAAGAGCTAGACATCTGCTCCACAAACAAATCATAAACAACTCATACTCGAGCCACTGACATGAACGAGACTTACCGACAAGGCCAGCAAATAATCTGCCTTTCCTCCACCGTGCAGATGACACAGTACCGCCTGCGTTCATCGTCGCTATCGTCCCTCGGAGGGCCGGCTGCTACTCGCATATCATCTACGAACTCATTCCAGTTCCTATCTTCCACCTCCACAGTACTCTCTCTAGCAGCGTGAATAATGTCTGTGGTAGGCGGGAACACCACACTCTGATACCGTCTCCGCGTCAATGGCGAGCCTCCCTCACTGGTGACGTGCGCCAGTAAATGGGGCGTTATCCCGGTGGAGGAAGACAGGTCTGCATAGAGACCTGCGGTCTCCGAACCAGGCTCGGTAGGTCCTTCCTCGTCCTCAGAAGACGAAAAGTCCGGCGGTACAGAGCCTCGCGGAACGTACTCTTCGTCTTCGTCGTCCGAAAGCATTTCTCCGGCCAGAAATCTCCCATAGTCCTCATCTTCGAATATCTCCTCTTCGTCAGAGCCGTCCACTGAAACAGGTGTGATATCCTGGGCATCTTCCCCTCTGGCGCGTGTGTACCTGCGTGGACTTCCGTCCCCAAACGCAGCTCCCATAACCCGTCCCCAAACCTTCCTCGCGATCCTCCCGAACGCACCAACCCACTCCCTTCCTAACCTCCCAAACTCCCTCCTTAAACCCCAATAAACCCAAAACCTCGTCGTGACCCCATCAGCCCCACTCCCAACTCTACTGTTACTCTTCCTCCCGGCTCTGACCGCCCTTACCTCATTCTCAAACCCAACCTTTCTACTTCTCACCCTTACCTGGCCCTCCTGCGTCCGTGCCATCAACCTTGTATGGCTGACTAGAGTCGCCCCAGCTCTACTCAGAGATACTTCTCCGTATTCGGTCGCAGGAGGGGCGGCGAGTGCGGAAAAGCGGGAGCGGGAACGCGGTTTAGAGGGTGAGAGGTTGACGGACCCGACTTCGTTACCAAGACCTTCCATGGCTGTGATTTCGACACAGGCTTTTCCGAGTCGGAGGAGTACGACACCGAAATCTTCCTCCCAGTATCTTCCGCCTCCGTCGCCCATGACGTCCCTTCGCCCAAAAAGCCCCCATCTACGGACCTCGCCTTCTAACAACAGCTGCGTGATCGCGTTCAATCCGAACGCCATGACCGTCACGCCGAGCAGCATGCTCTCGAATACGCAGGATGTGTAGTTGATAAGCGGATAGTTTGAGGAAGTGAAGAATATCACAGTGTTGAAGTGAAGGAGGGTCAGGAGAGTGAAGACCGTGGTTGGAACGAGCCGGTGCGAGGACAGACGGGGCGAAATGCCGAGTGCGTGTATTGTGGTGAGTTGAAGGAGTGGAAGTAGAATAGATATGATGACGTGCATGTCCGGCCGGGAGGGGAGGTTCTCGAGTTTGATCGTATGCGTGAGTGGTGAGGAGTAAAGATGTAGAAGAAATGCGTAGCCTAACTACGGAAACCAAACGTCAGTTTCTTCAGTCAGAGGAAGTTATGCAAAGGACGTACAAGATTGAACGGCGAGTTTCCATCTGCGCCGAGCCCCTCTAGCCCCCTGGTCAGAGAGCTAACGCCCAGCGTGGCACAAACAGCGCAGAAGGTGTCCCAGCAGATGTGTTGCATCTCCCGTTGAGCACCCCAATCATCAAGAGCCTGCACCCATTCCCATTGACTGTCACTGGGGAACCAGCCGGAGGTCTGCAGTAAGATGATGCTCCAGAGAAATATTGAGCGCCCCAAAAGTAGGAGGGTGGGTATACGGAACACGAAACGCGAGAGTTTGGAGGAAAGATCGACGGGGAATATTAATGACCTGAGAGAACGAAGGATCGACATGGGATTACGGAAGTTGATGCGAGAGGAGTGATGTGGTCTGTGTAGAGACGGACGATTTTGCGAGGGAACGACGATATGTTGTATCCGGTTGACCAGAAGTGCCTAGATGTGCATGAGTCAGCTATAGATCCATATGTGAGTACATCGTGCTGAAAGTGGCAGTATATCTGGATTCGTAAGGTATCCGCGTAGGTGTGGGTGAACACATTGTAGCCAATTACGGCCGTGCAGATAGACCGGAAATAAATTGGTTCCGTACGAAGGGGCAAGAGAGATACGACATGGCATCTGGTAGCAAGATGTTAAAGCTGCAAATGTATGGCAGGATATGTTCCAAAACGCGCGATTTACGACCATCATCTGTCAGGCGGCTGATGAATGTGGCCTGATGACAAGGGGTAACTGAGAGCACACGAAAGCCAAAGCCCTCTAACCCTTAATACGAGTATCCAGGCAACCAAATGAGGATATTGTTGGGACATGGTGATTTTTGAGAGACGACAGATATGTGTGGGTTGTACTGCTGGCGACACCTGGGTTCACCAACAGATTTGAAAGCCATCTCGATTTCGTACCCAACAACAGTCGTGTAGGCAAGTTTCGAGACATTCCAAGAACTACTTACCATGATAAATAGACTGATGACATACCCCGACGCAAGGAAGGCCCAAGGGTGACCTGGAGGATGCATGTACGTGCCGGGATCGGCACCAGCGGCCACCTGCCTCTCAACCCGGGCGCGAGAGAGCTCTTCCTGAAGACGTATAGTCTGTTCTGTATTAATTTGTTCCAGACGACGAAGGTTATGAATAATGCGAGAGGGCAATGCGGTCAAGAGGGAGCCAAGTGACAGATTGAACGAGATGTTAAATGAGTAATTGGCAGGGATTGAGCTGGACGTGTTGAGTGCAGAGAGTGCAGTAGCCGACGTTGTCGCAAGCAAAGAAGCAACACTCATGACGGTGAGATAGAGGGCCTTGGGCCTTCGTTGTCGTTGGCGTCGATGGTGATGATGGTGGAAAGCGGAAGAGGGGTGTGGATGTGTGGGGTATGGGATGCGGGGTATACTAGTGCGTGTTTGTGGCCCAGTTTGCAGGCACTTGCTTCCGTCCCTGATGTTTGCCCTTGGTCGGGCTGTCCGCTCATGTCTCCCTGTCCTGACAGTAAATCACTCCTCACCGTCACGAACGGTGTTCACGACAGCTCACTTACACCCATCCATTCGCCAGCTCGCTACTGAGCTTGCACACAACCAGCCATGTTTTTCCGTGTCGGCACGGAATGTACGCGTTCTCTTCCAACCTGTGGACTTCTATAGCACTCTTCTGGTACGTTGAAGTTCATCACATAGATCTAGGATGGCGTTGACGCGTAGCAGGATATGATACGTCGCGCCAAAAAGCGCATATTTATCTCGTCGCTTTATATCGGGTCTGAAGAAACCGAACTAGTCAGTACCTCGACGACTTCTTATTCCCGAGTGTATACACAGACTGAACTTGATGCTGCATCAGCACAGATTCAAACTTTGCACTCATCACTCTCGTCAAATCCTTCTCTTCAACTGCACCTCGTCCTTGACTTGAACCGATCGACACGACCGGGTCCGGCGTCCACGACTACTCTCCTTCGCCCTCTTTTGGAATCATTCCCGGCTCGCGTTCATGTCAGTTTGTTCAGGAGTCCAAAGCTGAAAGGCATGATGGCGAAGATCGTGCCCCCTAGGTTCAACGAAGGCTGGGGTACATGGCACGCGAAAGTATATGGTGCAGATGACGACGTCATGATCAGTGGGTGAGTGAGTGTTCGGTCTCTCTCTTTTCTCCGCTTTTGTCTGTGGACATCATGCCCCAAGTAGCCTCTGACCGCTGTGCTAAAATATTGTTTTGATCACCGTAGTGCCAACTTGAACAAGTCGTACTTCACGGACCGACAAGACCGCTACATTCAATTCACTGCGTCTCCCTCCCTCGCCAACTACTGCTTCGACTTCCTGCAAACGGTATCTCAATTCTCGTATCATCTGCTGCCACATAAGCCACCACCTTCTGTCTCTGGCGTCACAGGGCAGGTTAATCCTTTGGAAGTATCTTGGTCGGACCCAGACACCCATCCGCATCATATCGAGAACAAAGCCTCAACCCTTCTGTCTAAATTTCAAGCTTCGCATCTCTCAGCACCTATCGATCTTGAGTCATCGGATACATCTACGCTCGCAACTAGTTCCTCGTCGAGGGATGTCACAACAAAACCTGCCGATCTAGACGACGAAGTCTACGTCTTTCCCGTCATTCAGGCCGGCCAATTCAACATTCGGGAAGAAGAACGAGCTCTCAAGCTCCTTTACAGCCGTATATCTTCTTCGCCTCCTTCATTGACTCCGACTGCAAACGTTCCCACGGAAACAGAGGACAAGGACAAAACTGAGCGTCCGCTGGTGAATTTAACGAGCGGATATTTCGGCTTGTACGAGCCGTATCAAGATCTCATATTGAGCTCCGATGTCGACACTAGAATCGTTTGTGCTGCACCCAAGGTAGGCTCACCATCTGAATCGTGTACGCCGTTGTTTTACTAAAAGATGCTCACTCGCGTGACGGACCGTTCTGCTCTGCAGGCAAATGGCTTCTTCGGATCCTCAGGGATTTCAGGACGGATACCCGAAGGTTACACTTTACTCGAACAACGCTTCATGAGGGCTGTTCGAGCATCTGGCCGTTCCTGGGTCCCGTCTTCATCACATCTACCGTCAACGTCAAATACAAAAGACAAGAGGGGTGCTACTGTATCGGATATGGCAGCGCAAGGCGAGGGCAAAGGAGTCGAGCTGACTGAATGGCATAAAGAAGGCTGGACGTATCACGCCAAAGGTTCGCCTTTTTGTCCTTCATCTTCCTGCGTATGCGCGCATTGTAACTATCCCTGAAATCTCATCGTCCATGGTTATAGGTATCTGGCTCTCACCTACGCAAACATCACCACCCATCCTCACACTGTTCGGATCGACGAACCTCAACTCTCGCTCGGCAAACCTCGACACGGAATTATCTTTCCTCATGCTCACTTCCTCGCCGAAACTGAGAGAAGCGCTGGCGAAAGAAGTGAAGGGTTTGCGGAAGGATGGGGCCAGGTGGAAGGGTGCTGCTCCTGGAGAGGCAGAGAAAGGTGGCGACGATGGCGGTGGGAGGAAGGTTAGGTTTGGGACGAGGGTGTTGGTGTGGTTGGTTGGCGGTATGTTGTGATTGACTGAGCCCTCTCTTCGTCTTAGATGCGCATCCCACGGTTTTAGAGGTATAGATATACTAAAGCTACGCTCTGATAATTATGATCATCGTTCAGACTGACATGAATGTGAGAAAGACTACTCCGGAGAAACCTCATTCAACCTCCGGTCCAGATGATCGCACCGCACGGTCGCCGTTCTGTTGTTTAAGCACAAAAGACTTTACGTGGAGACATAGCCTACGGAGAATGGCAGTGGTGCGCCAACGACAGTGAACTGATGAAATTTCCCTCTTCAAGACCTCTGCAACAAGGGGTGTCCACTAACATCCACGAACACTTTCAACGTTTGACGTTGGTCTATCATGTCGCGCGAAACGAGTTGTTCATGGTGCAATGTCTCGGTAATAACAATGATGCTAGGCTCTGATTTGTGCTGGATGCTTGAGCCCCTTTGTACACGGTCTCACATATTCGTAGCATCAGGAGCAGATTGGTGGTGGAGTGATTAAGTAAACAATTTCAGTAACGTTGACCGACCTCGAACGGAGGTCTTCACGTAGCAGTGAGTTCTGGGTTCCTTGCACACACTCGGGGGACCTCGTATGATGGAAGGCCTTCTGAAACTGAGACAAAGACTACATATCTAGAATATAGACGGCAGCTGTTTACTCATCCGCATCAGCTTGCGGTGGCACCTCAACGCTTGAAGTAGATGTTACAGCCGTACTCCCTTTTGGCACGGAGTTGGCCGCGATGTTTCCTCCAGCCCGCATTCCCTTCGCCGTCTTCTGCTTCGCGCGGCCGTCGGCACCAACCTGAGTTTTCGTGGCACCAGGACGAGCGTCGACATACTCGAATTTACGTGTATCGAGCGTGAAGGTCACAGGGCCCTGGAGTAGAGCGGCGGGCAAGTGCATCATTCATTCAGTGTTGAGTTGAAGATGCCAAGCACTCGAAGCACAGCGGGAAGGTGTTGAGGCAGAACCATGGGCGCACCTCGTTTGTAAGTGAGACGTTCATCATAGCTCCAAACTTTCCGTCTGACAGGAAACAGAACGACAAAAGGAGTCTCTCGTGAGCGTGCGCAGGAATTGTTGACGGAGAAAGGCATATCCCAGGAGAGAAAACAGAAAACGAAGAGCAGGAAGGCACAAGGGACTTCCCGAGACGAACCTTTTATCTTGTCTGGAGTGTAGGCCTCGCGCATCTTGCCCAGAAATACTGAATATAGCTCACTCGAAGATTCGGATCCCTGGAAAGCCAATAGAAGCGTGATCATGAAAATTTCACCAGGTGTAAAAACTCGACAAACCATGGCACGATGGAAATCAGGCTTACTCCCTTTGCTCGTGGATGCCATGAGTGTAAACTGCGAGACGCAGAGAACCTCTCCGCCAATATCCTTCACGCTTGCTTTCCACATGTTAGTGGCCGATGGGTCGGAGAATATTCGAAGCGAGAGTCTTCATAGACCCAATCGAAGTGAACAGCAAATCCGTAAGTCAGTACCCAAGGAAGTGGGAGACGCAAATCGCGAGACGAGCGCCGAGGCGCGTACTCAAGGTACACACATCTTTTTGGTCAGAAGCTCTGCATCGGAAGCAGTATCATCTGCGCTACATTTAAGCAACATCGAATGAGGTCCTTTCCTCCACTGGATGACGCCTGGCTTTACAGACCTGTACCGATACCCACAAGAACCATCAGTCCTCGAGAAATATGGGAAATCGTTTCACCATCGACTACAGAATGCAGGTGAGATCGAGTACATAGTTTGGGCGATAACGTTCGCACCTGTGACCGATGCACTGAGAACGCGTTGAACAACGGCTCGCATCGAGGAATTAAAGATGAGAAGGGGCGATGTATTTTGGGAACAGTACTAGTGCGTTCCTCAAAACAAGTCTCCTTGGGCATGTGGCTTCCACGTGGACGTTCTTACTTTCCTTATTGAGAGGATCGTGTAGTTAAAGGAGCTCTACGGTCGGTGAAAAAATGCATCTATAATTGCTACACGTCATCGCCGCGAATATTGAATGGTGAACGCGGTTGAATAGGTCTCTTTGGCCGCGGATATGCCACCCACTCTTGTGATACTGACCAATAGCGAGCTAGAGGTACCAGATGGGCTAGGCAAGCACATCCGAGTCCTTGGACGAAGCTTGGTTAAAGCTCGCCCGTTTACGGGCCGCAATGGAACGCACCGGTGACTGGCACTTCCCAAGTAGAGAAACATATCCGGAAAGTTTACATCTAATACAAACACTCGCAGTGTACATGTAAGAGGCCGGCCTACTAGTAGCCTGAGGACTTCCACCCTTATCGCGATAATTACAACAGAACAAGTTCATAGGGACATGGACCCTACACGATTCTGGTTGGCATGATTGGACGTCTGAACAATTACCTAGTATCTTCCACGCCCTCTTCGTCGTCTGTGTCATCCTTTTCATAAACGTCACCCAGAGGTTCTCCTATCCAATTCTCGTCGTCTATTCCATTTCCAAAGTCCCAGATATCTAGCCTTGTCGTATCTTGACCATTGGAGGCAGCGACGCACCACCGCCCCTCGAAGACCACCTGCCAAACACCGATGAGTCCAGTCAAAAGATCCCGCACAATCGATCCATCACGGACGTCCCACATCTTCAGACTACCGTCAGAACCGCTCAGGACCTTGAACTCGTCGTGCTGGAAGCAGGTGATAGCGCCCGTGTGAGCCGCCAACGTGTTTCGAAGCTCGCCACTGTCGGGGTCCCAGATACGGAGAGTAGAGTCGGCAGCAGCGGATACAAGATACGATGGAGAAAGGCCAAGAAGGCCGACCAAAGAAGCGTGTCCTGTCAAGGTGTGTTGGCATTCGCCCGTTTGAAGATTCCAGACACGGACGGTGCTATCCATTGAGCCCGAACACGCTTGATTGCGAGCCGAGTCTAGGACGACGCTGTAGACTACAGTAGTCCAGGTGGGCATGAGAAGATGTAAACATGTTCTATAAAGAATGTAACACACCTTTCTGCGTGTGGCCCACCAGGACCCACTTGCAGTTGCCCGTTATGATATCCCATACACGAACCGTCGAATCATAGCTGCCAGAGACGAGTGTACGTCCCCGTGCTGCAAGAGCACGAACGGCGTGGTCATGCCCCTCCAGATGTAACTTGTGGTAAGGGTTCTCATCAACATCCTCCTACAAGTGCAAGCCTGGCGTCAGTATTGCTATGTGGAGATGAAACAAAGACGTACATTTGTGGGGCCAGCATCCGTATCGTCGAAAACACGACATCTATACTCCATCTCGCCGGGTCTAGGTAGCATCCACACGCGTAACGAATGGTCCCGACTGCCAGAGACGATCAACGGCCGATTTGGCCACTTCTCCTTCTTCACCAACCCATTGTCGTTCTCCATAGTTACCCGCTCTGGCCTGACGATAGCTATGCAGCGGACCGTCGAAGTGTGACCACCGAATACATGGGTGCAACGACCGGTGTATAGGTCCCAGATTCGGACCGTACGGTCAGTCGAACCACTGACCAATTCGCTCTTGTGGGCAGCCAAACTCCAAATACCGCCATGATGACCGATAAGGGAGTGTATGAGAAGGCCAGTGGAAAGAGAGTATACGTGAATGGAATGATCGTCTGAAGCTGAGATTACTCGATCTCCATGGATAACCAGACACGTGACTACTGAGCGACCATGGGCGTTGAATCTGGTGTGTCTGGGTTGGGTGTTAGATATCCATCGAGTTTTGGTCAAGAACCTGGACTTGAACAAGACTTTGTATGGGCTTGATGAAGGAATGGAGGTAGAGTCTACGGCAAAGGTACCACGGCGAGCGAGGGCTTCGACGAATTGATATTCTGAGCCGGCCCCGAACCAAAATCCCTCTCGGTGGAGTAAAGACACCCATATAGCATCTATCGACAAGGCCTTGTTCCAAGCAGTGCAAGCACGCGATGCGCACAAAGTGTCGCGGAGAGATAGGAAGGAGAAGATGCATGATTGGATAGCAGGAGAGAGACCAGAAAACAATCTATGGTCCTGAGATCGCAACGAGACGCGTCAACAATTTCGTAGCGAGGTTCTGGACGGGAGTGAATAGTCACAAAGAAAGAATTATCGCACCTGCATTTGTCCGACACAATTTCTGAATGGTGATGATGAAGGAGGATGAGCAGGGGCAAGGTAGACGAGTGCTCACGATTGCATTACGATCTCGGGCCCCACCCGTCTGCGCTAGCACTCGTGATCATTAATTGCAGCGCCGGCCCACGCATCAGTTGTCGACACCACAAGTATCATGGCATCTTCGCTTACTTCCGGCGGTGTTTAGGTTTGCGTTCCCGTAGCAAAGAGAAAAAGCGAGACAAAATTCGACGAATCCATGATATATGTTCAAATTGCTCACAGGCGTATCACTAGGGCAGGCTTGGACTTCTCGTATCCGAGTAGCTGATATCGTGAGGTTATGAGTCCCCAGTAGCCACAGTCGCGTCACTGATATTGAGTTGTCGTGGCCATACCTTAGTCAACATGAGCGCTTGAGCCTCGAAAGCACCGGCGAGCTGCAGCGAGTGCAAAGTCCAAGGCATTTCAAGCTTCCCCGGAGTCCGGCTCATACCACGTGAGTGACATGGGCGCTAAACCCAAGTGTCTGTTTTGGAGTGGACTGACGACGTTGTTTGTTCTTGAACGGTCAACCCGCTACGCACGAGCGATTATAGGAGCGTCGACCATGGCAACAAACCAATCAGTTGTTCTTGAAACGAGTATGGGTGACATCCAGCTGGAGCTCTACTGGGACCATGCTCCTCGTGTACGTATTGTGTAAATGTCCCGGCTTGTTTGACGGATTGCACTGAATCAACTTTGACATTATGCAGACATGTAACAACTTCGCAGAGCTTGCAAAACGTGGCTATTATAATGGTATCATCTTCCACCGCATCATATCTGTGAGAACTTCTATAGAACAATCACGTCTAACTACTAACAATGGTCCATACCACTCAACTTCTTCTCAGGATTTTATGGTCCAAGGTGGAGATCCCACGGGTACAGGTCGAGGCGGCACGAGTATTTATGGACAAAAATTGTCCGTTTTCAACCTGAATTGCTCTCGACGATTTAAACTTAAATTCTGCCCTTTGCCTCGGTGTTCAGCGAGGATGAGATTCACCCGGAGTTGCGTTTCACAGGCGCAGGCATTCTTGCCATGGCCAACTCAGGGCCCAACTCAAACGGTCCGTCCACATAATTCCCACTGGTGGGGCTCTGCTTCATTCTAGCTTACTTGCACTCGGTCCCGAACCTTTTTGCTGCCTGATCCATCAAACAACTCTGTTATTCGCAGGCTCTCAGTTCTTCCTGACGCTCGCGCCAACACCCTACTTAGACGGCAAACACACCATCTTTGGGCGCGTGAGCTCAGGGATGCGTGTGCTGCAACGTCTAGGATCTGTTGCGGTTGATACGCAAGACCGGTATGATTCAAACGTTCGTCATCTCTGGGAAATATTCGGCTGAATTCGTGAACCTTTTTCATCACAAGCCCACGGGAAGATGTCAAGATACACAAAGCTCGTACCCTCTGATCACCCTCTTCTGTCTTCTGACGATGTCTCTTTCGCGAACAACGTGCGTCGACCTCAAATTTTCTAATCGTACTAACTAGCTCACGCATGGGTGTCTCTCCGTAGGCCGTGTTGAATACCGAAGCGTCGTTTCGCCGCCTCCTCAACAAAAGCTTCTTTCTGCTGCAGGGATGGAGAACTGACAGTGCGCAAAAGCTGGATCCATCAATCACGCAGCACCAGCGTTTATGTTTTCTAGCGAGTCCTATATGATGTGCTATCCAAAAATATGCGTCAATTCATCCGAACGAAGAGACGCGATCCTAAACGCATATCCGCACGCGCTCGGTGTCCTCCGTGGTAGGACCTTATAACCTTCAGAACCAGATCTCTTCTCTAGCCGCCTTCTTTGCGCCGGTTACGTGGACAGAATACGGGAACCTGATTGAGTTGAGAGTGTAAGTTCGTCCAAACTTACACCGTTGCAGCGGAGTGAGATTTTAAGTGTACGATTTTACCGTCAGACTAACCATACTTGGGCCTGCGAACGCTTCAGACATATAGATCGGAGTGGTGCTACCCCGGACATGCAATGCATGTCGTGCATGGACTGCTCTGAATTCTCCTTCGAGCTACTGTCCAGATGGAGTCTTTGATGGAACGGAGGACCGCGCCGTGTCCTACCAGTGTAGTGATCTTCAGTGTTCTACTTCAGTCACTACAAGATGGGTTCACGTTTCTTGGTTCAGGGAGATAGATTATGTTCTTGAAGAGAGTTTCCGCGTCTTGCCTTCTATCATCGTACCCCAGAGGTCTTCATTTGGATCGCACACTACCATTTACCTTTCTACCGCGGAGCCTTCCGAGTCAAGCTGGAACGAGACGCAAAGGAAGGTTTTGATGCGCAGCACTAAGGTGACTACCTTGAACACCCTTCCAGTCGCACGAAATCCCACTGGTTCGCACATTCTGACGCGTTGTGAAGAGATAATCGGACTGTAAGTCAGGTAGCGTGATCATTCACCAACTTATACACTTCTCACTTCTGTCCATGGATACTACACTGCTACTACACTCCCTACCTCTCGTCTGGAACACGCATGGGATCTGGATATTCAAGTCTACCGCAGCCATTCACCCACAACCGTGAGGCTCGCTCTCCACACATGTGACCGTACCCTGACGGCGAGAGCAGATGTTTATTGACTCCGAAAGCTACTTGACAATGTCTCACTGCTGGAAAGCAACTCAGACACTCGGATGACTTCTAGAGACATTGACTGACGTAGATAGGCGGCACATAAGTATTGCATAAGTACCTTGAAGGATCTCGCACATCATTCGAATTTCGAGAACAAGGAAGTCGACGAGATCAGACTCCGAATGCATCACAGCGGAGCTACGAAGACAAGGACCGTGCATAATATAATAGAATACAGAAGGGTAACAGTGCCAGTGGTTGCCCTCTTTCATAGCCCGCAGTGAAAGTGGGAAGAAATTCCGGAGATATCTCGCAAAAGTTCTTGTCTTCGCCGATGTTCAGAATAAGTTATGATATGAAATGTGTATTATGGCCCCGTGGCTCAGTGGTAGAGCGTGTGATTCCAGTAGTTGATGTGTATCCACAAGGTCATCCGTTCAAATCGGGTCGGGGTCATTCATTCGGGTTGATAATTTTTTTTTTGTTGTGAGGAGGGATGGAGGAGCATATATACGACTCCAAGGAAGTCCACTCGAGTTCTTCGATTCGGTTCCGGCAGGCCTTAAATGGTATTGCACTGTGGCCTCTCGGGCGCGCCCAATCAACTTAGACCGGGTCCATTACTCAGGCAACGGCCCAACGTCAACAACGGCTCTTAATCCTTGCTTAATCCCTCCCGAAGGCTTTCTCAGTGTCTTTGACAGTGTCGGCAGTATCACGTTTGAGAGAAATAGCACTGGTGACGATATTGGCGCTGCTTGTTAACCTCATGATTTCCTCGTTCCAAGTATTACTGTCTGAGAATAAGGAAGGAAGCAGAAAGCACAGACTTCGCCTCTCTAAATACTGCCATCGCCATCACCAACACTGAGCCGAGCAGCCAGCGCCTCGTAATCAATATCTTCACTCCCATAATCCGAAATATCCTGAGTCAAATCCTTGCGCGGCATTCCACTAATCCAAACGTCCAACCCCTCGTCCTTACACCTCCCAATCGTCGCCGCGTCCGACTCTGAAGGAGATTCATCGAAATCCCAAGACAGACGGACGTGTTTCAGCCTTGCCACGGCTGGCATTGAGGCTGAGGTGGTGGCGGTGTGTAGTGTCCTGGCCAGTTCCGCGTCGGACCACCAGCGAGATGCGATGGCTTTGACAACGAGACTGGTGCGGACAGGTTCTAATCCCTCTGAGGGAGGATACTCGTCGATGTCGAGGCTCTCCAGGCGCGGAACGAGTGGCGTGGCAGCCGAAGTGGCGTCGTAGGTGAGGGCGTGGAAGAAATCGTCTCTCGTCGCGGCGTATGTCAAAGAGGCACGGAACGAGACCAGCGCGGGAAGGAGCTTCAGGACGACGACGGCGTCTTCATCGTAAAAAAGGATCGAATCGATAGATAGGTGCGTCAACGTCGATCCGCAGTGCGAGTAGATGAAGCTGATATAGGTTGGCGTTTCCGCCGATTCGGGAGGTTCAGTCGCTCGTATGTCTAATCGTTGGAGCGCGGGCATAACTAGTGGCTGGAAGAAACTGGCCTCGTGATCGAGGAAGCGTTCGTTGTCGTCAAAAATCACGCTAAGGGCCCGGAGGTGGGGGAAGGTACGGGTCGGAAGGTCCGGGGCGACTTGACCTTCAGGCCAGACAATGACGTGTCCTAGGGAGCAGGTTTCTAGGAGAGGGCATTTCAGGATGATATCACGCGCGGCCGCTGAGGTGCGGAAGACTTCGCTGGTAGTGAGCTTTGTGATCTGCGCCCAAGGAAGCGCGAGGGTGAGGGTTCGGAGGAGCCGACTTCCTCGTCTCTTGTCGGCCACCAGCGTGAGTTCGCGAAGTTTGGGAGCTTTGGCGAACACGAGCGGGCGATCCAGCACGATTGACCCCAAGAGCGGGGGCCCCCATGTAGTGATGGTGAGGCTCTCGAGATTGGACCAGCCATCTTCACCGATAGCAAAGTATTGCAGCTCCTTGCAGGCAGATTGAGTGAGGCTGATGTGCAGCGAGTAAATCCTCTCAACGTGCGGTATAAGGGCCCGAATCAACTTCTCGAGGCCTTTTTGCAATCCCGAGGCGAACGTGTGATGGCGTGACGCCTCCAACGTCACCGAAAGTGGACAGGCTTTTGACCTGGCCAAATACGCCACTAACTTCTCCATCCATTGATTCGTGATGTACATACCGGAAGGGATACGGACGTGCGGTGACGCCCAAAGGTGCGGTGTGCCATAGATGATCTTGCGCCACTGGGAACAGACTCGGGCAAGAAGAAAGGGGGAATGGGGGAAGATAATCGGATGTTCGACATTCCAGCTGTGTTCTTCTATCCAAGAGAGAAAGATGTCGCAGAGAATCTCGGCTGGGACACGTTCGATTGGGCTGTGGTCTACGCGGTCGTGTTGAGTGGCGAGGGCGCCAATTTGGCTATGTTCAACAATGTCCTCCATATTGTCCTTCGAAGCACTGTGGAGACTCAGTATCAGGCAAGAGTCAAAGGACATGGATGCTCGCTACCTATTTGTGAGCTCTGATATCTCAAAACCTTCGAAGGACGCTCAGTAGCTGCTTCCTAACGACCGACTCGTAGAAAAGAGGACCAGGAGAATAGCAAGCACAGAATGTCAACCCACGAGCACACTCTCGTTGTTCAAGTAGTATGGGCCCGAGTCAGGGATAGCGGCTCAAAGTTATAAAGGAGAGAGGTCACTTCCTGTCACTTCGCCCGCTTGAACGCGCGCAATGACCATCGCCTGTGGCCCACGCGGCCACGCGGCACCGGTTGTCAATCAGTCGGAGAAGGTCGGAGAATGAACACTTAGAAGCTCAATCCGACAACATGGCGCGTTGGGTACGTACTTCATGTTCAAGTTCACCGCAACACCGCTACCGACAGTCTCTGAATCAGCTTGAATCTTCACAGCCGCTTTAACAATGATATCCACCTATCTTTCTTCTTTCGAGTTGACCAAACACCAATAAAACTGAACCAAACCAAACATATACTGTCATAGACAGCCCCCTAGGCCAGCCAAAGAACATCCGACACAACGACGTTTTGCCAGTGATATCGATGCTTCCTTTTGGCAACGGAAAGGCTTGCGAGATCCTCCCCTAGCCTCTCCCGCAGGATCTAGAGTTGTTTGGTTCATCTATTTATAAATATTGATGTTTGATACACTTGTACTAGAACTCGGGCACTCTGAGTCGAGGGCTATCTATCATAAATATATGAAAGCCGTTGTCGTACTATATATCCCACATAAATGCTTCTTTTTGGCACCCAAAACGTTCAAGCCAGATCCTCTCCCGCGAGTCGGGATCTAGAGTTGTTTGGCTACTTGCTTAGTATAAAGTTGATGTTTGGGCACCACAAAAAAAAGAGAACAAAAAAGGTTATCTGGTATCATGGTGAAAGCGGCTGCAACCGTGTGTCCAACTTACTGGCACTAGTACTCTCTTCAGCAACAGATTCATCCTCGTCATGATCCATGATCACGTCTTCACGAACGGCGAGCCTGAGCTCAGAGCTAACTCAACCTTCGCAGTGTCACTGGCACTGGCACTAGTATGTACTGCGGCCTTGGGTCCGGATGGCGAGCTCAACTTAAAGTTAGACAGTACTGAGTCTGAGTCTGAGGAGTCTGATGGAGTTTGAGGGGAAAATTTAAGTTCGCCATGGTCTGGTCTGGTCTATACGAACAACGTCAAACAAGCAGATGAATAACGACTCGGAACAGGCTGCTTGCCAACAAGTACTCGAGCCAGATTCCTAGAACTCAGACTGCTCATACTCCACAACACCGACAGCAATACCAAGTCACCGTTCTAAGAAAAGACCGAAGACGTTCGTTCCCCAGCCACTGGCAAAACACAAATCACAAATCATAGTCTATATCTATACGAACAAACAAACAACGAGAGCAGCATATGCACATGCACATGCCTGTTCGCGTGTGCATGTGCGTGAATGCGCGTGAATGCGTGTATGTAGAGTAGAATATTATACGTGCGTGCTGTGCATACTGCGAGAGCGAGATGGAGGATGTATGTATGGAAGGAAGGAAGGAAGGAAGGAAGGAAGGAAAGACGAAGATGAATCAAGGCAGGAGGCAAGGGAATGTTCGAGCATGGAAAACGAAAGTGATGATGCGAAATGAAAACGGAAGTGGAAGTGGAACCGAGAAACGAAGGTGAAGTAGTTGCAGTGACAGTGAAAATGAAAATGAAAATGAAAATGAAAATGAAAATGAAAATGAAAGTGACGGTGCAGGTACTAGTGGAAGTGGAAGTGGCCGGCGAAGTGGAAAAGAGATGGAGTCAGAGAGAAATAAAGATAAGGATATAGACAGGACGAATGCGAAAGATGAGCGTGGAGACTGAGGAATGATTCAGAATGCGAGAGACTCTGGAAAAGGTGGGAAGAAGGAGTCGAATGCGAAAAGCAACGAAAGAACGGTAAGGCCTTCCTTCTTCGTCAGACTAACCACTGTCACCTAGCTATAGAATTCAAACATGAGTACCGAGTGCTGTGAGTCCTGCCGCCGCAGTACATACACATCACCGAGACAGGAACCCAAACCCAAACATACGTAGCTATGTACGTTCAGCCATCGGTTCATTCACAACGACGAACAACGAACATAATAACATATATCCTATGCATGCATGCACACACGTTCGTCTATCTCAGTAAGCGGCTCCTATGTACGGTAAGTTGTAGCGGTAGCGAGAACGGAAAAAAAGGTATAACAAAAGGAAGATATAACGTATTGTATTGTATTGTCGTGATTCTGGGTGCGTTGCGTGTGGGCGTCGATCTGAGTCTGAGTCTGTGCGGGTGGGCGTGAGTGTCTGTGTCTGTTGAATGCATAGATGGAGGGAGGGGGAGGGGGTAGCGGCAGAGGGGCGAAATGCAGAGGAGTGCCAGTGTAGCATGAGATGGGGATGGGGATGGGGATGGGATAGAGTAAGCTACGGGTAAGAGGACAAGGACAAGGGGGATAAAAAAACGAAAACGAAAACGAACGGAAGTAAAGTTCAAAAAAGTAAAAGGTGAGAAGAAAAAAAAACTCTAATATTCGACTCGAATAGATATCGATTCGCTCACTGACAATGTCACGCAAGCGGGGGGTATCAACTGACCAACTAACCAACGAATCAAATTTCATGCACCACCACTCACTCTCTCCTCTCCTTCTTACAAGCCTCCCCAAGAAACCCCAAATCCTCCTATTGCCTCCTCTCACCCCCACTTCCGCCCATCCACACCCCCGTCCCCAAATTCGGTGACCCAGTACTCGAGGCATACCTCGACAGAGGCGGAGGCGGCGGCACACTCCCAGGTGAAGGCGGCGAAGGTGACGGTGTCCGCGAATTATAAGGCGATCCATACGGCGCGCTCAAATACCTCGGCGTATCCACCATCTCCATCCACCCCCCATTCCCATTCCCATTCCCGTTCGCCGTCCCATTCCCATTCGCTGTGCCATTCGCAGCAGCACCGTCCACCTGCACGCCCAATCCATACCCCTGCCCCGCTCCATAGACCAACCCCGGCTGTCCCATCTCATGCGAATGTCCAAACGGCGTGATCTCCCCCGTCGGACTCCCCGTCGGACTCCCATTCCCAAGACCCGGTATGGGGGTCGGAACTCTCGACATCTCCTTCTTATCCCTCTCTCCCAAATCCCCCAATATCGGCTCATCAGGCCCCACCGGACTCCCGGGCCACCCCGCTCCCGCTCTCGATTTTGTTGCCCCAGTCGCCCCATTAACGACGTTGACGAGCAATTGCGGTTCGGACCCCGCGGGCTGGTTGTACATCCATGTCGCGGCGAGGACGACGGAAGAGCCGATCATGAATGAGGATGTGAGGCGGAAATCGAAGAGGGCGACGGAGGCGAGGAAGGAGAGGATGATGGAGAGAGAGGTCGCGAAGCCTTTGAGGATGTTGTCTGAGTATTTGATTACGACTGCAGTGATCAACCCTCCGAACACCTGAATCGCGACGGTCGCCCATGCCCACAATCCAAAGTTTGCGAAAAACTGGCCGAAGAAACTGTTGCCAGAGGGAGAGTATGGGTTTGAAGTGGCGTGGTGGTGGTAGAGTGTCGGGAGGAGGGCGGGGATGAGGGAGAAGAGGGAGAGCTGGACGTTGCGGACCCAGAGGTCTGCTTTCGAGTTTTTGAGGACCATTTCAAAGTAAACGCCTGCGAGGCCGGAGGTGAAGCATGCTGCCGTGACGGCGCCGAAGCCTTTGAGGGGGGACATGATGTGGGTGTAGAGGGGAGCCGAGTCGTGTGCGCTGCCGACGGCGGACTCGCGGTGGTGGTGGTGCGTCGTCGTCGTCGTCGTGGTGGAAGAGGTGGTCTGGATCTGGACGATGGCGACGCCGAGGGCGAGGAAGATGAGGGAGACCCATTTGGTGGAGCTGAGCCGTTTGCGGAGGAGGGCGACGGAGAAGGCGGCGGTGGTGAGGATCTTCATCTGGTAGGTGACCTGGAAGGTGGCGACGGGAAGGTTGGAGATGGCGACGAACTGGAGGGAGTTCTGGACGACGTAGAGGAGGGCGGGGATGGAGAGCTTCCAGCAGTCCGGGCTGAAGATCTCGCGCAGGACCTGGCGGAGGGCGGAGAGCGGGGTGTGTTGGGCAGAAGGGGCGTAGAGGGCGGCGTCGCGCTTGGGGGAGTGGAAGATGTAGACGCGGTAGGCGGCGATGAGGAAGGAGATGGAGCCCTTGAGGAGCTCGTTGAGGAGGACGGCGGACGCGGTCGAGTAGGCCTCGGCAGGCGGGATGGAGACTCGGGAGTAGTGCATGACTATCGAGAGCGCCGCGTTTTGGACGGCGAGGGTGACGAGGCTGGGTAGTGTTAGTATGGGCATAACAAGCAGACAAAAGGAGACTGACGAGAGGTATTTGAGCGGCATGCCGAAGATGACGGGCGAGTCGTCCTTTGCACCGTTTCCATTTGGGGGCGCGGAGACGGAGAGGGTGGGGACGGGAGAGGACGTCCTAAGCACAGGCATCGGTCTGTGGTAGACCTCGGAGGGGCCGGGGGAGTTGAGGGACGCAGAGGACGCGCGGGAGTGGTAGGTGCGTGCCATGGGGAGCGATAGAGCTGCTCTGGGGACGCCGCGCGGTTATTAAAGAGTTCGTAGCGAACGGGGGAGCTCAGCGTTCGCCCTCGGCTGTTGGCGATCCTCCCGCCTTTTAGGGCGGCGTCGTCGTCGATCAGCTTTGCCTGTCTAGCCCTCGCAACCTTTTTTTTTTCATTCCTTTCCTTACGTAGCCATCAGATCTTATTCGCGGTACATAGAACAAACAGAGTCAACATCCCCTCTTCGTCGCAACCCCTTCAATTTCGAAGAACCTCTAGTTCCCTCCACGTCACGATATCTCTCCACAGCAATCCACTAGCCACACCGCACGTACATAAAACTGCCCAAAAATAAGCACAACCCCGTCAGCAATTCGTTTCACCCCAAACACAGCTCAAACGAAAAGAAGTCGAACGCAAAGAAGCCTCAGACTCGCCTTTAGGCTCTCCATCCACACCCAGCGAAAACGACATGATGCACCCAGACCGAAGATATCCAGCAGCAATGCGTTCAATCATCCAGTCTCGAAAGGTTTCGTCGTTCCTCCCCTGCGAGGGGAGGGCGGGTGTGTCCATTTACCAGGTTTTTCTTCATCGGCTCTCGCATGTATATATGGAAAGACAAAGACAAAGACAAAAGAAATTATATTGCACTCACAAGCATAGTACTACATGACCATCTCCATTACTCGTACATTCCCCGACCTATAGACAAAACGAAACAGAGGAAAGAGAAAGAAAATGTAGTCATCTCCAGGTGATCCAGCGTCCTCGTCCCTCAACCAACGGGAGGAACAATCAGCATAGATTGTTTTTGAGACGTCCTATACACGCAAGTGCAAACTCCCTCTACGACGCTTGTCTGGACCGTCCTTCCTTGTCTTTCGATACGCGGGACTGCGAGGAGGAAGAACAGTAATTTGGACGTCGAGGTTTTGTGAAGGTAAAAAAATGCGACGCGTGAGGTTTATATAGACGTCGGGGGATTCCGGTTTGGAAGTCCGATTTGGGTGCGTCGTTCGGGTGGGCGCGTCGACGTTGCGAGTATTGGTCTCCATCTCGAGTGTCGAGACAGCAAAAAGCCACAGAGCAGAGGCAGGCTCGCTTTTTCATTCTCCTCTCCCCATTTCTCTCTCAAACCCAGACACTAACATACTTTTCTGCTCCCCACAGGGCAAATAATCCAATAATGGCCGCCCTCTCCGCCGCCCCCACCGCCCCCTCCCCCTTCGCCTCCCTCCTCCGCCGCTCCCGCTTCACCTCCCACGACCCCCTAATCTCCCAAATCTACACCACCCACGGCGGCCACGCCTCCCGCGGCGACTGGGGTCTCAAACGACCCCTCGCGCTCCGCAAAGACGGGAAATACATAACGCTGCAATCGACGGACTCGAGACATCAGGTCACGGAATGGCAGGGTGCGAGACAGCCTTGGCATTGGATTAGGAGGTGGGAGGAGCTCGGGGCGGAGGCGGAGGTTAGTTCGAAGTGGGGGGAGGGCGGACAAGGTGGGGGAGGAGGGGATAAGGCTGAGCAGTTGGATTCGGAGTTTGGGAGGGGGGTGGAGGAGGGGGAAAGGGAGAGGGGGAAGAGGTGGTGGGAGATGGGAGATTTTGAGGAGGCGATGAGGGAGGTGTTGAAGGATGCGACGACGGAGGAGATTGAGATGTTTGGGTTGGGGAGGGAGGAGCTGGTGTCGCGGGAGGAGAAGAAGGAGGCTCAGGCTTTGGGTGAAGTCGACGATATTCCGCTGGAAGATGATGTGGAGGAAGATATAGACGCGGACGACGTCGACCCCGATTCGGGCGTACCCTACGCTCTCGAGGTGCAATCCCTCCGAGGCTACGTCTCCGTCCCGAACGTCATGTCCATGAACCCCAAAGCCTTCGACCGCTACATCTCCCGCCTCCGCACGCACCGCCCCGAATTCAAATCCTTCCTCGCCGCCGAAGCCGCTCTCACCGAACAGAAGCGCGCCGCACTCAAAGCTCAAGCCCCCTCCTCTTCCTCCTCTTCCAACAAATACAATTACAGCATCAACAACAACCAAACCACCGTCGCCCGCGTCTCCCCCAACATATTCGAACAATCCACCATGTCCTCCGCCGACATGACACGCAAACGGTTCCTCATGCGTCTCGCCCAGACCGAATACCACTCCCCCTCTTCCCGGCAGATAGAACAGAAGAAACATCATAACGGCGGCCTGACGTACACGAAACTAGGCCCGCTCACGCATTTCTTCCTTAACAAGCCGCAGCCGGGACGAAAGATCAGTATCGCCGGCACGGGGACGCAGGACCAGAACGGGATGAACGCGGTCGCGTTCGCGGGGATGTATTCGCATACGACGAATACGAGCTGGACGGATCATTCGCAGGCAAGTAATAATAATAATAATGCGATCCCGATGCGCGTGACGAGCGCGACGTTGATCGACGCGCCGAGGGCGGTGAAGAGCGGGCCACCTAGGGGATTGCAGGAGGTGAATGTGGAGACGAAGTTGGTGGATGTATCGGAGCTTTTTAGGGAGAGGATCGTGGATTATAGGCCCGGGACGAGGGCGTATCTTGTGCAGCAGGCGATTCGGGCGGAGACGAGTACGGGGGGTGGGGCGGGGAAGAGGGGGGTTAGTGGGAGTGGGGCGGGAAGGACGTCGATGTTGACGGCGACGATGACGAGGGGGGCGGGGCACTCGTTGCCTGGGTTTAAAAGGGAGTCGAGCGATGGGGATAGGGTGAGGAAGACGTTGTTGCATTCGTTGGAGAATATATTGGATAAGCGGTCGGTGCAGAGGGAGGTGTTGAGTGAGATTGAGGAGGAGGAGAAAATGGGGGGTGGTTCCGAGGCGTAGTTTGAGCGTTCATACTCTATTAGATTTTGGGCCACACTTGCTTCCGAGCTACTCACACACACCACTGTTGCATATCTTAAAGATCCATATTACTGCTCATACAACGGCACATAAATTCGCGATGCTCGACAAACAAATCAAAAACCAAGAAATAGGCATTGGGTGTATGTACCATGCAAGCATGCTATGATGGGTTCAACCCAACGATCGCCCGGATCGTTTTTTGGACGTCGTTCTCGTGCGCCGAGAGCAGCTTCTCTGCATGCACGCGAGACGTCTCGAACTCATGTACCTGCGAAAAGTAACAACGGCATAAGCATCCTTTAACTCGGGGTCAAAAGTAAGAAGAGAGCCTACGATGAAATCAACATCCTCCTTCTTCGCCGCTGGGCCACTCTTGATCGCTTTCGGTGCGGTGCCCTTCAGGTTCGACCCGAACACGGAGCGGACGGCATCGTCCATCTTGGCTTTTGAGTAGGCGTAGCCATCCGCGAACTAGACAATACACGGTTCTGCACATTAATTACTATCCGGTACTGAGATGGTGGTACTTACGTTGATGATGACCTCTGATTCGAGGTGTCCGTTTCGGGCGAGAGACATGGTGGTGGTGGTTTGAAAGCTTCACTGGCAGTCAAATGACGCTACTACGCCACACGAACTCAAGACAGCGATATTACGTAAGCGCTAAACAATGGCCTCACCAATCGTGCACCGCTCTGTTCTTGACTCTTTGCATCCTCGGCTCCGACAAGCCTCATCTTCAGCTTTCCTGCTCATCTAGAACAACAACAACAACAACAACAACAACAACAACAACAAAAAGCAAGAACAGAAAAGAAACTCGAGAGAAAATAAGGAATGGATTCCTTCGACAACTTCCAATACGAATCCGCCTCGTCCTACGGAGGGATGGGCATAGTCGACGACACATCCTCCATCTACACCTCCAACACCCAACAATCCGTCTCTAACCTCGATGCGCACGATAACGACACGACGCTCGACCTCGAGGGGCTCTCCATCACGGACGATAGGTCCTCCGTCGCGGGCAATGGGAATGGGAATGGGAATGGACATGTGCATGCGCATGCGCATAGTACGGGCGTGGCGACACTGGGGAGGATCGGCGCGGAGGAGGATTTCGATGCGGTTTTGGACGATTTGAAGGATGGAGGGCAGGTCGATTTGCCGCCGCATGCTTGCAGGTTCGTTCGTTCTTTTCTGTGCTCCTTCTGCAATCGTATTTTTCGTTGGGTCGGACGTGTTCTTTTGCTGTGTGGCGCCATCAATAGCGCCTTACGTTAAGGCATTCGTCACATCTGGGTGCCAGCTGCTGAGGTCGTTTTACCGCTCGTACGCTCGAGGAGTCGAGTCATCAATCGTCTTGTCTCCTCTGCTGTCCACACGACCGAATTTGTATTCTCTCTGCGCTGTCGGCGGTCGCGCGACCTCTGTGGCGCCACCATCTATTGCTGACGCGTCTGGCATATTTGAGTGGCGGCCGAGTCTATCGTTCTCAAGTCTCGAGTCCACGACGCACTCAAAACATATATTTTGGGCCTTACTAATACAACTCCATTCTTTTTGCTCTACCCAGCTACTGTGGCATCCACAATCCCGCCTCCGTGGTCAAATGCCTCGTGTGCTCCAAATGGTTCTGCAACTCGCGCGGAAACACGTCCGCGTCACACATCGTGAACCATCTCGTCCGCGCGAAACATAAGGAGGTTATTCTCCATGCTGAGAGTCCGCTCGGAGAGACGACGCCGGAGTGTTATAACTGTGGGAGCAAGAACGTGTTCATGCTCGGTTTCATCCCGGCCAAGAGCGACACCGTAGTCGTTTTACTCTGTCGGTACGTACCTCATACCTTCCATCACGGTATGCCACGTCGATACTGATGTTGTAATTGAAATAGTCAACCCTGTGCGGCGATCTCGAAGGACATCTCCTGGAACGCCGCACTCTGGGCGCCCCTCATCGACGACCGCTCCTTCCTCTCCTGGCTCGTCAAGCCCCCCTCCGAAACCGAACAACTCCGTTCTCGCCAGATCTCGTTCGCACAGATCAACCGCCTCGAAGATCTCTGGCGGAACAACGCCTCGGCGACGCTCGAGGACCTCGAAAAGCCCGGCGTCGACGACGAGCCGCAGCCGATCCTGCTCCGGTACGAGGACGCGTATCAGTACCAGAACATCTTCGGGCCTTTGGTCAAGATCGAGGCGGACTACGATAAGAGGTTGAAGGAGAGCCAGACGCAGACGGATATTAGTGTGAGGTGGGATTTGGGGTTGAATCAGAAGAGGGTGGCGTGGTTTGGGTTGCCGAAGTTGGAGAGTGGGGAGGTTAGGTTGGCGGTGGGGGATGAGCTGAGGTTGAGGTATGCGGGAGAGTTGCATAAGCCTTGGGAGGGCGTCGGGCATGTCATTAAGGTGCCAAATAGTGAGTCTTGCCTCGGTCGATTTGTGCTGTGATTATTTTTGTTGATATCGTTGTTTGACGTAGATGTTTCGGACGAGATTGGACTGGAGTTGAGGAGGACGGAGGGTGTGCCGCATGAGCTCACGCATAACTTTGCGGCCGACTTTGTTTGGAAGTCGACGAGCTTCGATAGGATGCAGCTCGCGATGAAGACGTTCGCTGTGGACGAGAAGAGTGTCAGCGGCTATATCGTGAGTGGTTCCGGGTTTTCATCTCGGAGAGCATGGCTAACTAACATTATATACAGTATCACAAGCTCCTTGGCCACGAGCTAGAGCCCCAGATCCTACGCACCCAAATGCCCAAGCGCTTCTCCGCCCCCGGCCTTCCCGAGCTGAACCACTCGCAGATGTACGCCGTCAAGAGCATCCTCCAAAAGCCCATCAGTCTCATCCAAGGACCGCCCGGTACCGGAAAGACCGTCACCTCCGCCTCGATCGTCTACCACCTCGCGAAGATGAACCCCGGCCAAGTCCTCGTCTGCGCGCCTTCCAACGTCGCCGTCGACCAACTGACCGAAAAGATCCACATCACCGGGCTCAAAGTCGTCCGTCTCACCGCCAAATCCCGCGAAGCCCTCGACTCGTCCATCTCCTTCCTCACGCTGCACCAGCAGGTCGCGAACAACACGACCCACGTCGAGTTGCAGAAGCTGATACAGCTGAAGAACGAGCAGGGCGAGCTGAGCTCGAACGATGAGCGGAAGTATAAGACGTTGATTAGGCAGTGTGAGAAGGAGATATTGAGCGCGGCGGATGTGATTTGTTGTACGTGTGTGGGAGCGGGGGATCCGAGGTTGAGTAAGTTGAAGTTCAGGACGGTGTTGATCGATGAAGCGACGCAGGCGGCCGAGCCAGGTAAGATTCCGTGCCACCATATTCATTATGAATATACACTAACGCGTATTTCACGCAACAGAGTGTATGATCCCTCTCATCTTGGGTTGCAAGCAGGTCGTCCTCGTCGGCGATCACCAGCAGCTCGGGCCCGTCATCATGAACAAGAAGGCCGCCCGAGCCGGGCTCACTCAGTCCCTCTTTGAACGTCTTGTCGTCCTCGGAAACAGGCCTATCCGACTCCAGGTCCAATACCGCATGCACCCGTGTCTGTCCGAGTTCCCGTCCAATATGTTCTATGAAGGAACGCTTCAGAACGGTGTCACCGCACCTGAACGGTTGAGGAAGAATGTGGACTTTCCGTGGCCGGTGCCTGATACGCCTATGTTCTTCTACCAGAACCTGGGACAGGAGGAAATCTCGAGCAGTGGAACTTCGTTCCTTAATAGGTCGGTTTTGATTTTTTTCCGATTGGATTGGAAGACTGACGGAACATACCTCTGATTACAGGACTGAAGCGTCCAATGTCGAGAAGATCGTCACCAAGTTCTTCAAGTCGGGCGTCGTACCTGGACAAATCGGTGTCGTCACCCCGTACGAAGGGCAGCGGTCCTACATCGTCAACTACATGCAGTACAACGGCTCCTTGAAGAAAGACTTGTACAAGGAGATCGAAGTCGCGTCGGTCGACGCGTTCCAGGGTCGTGAGAAGGACTACATCATCCTCAGTTGTGTCAGGAGCAACGAGCACCAGGGCATCGGTTTCTTGAACGACCCTAGGCGTTTGAACGTCGCGTTGACTCGTGCGAAGTACGGCGTAGTCATACTCGGTAATCCCAAGGTTTTGAGCAAGGTAAAGACATATGATCTCCCTTCCGAACACAAATGCTGATCCTATAATCACACAGCACCCTCTTTGGCACTACCTCCTCACCCACTACAAGGAGAAGGGCTGTCTCGTCGAGGGTCCCCTCAACAACCTCCAACCCAGCATGATCCAATTCTCCAAGCCCCGTCGCACCCTGGTCAAATCCATGGACCAGTACCGCCGTCACGACACTAGCGCGCGCGAATACCTCAACGGAGGCAACCCCAACGCGCCCATGTCCTCTGGATCCCCCAGCCGTTTCGACGCCTCGTTCTATCGCACGCACGACGCACTCAACTACATCCCTTCAGACCTTCGTTCCCAAGCGACATATTCCTCCGGCCTTCCCATCTTTGGTACCACAGGCCCCTTCAGCTCCAACATGTCCGTGCAATCTGGACGTGGAGGGCCAAGTGGTGCGAAGCGTAGCGCGTATGGCTCGTACGCCTCTTCCATCATCTCCCAGGACGGTCCGGTGGACAGCGGGAGCAGTGTCGTTCCCTCTGTTTCCGAGAGGGTGGCGTACTCACAGAGCGACAGGCTCAGAAGGAGAACCAGTTTCGGGAGCGTCGGCGGACAGAGCGAAATGTCGAGCTTGATAAGCGGCGCCACGGGCTTCGACTACAAGAGCCAGGACGAAGCAGTAGACATGGACGACATGAAGAGTCAGTATGCTGGTACCCAGAGCGGCGTCACGGCGTTCTAAGCGCCCTTCGTTGCGGACGACTACCTAACAAGAAGGTCGCATATCCTGCTTCTGACCCTCCCTCCACTACTCTTCAGTGGGAGGCAATTGCGAGCCGCCTTGGGTTTGTCTTGCCGCTGCTTGGCCTCGCGGCTTGCGACCAAGCGTTGCTTTGAATCGGCCATGCCCCTTCAGTCGTCCTCACGGCAGCACGTTTCGGTGCTCTCGATACGATACGATACGATACGAACGTCCCCCGTCTCGGCCGCGATGTCGCATCGCACATCCTCTCTACAACGCATAACCCCCATCTTCTCCATCAACCTCATCATCCTGATCCGTTCGTCCAACGTCCCGAAACTTGTCAAGTCGTGCTCCAGGGTCGAGTTACTCTTCCGCCAGCGATCGGATACCGTTGTCCCAGACATTCAGCATCACTCTGCAGTACCGATCGCAGTACATGATGAGAGCGTCTGTTCAAACTCCCTCTCGTCATCGGGGATGCGTGGTATACGGCACCTGATGAAACACTTTCCCTGTATGCTCCTGTTTCCTGATAGCCGTACATGTCTGTTGGTGTCGATGTCGATGTTGATGTTGATGTCGTGGGTGGTAGTGAATAAATATCTTGAACCGCTGTGCACCTTTATGTTCGACGCTATTCGACGAGCTCGAGTAAAAAAATGCGGTGACATGGCCAATGCCATGGCCAGTGTAATATCATTGGGTAAGTCGAACCGAAAACAAACAACACTGCTATTGTAAGGAGGGCAATAAGGAAGATGATGCGACAATAAGTAGTCAGTCGAACCTGGCGGGACTAGCTCTCTGAGGAAGTAGCATCCTCAAACATCGATGAAGGCAGCGCTGTGACGACGATATCCCAACTTTTTTCTTCTAATAACACTCGACACCTAGTTGGTTTGCACCATGAAAGATGGAGACAACACCTTTCCTTGGCGCAGTCGAAAGACTGAACACCGTAGAAGACGAGGTGGTAAGGTACTAGAAAAAAAAAAAGCTGGAGATTTTCATCGAGATTGGAGCTCAGACTGCCGTCAATGTTTCATTGACAAGGAGTGGAAATATAGAGTATGCGGTAACACGACATTCAATTGATGGAGTGATGGGCCAGAGAAGGATCGTATTCATAGGGAATATGTGAAGTGAAAGAAGCTGTAATAAGTATTCAGTCGACCCTCGAAGGAGTAGGCAGCAGGCCAACTATGACTGCTAACTAGTTATTCAGTATGCAGATGGCGCTCGATGATACAACACATGTCCCATCTCTCTAAAGAAATAGCATCCTCAAACATCGACGAAGGCGGCGCTGTTACGACGATATCTTAACTTTTCTTTTTCTAACTATGCCCGACACCTAGTTGGGTTACACCATGAAAGATGGTGGCAACACCTTCGCTTGGCGCAGTCCAAAGACCGGACACCGTAGAAGACGAGGTGGCGGCTAATAAGTTAGAAAAAAAAAGTTGGAGATTATCATAGAGATCGGAGCACAGACTGCTGTCATTGATTCGGCGACAAGTAGTGGAAGTATACAGTAGGCAGCAACACGACTTTGAATTGATGGAGTGCTGGGCTAAAGATCATATTCGTAGGGAATATGCGAAGCGAACAAAGGGCTCGAGTCGGATAGGAGTGAGTCTGATCGTCATAGGGAAGAGCTTCCACTCGCGTTTGTATGCATCAAAGGCCGTAATATCCGTGTACAATGGACGAGACTGCCGTGATGGGGATCAAGGGGGATAAGTCGACCTTGACGGCGTGAGCGGAGTCTACTTCCGTTCTCCCTCCGACTCACGAACCCCGGAAGATGGTGGGCCACAGTGGCGTGTGTTCGATACATCGATGATGCACCTTCAATCTAACAGGAAGTGAGCAGTTTGATGTCCAAACTCGACGTAGTATCATTTTACTCCGAATCAGAAAGGAAAACTTTTTTCGCACCAGTACCGATAACGGTGCTAATGAGTGGCTCACGGCAACCTGGACCAGTGCACGCAGCTCATGCGTGACATTCGTCTCCAACAAACATAAAGGTAAACCGTGACCATTGTCAAACGAACTCGAACAAAAGCCCCTTCATTAGATATGAGGTATGCCTTTCGGACGCAACCAAGACGCGTTAAATAGATGCCGTACGGGGAGAGATTTCCAGACCTTCAACCGCCTCTTCACCCCAAACTACCATCGCCTCTGAGTCCCCTGCAATCGCTACTTCAACTCACACCTAATCTTATCCAGCAGCCCCTCACCATAGGTAAGGCGCACGCCCTAATGGTGTTGGTGCAAGGTTGTCTAACATCAGAGTGCTCCTGCTTGTAGCACCATGTCCTCTCAACTCCAAGCCAGCGTCACGCCGTCGCAGACCCCGACTTTGACGTCCACTTTCGACACCGAGGAGCTGAGGAGCACCAACAGCTCGGTACATTCAGACAGCCCCACCCCATACAACGAGCTCATGGCAGGAGATGTATCTCCTCAAGTTTCACGTCTCTGTCGATGGTGCGGTATACTCCCGCCTCTCGAAGGTCTGAACATCCTCGGACTCCAGGACATGTTACCCTACCACCCACCCCATGCTCCGACAAAGTTCGCTGTAGAGCCCATCAACTCATCCCAACACAGCGAATCCCACATCAATATCTTCGCTGGTGACCCTCCATTCAGATATGAACGGATGGAGACTCAAAGAGATTTGTTGTTGACGGAGAATGACACTGCGTTGAGAGACGAGGAGAGGATTGTCGGGCGCGAGCGGATGAGAAGACGGGGGGTAGGAGTGGGAGGGGACCGTCCTTTGCGTAGGGACGAGGACGTCTAGACGACACGGGTCGCTGGTCTGGCCGGACGTACATTTATATACTGGTGCACGCACGCTATCTCGTACATCTTCTTCTCTGTTCCCACTCTTGTAGTCTTCATCGGGGTCATCGCGCATTGTACGATACTATGATGTACTGGTCGTCGCTTCGGTTCTCTTTGACATCTGATAGAAGCTGGCGATACGCACCTTTGTTCTCTTTTCCTTTATCCTCTGTTCCTTTGTAGCATTAGTATCACGTTTGGAACGTCCTCATCTCTTTGAAATACGACGCGTATTGGATCGCTCGAGCGCGTATCTTGCTCCTGATGGGCCCAGCCCCGCACGAAAAGTCAAATCAAGCGTCCATCCAGAGGAAACGTTGAGCGTCGAGTGCTAGGTCCTGCAAGATGAGACTAGCTGAAGTGGGAAGAAGGAAGGGGGAACGTGGAGGTTGATGCGAACTAGACATCGATGCGCAAAGTGCCCCCGGGCCCCGCTTGCTTCCGAATACCTCCGGCGCCACCGCCACCTGGTGTAGCCTTAGCTTGAAGGAAGGTCAGCTTCAGAGAGCACACCGATGGTGAAGGAATTAGCACGGCGTCTTTTTGTGGGCCTGAAGAAGATACGGATTTTGGAAGCAAATATTGAAAGAATGGCTCAAGGGTGCGAGCTGTGTCCTTGTTTGGTCTTGTTATGATCAGAGGCCAGCGCGTACATCGGCCCGGTGTGCTCCGGTCTGTTGCGCGGCAACAAGGCGTCTCGAGACTGAGGACACCTGGAACAGAAAACTGGCACACTCCCCATCGTCAGCCACGAGTCAGTCACATCAGATTAATACAGAGTTGCAGCTAAGACAGAGCAAGAAGGTATCCATTACAATTATACGCGTATACATAACCATAAAACAGGTATATGTGCACTATAGAGTGGTATGTAGTACGGCCAGACAAAGCATATTGTCTATCAACGACGTCGCAGAGGTATACGAAGTAAAAGAAAATCAGCAGTACAGGACATAGTCGAACACCAAGCGCACACGGCCCACAAGCCTAGGAGCAGAAACAGTTAGAAAACAAGAGACATCACCGCCCCCAAAATGCGCAATCAGCACTCCCCTCTCAAACCGTAAGCACCAAGCTACTCTTCGTCATCCTCCTCTTCATCTTCATCTTCCTCTTCCGGCGGTTTCAAAGGCCAATGGTACACCCTCCTCGCAAACCTCCAGAAGACGCCCAATCCATCCATGACGCTATCCATCGCTTCCTGGGCCGTAAACGGGACCTCGAGAGGGATTCTCAGAGGCCACGTCAGGGAGAAAGGTAAATTTCGCGGGTCAAGGAGAGCAGTCGTTTGGCCATGCGCGTCGGTATTCGATGAAGAGCGAGATTGAGGCTTAGTTTTGTGAGGCTTCGCTTTGGGTTTGGTTTTGGGTGACGGTTTCGTGACGTCGATCACGTGGATGCCGGGTTCTGTGGGTTCAGGTGTGGAAGGTTGGTCGAGTGGGAGTGTGGGGGCAGAGGATGTAGCGGGAGAAGTAGAAGCTGCGGACGATGATGGTTGCGCATTCCACCAGTACCCTTCTCCCCTGGAGATCATCGTAGCGGTGACAGTAACAGTCGGAGCCGCTGCGTCCCATTCCGTTCCCCCTTGTCTTTGCCCTGGCCCAGAATATGACTCGACGACTCTTCGAAGATGTCGTAGGTCGTTGTTCATGCTGAGTATGAGCAACAGGACTACGGTGTATGTGAGGTATCGGAAGAATTTGTGGAAAGACGAGGAGCCGAATGAGAAGGGCATGATAGGCTGATCGGAGGGCGTCAGGTGCAGGTAAAAGGGTATGTGAGAGTACTCGGGAAGTGAGTGTTTTGTGAATCGGTGTGGTCTTGATTGCGAAGCCCGTTGCTCGTGTCGCGAGGTAAACGAAGATTGAATGCCGAACCCTGTGTGGAGATTCCGTCAGAAAATCGAAATTATAGGCTTATGAACAAGATAACTCACCTGGGACAGACTCCACCTCGACCTGCAGCCACCCGACCGGCAAGATGAACATCGGTAATGCAACACCCACAACTCTCTGCTTCCCCTCCCCCTGCTCCGTTCCGCTGGCATCCTCCCCATCCACGACATAAATCACCTCTACCTTTCCACCACTTACATCTCCCACTCTTACCATCACGCGTGTAACCCACTGTGTTCCGCCACTGTCAGACACCACTGGGAGCATCACCGACTTCAAACTATCCTCCAATTTCGTCGGAGCCGACATGTCGACCTTCACCGGTACACCGTCAACGCTGGCGGTAACGACCTTGACAGCAGGAGGTGCCCAGCTCTGATCACCGTCGTCACGCTCCTTCTCCTTCCCTTTAGCCCTCGCCGGGATATTAGGAGCACTCTGCGCGAGATAAAACTCCAACCACTCGTTCTCCTCGTCCGCCGGCGCCGGACACTCAAACCTTACAGCATACGACCCTTCGCTCCCATTCGAAAAACCAATAGACGGTGTGACAGTGACCTTGACCGTCGGGAGCATCAACGGTCCGTCCCTCCTCGGTCTCGTCGACATCATAGACGTCAACCCCGAACTCGGTCCCCACGTATCTGTCATCATCGAACCCCCCGTCATCGCCACACTCATCCTCGCGTCCGAATCCGCTCGTGCTCGATTCCGGCTCTGAGGCCGATTCGGCGTCTGGTACGTGCTCGAACCCTCGACGTTATAACCTTCTGGCTCCGATCGCACCCCCATACGTGGCGTCGCATGGACCGAGCTCACCCCAGTGGGTATCGGTATCCCATACTCATCAAACGTCATCGTACTATCTCCAGCCCCAGCCTGCTGCCCTTGCCCTTGCTGTTGCTGGAACTGCGACCAAGGCGGACCCACCGCAAACGCGCTTGGTGGCGGTGGGGCCTTCAACACGACCCTCCCGCCCTCCGCGCTGATCTTTGTCCTCCCTCCTTTCGAGAGTTCGGATTTCTTGGCTTTAGGGTCCGCAGAGGCATAGACGTCGACGTCGTCCGGAATGCCAATGTCCAGTCCGTTCTTGACTGTTGTTTCGATGTGTTCACTGTCGGAGGCGAGGACACGGAAGCGGGGGAGTGAGACGGCTAGTTCTTCTTTAGGTACGGTGGATTGGGAGTGAGACTGAGAACGTGAAGGTGTATTGGGGTGCGAGCGTGAGTGTGTGCGATCGTCATTTGACGACTCGGAAGACCCGAGGTTCGAGTTATCGCGGCTGTGAGGGCTTGAGGACCGTGGGACGACGAGCACGACGCCGGACATGTTGAATGTGAATACGTTCTTGTTCGGTGGGAGGAGGTCGTTCATGTTTAGGTGGAGTGTCACTGGTGCCCCCGGTGGTGCAGGAATATCTTCTTCTTCGTCCTCCGCCACATCGGCCGCAAGCGATGAACCTCGACTTCGAGATAGCATGGAGGACATGCCGGATTCGGAGGGCGTGTTTTGTCCACCTTCGAAGGAATAGTCGGGTATATTAGTGTCTGTAGGCAAGGGACCACGCAGCAGCGAAGGCTGAGACGAAGTCGAGTTGGTGCTAGCGATCGATAGCGGTCTTCCACCAGCGGGATTGGCCTCGGAAGATGCATTGGCCTGGGCCGTATCCAAGGACGCCTGGCGATCTTTCCCAGACGGTGAACGCGAGCCTCCAAGGACTTCATGTCCAGTAAATCCCGTCCCTCCCGTAACCGTCCATTTCTGAGGATATCCTCTCGCCCACGCAACCTCGCAATTCTTCGCTTCCAGTGCCACGTCCATACCCAACAATGTCGCCACACCCGGGAACCAGACGCCCTTGCAAGACCCCTTATAGTCCAACTGCATCAGCACTCCTTCCCTCTCCTCTCCATCCTGCTCTCGTCCTCTCCCGAGCACAGCACACGTCATCTCACCCTTAGCGCTCTTCACGCCCACCCTCCGTCTCCCACCCTGCGCCTGTGCCCCATCGTCCACGCCCCTCACAGGCATAGCCCATCTCACACGTATCCTTTCCGTGCTCGGAAATGTACCCTGGATACCTACGCCATCCGAGAATCCGGGTGCACTCGCACTATCGCTGCTCTCGTCATCAGCGAAGGTTTGGTACTGATAGTTGGTAGAACGACGGGAACCGACGGTACGCGTGACGTATGGGTCGGCAGTCATGTCCCAGGAGGGAGAGGAGTCAGGGTCTGTGACATCGGAGGCGGAGGAGAGGGATTGGAAAGATGAGGATGTTGAGGGGAGGCTGTTCGGTGGGAAGATACGGAGTTTGAGTTGGTTGGAGAGACAGGAGGGTGTAGGGATAGACAACTGTATGGATACTCAGAAAATAGCTTCCACCGCGATGTTGAGAGGTCACTTACGAGATAGGGCGCCCTTGGAGGCGTAGAGACGTATGGCACAATCATACTGATGCCCGCCATGAAATGTATCACGTTCTTGTCGCTTATGGACCCCCTGCGATGCCTCGGTGTGACAAGTGCATTCAGGTTTGGCCGGGAACGCAGCTCTGCGTCGTCTGCGTTCATCCGTGATCGTGGAGGAAACTCTTTAGGGAGGACAAAAGACACTTGGTACCCGCTTACGAGGATGTGGCCGGTGTATTTCTCTTCCAAACGTGGTATGTCCGCATCTTTCGGAGAGGATGAAGAGCTGAAGCGAGATGAACTGGCAGGTCTTTGGCCAAATAGAGTGAGATAGGACTGTTGTGAGCGTGCAGGAAGGTTCAGAACACGAGCGGCATTGTGGAGAAGGGGTGATGTCGATGATGAGAAGAGGTATGGGACGGAGTTGGTGTCCAGAGGGTGGACTTCGGAATCGAGTATCTTCACGTTTTCCTCTGTAGTCCATTAGTTGAGTAGGAGTGCAAGCCCATAGCTATGACTCACCGTTGAACAGAGGAATAGCACTTCCTGGTGTAACACTATCCGCAGGTACAGTCAACTGGGGGCTACAGATGAGTAACGGCGTTGACATTCGACGTAGAGATGCGACGCACCCGAAGATACATCTTTATCGACACATTGCTCTCATCCTTCCTCGCCTTCCCTTCGATGGCTAGACGTGTTACAATATGCAGTCGTTGTATTTGAGGGTTTATTGTGCTAGCACCGTTGGTGGACAGCGGTGGGCTAAACGCTCGACTATGTCGCGAGCTATAAGAAGTAGACATTGCTGAAAGGCGTTAAGGTTGGTATAGACGCGTCTTTTAGACCAAGGAATATGCGAATGATATCTTCTCGCGAGTGATTGTAGAGGGATGGGTGTGTCGCAGAGGTAGAGACGCGTCTGGAGATGATGTGCGAAAGCAAAGTAGTGCCGGTAGCCAAGTACGACACCTCGCGTTTCTGAGACACGAGTTTGTTTTGGGATGTTTACCCACGGTATCGTTGACTCGCGCGTCGTAAGGACACGCAAGAAGGACGAAAGTAGAGTAAAAAGCAGTGTTACGCGCCGCAAAGCAGAGACCCTCTGGCCGACAGTCAACAAAAGAAGGGAAGCCGTGTTCAGCCACCGACGCGTCTCAATTTGGCGGCCACTGCGAATCTGCGATCAACAGCGTTCAACGGAGAACGCGTGGCCAGGAACCGCCATCACCGACACCCACTCCGGAACCCAGCTTCCTTCTTGCGGTACGCTCTTGTTTGATACGGTGACGATCTGCTTCCTAGTTCGTCTCTCTGAGCCCATCGAACGCTGCAGGAATCCCATAGTCCGGACCTTATTGTGGAAATTCAAATAAATTATTCTTGAAACATTGGAAGTACCAACCTAGAGCCTTATCCTACTCACAGCGTGACCTGAGCCGCGAGATTTTGTCTGGGCCACACAAGACGCCGCATGAATAGGTACGCGCCATCGATCTGCTGCGAGTACAAAGCAGTGGCTGAACGTCGGAAATTCATACTTCGTTCTGTTACTCCTGTCACAGAATACATCTACATCCTCGAACCATTCTAACGCATCCAAACGCTATAAAGGCTCTGTTGCACGAAGCGAAACACGTCTCCCTGGATGGTCCGTCGCTCTCCCTCCTTCCCCGCACTTATATCCTCGCCACCCCTTCCTTCAGCTAATGTCTTTCGCCGTCATCACGCATCTCATACAAATGACTCCCCCTTCGATGGTAGAAACGACTATCGCGGAAACCACTTGGATTCGAGAACGCCACCCGTCTGACACCCAACCGTCACGACACCTCGCAAAGCACACCTTGACTCTAGGATACGAAGTCAAAGGCGGGGACTTGTCGAGCGCGAGGTGGGATGGGGTCCAGGTCGACGGGCGAAACCCGGCCGCTGTGCGAGGAACAAAAAACTTCACATGTATCAAAGTGCGTGCAATTGGTAGATTCTGAAGCAGTAGCCTTGATAATTAAACACTCCAAGCTCATATGTCGCACTGGCTCTTTATCACCACAGAATAGCCCATATCGGTGCGTTCAGTTAGACTCTATCAGGGCATCGTGCACAAAGACCTCCGTCTGCCCTTCCCTTCGTTTGTTTCTCAGTCGTTCCGTCTTCCACTCTTGGCATTCTGTGCTGTTCCCGGTGCATCATTATCACGAAGCGTATGCTTTGGAGCAAAAGCACATAGGCGAGGGACTTATTCAAAAAGGAGCTATGAACCGAGCTCGTACCAGCGCTTGCCACAATGCGTCTGCCCTGCTCGTAGTCTGTAGAATGATGGTGGGAGCAAACGTTGAGGCATCTGAAGTACCCCTCTCTGTCTCAAATAGCAACACGTGTTCTCCGACACAACAAATATACTCATATTTATACGAACTTTGCAAAACACGATACATCGTCACCAGACCATTTCCTCTTTGTCGAAAGTTCCATCCTGTGCTCCCTATGCGATTAGCTCCGCGTACCATCGTACACCCCATGCCGACGTTGTCAACGTCTGATTCAATGCCAGAATCCCTGACCGTTACTCCTGCATCGAGGACACGGTACTCCTGATAAGACGACGTCGCGATATGAATCCAAGCGTATCTTCCGGACGATCGAATATCCACGTCCAGTGTTCCCAGGATATCCAGTACTCGATGCCCATGTCATGCACACCAGTGGCAGGGGAGTTGTCATAGTCAAATGTTGAATCGTCGAGCTGGGGCTGCTTGATCAAGGTGCTGCAGTCCCAAAGGGCTCCTGCCCGTTGATCGCTATAGAGAAGAGTTTTTGGAAGATTTCCAGACCTTGGGATCGTCTTTCTATCACCCATTTTGCGTCTCAACGCGCCGATTGCTCTCACTGTATGTTTAGTAGGAGCCCAAAGTAAGAGGCGGGGGACTTGACGAGTATAGAGTTGCAAGGCGAGCTCTTTGGGTACGGAGGTCTTCAATTTGTTGCTGGGGTACGTCTTTGCGACTATTAGACATTGTGTGTAGGTTGTAATAGGCGTCAACGACGCACCTCGCACAGTCTCGTTGTCTGGATACAGACGTGGCCGCGTTCTGACCGGCTATTGACCGGGTAAGATGCAGCGAAGGTATACTCTGAGCTGATACCCCGCGTAGACGCTCGGTCATAGCATGGCTGGACAGAAATCGGTCTATCTTTGTCATCTGACAGGGACTGGGAGATGCAATCTTGTGGTCTGGCGCCGGTTAGTCCTAGATGTGAGCAACAACGCGTCGATTGCAAGTTAGATTTGTTAGCGCACCTTTGTTGTTGAGAAGACATGCTGCGGTACTAATGGCCGTTGAGGACAGCTCGCGATGGTGGAAGAGTCTGGACGTCGTATGCGTCGCACACTCGGACCTTTATCATCCAACGCGCCCGGTATTTGCCGTATGCGAAGTCTTTGCTTCGACTTTTGCGGCGACTCCTTTGACGCGTTTCCTTTTATGGACAACCTTCACGCACCATGCGCGCGACACGATACCGCCTGCCGTACCTTTGAGGTTATTAAAGTAGATGTTCGGTCTCGATGTTACTGTCATATTTTTAGAGCGATATCGAATGCTGCATGTAATTTTAGTGTTCATCTTGAGCATCATAAAGTACTTGCTCCGTGTCAATGCAACCATCGCCATATCCGCATGCGCTCCACTCTACAATCCACTCCAAGAACGAAAAGTATACATCTGCATCGCACGGTAGTATCTTTTTTTGTGCGCAGCCTTCGATTACAGCGGTTTCGGGTGACCTTGCGACTGGTCGAGTTTTTTTCTGGGTGCACTTCCCGAAAGGACACTGCCTGAAAAGGAAGAAACGGAAGCAAATAGAGGAGGATCTCCTCGGAATCGTCATTGTTGCCGCCGCCATTTCCCTCTTTGGATTGCCTACTACTACCTGTTTCGGTAACGCTCATTTGGGAAAGCGGTCGGAAAAATACATGACGAGTCGCAAGGTCACCCGAAACCGCTGGAAGAGCGCCGTCCTGCACGACCACTCCTACGCTTCCTTCAATGGCAACACCTTGACTGTCGTCTTCGGACAATGTCCATTTTCGCCCATGGCAAGGTGGAAAGGTGTGCTACACCGATGGTCAAGAGGGTGCACTTGTTGGCTTCGTATCCGTCGTCTTGCGGGCTCAGTTCCATATGAAGGTCTGGGTTTCATCCCGCCCTGATATAACGTTGTCGAAGGGTTTGCTCCCCGCGAACCTTGAAGTTCGTCGCCACTTCATGTCCATCGCGTGTCTCGTCCAGTGCACATCGCTCCCGAATACTCTCAGCGCCTAGATGTCGGGGAGGTGCCCACCGAACGAGACGGGGCATGGCTCAAAGCACAGATGTCAACATTGTTCGTTCTCGTAGTTCGGATAAATCGTTGACACAATCTGCCAATATTATAAGCAATAGAGGTGGAATACTCACCTAATTATCCCTTTGTGCATCAAGACTTCGATCCCTCGTCTCAGTTTCACTGATAGGAGAGAGATCATTGATATACCACAACCAAGCACCGACGGCAGCAGACAGGGCGCTATTCTTCATGGGTAGATTTGTACTAGTGGGGAGACAAATGCGAATGGGAGCAAGCGTTGGTTTCATTCAACGACGAGCTTTCCTGACGCACCTTTTGTATTGAGAGAAGTCTTCGAAGTTGAACGGCTGCTGAGGGTATAGGACAGATTGAGGAGCGAAGTGGTTAGAACGGGGAGAAAGTCAGAGTCATGCCGTGCTTTTACCTCGACGCGAGCGCTAACCGTCAGGTGCTTGATCTCAGTGGAGATGTAGATTTGTCACGGCTACTCTTTACGGTCTTTTCTTTGCATTTACTCGGAAGCTGAGGGTAGTCTGGCATGTCGAACATCGGCTGGCGTGGCGTCAAAATTCGAAGTGTATTGTACGCTAGAATAAGCCACTCTTCGGCCAAAAAGAATTGGTATGAGATGCTACTATAGGAGGATTCTCTGTGCGAAATTTCGAAAATTTGCGACCTATCTCTACTTGCCTCATGGCCGCCATGATGAGCACTATACTTTGCCGCCACAGTGAATTCAATGATCGCTTCTCACGTTTGACTTGGATCTTTCAAACCGGCGTATGATTATGAGAGCGGCTGGTAAAGTTTTTTGTTCGATACGTGTACGATTCGTAACACCAAGACACGACAACGCATACTAAAAGTACAATTGGAGAGGGGATACTAGTGACAAGGAAAACATACGAAAGGTCAAGAATGAAGAGATGAGCCAACGAGGCAATGCGTCTACTGAGCCCAAGGCGACTTGAGCAAGTCGACGAAAGACTGTGTTTCTTCCTCGTAGTTTAAGGGCTGGATGCGACTAATCCCATAACGAATCCTGGTCGTATCCTGTGAATTATGAGTCAGCCACGGCCCAACCCTCGAGATCTGTCGTCAGCACATACGTTGAAAGTGTCCTGCTTGGCTCTACACGCGAAGTTGTAGGTGTTGCAAGTAGCCTTCTGCAAAATGGCAGTGTAGATTGCATCGTCCCGCTCCTGCATATCGCGGTGAGATCAACATCGCCCATAAGGAAACTATAGAGGTTAGAACCTACCTTGATGTCATGTAATTCATTCGCTGTCATGCCAAAAACGATGAGACCAACATCGTTGAAGCCGGACAGCCAGGCCTGGCCCGAATAGTCTGCCACGGCCATCTGAATCATGTAACTGCGAATCAAACTCATTAGCCATACCGAAAGGGATACAAGTGGGATCAAACAGCTACACACCGATAGGTTGGTGTCTCGAAGCTCCTATCGCACTTTTCGCACCTCCATCCATCATGTCCTTCCACTACCTTTTTGCTACAGCCTTCGGTCCCACAAGCAGGGTACGAGATGTTCTCTCCCCGGATATGCATGACCGTCGCACGACACGAGAAGTATTCAACCTTATCGCTCGAGCCCAATTGCGACTCCTTCACATCGTTTAAGGTGCGCATCTCAGAGCGATTGATGGTACCGCCAGTGCCCGCCGAGGTCATGCTCGAGGTGTGGGCTTGGAACTGCGTGGAGGTGCCAATATCATCGTACCAACCCCGGATGTTGTGCGCCTCTGGCATATCGGGGTTGATCGCCATAGTGCTAGAGCTAAACATGGAGAGGGAACGACCTGATATGGAGTAGCCGAAGTCAGCGAGGAGTAGAACAGCTATTTAAGGAAACATACCTCCGAAGTCACCAACTTTGACGCCCTTGAACGCGATCACAGAGTTCGGACTGGCATTGTATTGCTCGGCTTGCTTTCCCCAGAGCGTGAGACGAACAGAGAATGCCGAAGAATCGACAAGAGTAAGCTCGCGTTTGGAAAGCTAAGAGGGATCATAAGACAACATCCAACAATGAATCGGTAAACGAGAGCATACAGTGCGTTGCGTCTTTGTTTGAATCTCGGAAACTTCGCTGACGTCTTTCACAACCCCAATGACGTCTGACCAGCCCAATATGTCAGTATGTTTGCCGCAAGTTGAGTCCACGACAGGATGGCATACCGCAAATGGAGTCCTTGGGGAGCTCCTCCAGATTTCCGAGTTCGATGAAGTTGTATTTAACGACAGGAAGATTAGATGTGTCGTGACACTGCAGAAAGGTCAGAGATGGAACACCGCTGGGACAAGGCAAACGCACCTCCTCAATCTCAGTGTTACGCTCCAAACTGAGTTCGTACTCTTGGGCAGAGGAGAACTTCCTCTTCGAGAGGTTCACCCGAGCCTTGGAGATGTAGTAGACTTTATCCTCCACAAGTTTGTCGTAGAGTTCGTCTGCCACGGCATTGAACCCAGTGCCCTTGATCTCGCCAGAGTCATCCATGAGAGTGACATTGAAGAATTTACCCTCGCCACGTTGATTCGAGTACGTCCGAATGTCGGACTTCTGAATGACGCGTGCCTTGATAGTCCAGTTGTTCTGATACGGACTGAGACCTTCGATGGGAAAGATGTTATTACGGGTGCCACGGGACGACTGCTGCTGGCGCGGTTGTTGAGGTACTGATGGAGTCGTGGTGGCTGAGGGGGCAGATGTAGGGGTAATATTGCTTGCGGCGGGAGTCGTGGCTTCGTCGGTGGGGAACGCAGCGGGGTTGCCAATCTTCTCAGCATCCTTCTGAACGACGCTCAGCCCCAACACAACAACGAGTCTGTGTCGCAGATATGCAGATAAATTTGAGTAAGAGGATGAAATAGAAGGACAATATGACGGACCGTTTGTTCTGGATGACATTGCACGACATGTTTGTAAGTTTACAGATGGTGTTCTTCGTGATCGTATCCGCTTCGACGAGACTATTCAGCTGGGTAGCAAGCATAGATTGAATGAAGTTGACGCCGTCGGATATGATGACGCGGTAGCGGTCGTGGCCTTGGGACGCGGAGACCTTCTTGATAGACAAAAGCTGGACTATCGGGCTCGATGACCAGAGCTGCTCGTCGTCTTTATCACCAGAGTGGAAACGGGCGCAAGCACCTTCAGTAAGTTGTGGGATGGCGTCCATGGCGGTGAAGAGCAGACGAACAGCGAACGAGTCGGGAATGTGGTGTGATGGATGTGGGAGAGGAGGAACGCGCGGTAACGCGAAATAATAAACAAAACGCGTGAGTCACAAGTCACGCGTTTCGCGTCGCGAGGTGTCGCGTTCGCCGTTGGCTAGTCACTAGATCGATTCCCACGCTTCATCCTTTCAACTTCCCAACGGTCACGCCCGCAGGAAAAGCGATTGTTTTTAGTTTAAGGATTCATCTTGGTATACCCTCTTAGCTCTATCCTCAAAAAGGTGAGATATATCATCTCTCAGATTCCGCCAGTGGTCGTATCTCTTTGGAGAAGTTGTCTGCTTCAAATAGGCCGCTCTCTGAATTAGTACCCCATCGTGTTCCTCATGATCGTTCTTTACGAATCCGTCGTGCTTTCCCCTGTTATCAGTGTATAGTATATAAATTACTGACTAGCATATTAGCTTTGCTCGTTGGTGTAGGTGCTACGCGATTATACAAGATAGACAAGATATCAAAAATCTAGAGTATGCATGATGTCCACGTCGGGAATATCAGTATCGCATGGTGTAATATGCAAGAACAAAGTCCCTCGGTATCGCTGTCTGTGGTCGAGACATGTCCCAATCTCTCCTAACTCAAGAAAGGTGAGTATCTGTTCACTCGCATCATTCGCTGCCGCGCTTCCCCCCGAGCATCGTGCGATTCGTAGCATCTCTTCCCGCTTTGAGTAGCGATGAAAGGTCATTCCCACCCGTCCCTTTTACCGGGCCCTTTCTCGGTGCAACGATCAGCTCGCTACCCTCCGGAGGTGCTGTATGCGACATCGAAACGACGTAGAGGGTGGCCACCCGGATATGCATATCCCTCAACTTCTTCAACGTGAGCGTGGCCGTGTCGAATGCCTCTCGCAGCATCGCATTTTCCTTTGCCAACTCTCGTATCGGGAGCTGTATGGAGCTAAGATCGGCGAGATAGGCCCTGTGCTTTCCGGCCATATATTGCCTCATCCTTTCCATGAAGCCGGTGTCTGCCTTCTGATTATCCTCCGATGGTGGCGGATAGCGTCTCTTCGTAGCCGTGTGATCGACGTCCAAAAAGGCGTCGAGAGCATGCATGACGGTGCTTTGTCCGGCCGAAGGTCCACCGAGATTCAGCTTCTCTGTCTCTGGAACTCCCTCGTAGATCCAATCCGTGACGTTCGTGCCGCTTGACGTGTTACCTGTTTATTGTCAGAGATACGATTGTGGGAGTTTCATATCAAATGCCTACCGTTCCACCAAGGCCTGACGTGCCAGTAGAAAGCGTACGGCTCGACGGTCTGCTTCGAGTTTGCCATGATATCCGCCATTTCTTGTATAATGGTGGAAAGTCGTTCCAGGTCTTTCGCCAGCCTTGACATCGTAATCATGCTGGTCTTGTCTTCAAGGTGGACATAGCGATCGATGATGCGCAACATCTCAACCCCTCGTATCTCGACCCTTGCTGAGAGGCGGTAGAACTCGACTTCCGTCTGAGTACCGGACAACGTGTGGGTGCAACCATAGTTATGCGCTGAGATCGGTAATTGGGGGTCTATGGGCGTCCAATTCCACAAAACTACAAAATGGGTGAGATGATCGCGCTCATCAGCCGATCTCGTATAAACATCGCTGTTCTACCCACGCCGACTCACCGACATCTGCAAAAGTAAGCACCGGTGCTGTCCCAAGTAGCCGAGACACCTTCACGAGAGGGATTGCCAAACTCTTCGGAACAGTTACGGGTCCTGGTTGACTCCTAGGCGGCTGCGAGTGCACATAGTAATGGACGAGAAACCCCAAAGTCATATGCGCGCGCTGCCATCGCCGCTCGTCATTCCCAAGACAGCGTATGTCGAGTACCGGGAGCTAGTTGAATGTGAGCTATTGTCCTATCCTTTTGTGTGGCTGGATACTCACAGATCTGATCTGTGCTCGCCATGCTTCGCCTCTCGCACGCTTGGCCTTCGCCTCAGCCCGCCCATCACTTCCGAGGCTGAGATTCCCCTCGGCTTCTTCCAAACCCCTCTCCCACAACTCGAAAACTCCATCGAGGCGTTGGAGCGGCTGAGGGGGGAAGAATCCTGTGGCGCCATCAATGTCGTAGTTATCAAGGTTCAAATATCCGCGAGGCATTGCGCTATCTCTTCCAAACAGGCTGTATAAACTGTCGACGAGGTATCGGATGAATGATGTAGGTGTAGGAAGGTTGATTGTGAGTGTGTATGACATGGCACTATGAGACAAAGAGGTGAGTGCGCACAATTTGTTTGACAGGTTGAGAGTTACTGTGTGATGAGGTTGTCTGCCCCTTTGCTTTGGACTCTATATAGTAGAATTTTGGGTAACCTATGTTCAGTTTCAGATATATTCAGATGCCACAGCACATTCAGTCGCAGGAGCTCCGAGCCCAATTTGCATCAACGAGGATTATGGACCAAATCCATCATCGCAGTCAGGATACCTCGGTTAGCCAGGCAGGCTATTCGCCGTCAGAGATCACCTCAGTTGGGCGACTGGGTCTGACCAAACCGAACCAATTAGGCCACGTAGTGTCTTATACCAACATTGGGTCCCGGAAGTCAAGTTGGCTGGTTATTATCCAACATTACACCAGTACGGGTGCGAATGTCGAACCGAGTGCACTCTCGACCTCAGCGCTGGTTTGCACGCCGAAATGTTTTCGGTTGCGTACGTATCACAGCCAAACAACTTCTTGTTCTTGTTCGCACACAGCTCAACATTCTCTTGCATTGTGCTTCCCCATCAGTATTGATCATGGCGGCTACCGCTTTGTCTGAGTGTTTTCAGTAACATCTGTGGCACCTAGTCTGTCCTAGATGTGCTTCGAACCTGATGGTCTATCTGATACCCCTCTTGGTTCAGCCTCCTGCTGGTTCACGACGGACGATATCCCCGTAGGGAATTTGTGTCTGTTTTGAATGCTTGTCTTCGTCATGATTGTGAGCTTCTATTTTACAACGTTTACAGACCTTCGACTAGGTCCTAGCGGCTTACGTATAGCAATGAAGATAGATTCTCTTTCCGACTGATATATATATGGGCGAAACGGATATCCGAACGGTCAATAACCCCATCGACGGATCACTCCTGGTCGACATCTGAGGGATCAAGATGCACAGAATTGTTGTCTTTGTTCCGATTTCGGTATAATTTGTGTTACTTCCCATTCTCAGGCTGTCCGGCTCACAGAGTCGCAGGCGTTCGACTATAACCCAAACAGGGGACATTGGCCTTTGTCATTTGGTGCCACCGACGAAATACAAATGCGTTTCTTGACGCAATGACTGTGTCGTACGGATTGCACGCTCCATTCTGATGGGGATACCAACGTGTATCCGCCTTGAATGTAACACAACTCATGTGAGCAATGCCGATGCATAGAACCAGTCCTAGAATAATAGTGCGATCTGTGGTGTATTCGTTCTCTGACATCTTTCTTTGTCTTCTCGCCAACTGCGCCAACCAAATCGCCCGGTGATAACCGCGTCTTAGCGCTATTCCCGAATCAATCACACATCCCACGTAGAGACTCATGGCTCTGGGACTTAGATGAGATGGCCACCGCTGCAGCAGTCCGAAGTACGCGAGTTCTTCCCTATGTTGCCACAGAGGATTCCGATATCACATATGACTCCATACGTTCAAACTTTTTTTCAATGTTGTTTCTCCTGTAGCGCCTTCATCAACCAGGTTCCCGCATAGCCCGACGCCGTGAGCCGGATGGAGGGATGATTCAGTTACTCAAGGGTCTCGGACTACCACCGCGGATCCTTGCCACTGATCCGAGGCGCGGGCCAGAAGTACAACTTACTCTCCATGATGAACCTTCTACCTATATCCGGTAAATTAATAGTTTCTAGTGTTCCCCATCCATCGGTGCAAGACGTGGAACCATCAAAACAAACGAGCGCTTCCTGGATGCATCGGGAGGCCGATTCAAGAACAAAAGTATAATGCTGTGAGCGCGCCGACAAGAAGCCACATCAACAATTTCCGGTTTGACCGAGATGTGGAATGTATTATCATGCAGCCGTGCGCGTACGTACTGTGCTTCGGTGTCAGTCATGTCTTTGTGGTTATTCTGGGGGCGGGACGGAGAGTCTGTATCAGTCTTCAACCTAGATGAACAAGAAAAAAAATTACGCAGAGGCGGCTGTCGCTCGCAATGATCTTGTCGTGGACTCGTGACGATGGGATGGGTGTGGGTCCTCGTGAGTCACGATGCTCCGAAGTGATGAATCGTCTCAATTCCGTGAACCTGGTCGATAGCTCGTTTACTGTGGATGTTTCATTGTATGCCTGGTAAAAAATGAATTGTGGTAACCTAACACATACGTACGCCTCCGGGCGCCGTTGCTTGGACAAGTCACATAGCCTTGGTACTGCCGTAATAGTACCCTATTCATGGTCTGCCCCAGGATCGCCGTCATAGCCAGTCTAAATAATATGGACGAACGGCCAACGAAGGGCCGTGGATGTACATATAAAATGTGGCTCAGCGCATCACAGCGATGCGAAACGGTGGCGGTGGCCGCACCCCTGGATGATTAGAATGTGGCACAGACAATGCAGTCTATCGTACACTTCGACGCCCTGGCAGCCTATGACTTCGACTTTAAATGAGGTCCACACTATTTAGGACTTTCTCATCAGTGTACCGGCGCCCGAGAACATAGCAAGATATATATTTTAGCTTAGTGATGGGCGCGCCATGAAATGTATGGACATTGCATACCCTTCATAACTGAGTGGTCATCGTGCGTCACATCCACGCACCCATGTTCTCCTCAGTACCGTGACTCTATGAAACAATCATTCGAGAGTGGACAATGCTAAACATGATACCCGTCTCATGTGCCACTAATAGCAAAGCGAGTGTAGCCACTACGAGGCCTGCGCATTCATAGACTGGGTTAAGCATGGTATGGAGGAAACGAGGACAAGGGCGGGGGCAGGTGCAAAGATACCCGCAGTAAGCAGTCGGTGATTTGACTGGCACATATAGTAAGTCTGAGATTCTCCACCAGTCAGACAAGCAATTGCTATGTCAAAAGGAAGCACTCCAACGAATGTCGGAAACATTTGATTAGGGAGCGATAGGCGATGAAAGACGAGCGCCTCAGCGCCTGTAAGAGTTACAGAGTGTCTGCCACCAGCATGACTTGGGGTAGATCAATCAATATCTCCACGTAAGGTAACCCTCTTCATCCTCTTCACATCTCCGGGCAACCGTATCCATAACCTTTGCCACCACGCCGTGCTTGCCGAACTTTTGCTTCTCTACACGTTCTACCAGCTCCTGGACCGTCAGCGCCGAGGAGTCACTTGATTCATGGCTACCGCGGACCAGGCGGCTGATCTCTTCCTCGAGGGGAAGAGCCCATCGTGATGGTCTCGAGAGGGACTGAGCGAGTGGACGAAGAGGTTTGGGAATGAGGTCGGTGAGGGATTCGTAGCTTGGGGACTTAGGCGACGGGAAGAATTTTGCTTCAATATCTGAGGCGGACACTTCCGCCAGAGTGGAAGGCTGCCAGTTTGGTCGGCCCTTTGCCCTTTCGACGAGGACAGCAGTCACTCCGGTCTTGAAGTCAGGAGAGGTGTCACCACGCTGCAATTGAGATACTTGCTTTAGCCTCGAGTATGTTAGGTGAGGACCGGATATATCGGGGGTTCGTGAGATTACGTGGGAAGAGGACGTACGCAGAAGGCAGCGGCGATATTCAGTTCCATTTCCAGGGCTTGTAGAAGGTTCATGGTTTTGCCCCTCCGGATGGCCATGAGAGCAACTTTCATGCTAGTGGGGCTCCGTTCTTCCATGGCATCAAGTGCAGCAGATGCCCAACTTGATACGGCCGTGTTGTCGCTCTCCGCATAATCTTGTAGGGCTTTGACAATGCTCTCGACCTCATTATGGGAGAATGCGGAGTCCAGAGCATCACGGACATCGCCCGAGAGTGGTGAGGGAGGCTCCGTGTTCTCAGGATCGAAGTACAGCTCCTCCAGCGCCTCCATGATCCGCCGATTTGCTCCTTCCGACTCTTCGAGCGCAGAAAGATGTTGGAGCAGAATAGGAACGCGATGTGAAGGGATGTAATGTGTTGCAATGCCGTGTTCACTAAGTGACGAATAGGTATGAATCAGTGATGGGACCAATAACGTCAGTGAGCTCAAAGAAAGTGCACGAACAAGACCGCCCGCCCAGTGAGAGTACTTCCTGTAAGTGCGAGGTAGGTGCCAATTTCACCATCAAGACGCGAGAGGTAGTATGATGCGCCGACATCAGGACAGTACCCGATTTTCGTTTCAGGCATCGCGTAGACCGTCTTCTCAGTTGCCACTCGGAAGGGCGCAGGTGCCGCAAGGCCCACTCCACCGCCCACTGAGTACCAGGATTATTGAGACCGGTGATTTGTGCAAAAGTCAAGATCTATTTCACGTAGATGCAGAGATGATGTAGATTACGACGCACTCGTTATTCCGTCCATGATCGCAACATACGGTTTTGGTAGAATGGCGAGGATGTAGTTGAGCTTGAACCTGATATGATATCCCAAAATTCATTCGTAAGATAAATTGACGAGGTAACGTCCTTACTCACTCGCGACGGAAGAATTGTATGGCCTTGTCTCTTGTCTCTTCATTCGCAGCAAACTCCACAACCTCTGCCAGAACATACACAGTGCAAAACAATTAGGCGATGCGAAGGAGAGACATACGTAGCACGTACTTGCAACATCTCCCCCTGCACAGAAAGCTCGTCCCGGTACACTTGATCCAACGATCACGTTACACAGAGTCTGTTCCCTCCATTCCTGTACCCCCGTGCAAAGCCATGAAGTACTCGTGGGCAAGTATGAAAGTAGCCTGCTTACCTTCATCTTATTGTGCAACATTTCGATCATTGTTGTGTCCAGTGCATTGAGCTTCTTAGGTCGATTCAGCAGGTACCGACGATAAGCCAGGTTCTCCTCAAAAAGTACGGGCTCCTGAAGAAAACGAAGAGGTCAATGACGTTTACACCCGGAAGTAGCTGCCACGCACTTGTTCAGCTTGTTCAAGTGACGAAGACGACGAAGCCATATGTCTAGATACGGCCCCTAGCCTGTTAGTAGCAGATAATGAGCGTGAAGACATCCGTCGAGTAAGAGACCACATTGGAGCAATTCGACGTTGACGCCGAACGCGGGATTGGTAGGAGCGGAACGCGTTCCAGCCGAAAGGAAATCAGCTGAGACGCGTCGTAGTCCGACTACAACTGAAGCTCCCACGCTCACAAATAGCTTTACAATACCACACCCTGGTGCCACCTTCGCCACATAACCTTACCTTAGGCTCATACCACACAAGCCCATTTTGTCAACTGACCATGACCCCTTCCATCGGGACTCGGATCGCGCTCTCTGGGTATCTGGGTACTATTAGGTATGTGGGAGAAGTTGAAGGCACCAAAGGGACTTGGCTCGGGGTCGAATGGGACGATCCCTCTCGGGGAAGGCACGATGGTGTCAAAGACGGAAAACGCTACTTCACCTGCTTGTGAGTTCAAACTCACGGTCCACATCAATCTGTACCAAAGATCAAGGCAATGAAACCTTCTAGAGTGCCGAACTCAGGATCTTTCATCCGGCCGACGGCTACAATTGACTATGGCAAGCCATTTCTCAGGGCCCTGATCGAGAAGTACATCGAGTTGCCACAAGGATCGCAGGAGACGGTCATCCTGGGCTCCTCAAACGGTGCTATCGAAGTCGAGGCGGTTAACCTCGATAAGATCCGTGGCAAACTATCCCAGCTCGAGCGATTGCGAGCAATCAGTCTGGATAGAGAATCCGTGTCCTCTGTGGGTCCACCTGGAGAAATTCGAAGTAAATGCACGAGTAAGTTTATCACCCTGAATATCTATTCTTTGAGCCGAAGTCATTCCGTTGCAGGTGTCAAAACCCTTGATCTGTCGTACAGTCTAATACCGAGTTGGGACGTTGTTGCTCTCATAGCAGACGAACTTCCACAGCTCGAACGTTTGGCCCTAAAGTATGCTACCCTTCAATGCTTTCACAGATGTGTTGACCGTAGGCTTGACATGTAGTGATAACCGCTTCCAACCGCTACAGTCACCGGAATTAGCCCGCCGCGCATTCGAAAACTTGATTGAGTTGGAACTGAACAGTTCACTCGTGCCTTGGCAGGACATGCTAGAAATTGTCCACTTGATACCCTCTCTGAAGAATCTAGAGTTTGGATACAACCATCTAGAGAAACTTTGCCCTTTCACCCTTCCCTCGGGTTTTTCATCGAATTTGGAAGTTTTGAATCTATATGAAAACAAGCTATCCGACTGGGTCGACGTGACGGAAGCTCTACAGCCTTTCCCTAGGTAAGATATCTCGATTTTCTACAATGCCAGACCAGTTTGATTTGACTTTTCAGTCACCAGGCTCACAAGACTTATCCTTTCCTCGAATCCTCTCGCATTGATACCATTCCTCTCTTCAGACAAGTCATCCACCGCACTTCTTAGCCTCAAGCATCTCGCTCTTACTTCTACGAAGATCGCGTCGTGGTCTTCTATCGACGCCTTGTCTCGCTGGTGCCCGGCCCTTGAGGGGTTTCACATTAGCGAGGTTCCTATCACAGACGAGGGTATGTCTGTTCACCTTCCTCGTACTGGTTAAGCCATATTAACTGTTCTATTCAGATAGTGAGGCTGGTCGGGCGTGGCGCCAATTGATCATCGCACGAATTCCAACACTGCTCAATTTAGATGGCACTACTGTATTTCTCTTTCGCCTACTTTTCTATTGTCCGTTGACATAGTTCAATTTTCTGATGCATACGCAGATAACTTCTAGGCTTAGAATGGACTCCGAGCTTTTCTATCTCTCGTACATCGCACGGACGGAATGGCCTTCCGAGGATGCTTTGCGCGCTGAACATCCTCGATGGGACGAATTATGCAACTGTGCGTTTTTCTCGTGCCTTCCATTGTATGCCGTTTTGTTCATGTTATTTTGCAAATTAACGCGTCAATCATCCTGTATCCTCAAACTCGGAACGGCCTCACGATGGAACCGTTTCGCTGCCGCCTACGACGATTTTTGGGCCGTGGACCAACATGCTGCTGATGTTCATCTTGATCTTTCTATTCTCGCTTCCGTGCCTTGGCCTATTATATATGTGCAATTTCTTTGCTTGCGAAACCTTTCATCTGATGCGACTCCCTCGGATCTTACTCACCCGGAATATGGATTCTCGTGTTTTTTATATGGCTACGCGCAGTACATGGTGCCCCGATACCGGTCGCCTCGCATGGTCCCAAGGAGGACAAACTTAGTAATCGTCTCATTCGTACGTCTCAACTCATCGACTGTTTACATTCTTCTCTTTGGTCTTTCCTTCGCAGCGAGTTTTATAACGATTTTTTAAATAGAACTTTCAGCAACAATGACTTCCACATCACCGCCGACACCGACATCGTTATCGACACCCATTGCTGTCCGTGTCCTCCCGACAGCCCCGCTCCGACACCTTCGCCTCAAGTTGCTGAAGTCGTTCAAAGCACCGAGGGGATCTCAAACAGAGGTGTGGTTGAAGATGGCGGATGGGAAATTCTCAGAGCTTGGTGGTGGAGGTCTGGGTGATGAGAGTGCAGAGGAAGCTCGAGAGGTAGAATGGTGGTTGGAGGAAGGGTCGGAGTTAGCTGTTTTTATCAAGAAATAGGGACTTCGCCGATGAAGGAGTGTGATTGTAATACTTATCGCGTACTAATGACGCGCCGCGATTTTTTCTCGGTCTATCCACAGGCATACCGAAGATAAGTTTCTTACCATAGGTTTGTTCATCACCCAACGTCGACCGTTGCCTCTCCGAACATCGTTCAGGGCGGGCGGAACTTGGGGCCAATTGAAACTGACCTTTGAACGTTGAACGACGTGCCACTGTAAACTTCCCCGTATTTCCCACGGTTCTTGGTGCCACACCGGGCTGCGTCATACGGCCGAAGAGACGCGATTGGCTACGCCATGCCGAGCCGTTTTGTCATCCGGCTCCGGACAAGCTTCACGATTGGATTGACGAAAGACTACGGGTATCTGATAACTCTCTAACTTATTCCACCACCAACTTCAACACCGACCCCCACGACGACCACGATGTTGTCTAGAGTCTCTCGTTCTGCTTCCCGTGCGGCATTGAGGCGTAGCACACGCACTGTGCCCTCCACCACCACCGTCAGAAACTACGTTCAACCCTCCGGAGCAGACCGCGCGAGTGTCGTCGATGTTCCCGCGAACTATCAGGATGATGCTCATTTTGCACCTCGTCCAGGTGCGTTTGGCCCTGTATGGATTGTCTTTGAATGACTTCTGACTGGTTCGGTGTGGTAGAGATGCTTGGGTTCAAGCTAGAGTCACCGCGTCGGGAGGGCAGCATGGAAGCCAAAACTCGTCCAATTTATCTGGACATGCAGGCTAGTGCTCCGTCGTTGTAGTCGTCGACATTTGCTGATTTGTAATTGATTTGTTACAGGCTACAACGCCAGTTGACCCCCGAGTGCTGGACGCAATGCTGCCGTACCTGACAGATCAGTACGGGAACCCACACAGCCGAACACATGCGTACGGCTGGGAGGCTGAAAAAGCAGTTGAGGATGCGAGAAAGGTGCGCCACTGCGGAGTCTCCGCCGTTTGGTTGTGATGATTGGCTAAAACCCCTTTGCTGTATAGCATCTCGCTGACCTCATTGGCGCTGACCCGAAGGATATCGTGTTCACGTCCGGAGCTACGGAGTCGAATAACATGTCTATCAAGGGAGTAGCTCGATTCCACAAGGACAAGAAAAAGCACATCATTACTACTCAAACGGTATGGATTCTCAGCTATTACAATTCTCGTGGGCTGACGACTGTACAGGAGCACAAATGCGTGCTAGACTCATGTCGGAAACTTCAGGAAGAGGGCTTTGACGTCACTTATCTTCCCGTGCAGACCAACGGTATCGTCGACCTTGCGGAGCTCGAAAAGGCCATTCGCCCCGACACCTCATTAGTCTCCATCATGACCGTCAACAACGAGACCGGTGTCATTCAGCCTATCAAGGAGATAGGAGAGATCGTCCGCAAGCATCGTGGCGTCTATCTGCACACCGATGCGGCGCAAGCTGTCGGGAAGATCCCACTGGACGTGAATGAGATGAACGTCGACTTGATGAGCATTTCGGGACACAAGATCTATGGACCGAAGGGTGTGGGCGCGTGCTACGTCAGGAGACGGCCACGCGTGCGTTTGGAGCCAATTCTGAATGGTGGTGGTCAGGAGAGAGGGTTACGGAGTGGGACTTTGCCGGCGTCGTTGGCGGTAGGAATGGGAGAGGCTGCGCGGATCGCACGGTTGGAGATGACAGTGAGTACCTCTCTTGTTATGTGCGGCGTGGTGACGAGAAAACGCACGTCAGCCTTCGAGGCTGAAGAGCTGGGCGACGCTGTGACGCTCGTCAGGGATCTTTCCATGTATTGAGCTGTCTGTCGGCTCGGCTGTGACCATCGTGCAGGGGTACTGAGCGCCATCATAACCTGTCTATCTGCGTCCCGTGATCTTGACGCTGAATATGTTGTCTTTTCTAGAGGGATCATGCTCGAGTGTCGCAGCTGGCGGAGAGATTGATCACCAAGATCAACTCACAAGTTGAGCATGTTGTCAGGAATGGAGATGTGAACGGCTATCCTGGCTGCGTCAACCTCAGCTTTGCCTATGTGGAGGGAGAGAGCTTGTTGATGGCCTTGAAGGTTTGTCCCGCAAAGTCATTCAAAAGCAATCTGATGCTGATTCCGCCATGATATAGGACATCGCTCTATCATCCGGTAGTGCGTGCACGTCCGCCTCTCTTGAGCCTTCATATGTACTCCGTGCACTTGGTAAGCCGGCAATGCTTCGTTCCCATGTATCTCTTCCGTGATACTGATCATCTTGCGGTGTACTAGGTGCTGCTGAGGACATGGCTCACTCGTCCCTTCGCTTCGGTATGGGCCGTTTCACAACTGAAGCAGAAATTGACTACGTTGTGGAGAAGATCGTTGCGACCGTGACGAAGCTTCGTGATATGAGCCCCCTGTGGGAGATGGTACAAGAGGGTATCGACATCAGCACTATCGATTGGTCACAGCACTAGTCTGTGCCGTACATCACCTTCATCATAATATTTTTCTGTTTCTTGGCTTTCACGTCGTGCTCTCGTCTTTTTCTTGACTCGTCTCTGTTGTTCTGAGAGTTATTTTCTTGTGCACTGCTGTTTTCTTTTGACTTGCGCCTTCGCACGGATGCCGGTATTAGTAGTCCACGTACTTCTGTCATGAGCGAAATCTATATTGGACCATACAACATTGTCTGAAAAGAGGGCTCTATGGAGTCGTTAGAATAGAACAAAAGAGGGAAAATATTTGTTGATTGGGTAAGGGGTCCGTGCGGTGGCGGGAGTTGAACGACACCGATCGGAGTCTGAATCTGCCGGGTTGTTGCTTCCCACACTGTGACGGTTCGATCAAACTTTTCGTCCTTACCTCCATCTCCCCTCCCCACCCCACCAGCATCCATGTCTCGCCGTTTGTACTTAGGAAGTGCGTATGAAAGCGTTATTCCTGTTTTGAGATAGATCTGACAGTGGTGATTACGATGCAGGATTGCCCACTGATGCTAGGACGGACGACGTGTCCAAGTTTTTCGAAGGTTACGGGAAGATCGTTGACTGCAGAGTGATGACTGGTGCGTGTTTCCGCATATACTGCTCACAGTTGGTTCATAATATATATTGCAATTGCTAGGCTTCGGTTTCGTTGAGTTTGAGAGCTCCAGAGACGCCGAGGATGCGTTGAACCACTTCAATGGCAAGCCCTTCATGGGTACCAACCTCGTCGTCGAGTTCGCGAAGGAGTCCCGCCCTCGCCGCGACCCGTACGATGATAGGTACGGGTGCGTCTCAGCCTTACGACAGGTCTTCGTATTATAACAGCTGCTAATCTGACTAGCAGGGCTCCTCGTGCGAGAAGACCTCCCGGTATCCGCATCATTGTCTCCGGCATTTCCAGGGATACTAGTTGGCAGGTACGCGATCTATTTCTCACACTCTAATAGCACCATCCCTTCGTATAACCAAATATGGATATATCGACCTTCTCCTTCCTTTCTCGGTCTACTCCAATTCTGACGTTTATTTTACTTCCTTCAGGATCTCAAAGACTTCGGTCGCGAAGCTGGTAGCGTCTCCTTCGCTGATATCGAGCGTGACGTTCCAGGCCAGGGGTGAGTCGTACTTGTTCACCAATATGGTGTCGATGACTTCATCTCATCCGTAATCTGCAGTGTCCTAGAATATCTTGCCCGAGAAGATGCTGAGCGTGCCGTCAAGGATCTCGACGGCAAGGATCTTCGTGGCCAGCCCGTCCGTGTCGCCCTCTCTGAGGATGTACGTTTTTTTGATCTTCTCTCTACTGTCCGTTTGCTCATAGTCACTTTAGAGGGGCGCCGACAGCTATTCTCGCCGTGATGACCGTTATGAGCGACGTGACCGCTACGAACGTCCTTCCTACCGCGACGAAAGGCCTTCTTACCGTGGAAGGAGCCGGTCCCCTCCCCCACGCCGCCACTACGACGATGACCGTCGTGCTCGGTCCCCGCCACCTCGTCGGGATTATGATGACAAGAGGTCTGCTGCCATAATTGATGACCGCCGACCCGCTGACGTCCCTGATCGCGACCGCGACCATGACAGGCCCAGGAGGGACGACAGGCGCGACGACCGCTATGAGGACCGTCGTGGTGGCGGCGGAGACGGAGGCTGGCGCTAAAGCGCGGGACGGCGAGGCGTAACTGAAAAGGACTTGGTTCGCGGGAACGCCACCGTTATGCCCCAACGTTCCCACACAGTACAGATGGACCGGACTGACAATGGTTTCCATCCTACGGTTTTCCTACATTCCCCTCCAATCCGGACCGCGGTCGATTGTCGAATTTCTTGCTTGCTTTCACCAAACGTGTTTCCATCATGTGCCCTATGCTGTCACTTTTATTCTGCCTCTTGCCCCATTCCTCCATCCAATCCTCCGTTTATGTGGCGTGCGACCGGTCATCCTTCTTCGTTGGTCCATGTCGGGAAGCCCTGCCGCGGTGGCGGATCGCGAATATGGTTGGTTGTGTGGGCATCGTTCGTGTTTTCGGGAAAGGATCCTCCCTCTGTACAAGTTAATGGCCCCTCTCCAGTGTCCTGCGCTGTTTATTGGTATCCCTAGTCCAACGTTCCCACAGGAGTCGTTTGTCGGAATTTGGCCGGATCGGTCGATGGTGTACGTGCCCTAGGAAGGAAAAAACGGCCTCGGTCCGAGTCTGCCCACGAAATTCATCTAATCGTCCCCAGGTAGGTGCTAGGCGAATACAGGAAAGGACAATGGCGATAGGATCCTCGCAAGCGCCATTCGCCCTCGTGAGTGGGCGAGTTGGAACTGGACAGCCCATTGAAAGCAAACGTTCTCACCGTTCAGCGTCCGCGATGCCCTTGGTTGTACTCGTCGAAGCATTGGGAACAACGTAACCGTGGGACGCGGCTGTACTGGCCTACCCGGGTATGGTCAAGGGACAAATGTCGCTCTTGCAGGGATAGGAACCATCAAAATGCGTGCACGCGCGGACGGGAACTTATCGCAGCAGCCGTCTATTCGCTGTGGGTGAAGGTGGGTCCCTAGTCATGCTGCCGGGTTACGCTGTCCTTCGGTCTAGGGTTGCCTTCTTGGTTGGCCACTACGCGTGGCATCTGTTTCTGTGGCGGCTTGCGTGGTGGCCTTGCGATTCTACGGCGAACGGTTGGATCAGCGAAGCTCTTCGACATCATAGAAGCATTCCCAACGATGGTGGTTCTCCGATGAGCAGCTCTGCAGTGCGTTCGCGTCTTTTTTGCGTATGCTTTTCATTTGGTTCCACTCGTGGTGTCTGTGTAGTCTGTATGTATCATCGCTGTCAGTGGAATAAAATATTTTTGACTAGCTTTTACTGTCTGTTGGACGATACTGAGGTGCTCAACGAAAAGTACGCTGTCATGACATGTCTTTCTGTCGTACTGATAACGGGTATTGAGCCTTGTCCTGCCTGTCTTCACTGCACACACTGACTATCTCGGCTTGTTCTAGTTATTGACAGCCTTGACTTGGATCAGACTTGGCTCCTTGTTTGTCTCTTTGGTCATGCTGAGGTTAGAGCGATGAACCAAGTGGTACCAACCACATCCCTATGTGTCGGTCATATCGTCAATGTGCAGGCAATCCTTGACATGCTCCTCATCTTCCAGACCGGCAGCCTTGCCACACCTTATACATTATGCAGAGTTTAGAGACAAGGGTTCTGCATGTATCTCTCTTGCCGTCTACTACACCGCTTTGTAAACTAACCATACTCACCTCCAGTACCTCAAACTCAAGGACATCAAGATTCTTCACATAGGGTCAATGTGCTTTCAAGTGAACTTTCATATCATCAAGGCAAGTGTACTCCCAGTTTGCCCCTTGATTGCTCTACTAACCCGCATACTATAGGTACAGTCTAAAGGTCCTAAAGATGGAGAAGAGTCCTTCATTCTTGAGACGAAGAGCCACAACCTCTGTTCTCGTCCTCATATGGTTCTTGTGGGCCCGAGGTGCTTTCAGAAACATTGTTTGTCCTTTCCTCATCTTGTTTCAACCTCCATGCTCATGACTGTACAAAGTCAACTGGGTATGTCTATAAAAGCAAGGCCACTGAACTCAAGACCACCTATGTGAGATCAACCTGGTGTGAGTCCCTACGGACACTCATATTGTCTTGTCTGTACTTCATCATGTCTATATTGATTCTTCCAGGCTACTCCCAGTCGTCACACTTACTTACCGACGAGCCTGCTTTGAGGGTGAAAGTACATCACACTATCCAACACCTATCTAAGCTCTCTGTCAGAGCCAGATGTGGGGGTACTTTGTAGGATTGGTGGAAAACTACTTTGACGACTGCCTGTTGGATGAGAATGAAGCATTCAGCCACAGATATACTGCTCAGGGTGACAAAAGCTTAGCAAAATGGGCCCAACCGGGTTCGAACCGGGGATCCGATTCCGTTGGACCGGTTCGAACCCGGGTGTCCCCTTTTGGTGCCTCCTTCGAGCAATTCACGCGCCCTCCTGTCTCGCACCTGCCGCCTACACCCCCGTTCCAGAAAAAGATCCTGTGAAGTCTTGACACTGAATCTTCTCTGGAGAGCCACGGTCAACATCCACGAAGGGCAAAAGACTCAACGATACTTCAGCATCTCTCTGAGCAAACCTGTCGACGCGCGTCATCGATGATGGTGGCCCCACTGGCACATCAAAGATGGGGTTTCCTTATAAGCCCCCAGCCACAGTTCGAAGCGAACAGCAAGGTGCGTTCTTTCCTTTCTCTTTCCCCCTCTCCTTCTCACTTGTGCAACTTGACGATCTGGCACTGGTGCGTGTGCCCATCGTCTATTAACAGTCTTCGCTCAACAGGATCAGTAGTGCCAGCAGCCGGTATGTGGAGGAGTCTGCTGTTCAGGTGCGCTCACGGGCCCGGCGGCCAGCTGCAGAGTCCCACCTGTCTTGTCAGGTCCCGATGATAAATTGTGTCTTGTCGCTAAGTTCGTGCACCTGTATTCCCTCAACCTCTCTTCTTGTGAAGTAATTTCTCGGTATTCGACATCTCTGTTCATCCTCATGTATAAGTACATACAATATACATGTTTTTGTCTACCAACTGCAGTGATTGAGAGTCTCGTACCGAAAGGAAGAAAGAAAGCAAAAGTGAAAGTAAAACCAAAAGAAAAGAAAAAACCAAAAAAGGCCTAATCAGCGAGACTTGATTGACCCTTTTGCGCACATTCCATGAACCTCATCGAAGTCTTCTGCGCATCTCCCTAGAGACTACTCTTCAAAAAGACCTGGTTGATTTGAGAAGTCACGCTCAAGGAAGACTTCATTGGCACTTCGTGGAGCTTACCCGAAGGATGTCCGGAGACACCCGCGTTGATGTTTAGGAAAGCTTCGCGCGGGTTGGTGGTGTACTGCAACGAACGGCCCTCTTCACTGCGCAACTCGCGGCCGACGCCGCCACGATGTGGCCCAGACACCGTCATCGTGCCACTCGCGGTGCGGACAGGAGTGTCTCCGTCTCACGTAGGTGGTCCCATGTACAGCTCAAACCCCTATCATCTTTCTCTAAACTGTCATGGTCATCCCTGTTCCTTGTTGCCATACATGTATTTATCCACTCTTTGTGCCCAAAATATATGTATATGTACATCTACCAGTTGCAAAGCTAAGACTGGCATGGAGAAGGCCGTTCAGGTGAAGCGGCACGTCAGGCTCAGAGCTCTCGACCCCGCTCGTACGGCGATTCGAATACCCTGCCATGCATCTGGTGTCCGAGGATGCTCGCTGGAAGACGGTGACGCTTGGGATGTAAAGTCAGATGGCCGAGCAAATGCAGAATCGGAGCCGATAAGAACACTCACCCCGACATCTCTCCTTAAAGCACCAAGGCCCCGCCGAGCGGCATTTGCACCCGCCGGAGTGACAGTCTCTTGGTGATGGAGGATGAAACTGTACCGGTAATAGATAACGGCTTCGTTCTGCGATTCGAGTGAGCATGGACGGCCTGCGGACCGAGGAGGTCGAAACGTACCGAGTCTGCTGCAATGTTGACAATTGCTTCTATACGGACTTGAATGTGGGCATCAAAGGGACGATTGAGAATTATTGCAGATGATGAGGACATGACAGTGTGGACGAACTACGCACCATGTTTATCGGGACATTTTATACTACTGGCCAGGAATGGCCTCGAGCTTAAAATCGCTGCTCAGATCACCACGTGGTCGTGTGGCAAGTCCACATATGGAAGAAAAGAAGCATAGATCCTGTTGATGCACCAAGCAGAGTTAGCAGTGCTAGTGAGCACGAAACAGAGTTCTTGAGAACATAAGCCGTAGAGATTCTAGAGAACAAGCTCATGCGTGAGCTGCACAATGATTAGTAATCAGGAAAGCCGGTCCGTTCCGCCCAGCGCACCGCCTCCATCTGCGAGGCCATGAATTTGCACACGCCACTGCAGCTTGAGCATGGACGACGAGTGGCGCATCGCCGACGAAGGAGACTACGAGCCTCCTGTCCTCCTCGACTTTGTCGACATCTCGAACGACGATGAAGCTTCAGAGCTTGCTGGCGCTCTCCACGACTACCTCATCAACCGCCGTTCCCAGCCCGGCAGTTCGTGGGATGCTCTCCGGAAAACCGTCTTTGACACGGCAGAAGTCGTCCGTCGGATCGACACGACACCGTCACGAACGACGTCCACGGTATCACCAACGATGCCCACACCATCTCGAAAGCGCACGCCTGCAGAGAAAACGGCGCAGGCGGTGTCAACTCGCCTTCCGAGCATCCTCGCCGCTCTCGATTCACAACCACACCCGGTCTCAGTCGACGAGCTCTGCGCATACCTTCTCCGAGGCGCTCCTTCCCGTGGCCAGCACGCCGTTCACGAAGATGCAGCCCTCCTGCGTGCGCATAAGGGCTATAGTTGTCGGGCTGGAGATCTGACGCAATGGGTGAGTGCCGCTATCGGCAGTTATACGCATATACCCAGTACTCTCCTCAGCAAACGGCGCTTCGCCCTCAAGGCATCGCACCCACGCTCGCACAGTTTTGCGAGGACTCCCTCGACCTCCTTCATCATTCCATCGAAGATCGCCTCTCCCAACGTCTCGCCAACCTCACTGCAGACCCAACGCTCAGCCGGTGGCTTCAGACCGTCCTCGTCAAGATCGAGTGTCTGTATTTCCAGCGCGACTACTCCAACCACACTCATGGCCACGGCTCCAAGCGCTGGCTTTCTGGCTGGAGGGAGAAGGAGTTCACGGAATGGCTCAAGCATCAACCTCGCTGGCCCGACATTCTCGCTATCCCTGAAGACGATCGCCCATCGTCCGAACTCTACAAATCACATCGCAAGACCTTCGACAGGGAGCTCGAGAGCCTCAAACGTTCTCGCTCCCGGCTCGCTGATCTCTACGAAAAGGTCAGTGTCCGTCTCTCGTGTTTGTTCCGCATTTAACAGTAGTATAAACAGTTTGGCCCCGCCATCGTTCTCGACCCATTCTTCACTCTTGACGACTGCTACGCGTTTCGCTCGGACTACTTTCAGCCTGTATATGCCGAGCTTCATGCGCCTGACACCGCACGTGCACGCCTTGTTGCGAATGTACAGGCCACAACCGAGACTCTATGTGCGCTTGCGAGCTTTGTCGGCGGACCCTCTGTTGCTCACTACCTCGATGTATTTCTCGCTCGTTTCGTGTTTGCAGTTTGAGAACCTCGGTGTATGCGCGCGCTCAAAATAGAATACATGCGGATCCCTGAACCTCGTCTGGAATGGCTCGAGGTTCGAGATCTCTCACGGTTTTGCCTCCGTTGGCGCATAAGGACCTCGCCCTCGCCTCTTCCCTTGTCCTCATCTCTTGCTCTCGTACCACCACCACCATCATCATCTGCACCATGTCTCAGCCCATTGTCACCCTCGCTGTTTCTCCCCCGTCTACTCCAAATGCTCGCAAACGAGCTCGTCTTGCTGACGGTGACGCTCCTGCCAAAAGGTTTGGGTGGCCCCAACAGATCACACCATTGCTTCCTTCTTCGTGTCATTGATGTTTACTGACCGTCTTCCTTCCTCACTCGGCGACAGCGTTACCCTTTCTCACCAGTCCCTCCAACTTCTCGCCGAGAACGCCCAAAAGCTCCTCATGATACAATATCGAGCCGACATCGTTCGACAGCGCATCAAGCTGCAACTCGCACAGGCTGAAGCCTCCCGCGCTAAAGACGAAGCTCGCAAGGCTGAAGAAGAGACCAGCATGCACAAATACGAACTCGAGCGCACTCAGCTGGAGGTTAAGAAGCTAGAGTTGGAGCTCAAAGTGCATCAGCTCAAGGCGAAGAAGTGATCCACCGCTTTCTTCTCTGTCATGTCTGTACGGGTCCTATTCGCCCCCTTGTAATTCACTGGGTTTCGGACGCATATAAGCATGGGCTTTGTGATCGCTCGAAACGGCATGCCTCCCCGTTTGGACGACGAACCGGGCCCTCCGCCTCCTCGGCCGCCTCCTCCCTCTCATGCGTTCTTTAACGCCGTTCAAGCTGCCACCTCCGTCACCGGCATTGCAAACACCGCCCTCCGTCACAATCCTACCAGCTCCGGCGTACAATGTGGCACGCATCAAGCTTCCTCTCACACTGACAAATATTCTTGGATGTCGGGTGCTTCGATCGCCGCTACCACCGCGGAGCATGCGGCCAACGTTGCTCTTTCCGCCGGACCCAGCTCAACTGCTACCGCTCCCGCCGATGATGACCGTAATCCTGATCGCATCTCTTCCTTCCGACAAGCCGCACCTCTTCCCAAATTTGACGAGCGCGCCGTAGAGAGAACTAAACAGAAGCTTCTTGCTAACATCGGCCGGTTCGCGGGCCATGGCGAAACCGGGATCGATTTGTATTTTCAGCAGGTCCACGAAGAAGCCCTCTTGCCAAAGGACCGCGAAAACCCCTCGACGAAAAAGGGGCGCAGAGCTTTACTCGTCAACTGGAACTCCTACGCTCTCCGGTTTTGCAAAAAGGTCTCTGTCGCCGATCACTGGTCGACAAAATTTGTCCGTGAATTTGCGAGGACATTTCTGCGGCTACGGGTGCGCATCTCTTTCTCTTTCCTTGCCTTTCGCTCGCTCAACCAGTCCATCGCCAGGTTCAATGGACGAAAGGCCGTGATGGAGCGCCACACGTCAGAGCGACCACCGTCGGCAGCTGGTTAACCGCCCTTCTCCACTGCATACTAAAGTATTGTCGTGATCGCGAGACTAACGAGGCGACCGGCATGAAACTCCTCGTCCTAGAGGACTTTTTCCATACCCTCAACAACGAAGTGAACCAGCGTAAGCCTCTCTTCTCGCCGTGTCTCGCTACACATCCTGACTGGTTCATAGTCGTTGACGATTTCGGCTTGGAGCGGACCCGGATGCCCGTCCTTTTCTTCGGCCATGCCGAAGTCAGACTGATGAACCAGGTGGCGCTCACCACGTCCCTCCGGAACGGTCGCATCGCCAAGTTGCAGTCGATGCTCGGCATGCTCCTCATTTTCCAGACCGGCCTGCGGACCAGTAGCCTCGCCGCACCCTACGCGGAGTTTAGAGACAAGGGCCGTGTACGTATATCTATCGTTACACCGGCTCGCCAACTGACCTGATCTCCAGTACCTCAAACTTAAGCATATCAAGATTCTTCGGATAGGGTCGATGCGCTTCCAAGCGCGATTCCATATCACCGAATGGAAGGTAGCTTATATTCCCCGCTCTTGCTCCCATCTCACCCCGCTGACTCGGACCCGCATATAGGCACAGTCCGAAGGTCCTAAAGGCAAAGAAGAGAATTTCGTTCTCGAGACCGTCACGAAGAGCCACAACCTCTCCTTCGACGTCGTTCTCGTCCTCATAGCATTCTTGTGGGCTCGAGGCGCTTTTGGAGACATCGTCTGTCATCTCCTCATTCACTCCCAATTTCCGCAAAGTTGCTCACAGCCGTACACAGTCAATTGCAGACATTTACAAAAGCAAGGCTACCGACCTCAAGATCATCGAGACCATGCGTGATCAACCTTTGTAAGAGTCCCCACACCCACCCATTTTATCCGCTACTTAATCGTGTCCATTGCAGATTCCTCAAGGCCACTTACGGCGGTCACGAACTTACCGACGAGCCTACCTTGGGCATAAAGATATCCGAGGCGATCCGAGCCCTATCTGTGAGTGCTGGACTCCCCTCGGGAGGAGCTGCCACCTTGCGCAGAGATTTTGCAAACTTTGTACGTCGCCAAGTTTTCTTTTTTTTTTTTGCTGTATATTTAGGCTCACCGAGTATAGCTGGGTATCCTTCTTGGCAAAGCGATCGCCGCCCAGGCAATCGGCCATCAAGACCAATCCACTGGCGTCTACAGCACCCACTATTCGAGGAACCTGGCCAACATTCCTCTCAGCGCCATACGGACCTTCGAGCTCGAAATAGAGGACCCACTCGCCAAGGTATCACTACTCCTTCCATCCTCTGTTGGTGTTTGATCCTGAATCACGCCCCCATCTAGACAACCTTCGCCATGCACGAGCTGATGAGGGTTGCCGTCACCGCCCTACTCTTCAAGGACATCGACGTGGAGAAGGCAGCCCAAGCAGAGGATACAGACGAAGAGAAGCCCAGGCCAGCCGTCAAGAACACGAAGGCGACGAAGAAGAATCTTGACAAAGACGATCGCGAGAGCATCGAGGTTTGCACCGCCTACCCCCTTCTTCCTTTTTCCGAACTGACAGCGGCCTTTTGAAGAATCATCCGGACATGAAGGCCATCCAGAGGCAAATTCAACACGAATGGTCGACCTTCATCGCCTGCTTTGAACCATCACCGACCAAGTACGCCATGACGAAAGGCAACATCACCACCATCTTCAAGAAGTCGGAAAAGTTCCGCGTCGTGAACACTGAGCAGGCCAACAAGGTGACGTACCGGTCTATGGTTATTATTGAATTACCATTTTCTGATGTCTCGTTCGTCGACAGCAAAGGGCGATCTTTGATGGTCTTTTTGACAGAATTACCAGGAAGCGGCGGGCGTTGACCAAGACTGCAAACCGCGCAAAGCAACACGATCGGTCTTCGCGCATGGTCGAAGGTCTCGGTGAAGAGGATACCTACGAACGCCGTCAAGAGATGATGGCACGCGCCGATGCCCCCTCATCCATCATCGCCGAGACCTCCAAGGCGGGCGCCAGTGCGTTCCCTCTCCCTAAGCCTGCTGCTGCTCCGACTGCACAGCCCACTGAACCTGCTTTCTCCGGTGCGTTTCTCTTTCTTTTTCTCCACACCGTCATTCATCATCCCATCTGCCTTGGGCCATGCGCAGGGCCCAGCGACGCTCTTCCAGAGTCGGAAATTCGGCTGTATCCCATGACCCCTTCCACACTCAACCCTGACGACTGGATTAGCTGGTCCGACAGTGTTCCAGCCGCCGAATATGCCGAGGAGGAACCAGAAGATGAGATTGAGACCACCGCTACCAGCGCCACATTATGGAACAGCCTCAATCCACTCTTTCGTACAAAATACACTCGCCCAGTCCAGCCCAGTACCTCTTCTGCACCTAAACCGGCTTCGGACAGTAATAAGAAGGATCCTGTCAGCGATAGCGACTGGCTGGTCGATGACGAAGCTCCAGGGACTCGCTTCGCTGAAGCTGGGTATGATGCTGGCGAGACCGAGATGCTCAACGTCCCCATAGACCAACTCGCGTTTTACTACCTTTGCGGTCTTGTCCAGCCCATCATCGAGGAGCGGGAGCGCAAACGGGATCTCAAGGCTGCAGTGACAGTTTGTCTTTTTGTTCTTGCTCATCGACAAATCTCCCTCACGCTCCCTTTTTCTCAGGACGACGGTAGCACTTTGGTCTGCCCCAAAGATGGCTGCCCTTTTACTGTCTCAACTCGAAGCCGTAGTAATTTCGAGCGCCACCTTGCGTAAGTTTCTGTTTGCTTCATCCCACATACTTTGTTGACGCAAAGCCCCCCATAATCCAGCATCGGGCATTCCCGGTGGCGACAGTTCACCGCTAGCCTCCTCGTCCAAAAACGCGCAAATAAACGCCAGCGCAGTGTTTTCCGCTGCCCTGTTGACCGAACGTACGCCCTTTCGCCACCCTTAGTTTCACCGCGGATCCATAGTAATCATTCGCTCTCTCCTACAGTGTATTCCACGACAAGGATGAGATCATCGCCCACTGTCTGTCCAAGGAGTGCGCGAGCCACATCGCCCATAACGACATGCACGACGAGTATCTTGTTGCTCGTGAACGATGGCCCGCGTACGCTCAAGGAAAGGGGTTCCGAAACTTTGTTGACCCCTCAGAACTCGAAGACGAGGCCGCCGCCGCCGACCAACCTGAGATTATGGAGACGCTCACGACTGATCCGCCACTCGAGGTACATTCTGCCTCTGTATCTTTATGTGAGCCTCACTAATGCTAATTCCCATTGACCAGTTCGACGATCCCAACTCCGTTCGAGCAGTGGCTCAGCAGCTCAGACATCTAGGTATGGACGCCGTCGAAGAGCAAGCTCAAAACGTTCGTCTCCTCGCCTTCCCTTTTTGCGTGACATTCACTGATGAGACCCCCCAGCGCTCGATTGTGTTTCCTTCAATGTCCGACCGCGCATTCCTCCTTGATCGGTACGATGCGGTCGCCGAGGCTGACTTGGCTGCTTTGATGAGCATGGACATGGGTGAGGTTGAGCGAAATTTCGAGGCCATCACAGCGGAAGATTCAGACGGTGAAGAAGGGGCGGAGGACTCAGAGATGGCCACCGAAACCTAATGTATTCACTCTCTTGTAACATTCTCTTGTCCTTGTCACTAAGCAGTGTGGCCCGTACCAGAAAATCAAAGGCTATATGTGATTCTATTAGAGGCGAATAAAATTACATCAAAGCTCAGACTCGTGAGGAGAAAGTGAAAGCCCCTCTGCTATATGACGGGGCATGCTGGCCAAATACTCCTTCTTCTCGGCTGCAGAGAGGCTGGAGATTGGACGACCGTCTAAATCGACCCATTGAAAAACCGGCCCACCCGTCCATGCCACAAATGACTCCCGGACGCCTTTACCACGTAAGATGGTATTATAGTGGGGGTACATCGCCGACGGGACGAACATCGGGATTCCAGCTCCGATCTCAAACTCGCAATCTAGTTCTTCTACGACAAGACGGCACGAAGTTCGATAGTTGAAAAGATTGAAGGGGATGATGAGGCACCAGCCAAACAGTAGATTCAAAAGGTCCTTGTGCCAACGGCTAACGACCGTCCCGAGGTTGAAAGAAAAGCTCGCCCACGGATAAAAGCACGCTCGGGTGCCCGGTCGCTTCTTCTGAACGTAGTCGATCGCGGCGCAGTAACGCTGGTATAGTCGAGGGGCGGTTGCTTTGAAGATGCCTAGGAGAGCATGGGTGAGTAAGGTGCCCTGGAAAATTTACAAGAGACAAGACTTACGTGCCACAATGGCCTGTACAGGCTCGAGGATCTCGAGGATTTCTTCAGCTAGCTGCTGATGCTTTCGGTAATAGGCGGACATGATTGGATCCTGTGCGATGCGAAGAGGTTAGACACTCGAACTGTGAAAGAATAAGACACTGTACGAACCGATTGAGACCCGCGATGAAGGGAGAAGAAGTAGGCCGCAAAGTCGCCACGCGTACCATTCGTGAAGGTGGGCTTTATGTTCCGGAGCATATCGGCGACGCGCATAAGGGTTTCGTTGATGGAGGTCCACACCGGCCCTTTGGGAGACCAAGCCCTGTATAAAACAAGGCGTCCGTCGGCGTCGTACACCCTGGCAGCCTCCCTACAAGCGAAGAGGAAAGGTCAGGCGTCTATAGACAGGATATAAAGAATCACGCACCCTTCACCCATCGGGATACGTACGTTGGCAGCCTTGACCGCCGGCCGCTTGGGCGCACGATAGCCGACATACGCGTTCGTCTTTAAGTTATCCGCCGCCGAAACCTCGACATCAACTATATCTGCCTCCATGAGGCGCGAGAGCCCGTAGACGTACATACGACGGGCGGAGCGGTACTTCCTACTGTTTTCCAGGTCCATGGGATACGGGAATATGCGGCTTGTCTCTCGGGCCGTTCTCTCAGGCCCAGTAGAGTGCTCTGACGGTGGTGTAGAGCTTGACAGTGCGTGCAAAGCATCACTGATCTCTGCGCGCATATCACGGGCGTCGAAAACCTGAGGATCGCTGCCATCGTCGGGCTCGTCGCCGGGCCAGCCCACAGAGTCGAGGACATCGACAGCCCGAATCTTCGCTTGGCGTCGTGTCTCCGGCGGCATCTGGGATTAAGCCAAGTCAGTGATACTACGCCACTTTCGCAGTCAAGGCAAAAGCTGTAGATTGGGAGCCACCTAAAAATCAAGGGGAGCCACTTCAGCACGCGTCAGCCGGAGAACAGGCGCCATTGGACATCGCCAAAGCCACCACGAACATTCCTCAGATAGCCAGATCGTCTCGACCATAGTTTCTCATTTTTGGAATGCCGTTGTTCCCCACTGACGGGCACCATGGCTCACCACTCGACAATGAAGACGGCGGCTCATACAATCAACGATCGACATGAAAAGGGAAAACGCACGTTGTAAGACGGGATGCTTCAGGCCTGAGCGTTGGAGAATGCTGCCTTTCTACTGACCCTCAAAACCCGGTGTGCTGCGAATCTATTTCGGAAAAGGGACTATGACAGTCGTTAGCGTATGTCAAACACGGATGAGGCATTGAGTGGATGGGTGTGATGTCCGTGGCCACGAAAGACGCGTCTTTCCACAAGCTAAGACAAGACGACTCACAGATTGGTGATTGAACAATATATTGGGAGAGACAAGTTGGAAGATGGATGACGAAGAGAAGCTGTGATGGAAGAAAACAAGGTGTGAGTGGTTGCGGAAGATAACAAAATGTCAGGCAGATAGAAATGCCCCAGCGCGTGCGCGTCACGTCGCATGCACACGAGTGGCAGTAGCAAGGCAGTGTATTACTGCAGGAGACATGGAAGGTAAAAGTATGCAGAGTCACTCACCGTGGAAAGGGGAGATTGGGGCTGTCCCAGTTTTGTCGCAATAGCCCAGTATTTATAGGTGCCCCAGAGAACCACGGAGACGGGCAACCTTATTTTTTGGGATGGGGCGGTGAGGTGTCATCGCCGTGCCATTTGATTGGTCCGAAATTTACTAAATGTCGAAGAATATCGGATTTAGCGTTACGGAATCGCAAGTAAGGAAACGGCTGCATTACCGTTGTCTATCCAGCAATCCCAACGTGTTGCAGGGCCAGGGCCTGCATAACAGCAAGTGGTGAAGACTCGAGTCGCTAACATCACAAGTGAGTGCAAAGATGAGAGGTGGGCAGACGAGCGCAAAGTCGAATGTAAACGCATCGCGGGACGGCCATCAGACAATCACGTAACGTGCATATGTTGCCATGCGATCGGACAGCGTTGAAAGTCAAATGGGCGCGTTTGGGCTTTCTTCACCGAGGGGCGTTATTCATGGGCAAGAGAAGAGAGGTGATTGAAGACGGACAGACGCGCTTCGTATTGAACAAGAGATGCAGGAAACCGGACGCAAGTATACTCTCACCGAGAGTATTTTTAGAAGCACTTACAACTCGAACGGGTGGGCCGGATCCTAGTATTATTAAGCGCTAAGCTTGCGACGGGTTGCTATGCTCGACGAGCATAATCAGCCTAAATCTACAGCCAAAGACAACGTCAAGCAGAGTTTCAACCAAGTTTCAACTTCTAGAGAGTGAGCTGGAATCAAGCAGTAGCAGAGTAAGAGCTGCCGCGATACTGCGCTGGTGTGAGCGACTGTGAGCGACAGGAGAGAGCGACGGATCGCTAAGTCGGACCGCGCGCGTTGTCGAACAGTCTTAGTCACCGAGAAAAAGGGGGGTGTCTTCCGCAAAAAGTCATCCATGGGCCCAACCCAGGTTCGAACTGGGGATCCCTTGCATTTAAATTATCCGGTTCGAACCCGGTGTACACCCAAAGCAAGTATCTTACCACTAGACCATTGGGCCTTATTACCCAGATTAAAAGCTCATATATGATGTGGTAGATCAAGGTCCTGGACAGCTGGGCTTTCTCAGCCATTCATTATATTTTCTTCCTTATTTCTACAAAATAAATGATGCACATGAGTAACTAGACATGTTCTCAGTACTCTGAAATTTATTTGTTAACTATCGTCGACTTCCTCGTGCTCAGTGAATATTCTCCGAGAGCGACTCTTGAAAGTGGCGCGTCAAGAACGCACGGCAATTGCCGAGATCGGTACCAAAACGCGCCACACCCGCCTTGTCGGGTGACCGGTTTCGCACCCAAGCACCCTGAACGACAGGGTAAAAACTTGGTAAAAACGGGTACCCAGAACATGAGCACGCTGTACACGCTTCTATATACAGCATATGTGGATTGATCTGTGACGGTCAACATTCATTCGGTCGCGGGGCAAAAGTGCCAGCACTGGTACTTAGTACAAACACCTTCGCAATCGCTTTTCGAAAGATATATATATCCACGAGTACTTACGCGAATTGGGTCCTAGGTCACGCCCCTATCGAGACAGATGATCCTGAGTCCTTGAGACGCGACACCACATCCTGTAAAACTGCCCCGTGTACCGCCGCAAGCGTAGAGCTGGAATGGTATCCTTCATTGCATCATCACGACGTCCCCTTTCGCTACTGAAGGACTTCTTGACGAACAATCCTCTTTCTTTTACCTTCAATTCATCTAATCTACATACTCCGAACGTTCCACGGCCCCCAGATTGATCAAACGATCTACAGCGTTTGCATCACTCGTGCCTTCGTTGAATAGACGTGCTCCGACACTCCTTCCTCACTCTTTTCATAGAGATCTACAGTATTTACCAACTTTACATACTTAGTTAGTTGACTAGTAGCGTACACACCCAGCGCCCCTGACTCGCGTCGGCGCTATACAAATACAATCGATTTTTTTAAAAAAAAAGGGGAGTACGCAAATTGTTTTCACAGACCTCAAAAGATGTGCATTAACAACAGGCTCCGTTGCGGATCCCAACATGAAACTGAAGTTCCAGTACTCTTTACTATAACCAACTTCACCCTGTAGGACACAGGGGACGGAATCACCCTAAAATGAAGGACCACAAAAGACCATGACATTTTCTACGATAGACAATACACGCATACACGGCCCAATACATAACAGCCCAGAAATGGACCCTTTTAATGCCGAAGCACCAAGACACGCAGGAGTAAAATCATACAGAAGTAGAACTGGCTCTAACTAACGCGCGACTTCTCTGACTTACAACGCGGGGTTCGCAGCGCTGACCAACGTCTCGAAGTACGTCTGGAACCAGGTACCGGCCTCCGGAGCAGGGATGGTAGCATCGGACTATTAGAATCAATACGACCATCAGTCAGTATTGGGAGACATTGGAATAACGGAGAGGAGTAAGGAAGGAAGCCAGACGCACGAGAGAGCAGTGAGGGTCATAACGTGGCGAAGAGCTGTTGCTCGTTCCGTCACATTCTCCTCCAGGCTTGACCCAGACGATGGCATCAATCAAAGAGTCGCCAGTGTCCGTAGTGGGCTGAGTACCGAACCCGGCACCCTTGACGTTGCACCAGTCACCCCAGGCGGCACGGATGTTCTGCACACCGGCACGGCCTTGGTCGACGATGAACTGGGCGGGGAAGCCAGCGGAGTGGATGACGGGGGCAAGGGCCTAAAGTCGTAGAAGTGAATAACGTTAGTTGGATGTTCGAGGTGAATGAGGTGAGGGTCGAGGATGTATATGGGGTACGAAAGAACTTACGTTGATGTAGAGGCTCTCGTCGTAGTTAGGGTTGCCCTGGGTAATGGGATCGGGAGAGGCGGCGACGAGGGCATTGTAGTTGGCAACGTTGGTGGCGAGACCCCTAACGAAGGGGGATGATCCAGCGTTTTGGTAAACTTGGGTGAAGAGGGTGGCGGCGGGCGACTAAGAAACATGATCAAGATTATCAGTATTCGTTTCCCTGATAGCAGCGAGCAAGACGTACGAGGTTAGCGGGCCACCCGAGCCATCCAGCATGTCCCTGTGAGCGATGAAAGTATTCAGCATCGATAGCGCTGCTGAAGAGACGCAGATTACTTACGGCATCGAGGTACATGTAAACATTGACGGTGGCGAGCTGCTCGATAGCGTAGTTCACGCAGGCGAGGTAAGTCGTCTGAGCGTTAGCACACTTCTCGACGGACAAGTTGGTGACCAAGTTCGCAAGGGAGTCGGGCTCAATGACCGCAACGACACGGACATCGGGGTACTCTGTAGCAAGACACGATCGGGTAAATATATCAGCACAGAGGCCTCGGGGTGGATAAGGTGTATGTGAACTCACGCTTGATCTGGGCGACGAGCTGGTCAATGTAGTCCTTGTAGTTGGCTTCACCGTTGTCGGCGATGGAGAACTCTCCGTTCGAAGCGGAAGCCTGTGCCATAACAGTCCTTGAGAGGTGCACTCAATCATGAGTAATTATACAACTCACAGCACAGTCACGGTCCGGAAGATCGTAAACCACAATCGGGACAATCTGCTTCGATCCTGAAGACGTCTGCAACGCCGTAGCATTGGCGAGGTATGTCCCCAAAGTCGGCACCTTCGCGACCTGGTCGAACCAAGTGAACGTTGGGATGTTCGCCACAGAAGCTGCCTTGCCCGCCAAAGTAGAGTCTGTGATGTTGGCGGCAGCAGCGGCGACCTCAGCAGCATAGTACGGCGAAGCGAAGATCTCGTAGCCCTCGAAGGGGTTGCCGGCAGCAGCGGTGGAAGTCGAGGAGGGAGCGGAGGAGGTGCCGGAGGCAGTGGATGTCGGGACGGAGACGGTGGATGCAGGAGCCGTGGTCGACGAGGCAGCGCCGGGGCTAAGCGTGGCCAGGTCCGTCAGTGAATACGATCGGAATTTTACTATGATAGAAATCATAGACGTACAGGCACTGGGAGTAGTAGTCGTTCGAGTACGTGCAAACGGAGCCGGCAGCGCAAGCCGTCGCCCCACTCCATCCCTGACCTCCGCACTGACCTGGTCGACGATGCAGCACCGGGGAGAGAGGTTCACCTCAGTATAAGGAAAAAGGGACAAGAAACAGGTGTGACCAAGGCGTACCGTATATAGGAGCCTGTGCGGCGACAGACGACGCAAGCGTCACGAAAGCCAAGAGAGACGCGAACTTGAACATCTTTGATTTGGGGAGAGGGGTTGAATAACAAAGCCTGTGGCGACGATGGGGACCAAGAGGAGCAGCAGACCTGAGGATATTAACCTCGCTCAGGCGTTCTTATATATCCACGAGAGCGCAAAAATAAAAGAAGCACGCTGATAGCGGTCATACTCTTGGGTCGTAGGATCTGCAACAGCGGAGAGAATAACCGGATATATCCCGAATAAAAGCAAGGCGGATAGACGTCGGTAGCACGCGTCGACTGCCTGCAACGGTCAAGAGATGAAGATCACGAGGCATAGAGATTATTCCGGCTGCCAAAGGTCAAGAAGCATTGGAAGCCTGAAAGAGGAACGAAAGCCCATAGCGGTGATTGATGGTCCACATCACGAAAACGGATATAATTCGGCAGACGTATTCGGCAGGAGGTCGAAGCCTTTTTACGTCGGGCAGAACGCGATGATGGTGAGCTTCCGAGGTCAAGAATTGTCTATACACAGTCATGAGACCGAAACGCGCACGGAATCACGCCGTACAGATAGCCTCCGAGCATACGTTCTAAGTGACAAGCACGCTTGACGGTTGTAACCTTGGTATTTCTTGAGCTTCCTCGCTCATGCGGAGAGAAGTCGCTACCTCGACGGAACAGCGGCGGGTCTAGGTTTTGGATGGATCCCGTGCGAGGTGGAGGAGAAACACCCCGTAACAACGGCGGAGGCTTTGAAGGGACGGAGAATGCCTAGACTGCAAAAAAAAGCTCCAAACTTCGTGACAAATGAGAACATGGGGAACTGAGAGCACATATTAGCCCTTCGCCGATACCGGACTTGAGACTTCCGATATACGGGCTTCGTACTTGTTGTGCCCTCCCTCCGAGCACAAGAAAGAAACAACAAACATTCAAGGACACAAAACCTGTTGGACTTTGTGGTCGTCAAACATCATTTCCCAAGCTATAACAACAAAGTGGCGGTAGCACTTACAAATATGGGTAGCCACACCGAACTCCTCCCAGTGGAGCCGAGTTACGCCCATCCACAGAGGATGTTATGATGACCTCGGGGCAAGAAACACCACAAAAGCGGATGTCACTCATCGAGTTTGAGCGTGCAACATGTGGTCCAGCTGTTCATCATGAACAGGTACAGGAAAGAGGCCTACTGTTCAGGCGGATCAACACTAAGGTTCTCTGTTGTTCGTTTTAGAAAGCGGGATCTGATAAATTCAACCAAAGGATCAGAACATGATGCCCAGTCAAAGTTTATGAGAACGGCGAACGTGGAGGAACTTACCAGGAGGGATGGTTCGAGTGGTGAAAGATGTGGCGAAAACGCGAGCTGGCAGTGCAGCGAGTATAGGCCATACTCAATCAAGTGCAAGAAGAGCAAATGATACGCAGTGCTCAGATGAATCCTAAACATGTTATACATTCCCATTTCCGCAGGTCTCGACAGTCAGTCCGACGAATAGAGGTTCTCAATACCTACTCATAACTCATCAATCCATCCTTTGACACCCAATCACAGCACCGCACATAAGATTCCAGAAAGTAGTCAACGAGTCAGGCAATAAAATCAACGCCTCCTCGGTGCGCTAGGAGGTGGTGGCAACAGCGGGAAGGCACCACCGCTTGAGCCGCCTTTCGCGCCTACGCCTCCCGCTGTCGATGTGCCGCCCAAAAGATCGGTCGTGCCACCGAGTAGACCAGATGTCGACAGAGAATCGGTCTTCTTCTCACGCCCGGGGATGGAGATGGAGAATGTCTGGCCTTCTTTGAGGGAGTAGTCTTTCTTGGGGCCGGTTGGGACGTGAGGTGATGGTTTGTCGGTTTCAGTAGGGGAGGGTGGGTTGAGACGGGCCTTGTAGCGTCTATCATCGATGGAGTAGGGATTGGGAGGGGAGTGATCAGGTTAGTAATGACAATAAGTGAGGTGGATCTGGAACAGGAGGTGTACTTCGTGTAATCTTGTAGGGCCACATCTGTTCAGATCAAGGTTAGCCTTTCCCCTTGTACATCTACGGGACGATGTGACGCACTGAAGTCAAAGCTATCCGTGCGCTCCGCAAATCCCATTCCAATGTAGGCCTTCTTGCCGCTGTCTTCTACGCGGACAACGAAGTAACGCGAGGAATCGAGGACGGCCTCCACGGAGGGCTTTGTGGGATCATATGCAGCCTTGGCAAACACTACGCATCAGAACCTCGGTTCAGCGGGGACGAGATGTGTACAAATGGAGGAGAAACAGTTCCCTCACATTCGCCTGAACAGATCATCGCCACAATCAGTAAAGCATCGACACATTCAACTGTGTTGTCGACTTTGCGCACCGGTAGAAGCATCCTCAAACAAGATATTGGCTGGATCTGTGCCCTTCTCTACGATGCGCATGCGCCCCTTCCAGAGAGGCTCTGCCAAATTTCCCCAGTCATTCGCGCGGTGCCCTTCGTTCTTCGACAACGGTGGAATCCTGTAAACTGCACGAGACCATGCGTTAGGGCGAGACGTGACACATAGTGATGGTGACACTAGACCTGATATCTCCCTGGCAATATACAAGATAGACTCGATCTCTTCGTTATCCATCTTCTAGATAGTCCTAGATGCGAGCCCACAGATGAAGATGATGGGGATGAAGGACTCTTGGACGCCGCCGCAACGGGCAACCAGCGCCACAGCTCGAACCGTGATCTGCTTTGCGCGCCTATATCAACGCATTATCCGCAACCACCATGAACGGTCCACCGACACCCCCTCTTGCTCCAGGCGAATTGCCTTCAGATCCCATTCCAGCGCCACCGATTTCCACTACATCCACTACTGAGCCAGCTGCTGAACCCACCAGCAGCGCACCGCCTGCCGAATCTCTTCCATCTCCCCAGGCCACTTCGAGTGTCCAAGGAAACAATACATCCTACTATATTGCATTTGCTCGGATATCCACTCTTGCTGCTAGCGGACACTTCGGGCCTTTGGTTGAAACTTGCGAACGTGCTGAACTTGAGGTCTCTTCATCATCTGCTGTTTTGTTGTGTGTGGCATACTGACCGTGTACGCGTTGCCCAGGAGGTGCACGAGAGCCACCCGACTCATCTACTTGTAACGGTGCCACTCGTCCTAGGATATCTCATCCTTGATGATCTGTACGTCTCTTTTCTACTCTTTGACTGGACCATAGCTCTCACGGAATATATCGTTTATGATGTCTTGGTCCTCATGCCAATCTCTGACTTACGCCACGCGTCGACAGACCCCCAGCTCAACAAGCCCTCATTCGCCTCCCTCGAGACCTCACCCATCGTCCTATTCTGCAAGCCCTCTTCAACCTTCTCGCCTCGACCTGGGAACGCAAACATGACAGAGTCTTCCCACGCGCCGAAAATGTGTTGGCCGAAGCGCGGAAAGATGGTTTATTGGGAGCGGACGAGGTCTCATTAGGTGTCGTGGCGGGATTGGTCACCGCATTCCTTGGTATGTGCTTCGTGGCCATATAATGTCAGCAGGGGACTGACATTGTCTGATATGATGGGATGCACTTTGTAGAGGCGTTCAGGACACGAACGTTCGCTTTGATATCGAGAGCGTACACTTCCATTCCCATAGCCCTCGCCCAAACCTACCTCGGTCTTCCACAAGGCCAGCTTCTATCCGGTAAGTGCTTTCCTTTTTATATTGTTATACTATACTGATGCGTCTTCCTCCTTCATAGCGGCTCAAACCAACGGATGGACATACAACGCCTCTACTCAGATCCTCACGCCTGCTCCCCCTTCTGCTCGCGCGCAACGGCCACGGGTGAATGGCTTCATCTCTGGTGTGTACCCCTTCGTCCACAAAACGAAACTACATACGTGTGGCATGCTCATTCCTGGTCGTTGTTCCCTTTAATAGCCCCATCGAGTCTCTCCGCCCTTGATCTTGTCACGAATAGTGTCGCGCGGCTGGAAGCTTAGATGCTATGAACAGCAAGCTTGTGTCTCGAAAAGCACCAGTCAAATGTCGCATCTTGTACCATACTTACCTGTATCTCTCTTACATAAAACATAATGCAACGCAAATGTACACCTCATGTCGACACATTGTACAGGCAGTTGCCCCGGGCTACCAAACAAGCTCCCTCATGATTTCTGGAAACAGCCCGGTGACTTCAACGATGCTTATTGCGTAGAATGCGTGGGGAAAGTAATGATACACAACGATAATGGATAATAGACAGTAGACAATGATGGACAGCGAGTTGACGATACGATCCAGAACGGGATTTGACGATGATGTTGACGAGAAAAAGTCATGAATTGGAGCGTGAAGGACGGAAGCCAAGGTCCGATCTAAGTTGACGGTCGATCGATACTACCCTAGAACTTCAGTCGTATGAGACGGGTCATGCACCATTCGGCGCTAGTGTACCCTCAGATGACGGAGGCAGCGCTCGGACGACTTTCTTCCAGTCCTAAAACCAAGAAGAACGCCTGGGTGTCAGCATGCTCTCAGATCATCTGCACGGTCGGAGACGAAAGAGAAATATGCAGAGGGACGAAGAGGACAAGATTCAGATGCCACCGCACCTTGTGGTTGAAGCTCCCAAAGTCGTCTGTCGAGTTGGCGATGTGGACCATATACCTCGCGAGCTTGCTCAGCTCGCGGTCAGCCTGTGCGGCAGGGGTGTGTGCTTCTTTGAAGGCTGAGATCTTGAGGCCTTGTTTGGGATTAAGAGCGAAATTCCTTCCCTATGTGGATGAGTGTCGGTCAGTCAATTGGCTCGCGAGTCGGGGTCATGATATGGGGACCGATTTCTGAAAAACGATGGGGTAGACGAGAAGGGGGAGAGAGCTGGACAGTGAGTAGTAGGCACACGTACGAGATCGTCGATGTGGATTGTGTTTTTTGCGTTGCTAAGATGCGTAATGTCGACCAGTTGTAGAGTCAGACACTGCTTGGGCGTTCGATATGAAAGTGTAAATAGACATACAACTCCTTGAAGTGATTCCAGATAATCTGCAGCGGTTTAACAGAATGTCTATACGTCTCGCCTTCCCGTTGCGAGAAGACTGTGAACATAGAGGTTTTGTCCAGCACTGTTGAATGCCAGCCGAGACTAAAGGTTAGCAAGGTGAACTCTAGAGAAAGCACACAATGTCTATACCAAAGGAGATCTGGACGTGGACGTGGACATGGACATGGACATGAGATCATGAAGGTATAACTGCAGAAAAAGGTGGCAGCAAAGCAGACCTTGTAAGGCTGATTAGACCCGAGCATTCCAAGTTCAACCAGCTTCGTTTCCAGCCATATCCAGCTCGTCTGAGACCTGCGATATTGCGACAAGAGAAACGAGCATGAGTCGACCTGGGAATGAGGTAAAAAAAAAACGAAGCGCAGTATGCTAACCATATACAGATGTCGTAGTAAGGATAGACAGCGCTCAAGAATTCGTGCAGCCCGGGACGCGCACACTCTGCTGGGGGAAGGGCACCACTCGTGAGCGGTTTTGTGTCGAGGATTGCTGCATACAGCGATATCATATAACATGGCACGGGAGACACGTCAGCAAATATTCTTCGAGGGAGTAGATCAAAGCCGGAATGAACTTCACTATAGTCGATATCGAGCACAAGAAGCCTCTTGCCTTCCCTCGGGGGATTGATGATATTCAACTTGAGTTTCTTCGTATATTCTTTGACCTTGCGGATATTGCGTAGGTCGTTCTGGTAGGCTACGGCCGCGGCAGGATCGGCTGTGAAGTCGACATCGAGGTCGTTCAGGACATCGGGGAGAAATTCGACCTCTGGAAAATACATAAACGGTTTGTAAGTCATCCAAGCGTCCTCGATTTGCGTTATGTTTTTCCAAGAAAAAAAAAAGAGAGGAACCGTGGCAGAGGCAGCAAGAGACATGGGACAAACGTACGAGAAGGGTCCTTGATCTCGGCTCCCTCAGGTGTGCCGATGAGGGTAAATTTACTGGACGCTCCCAGTTTCTTCCCCGAAACGGACAAAAGATTGCCTCTTCATGATAAAGGTACCATTTCAGAGAGGAATGATGGAAGGATTAGATGCAGTGAAGCGACGTACATGCATTCTTCCTCGGGTGGCAACTTGCCCTTCACCAAACCCACGATCTTCTGTCGTTCTGGAGGAACATTCGTCAAGCTGTACAGTGCCGCCTTCAAGTCAAACACTCTATGTCATGCGATGGATCCAGTAGCATGTATATCAGTTAGAATAGCCGGGAGTTTGCAATGAGCAAACCAGGTAGAACACACCGATCTGACTCCGCGATATCGAGAGTGAACTGCTTCCCTGACCATGAGAACTTAAAGGAGATCCATCTCTCTTCGGTGCTGGGAGGTTCCTGAGCCTACGCAATGAATCATGAATGAGTTTACAGAGTCCCCTAGCAATGTGGCGCACCAGAGTAGTTGACACTATAGTGGCTTTCGTTCCATCTGGGAGTGATGATTGCTTGCCGGTCGAAGCGGAAGCAACATCCATGTCTGTGTCTTGCTTCAGTTTCTTCGCAGCACGTTCCATTTCTATATCCATCACCGTAGTAGTTATGGCACAGTCGATGGGGATACTCGCTCCGTAAACCGAAGAGAGCAGTGAGTCAGTGAGTGGAAGGCGTACAACCTGTGTTGGTGCCACACTTTGGGTGATACGCGCCTTGAAGTGATACGCTTACGTAATCAGCGCGCTTGTGGCGCGAACATGAGTTGAAATCCCACGAATATGGCTCATCGGGCCTTCTGTGTTCTTCATCTTGGGACGATACCTCCATATGGATTTGTTATTCTTAGGCAGACTTTTAGACTTTGGTTTCGACGCTGCCGGTCAGCAGGGTCGGTCACTTCTTGTAGCAACTATACCGACGCGGGACCATGTTGTTTTCGCAGAACTCAGCGTCAAGTCTCGGACTAACCCCGAAGTACAGCATGACTCACTGTAGGTGGCTCAGCTGAGGTGGGGCTCTTTCGCTGTTCGTAAACCGACTTGACGCGACAACACAAAAGGTATTCGCTCTTAAAGCCACATACTCTAGAAGTCCCTAAACTAGTGTTGTGGATGGTACACAGCTCACAGGGCCGTCGATATGAGGAGCCTCAAGATAAGTACATGGGTAAGCGCTGAATCTACCGTCATACCCTTCTCTGCACCTTACATGTTTTGGACTCAACACCGTGTAGAGCCTTTTTGCCCCCGATTTCCAAACAGGCCGAAGGTCCCTTGCGTTGTCTCTGCCTTCTCTCCGCTCTCGGTGCTACGTTCTCAACCCGCACCAATTCTTGCAATCCCTCATCACTCATATCGATGCCTCTTACTTCATACTATCGGTGGTCTCGCCTCGCCGAAAGGATACCGGGCAATAACGCAGAACAAAACATAGACGCCAATTGCCTCTTTCCTATCATCTTGCTTCCAGAAAGGGGATGTCCGTCCACAGCCTCACTCGGCAGCGCCTATCGACCCGTAAAACCTAGGGCACTGGGCGTACTGTGGTACTCGTCATAGGTGGGCCAAAGCCCGATGCTAAGTCACCGATCTTTGCGGGCTGTTGTACCTGGATGAACAAGTCAGACAGAGTCAGGCTACTCCATTTCTCTGCTGTGATCGCTTTATAAACCGGATCTTGTCTCTATCTGGAAGACATACCTGCCTTCAGCTCAAACATCTCACTCTACCTCTGGGGTGACCGTCGCTCCCACTGCTCTCTACGTATCCTTGCTTCATTATCGACTGAGTCGCACCCAATGTCTTCCGTGACACGGTCTGCGTCTTCAGCAAAGAGCATACCACGTCCATCTGCAAGCATAATTCTCATCAACTCAGCAAATGAGGTCCTTTTGGTCCAGCGCAACAAAACCCACTCTTTCGGAGGGATGCATGTACGCCTTACTCTTCCTCCATCTCTCTCGCGTCGCCGTCTTTTCTGACGAAACACGTCAGGTATTCCCGGGTGGGAACTATGACGCTAAGCAAGACGAATCTTACGAGATGACTGCCATTCGAGAAACCTTCGAAGAAACGGGCGTCCTGCTTGCTTCGGCATCCGCATCGTCACCCACCCATTTTCGTCTGACTAACGAGGAGATGGAGAGGGTGCGCGAAGAGATTCATTCCGGACGATTGTTGTTCAAGGACTTCCTGCACAAGCACGGTTTAACACCAGACGTAAGCTCACTCTTGCCGTTTACGCAGTGGGTCACTCCTCCACCCGTCCTCCGGTATGTATTCGTCCTCTCTCTTACAAACCCGAGCAGTCAGCTAACACAGATATACAATGTATGAGCCAGTCGCTTCCACGCCTACTTCTTCGTCTATTTCCTACTTCGAACCTCTCCGTCATCAATCATCCCGGCCTCGGACTCTGCTGGCTTACTCACCCAAGGGCAAATACAACACCGACGCCCCACCCCCGATGGCGCCCACGAAATCATCTCCTGCACCTTCTCCCACCCTCTCTCCATTCTCTCCCAACACCGATCCGGAAAGTTGCCAATGATGCCTCCTCAGTTCTACCTACTTTCCACTCTCGCTTCAGCCATTCACGGCCGTGCGACTACACCTTACCAAATCTCCCGAGTCCGCGAGTTATCAGCAGGTCATTTTGGGAGGATGGTCATTCATCCGGGGCCGCATCCTGGCGGGAGAGTGGAAGACCAAGATGGCAGGACGGTCTTGACGTTCGAAGGCGATGAGACGCGGGGCGGGAGTACAGGGAGGCTGCACAGAGCGCTAGTGAAGTTCGATAACCGCGGGGTAAGCACTTCCTTCTCTTCCCTCATTCATCCTTGCACGCTGTCGGAGATAAACTGCCTGTCACTGGGGCGGGATGAAATGCTGATGGAATCTTGTTCACATCTCTTTGCATGCATCACGAACTGGTGGATTTCTGTAATGCTGATGGTGATGGAATCATCAGGTACCTCTGGAAATTTCGCTGCTCCGGAACTGGGATATTTTTGCAGAGGTGGAGATCGAGGCTTTTGTTGCGGACCCTGCAAACGTGCAATCGAAGTTGTAGCTGTACTTTTTTTTTAACGTTATATTGTCGGTGTACCTCCACTGCGAGGTAGTAAATCATACTAACATAAAGGACTGCTGCTACATTAATATCATCCAATGTCGTGTGCGGTGAAGCATCCCTTCGTCTAACGCGCCGCGTGATCCTTCTTTTGGTGGCACTGGTGTACCTAGAGTGACGTCGTGTCAGGGTGGCCGTGCAGTTGAAAGCCGCGACTTGTTAGAAACCTCGAGGGATAGCCCACAAGACTCTGACGCCACTGTACTGACGCCACCTAAAATCTGAAAGGAATTTGAAAGAACAACAAAAGCCACCTACTATGTCGCGATCGCGAATAAATTCTCCAGAGGCATGCCACAAGGAATTTCCGGGCTGAATACATACGACAATTTATATGATGGTCCACTTGCCTGTAGTCTAACAAGAAAACACCAAGGTTCGTGCTGAATGGCATGTCACTCATAGTACACCGAATCGGGGGCACAAAGGCCTGGCCACGATCACGTCGGTCAAACAAAAGAAAGTCCTGGAAAGACCCGACGGTGAGTGTGACCGTTCGCGATGGTGACTTTACGCGTTAGATGAGAGCGCGATCTTGAACAATGCAGGGTTTCGCAACCAAACTTTCAACATACTACCACGTCTACCCTTCCAGCTGCCCATCTCTGCGACCGAGAAAGCACCACAACCAGCCCAACAATAATAAGATTGTTCGGCAAGTATCTTCTCCATGTTTAGCCGGACGTTTGTCTCAAGTTGTATTACTAGATATTAGCATGGATACATTCGGCTACAGCGATATTCGTACACGAGTCAACATCCCCCTTTCAGATCGCCATTCGTCCAATTTGATCTCCCCGACCGAATCGTCCACTACCTCCAACGAAATTCCGGACGACTCAGGCCACGGTTCATCGATATCCGGACAGACTTCTGACGCTTCGGTCAACGACACGTCAGGTCTGAAAGCAGACAAGCAAAAGGGGAACAGGGTCCAGGTAAGCTCTTCACCATCCTGCTTGGTCTTCGTATGAAAAAGAAGTCTCGTTGGTAGAACTGACTATGACCCTTAGACGGAGCACGGGAATGGATGGCCATGGCACTATAAAAAACACAAAATTCCTCGACTGCTCAAATGGTCCACTAAGTTCGGACGCACCTTCGAAACATACATAGAGAGCGATGTTGCCCGAAAGGCAAGAATCGCGAGACAATCACGGCGAAATGCAATGAGCAACACGGCTCTTGCTGGTAACCAGTGGCCGTACGAACACATCACTATCTCGCGACCTATCCTCCCAGATGGTCATCGTCAACTTTCTCACGATACATCGAGACCTAATGCACACGGCACCAACCTTGCCGTCCAGAAAGACGGCGTCAGCTAGGGACAAGAGGCTGGTTTATGTAGTTTAGGGTCTGTATTTGCCATATTTTGTAACCGAATGCCTGTTACTAGTAGTCGTGAGAATGATAGCTCCAGAATCGCGAAACACACCGAATGTCATCCCAAAACATTGAACAAATTCATCCACGGAGACCATACAAGCGGTAAAAGCGTCCAGCGGTCACGATTGTTGTATACACAGGAATCACAGCCGTGCATTTCACTTCAAGTTGCTGGGCGCTTTTTCAGTAATAAGTCTCAATTGAATGTAGCAGGCCACGCACCGAAGGTCGCAACTCGTAGCCCAAGTTTGTTGAAGTGACCACAGAGCTTGTGCTTCTCATTCAGCAAAACAAATAGATGTCGTGGGTGTTGAGCATACTAATCGGAAGACGGGGAAGTTGAATGGATATGAAGGGAACAAAGGCTAGTAAAATGTAGGCGGAAGAGGTCGTGGTTGTGATTTTGGCGAAGTTGTGGCAAAGTTGTGGCGAAGTTGTGGCGACACGCAAGGAACGTGGGATACGATGGCGCGATGTCAACCGTCATTTGAAGGCTCCGATCTTCTCCGGTCACTTTCGACGGGTTCTGTTGGCAAGTGGTACAACCTGGTGCAACTCGGATGTTTTCACTGAAACCGCTCGCGGTCTACTTGAAGCCTTGCTTTGCCCGTCGACTGGGTAAAATTCAGTTCATTGAGCTGTGGGTCGCTGCTTATCATCGTATAATACTCGACCGTCGACCGCGGCTGGCGTCAAGCACAATTTGCACTCTCCAGCTAGGCTAGTAGTACACTGGCGAATACTTGCTCTGATGAGTCCAATACATCTTCGTTTTTTTTACAAGACAAATGTCTCTAGCATAGATAAGAACGAACAGATAGACGGGGTGTGGCCGGCAGAAAACTCGCTGTCAGGCTTACGTTTCTGCATAGGCTGAACGCTGCGTGGCAACTTGAAGGTCCACAAGGATGTCACAGGCCAGGTCATTTTCGCGCGTTTTAATTTATGTACAAAATGCTCACATCACTCACAAGATCAATATACTTTTTTGACTTGAGACACAAACCAGGGATGCCGCATGACTCTGAGAGGTGCGTAAGTATAGGATAGCCGTGAAAGCGATGTCCAAAGCACAACGAGCCATTGATTAATAAGCTAGGCGAGCGGTCAGACTTTTGACAGGAGGAGCATGTGCCGTCAATTGTGAGTTTCAGGACCTATTAAAATTTGTTTTTCTGTGCACACTCTCGAATAAGTTATGCCATGATGTCTGCGTACGATATTCATCTCAGAGCCTTACGCGTGGTTTCACTGATCAATACTAAATACTGTTTAGCCCTTAGATCTGACACGCGACGTACCGTCTTGATCCCTTTTGTATTCCCAAGGGGACGCACCAGAATATTGACCTCTTGATTGGACAGAGAAATATGTTTCCATCAAATAAATAGTAAGGGAGGGACCGTTGACATATGTCGTTTGGCCACTTTTTGGGTCTTGTGGAGGCACAAAGGTGGATTTATCCAACAAAACTTCTCACCGTAAGGCCCCATTTCTCCCCTCTGGGCCTCATGGCTTCTCTGAACTCTCTGATCAAGTACCTCTCCCTAGTAACGAACACAATGACGCAGAGGCTCCCACTTTTCATGGGTCCATCAATCGTCTCTAGATCATTGGCGGCAGACATCAAGACCCTCATATCGATCGGATCCGGTGTCGTTGTTAAATTATCAGGATCGTCACGTGGCCATTGTGCCAGGCTCAGGCTTAAATGGTGAGGAAAGAGCGGTGGTTCTCTGGTCCACAACGTGGCGTCCTGCGCAACGAATGGAAGGCATCTGTGGCGCCGAATGTCCTACCAGGCCCCGTTCAAACGAATGGACTAAACGGGACTGCGTGACGAAGAGGCCTATATCGAAAACGGTTTCTTTTAATCTCCCAATCCTTAGGCATCCTGCACCCGAAAATTTTTCGGCATCTCCGGGACTGAGCCACTCCTGGGAAATTTCCCCACTGGATCGGACACTGTCTTTGCCTGCCTTCCGCTTTCGGACAACGCGTTCTATCGGCCCGCGGCGCGAGTCGCTTAAAAGTTTTGTCAGTCACGTTTCAAAGTTCAACTATCAACAATACGCGCCTACATATAAATACACACCCTCCTCGTTCTTCGTTCCCCGTCATCTCATCTCCCGCTCGCCCCTCCACACCCAGCCTCGGCTTCACCCCACAAATACCTTTTTCACGATGAACCGTTCCGCTTCCCTTGGTATCGCGTCCAATACCATCGCTCCTCCGAACGCGTCGGAAGAAGACCGTATAGGTATACATCCTGAGGACCGCTGGGACCTACCATTTCTTCCCCCGCTCGCCACGTTCGAGGGCGCGCAGGATATCTCGGAGGGTCGCTTTGACAGTGTGTTTGGTGTTGAAGGTGCGTCATTTATCTGCTCGCAGCCTGTCCCTTTCAGCTCATGTCTCTTCATGGGCATTCAGTAGATTCCCTACGCAGTTTAATCCCTCTCCCTTCGGCCTCCCCTGCCATCACCACCCCCACATCTTTTCCATCCAACATGGACCACCGGAAAATGCGGGAGCTTCTCGACGAACCCATTCCCGTCCACATGTCTTCATGCCCCAGTCCCTCTAACCTCTCGCCGTCGTCGTCGGCATCATCAGGCTCTCCAGAGTCTCGGTTGTCATCTTCCGAGGAATTCTATCCCGCCCCCGGCTACTCTTTCAGCTATGATCCTACCCTTGGCGACAGCACCTATGCTCCGCTTCACTCCTTCTCGGTACTTACTATGCAGCCAGGGTGGACTATTGGCGCTGACATCTCTGGCTATGACCACCCTTCGTTCACCGAACCGACCGTCAACCCGAAGCTGGTGGTGGTGTCCCCTCCCATCGAAAACTCTGACGACTCCACGGAGGAAGAGGATGAGGACGAGGACGAGGACGAGGAAATGCATGTGCCTGCTTCAGCTCTGATTAAAAAGAAACCGACCAAGAAGCCCACGCCACTCAGCCCGACCAAGACGAAAAGGACAAACAACACAACCAAGGGGAGGGCCAACACGATGACCAAGGTGAAAGCGGCGGCCAAGAAGGCACATAAGAAGAACTCCCGTGGCGTGTGGCGCCCTCCGCCTAGCCTCCCAAAATGCTGCGCCAAGTGCAAAAGTTCGAGTGCACTGTCAAGACATAAAACGACCAAAGATCACTTCGCTCATTTCCCACATGAGCGCTTGACGGCACTAAAATTTTGGTGCCCGATAACAGCTTGCAGAAAGAGGTGCGTTGTATTCACCGCTAGTGATGTCCATTCTCATCTCATTAATTATTCCGATTCTATTCCGCAGCCGCCAAAACGCGCCGGATATCGAGGCAGCCTTCTACCGAGATCAGTCGCTTTGTCGTCATCTCGAAAATGTGCATGGCTTGGAGCATGATCTAGAATATGTGCAAAGCCTCGGGACAATAGACTGATCCGATGCAGCCCTTGTGTCACTTTCATCTACCCGCTCTCCGTCAGCGGCACCGTCCATCATGTCGCGGCTCGTCTCCTTGTTACTTGTTTTCCTTCCTCACACCTCATCGGTATCCTCCTCTTCACGAATGCCCTGTTCTCTCACCCGTATCTATGATCTCTCCTTGCGCGCTTGTTTCTCAGAATCTCACCACCCGTTCAACATATCTTGCGCTATCATTATCTATCCTCGATTCTCGCTTTCATATTGTTTTGTTCATATGTCAGGACGAATCTGCAGTTTTACCATACCGACGCTATCCCGCTCTCCAATCTCTCGACTCCTCTCTCATGCTCCTCCATTCCTCGTCTTGATCATCATCCTCCTTCCACACATGCATAAATTATGCCTCATTTTGTGGCTAGCCGTCATCTCTTCATGGGCCTTGGTACGATACGATACACCACGGAGAAGACCCACGACGTCTCTCGCTGGTCGACTCGTCTGCTAGATGATAGACGGAGCTCGACGCACGACGATTCGTCTGGCACTCTTCTCCTTCATGACACCAGTGCTGATGTCCACTTTACACCCATTACGATACCCTACCACATACACAACTCACCTTCTGTACGATACCTGTCTAGGCATAGTTTATCAAGTGACGACTCGAGATACATCGCTTTTTTTCGCCATCTCCCAGAATTGTGTGCCCAGCGACACCCGACGATGAGTCCCACCAGGGCCCAACCCTGCATCATGATCGCGACTCGGACTACGTTGAACTTGAACCAATTTATGTGTCGGCAATCTGTCTTCCTCGCCTGCGCTGATCCAGGGTCGCATACAATTTGAGGAAGTTGTGGCCCAGGAACAACGCCGCCAGCCTCGAACCCGTATGCATCGCTCCCAATGGCCTCGCCCCTTCCTAAAACATATCATAAACGGGACAGAACTCATGCACATGCATACTGAGTGATCATTATAACGCGAGCGTCCATGCATCGTCGACATCCAAAACATCCAAACGACACGAACCCAACACACGCAGACTCGACCTTGAAACAAAACCCATACGGGATCATACAACATCCATACACTTCTTCTTTCTTCACCATACTCAACACCCAATCCAATGTATGCGTCCAACACCACTATCCTATACTTTTCCCAGTCATTATAGCACCTGCCCTAGGCCTTAGCGTGGTATCGAGGCATCGAGGTGACAGCGTCCAACGGTCGCACACTCCGAGTTCAAACGTGGTCGGACAGCCCTGCGATGTCACTCTCGCTCTTCTTGTAGCTATGTCCGAACGTGCGCATGCCTTCCTTCTTCGCCTTGCGCAGGACACGGCCAATCGCGTCGAGACCTGAATAGCCCCCACAAAAATGAGTAAACGCCCCATATGGAGAAGAATAGCCATCCAAGCAGAGCTCGAGAAGATGCATCAGGGAAAATGGTAAAAGCAAGGACGCACCCTTATCCAAATCCTCCATTGGCGGCCCGAACGACAGACGAACAAAGTGGTGACACGGCGAACTGAACAAGTTCCTCCTGTGCGACGGGTTGATATCGAAGAAGATCTACACACGACAGATTAAGTCGTCAATAAAGCAAGATGGAGAGGCGAGAACATGAAGAGGACGCACCCCAGGGATGACGATCGTCTTCTCCTTCAGGAGTTCCTCGAAGAATGTCTACGAAATCAAGAGTCACGAGCCCGTCCACCCACACAGAAGAGTATAGATACTCACCAAACCGTTGTTCAAAGGCGATGGCAGATGCTCCAAGTTGAGCCAGATCTACAGTACCAACATCCCATCAATCGCTTGTTCTGAACGTTACTAGCAGAGTGAATGAAGGTTTACTCACATAAAACGTGCTGACAGGCGGTACTTTGACGTCCATGCCCAAATCATGCAGCCGCGCAAGTACGTGGTCCCTCTTTGCCTTGAAATGCTTCTGTAGCGCGATCTTCTCGCTCTGGATATGGTCTGGGTCCAACAGGGGGAGAGCAGCGAGCTGCAGCCTGATAGACAACGATCCCGTCAGTGAGGTTTCAGTCCATGAGAGCGGGGAGTGACTTACGGGTGGCTAGCACCTCCGTCGAGGAAAGAGCCTTGGGAAAGCAAGATCGGTCAACAAGACTATAAAAATACGGAAGAAAGGTATCAAGCAAGCGCGCATCTCCACGTACCTGACTGCGACAACGCAGTGACGAGGTTCTTCGGTCCCACAACCCAGCACACACGCCAGCCAGGAAGCCGCCAGTTCTTGGTCAGACCGTCGATGATCACGACCGAGTCCTGTGCCGAACGAAAGTATAGTCAGCAACGTGGATTGAAGATCGAAAGGATGGCAGAGACGGACCTGGTTTACATCCTCGATGTACGCGGCCGAGGACACAGACTTGCCCAGATCCTCTTCCCTCTCGGGATAGATGTACCAGGAATAGAACTGTATAAGAAATGGTGGGCCCTCAGTCAGCATCGCGCTCACACAGTGGTTCCCAGAAAGAGTGCTGTAGCGGCCAGAGAAGGTTTAGACTGACCTCGTCCAGAATCAAAGTCGTGCCGCCTTCGCGGCTGATAGCGACAAGGTTCTTGAGATTGTCATCCCTACAACACCTCATGAGTTCTTCTATCAATCAACAGTGGAGAAGGATGGACAAACCTGATGACTTGGCCGGTGGGATTTCTAGGGTTCGAGGCGATGAGGACCGCGAGTCCTTGGACCCTGATATCTTTCTGTTGGGACGGATGGGCATCAGCGACATATTTCCCACCTCAAAGAACATTTTTGTCAAAACCGACCTTTGTCTGCTCGATATCCAGCTGATAGAAGTTCTATGGAAGGTTCGTTAGAATCAGACTAAATTTCGTGAGCTACGATAGCCTACCTCTGCCTCCAATCTGTAGACATATCCACGGGGATCTGATCAACCAACCACGCCCAAACGACAATAGAAGAGTAAACACCTACGCAGTCGGGACAGGAACGAGCCTTCTGAACGCCGAGAGAACCTGGTCATAGGCCGTATAATCTGGGATTTGGTATGACTATGGGCGGCAACAAAGACATTAGAGTGACCCATTCGTTGTACCAAACACTGATGCTCACGGTATATACATCGCCGATCACCGCGGCAACACGAGAAAGGCCAGCACGTCCACCGGGGACGATGCACACATTTTCGTAGGTATATTGGGATGCTGGAGACAAGACAGAAGCACGGATGGTCAGACATCACGTCCAGCGAAGTTGAGATAAAGAGTTGACTGACCTTTGCCTTGACGATAGGTGTGGTTGTACATCTCCGCCACTTTAACCCTTAACTCTGCAGAGAAAAGGAACGTTAACGATGGGGAACAGAAATATCGGAACGAGGAATCCCAACCTTTTACACCGGTCGTGGGAGCTAGATGAAGTCGAGATCAGCTATTTACTCCTTTCGAAACCAATGCAGCGCTGAGACATACCATATTCCAGCGCGTCGAGAGGATAGTCGATATGCGTCGGGCGTTCAGCAGCACCAGGAATAGGTCCAACTTCCGGGGCGCCCTGTCCCATATTAGCCCACTCGTGTGCGCTATATTTAGATTTCACGAAGCGACAGCGTACTAAGCAGGTGCTACATGATACATTATGGAGAAATACCAAGACTGACTTTGCGTAGCTAAAACCATTGGCCATGGCTCGGTCAGAGCAATAGATGACCCCTGTCGAACCAGGATGCAAGATCCCCGGAACGGTCTCCTCATCCTACAATAATGATGGTATCAATAGAAATGCTGCAAATTGACGGCGGGCAAGACGCACTGGGTTGATCGTCTGAGGGAGAGTCGCCTTCGCTTTGTGGCCCGCAGATTCACGGAAGATCTAAGCGAAGTGAAATAGATCATGGCGGGCAAGTAGTTAGCGTGGTGAGTTCGGTGTGGCTTGGCGTGAGCACCGAAGTCCTTCTCTCAAGTTGAACGACTGCAGGGAAGTGAATGAGTGTATACATACCCGATGAGCCTCCGAGTCCTTGTCTTCCTTGAACTGCTTGATCACGTCCAGCACCTTTGGAGCAGGCGTCGTCGTCGTCGTTGACATCGTTGGCGTCACCACATTTTCCGCAGAGTTGTTGGCGGTTTGATTTTTCGTGGTTTTATTGCCATTGGGAGTCGCGGTCGAGCGTCGGCGGATGAGGTTGTTTAAACCACGCATTATTGGTTTGCCAGTGGTATGAGGACAAGGTGGGATTCAAAGTCAACGAGCGTGCAGCGCGATACAGTAGAGTCGGAGATCGTGAGCATTCAATCGACTGCCGAGGATAAACGGAAGTTGGACATACGACATCCTTAAAGTGAAGTGGTGTCCCGGAACGAGAAGAGATCGGCGTCGGTCTCTGAGACATGGTGCAGGCTTGGCGGGCTTGGGCACTGATGTCGGGATTTAAGCTGATTTATTGTTGGCGGTGGTGGTTGGGGGCAGAAGGGAGGAGAGAAAGATGGATGGGTTGAGGGCAGACGTTCAACTTTGGATGTTTATATATGATGAGAGCGTGGAATATAAATGAAGCTTGAACTTGAGCGAGCTGCCGGCCCCGTTGCTGCATCCTCCATCGCGATTTGATTCCACAGCAACCTATTTTTAGCTCAGCTATGACGCGCTTGGCCACATTCAAAGCGCTCCGACTAATATTGTGGCTCTCGTTACTGGTGCCAAATATACATTTTGCTCACCCCTCTTGAACTCTCACTGGCTCTGAAAAGTATGTATGCCCAACGGCAATAACTCTCAATGCGAAATCCTGATCTTCTGGATGAGCAACTTGTCCGAGGTCTTCGTTTGCATCTGTCAAGTCTGAAGATGGTTGCAGTCCGCGCCGTGACGGGAACGATGATATCTAGAAAAGATGTAGCAAGCCATTGATCTGAATCATGACATGACATCCCAGTGTATATGGCCTTATGATATGGTGAGCTCAGATACAAACGCAGAAAGAGAGGAGTGCCACAGTGGCTGAAATCAACAAAAGGCAGATTTCATACTCCGCATCACTCCGCTACACAACAGCTGGCGGTCAGCCACATGGCGCTCTTCACCACGGACTTTCAAGAACTCAAGCGTTCAGTGCTTTTTCTTGTGTCCTCCTGTCTCCTGCTACACCTACGATTGATGGACAAGTGCTCCGTCGCGCGATGTTCAGGCATACATACTCTAACAACTCGAGAAACTCAACTTGCTTTTTTGGACTCCACTGTCTTGCGAAATTGAATGGGGAAGCTATCCCTGGACACTTTATTAGGAATCCGTGATCGACAAGATCACGCCCGTTCGAGCTGCGATGGAAGCGCTGTTCAACTTGCATTTCAACTCGGCAAAGACCTTGCCTTGTAGCGTTTCTCGTAACACACCTTCCAGTCTTCGTCCATTTCAGTTTCAAGTTTCACGGTGCACACACCCTACCTCTCGCTGGCCCCTGCGTAATCGCAATAATAGTTTTCTTCGGCTATCATCGAGTCTGTCGCGACGAGATACTCGATCACCTTGCGTATTTCCCATCCACACCATGTCGCCGTCTAACGATGCATCCACTACGCAGCGGGCTGCGTCTGAAGCTGTCTACGAACCCATCCCGTACCCTTCGCCTGACGCTGCATTTGGCGTGGAACCTGGCGGGTGGAAATCTATCACATACGACAACAGCCAGCCTTCCTCTGAACCGGACATCACCTGGTTTCCTTCCAATCGTTTCAGAGACATTCAGCCTGCTCCTCAGCATCAGCATGGCCAGCATCTCATACCAGACCCTCACACTATGGACGGGCCCCAGCCGCCGCATCTCGCTCGACACTCTTACTTCACAAATATCTCCCACACCATTCATCAGCCGCCCTCTGCAGAGCAATCCTACTTATTCCTGCACAGCCAACCCGCCGACGGTACTACACCCCCAGAACCTGCCTCCATGACAAATGCACTAAACGACGATGCCTCTGCGGTCGATTCATACTTCCGTCGCCCACCCGCCGTCATCAGGGTCAATCAAGCTTGCGACAAGTGCCGCGAGCGCAAAGTGAGGGTGCGTCGCTGCGTCTTCCGGTTCTTCTTACCTTCTTGCACCCATGTTTATTTCTTTCGGCGTGGTATACAGTGTTCTGGCGGCCACCCCCTCTGCGATCGGTGCAAGTCTCGCGGTCTTCCCTGCACTTACACATCTGGCAAGAGTACTCGTAGTACTAGGGGTGTTGGCGGTGAGAAACGACCTCGTCTTCGTAAGACCAAGACCGAACACCACCCGTACGCCGCCCCTCCAGTACTCTTCGCACGGTGGGCGTCCACGGATGCTGTCCCTACGAACGCTTCGCTAGGTCGTTCCTTCGAACCCGTGCCACCCCCGGCACCGCCAATTATCGGCCAAGCTTTCGTTCATCACCAAATCCCCACTTTCTCCGCCGTAGTCGAACCCCCTCAGGACGCAGCATTGGCGCTCCCTGAACCGAAAGGGCAGAACATGGATTGGGTAGAGTCGGTGATCGACCCCGCATTACGCGGACTTAGTGACTCCCACTCGTATAGCTCCATGTTCAACGACATTATCGACGTCTCTCAGACCGCTGCCGCAAGCGATCACCCAGTAGCGAAGATGCTCCACCCTATCATAACGACCGATCTCAATGTGCGACGGACGAGTAGCAGTGAGAGCTCTGCCAGCTCCTGGTAAGTCTTTCTTACCTGCCGTTCATACCGCAGAGAACTAACATAAGATATCTAGCCCCTCCTCGACCACCGAGTCTCATTTCAGTTTCTCGTCCGAACACTCCTCTGAGTACTCCAGGCCGACTTCTCCGGAAACGATGAAAGCCCTTGAAAGTGCCCTTAGCGCTGTCATTATGAAGGCTGATCCCACCCTGATCCGAGTCCACGATCCCTCGCACGACAACACCCTCGATTCGGCGCCACAGTCGCACCCATGGCCCTCTCGAGCACCCTCTCCCTTCGATCATACGTCCCCGCCGCCACTTTCGCACAAGGATGGCCGAACCATCACGTCGTCCGAGACTATCAAGGCAGACAGGCCTGGAGGACTGGACACATGCGTTCGGGAGGATGAACGGGGTGTAGGCTCTCAGGGCAGCCAGAGTGGGGAGTACCAAGCCGGAAGAGAAGGTGATATGGTGCTCCAGTACCCGGAGGGGTTTGACGAACCTACCTGTCTACATGCACGATCGACGGTGAACACCATTGTTCCCTCACCATCGCTCGATTGAGATTTGCAAGCGGCATGGACACCTTGACTATTATTCTTTTACATACTACCTCACCACCCCTACATTATCTGTATGTATCAAAGTACACCTAGCATATCAGAACGTTCTCTTTCATATAGTACCATACGAGTTCAAAATTGATTGGTCGAAGACCCTATGGTTGCTGGTCAGCTCAATTACTTAGCTGGATTTCGACTTTTATTGAGCCCGGCGGGGCAAGTCGTTCAAACTCATTTCAGTCTCCGCCTTCCACTGTCGCCGGCGATAAGCGGAACACCGACCATCAACTTGAACTTCGCGTACCGTGACGCCACTTGGAGCAAGGTCGCGTTTCGCCTCACTACAAACCATGACGGTCAGGTGTAGTATCACTGTTCCAGCACATTAGCTGACTCGTTTATATGTATCCTAGGACTTAACATACTGCTACCTGCACATGACACCAAATGAGCTCAAAGTCATAGACACCGTCGGTACACCCGAGTATCTCAAAGGTGACCTTTCTGACGAAGGTAGATATAATATACATGCCCTCTCTGCAGACGCTGAGAGCTCACAATACATCAGAGATGGATATCCCCTCGCACATGATACCACCAAACCCTGACGATTCGGATGGTGAGTCTCTTCGACAACCTGAACGTGAAGGTGGCACTCTCAGCATATTCGTACTTTTCTAGTTCTGCCTTCACATGTGCATCCATCATACCCCTATGGCGATCCTACCCACATTAAGCACCCCGCTTCTCGTCCTCGGGTGCCGTACGACCCGACTTCGCGCGCATTATTTGAAGATATGGGGTATGGCGGAGGGGGTGCAAACGGTACTCTGAGATGGAAAGACCTCGCCCTGGATATCCTTCTTCCCATAGATCGCGAGAAAGAGGAGGCTGAAAGAGCAGCACAAGCACGGAAGATGGCTAGCGGTGCGACGGCGAATCAACACCAAGGTGGGCAACAGCAAGTGCCTCCACAGCAGCAGCAACAGCAGCAGCAAATCCCCCCTCCACAACCTATGAATACGACCATGGATGAAGATGAAGCAGATGATGAAGATGGTGAGGAGGATAATGACGAGAATGAAGACGAAAATATGGAAGAGGATGAGGGCTCAGTGCCTGAAGGGGATGAAGAGCCCGTGGAAGAATAGCTTGCATGGTGGACGAGGTCTTTGCGCCACACTCGGACAAGATGCTGTTGTTCCGGCTGTATATCTTACTGTAAAAATACTACCAAGTCATCGATATGCCTACTTAGGTGATCAACAGGGCCATATAACACCCATAAATGCGTAGGTTCAAGATAAATTGACTATCTTCAACGCACTAGGTACTCTGCGTTTTAAAGCACTGCTGGGCCACAAAACGGAACCGAGGAGGAACAAAACCTGGCCGATTTCAGCTTAGATGTGGGCCAACCTGTCGGAGACAGCTCATTCAAAATCCAACGGCACTGGGAGGTCTCTGACGCTGTGGCCACTAGCGGGGGCTTTGATATTCAACATATCGTCCTCGAGTACGCAAACTTAACTTATAATTGAGAAAACCGACAACTAATACAAAATCCTACCCAGCTCTTCGCAGGGCCGAAACAAGATGCAATTGAAAGTAATCATCGACTTTTACATAGATGGGTCAAACGGTGCAAACGCAGTCTTGAAAGCCTGAACGTCTTCCCTGTCCTCCGTCTCAGACTGTATGCATGCTTTCCAGTCCACCCTCTCCTCCATCTTCAGCAATTTTGCCAGCACTTGCCTGTTCACATCAGCATTCACATCGATCAGCGCCTTGAATATCAATAACCAGAGCGAGATCGAATGACTAACCTTCCAAATTGCACGCTGAACGGCACGCCGTCTCTCATCCAATACACCAACCTCCTCTCTCCATTCTCTCCATCACCAGCAGGCAACTCCACTCTGAAGTAGCTGCCCCTCTCTTCTCCTGGCGTGGGCGCATCTGCCTGCTCCACTTCGAACTCAATCCCCACCGGTTTACCCTCGTCGATGAAAGCCGCTTCGACCTCGTTCTTGAGCGATAGCGGAACGGGGATAACTTGTATGTGCGAGTGGCCACCTTTTGCGGAAATTCGACCGACCTCGAAGAAGACTGGGACAGAGTTATGTTTCGCATAGAAGGTCCATAGAGCGGATTTGTACCTAAACGTCGATAGACGGTGCAGCCGTCAGCCACAAGAGTGCGAAGATAGTGCAAGTAACTAATACGTACTTCCCGATCTCGTTCAACACAGGCTGTTTAAGTTCCCCCGGTATAGAGCTCAACGTCGCGAAATGCGCAATGGGCACAATAAGCACATGCCCTCCTCCCGGCACACCACCGCTTGCACCTCCACCCCCACGATTGTGAGTAGGAATGATCTGCCCCTTCGGCAACGTCACATAACATTCATTCCCAATCGCCACGATCAGATGCTTCGCGAGGCTCGGGTTACTGAGACAGAACCAACACTCCGATGGACCTATCTCTTTCGGCGGTCCTCTTCTTTGTCCGTGCTGATGATGACCGTGTTGGTGTTGAGTTGCCCGACGCTCGGAGATGACGGGACAGTCTTCGATGTAGTGGGCTTCGCTCCCACAGGCGCGACAGACGTAGCCTTCGCGAGGTTTGCGGCCGCCTGTGTCTCCTGGGTTGTGGCGTGTGGGACAGTCTCGGACCAGATGGCCTGCCTAAGAGTTTCAACGTAGAATTAGTGAGCATACGAGGTAAGGAAGAAAGCATGCATGGAAAGGGAGGACGAGTTGTCAAATCTGGATGCGGAACAAGGCACGAGCACGCGTTAGGCACGGGATTTGGACGTACCGTGTTACAGATCTTGCAAATGTAACCTTCTGGAGGTTTGGACCTTTCCGGACAGTCGTTGATGAAATGCTATAACAACAAGCACAGGTCTGAGAGTCAGTACCGCCTCGTATTCCCAGGCCGAGCGCAAGAGCAAAAGACCAGAGAAAGGAACTCACATCCGTGGATTCACACCTTTTACAGACATATCCAGGCGGAGGTTTACCGTTCTGTCCCTGCCCTTGTTCCCCTAATAGATGTATATTTCAGCAATGAGAAGATGAGACTGCCAGAGCAACAAGCACAACAACCCACCCGTTCTCGTTCGTTTCTGGACATTGTTTCCCCACCGGAAGTTCTCTCCATCGCCCATATCTAAAGGTCGTTTATGCGGCCGAGACGGCCCCTCTGTGAACGGGTTCAGAGTAGCATTGGCCGGTCTCGCCGTCGCCGTTGCAGACTGGAGCGGTATTGAAAAGGCGTAGAACCACTGGATTCCAAATACAGACCAAGCTTGTCAACACGTCCATTCCATGAAAACGAGGAACAGATTAAACGTACCCGTTGTTTCTTCCCTGACGTAGGGGCCTCGCCTCCAAACGCACCTAGACTCACGAACCTCGAGACTCTCCCACCTTCATCATCCCACACGAATGGTTCCCTCTCCCAAAACATGGGCGGACCACCAGTACCATTACTACAGCTGCTGAAAAGGTACCTTGGCTTGATCTTCTTTATGAGCTCGTCTACGGGCGGTGCGCCCCCTTGAGCTATTTGTGGCGAGGGGAGCGGAGCGGACGAGAAAGTTGTGATACATGAAGGCCAGACGTGGGAGATGAGGATGTCGACAGTGGAAGATGTGGCGGCAGAAGACATGATGGATGCGAGGGAGGAGTTTCCGCCTTTTGATTTAGCGGAGGAGGAAGAGATGGTGTTGGAGAGGAGCTTGGAGACGGTTTGGGAGGTAAAGTAGGGCGAGGTGAAACCCTGTGGCGAGAGTCAGGATCCAACTAGTGTAGAAGCAGAACGGAGACATACGTGAGGTATTTCGGAGGCCTCAAAGATCTTGGGATCGTACGTTCCGCCTAGGCAAGCTATGCGGAGACCTTCCGCCGTGGTAAATGTGGCAGACTTGCCTGTACTTTCGCATGTCAGTCCGTAGCGTTCGTAGTTCAGAAGACAATACTCACCAAGTAAGAACACGTTGTGACACAGCTCTCCACTAGTCTTTGCAAACTTTTCGATTACGGAGGTAGGAAGAGGCAGCTCTCCCTGCATGATATAACATGGCAGAGGAGCTACGCATGATATCACACACTCGTCAGACGTGGTCGCGAGGGACTATAGCCGGACGAGACAGACCTTCAAGCTTCCCCTCCAGAAGCTGTTTCGTTTCAGTTTCCTCATCATCTGCCTCACCCTCCTTCACGGCGCCGAAGAAATCGCCCGTGCACAAGACGAGGTCGAACTTGCCATGCTTCGCGTCAATGGATTTGACTTTCGCAAACAAGTCACGTATCGAGCCCAGCACCGAGCCCACCGTCAGGCTATCTCCATAGCAAACGAGCCAGGTTGTTCATGTTCATGTTATTCTGGGAGGTTGTGAGGGTAAGAGGAGACAAACGCACATTTTGAGAGTCGAAGGTTGTGGAGGGCCGGCCATAGTGTGTTCGGGAAACGCCGGGTGGCCAGCGAGAGGGGTTTGTTGGGCATTTTCAGGCATTCTTGTTCCCGCCACACCGCGACGAGCCCTGTCCAACTAGTACAGGTTTCGTCAAGGTTTCGTGCATGAGTCTGCAGCAGTGACTGTCTGTAACTGTCGCTTGTTGGGCTCAGCACATACTAGACCTCTGTTTATCCGGGCTGTCCGTGTAATACTCTTGCGTTGCCTTGTCGTTCGTCACTAATCCTCAGGTTCACTGAGTTGGAACAGGCTTGACCTCCGTGGTACGCACCTTTGGCTCATTTCCTTCCAGCAGCTGGATACAGAACAAAACACCGACCTTCTCATACCATACGCCCTCCCGAATAGCATACCCATGTCCCCCATATGCACACATCAGTCCTCAGACTCAGGCTCGCGACGCCTGGCAGGCCGCCAGTCGTACTGGATGTCACTGCTTTGTGCCACAAACAGATACTCTGTCGCTCGCGCTCAACCACCATGACTTCTCAGGACGTCTTGACGGCCACACAAGTTGTGTAATTACATGCAATACCCTCTGCGAGCGTCAGATATGTCTGTCTCATGAGGGGCACGATCCCGCTCTCCGAGTCGTCAGAAATCCCGGTTTTCTACTACCTCCTGTGATTGCTTATGGGCAGGTGGTAGAAACTCGGAGGTTTACGCTGGACATACTCGTAGACGTCTCGGCAGCCGCCCGAACAGATTGGACATCAACTTTGGACATCCAATGTCACATATACACATGCCACTGACGCTGTGCCACCACGCCACTGATATTTTAGAGCTACGATGGCAGATATGACATCTTTCTTTCCTCGATATATCATTTCTTTCCGCCACCAATAACAGAACAATCACTCCCTGAAACGGGACATCAATACCAGTTGATCGTCTCTCGGAGTCTTCGGGCGTGGAAGCAGATGCAGGTACCCATGAATTCCAGCGTCGACGTCGATGGCTGGGAGTACAAGACTGTAAACATAGCCGAATACGGTGGCGAGTTGGACGATCATGATGTCCCCGAGGGCGCTCTTGTGTGTCTTTCTGGATGCTAATACCTGAGAAGTTCAGTGGCGACCTCGAGGAGCGTCTCCCATCAACTCTCGCTGGCGGTAAAGCTTCGGCGTACGCCTGGTAAAAACATGAGTTTCCGAGACATAGGGGCTGTGGTAAGTACCTCAACTCCCGTTCCTGTGGTGTGACATACCGCTCATTCAGCCTTGTTTGTTCTACCATTCACTAACAAACAACCCCAGGGTGAGGAAATGGCCATTTGTGGAGCGCCCGTCGCATTCATCGTGATTTCATCTTTCCCTCGAATAACTTCTCTAACTTAGGCTTCGAAGTCAAAGTTAAGCTTAAGACTCGGAGTCACCATGTCGACCTACACATCTGGTCTTGTTCGTGTGCTCCTGAGGTTTTCCCGCATCCTAGGGATTGCTTTCACAAAAGCCATGGGGAAATCCGAGGGCCTGAGGTAGGTGCTGGGACCTGAAAACTGGTACATTACGACCAACTGCTGTCTTCTCCTTTTAGCAAGCTGGTTGTAAGGATCGACGACATGGCCCCAGCTCTTAGGTAACCATCGACTCCTTATGCCTGAATTAAAGCATCCTTGGCCATGTCCAAGTTGACGCTTGATGTTTGTCGCCCTGGACGTGGTGGCTCCTCACGACTGTGAACTCAACAAAGATGTTTGTCGGACAGTTCTGGCGATGCTCGGGCCTTCAGACTTTCAAAACGTTCACCCGTGTGCCTCGTCCTCAGGGGCTATAATTGCATAAGTACGAGAAGCCTATGTGCCTCTGAAGGTGAGAGGGTATAGTCATAAATAATGCTTCATATGGGTATGTTGGACTGTGAGATGCTTCTGGGAGGGGTATGTCAGGAGTGATGATTGATTGAAAGTTCTCTATCGGCATGATTTGCTTTTTCATTTGGCTAAAATCGTGATGGCCTGGTACCACTGGCTGAAGATAATCTCTACTATTTATATACCATTTTATAGAACACTCGGATTAGTGCATAACGCATAGACAACGGGGCTTCGGAGGAGGGGAAGAGCGACAGAAGGAGTTACAGCAATTTGCAGAATCGTAGTCGCAGTCGCTTTTTTCTGCGATGGCGCTTGCGGCTTCTTCTGACGCAACCGACTCCCATAACAGGTTGTGAGCGCCACGACCACCGTCCTCTGGCGGCGGGCCACCCTCCACTGTAAAGCAATGTTTCGAGATATCTACATCTCAAAAATTGTACAAGTGATTCTAGTGTGTTGTTGACACACTCACAGTCCTAAAACCCAATATTTAAGTGGCAGCATCGAGGCTGGCTCGAGGACGAGCACTGTGGCCCCGTGTAGAGTGGCCCGTCGGAATGGCCGGAGACAGCTCCGAGTGGAGCACAAACTTCTCTGCGAGAAATCTGGGTGCGACTACGATTCTGCAAACCGCTGTAAGAGCGGAAGTAATTTTGGTTTTCATTGAGCGCAATAAAAATGGAAATTACATCCGCCGTCCGAGACCGACGGACGCTCTTTTGCCACTCACCGCAGCGTTTCACCGCGAAAGATTCCACCCGACTCTGCGTGCCTCTCGAATGTGGCAGCTTTGGGAGAGCTGCAGGAACGAGCACGATGCACGGTGCGTGCCTTCACGTGCCTCGCCCCCGCCGCGGACCCACAGGACGAACACGCTGTCAAGATAAAACGAGCTGTGGGGGCCCTGGAGTGTGGAAGTTGAACATATTGACGGAAAAGGCTTAGCGGAAAGGAGGAACTGTTCCTGTGCGGGTTGCCGTTTGGGGAACAAAGGAGAGGGAGCGTGAGAGCGCTCACCGTTTCTGGCGGATGCCATTGTTGCTCCGAGTGGCGAACGCGTGCAGACTTGTTGATGGAGGCTACTTGAGCTCGTAATGAGGCTGGCTATCGCCGCATCTTCTCTCCTCACCTGTCCTATTCTCGCTCCTCTTCCAGACTCTCGCAGGCACGAGACTGCCGCCGCCACTCCTTCCAGTCCGATATAAAGTGTTCAGCACGCGCTCCATTAGAAGACTCAGCCCCAGCACCCGAGAAGACACTGTCATCTGGTCAACCAGCACGGATTCCGTACTTCGTCATGGTCGCCCTAACACCTTGTTTCGCTGCTCTCCTGCTCCTCTCGGCCACGGTCGCATCACCCGTACACAAATATGGGAATACTGGTGGTAGCAGCAGCAGTAGCAAGAAGACAGATATCTTGTCCCTACCGACGGTCTCTGAAGGCTTGGACTTTCTCTGTCTATTTCCTCTTGTCGAAAGGTACACCAAGCTTTGTACGCGCGCGACGAGCAGCTCGAGTTCGTCCGGAACGACCGTCACGACTCCACTCGGTACCGCGACCGGCACGGTGTCCTCGTCTGCTGTTAGGTTTGCCGTCAAGTACGCTTCGGCGGAGAGGTGGCAGGATTCGTCCGTCGTGACGACTTGGGAGCTTCCGTACGTGAACTCCATATTTTCTGGTTGCCTGCGATTTATTCACGTTTGATACAGCAATAACTCGACGGACGCGTCGGCTTCACCATTGGTTTGCCCCCAGTCGGGCGTGGATGCGTCTGATTACTCGGAGGATTGCTTGTCCATGCTCCTCTACGTTCCCTCGTCGGTATTGAGCTCCGGGGGCGATGTACCGACCTTCATGTGGTACGTACAGCCGTCTCCATCCTATTCATTCTAGGGTCTCATGCACAATTGTGTGCAGGATCCACGGAGGCTCTTTCATCCAGGGATCTGCTACGCAGGCTGGTATCGACGGCTCCAATCTCGCTGCGGCAACGGGTTCAATTGTCGCGGTCATTCAGTATCGTCTCGGAGCGGTACGTCTCGTTCTCTTACATTTCTGATGTCTTCTTGTTTTTTGTCTTCGGAAGAAGTCGTTGCTGGTGCTGATATCACGACTTCGATGTTGCTTCGTATTCTCTTGTCCGCAGTTCGGATGGAACGCACCTGATGGAAGCACCAATATGGCCCTCGGGGACGTCATAAACGCGTTGAAATTCCTCCAGACGGTCGTTCCTAGCTTTGGAGGCTCTGCATCCAAGATCACGGCTGCCGGTCAGAGCAGCGGAGCGAACATGGTCAGGGCTCTCCTCGCGACCCCCTCAGCCGACTCCCTGTTCCAGTCGGCTATCCTCCAATCTGATCCCATGGTAAGCCCCTATCCGGTGCTACACTGCTCAATATCACACTTGTTAACATCTCGCCACAGGACTACGGTTTCCTGTCCACGAGCACACAAACGACGCTCCAAAGCTACTTCAACTCCCAACTCAACTGCTCCAGCACCGACACATCCTGCCTCTCTTCCCTCTCCACCTCCGACATCCTCAGCGCCTCCGGCTCCCTCTTCTCCGAAGCCGTCAACCTCGACGAATCCGCCACCGCCTCCGAACCCATGCGTCCCGTGCACGATGGAACGCTGATAACCACCCCCCTCGACCTAACCGCCACCTTTCCCTCCGTCTCCAAGCCCATCCTCCTCACCACTGTCCTCGACGAAGCCGGTCTCACCATCTACGGCAGCTTTGACGACAGCATGACCGCGTCGACGTACGATTTAGTCGTCGAGGGCACGTTCACGAGCAGGACGGACACGGTTCTCAGTGCGAGCGAGTATACGGTCCCGGTGCTGGCGGATGGGCAGCAAGCGGACGCGAGGAGCACGTTGCAGACGTTGGGCACGGATCAGATATGGAGGTGCGCGACTTGGACGATGGCGAGGAATTGGGTGGGCAATGGGGCGAGTGCGTATGTGGGCGTTTATGTCGTCGGCGCAACGTATCCCGGGAATGAGGACGTGAGCTTCTGTACGGAGGACGGTGTGGTGTGTCATCAGGACGACATCGAGATCGTGGTATGTTTCCCCCATTTCCTCTCATTCTGAGTCTTCCTGCCGTATTTAAATTCTTGGTATGCTGATTATTCTTCTGGGACTGTAGTTCGGCACCGTCACGTCCCCGACATCCGCACAGTCCGCGCTCATCACAGAGATGCAAGCGCGCTACAAAGCCTTCCTCAACACGGGCAACCCCAATCCCACCTCCGGCTCCTACGCCACCTGGGCGCCCGCGACGACGACCGATATCCCTGCGCTTTTGCTCGGCGGGAATGGGAGCACGGCGGACGCGGGGGCTTGTACGGTTGACTTTTGGGGGGATAAGCTGTTGTATGATTATCAGGTTTACGATATCTGATATCGTGGATCTGATAGTCAGGTGAAGCTCGGGGGTTGACCACCGAAAATATGTGGTGCGTCGCGACTCGCCGGTATGGGTCCAGGTATGGATATAGGTACAGTATACGTCTTGCATTGTCTATTGGTCTAATTGGCGTCTTTTGTGTCTTCATCGTTGTCCTCATCTTACGCAAGTTTTTATTAGTTCGACATATTGCCGTTGTTCCGTTTCTTCCCCCTGTTACGGTCTACGTCTTTTTCATCCCACTTTCAAACGGCATGACAGCCACTCTAATCATTCGAAGACCCGGACATTGACTTCGTTCTGTGCTTGGTCTTTCTTTCGGATCTCTTCTGTTTTGCTTACTATACCTTATGATGTTTCGTCTTCACTTTTCCTACTTCTCTTCTCCTCGGCTCTTCTCGGCTCCTTTCTCGTCTCGTCTCGCTCGTCCGCCTCTGGCTACTGTATCCATAATGATTTCCATCTCTTTCTCGTACGTTGTCACGACTCACGTCTTACGTCTCTTGCCCTCTGCTCTGCTCTCTCCCCTCCCCTTACCTCCCCTGTGTCTTTATGTGATTAACGTGGTCAAGAAGAAGGGTGGTACGTAGTCTGTTGTTTAAAGTAGGGAAAACTGTGTTTACTGGGTCTGGAGTAGTATACGAGTTACATATGTAGCACAAGTCGATTCTGAAATATTTGCAATCAAAGTTGCTTCACTGCTTATACTTACGGTATGTCTCGTAAATCTAATACTTGATGTGGAGGCAGTTGTCTCGAGACAAACCACGTGGAGACAAACCACGTGGCCGAAACGTGGCGGTATAAACAAGTAACTGTGTGGCGAACATTGCTGTGCCTCCAGTGTGGCTCCGAGACTCGGGCCTCAAAATAATTCAAGTCTCTGTACATACTGCAGATGAAAGACGGGGAGTCAAACATCCCTGAGTATGGGGACAAAAACCTTCGAGCATAAGAGTCAAACAGCTTCAAGCACGGGAGCCAAATGCATCTCTGTCAACGGTGCACGGGGGCCAAACCATTAAAATACCTTCGGGCCAAAGTGCTTAACATTTCGTGGCGCATAAAACAACTGTGCATTACTTTGAGCACGGGAGCCAAAAACCTTCGGGTCACAGTACTCGATGGTTTGTGGTAGCGTAAAATTATCACACTCAGACATTTCGTTATCTATCAAAATATTGTCATTGTCAAGCAGCCGTGCGGACGCACGGGCACATGCTAGTGCTCTTGAACACCGCGCGATGGCTTTCCGGTCCCGGGCCACTTTCTAAGGGAATCGTGCTGCCATTCAAGGGCCTGAGCTATTCTTAGAGATGTCGATATATTCAGAAGTTGAACGCCTTGTCCTCAGTCTCGAACCCATCTTTCCACGCATCTCTCCCCGCAACGACCGTTCTACTTTCTCAAAAGTTCCATAACCGTCAACCGTCAAGTTCTTCTTACACAATCGACATTTCTCACTTCATGTGAGGGACATCAAATGGCATAAAAGTAAAGATCTGCAACATGACGAAGGAACTTGAATGGTCTAAACAGAAATATTCTATGCTTCGCGTCTGAGGTCACAAGCCTCACCGTTCACGTCATCCTCGCGTGAAGCACCAGTGAACAAGACGGCGAGTCCCAATCCTCAGTGGCGAGGCCCGACGACGACCTGCTTGGTCTTGTTGAACTGCGCGATGACCTCGTCCGACAGCCCAAGGTGAGCCTTGACTAGAGCCGGAGGTGTAAGTGCCAACCACTATATAGAGTTCTGGTCAGCTATTGCGATTCATGTCAGGATATTAATGATGATGCTAGGGCTCACCTGGGCGAGACTAACGTCCTGGAAGCGATCTATCGAATGGCCACTGTCAGCATATTATTGTTTTTCAAGGAAGCGGGGAGCGTCATACCAGTCTTGAATATTTCCAAATAATGGAGAGTAGTGTTCCCGACGTTCTCCACGTAGTGGCCTGAGCAGAGCATGAAGCATAAGCTCATGATGGTAACTGTGAAACCTAGTACTGCGAAAGGTGCTCACCATATGTAGCCGGCACGTAGCCAATATCCCCGGCCTGTGCATGAACCAAAGCATAAGAGAGCAGAGCGACAAGATTCCAGGGGTCTCGCCACTCACCTCGTAGTCGAAGGTTTGAGCGTTGCTGTCGGATGCGAAGATGGTCATACGTCCAGTGCCCTCGCTATAGTAGAAAATTTGAGTCAAAGGAGGACGCCGAAGAAGATGGCAGCTCACATGAAGAATGACCACTCGTCCTGCGTGGGGTGCCACTGTACAAAATATAAATCATCTCTGCACTCGGGGAAAGTAATATACGAGTCCTTACGTGCAGCTCCCGCATGGCGCCGGGTTCGACTGTAACATCCGCGGCGGCAATGGTAGTTGAAACGGAGAAGACTGTAGAGTCCACGATCTTGACGGTCCCACCGCTCAGCTGCGTAGCATTCATCTTAGACATGGCGAAGGAAAAGGCTTGAGGTACTTGGCCCAACGGGTCCGAAGGCGCTACTGCATCGGGGGAAGGAGGCTCTACAAGGTCCAAAGTCAGAAAACGGTATTCAAGGGGGAGAAAGTGCTCGTACCTGCTGGGAAGATGTACAGTTCTTCGCCTGGCAGGGAATTGAAGTCGGAAATATCGAGCTGAAAGTTCTTGGCTATGACCTCTTTCGGGACATGAGCTAACCAGTCGGTAAGCTAAAAAAAGGGAAAGGTGAGGACGAGAACTGTTGGGAATTGGGTGACTTGGTGCGTACTAAAAAGGTGTCGTCTTCACTAATTATCATATACCCATGTATTCTGATCAGTATCACATCTCAAACAAATGACGAAGTGATGCCTTGCCTGAAGGCACCATCATCGAATACCAGCAAAAACTCGCTGCCTTCGGTCGACTCGTTCGTGGCCTGGAGAGAGTGCGGGATACCGGGTGGGAAGTACCAAAGGTCTCCAGGTTCCTGCAAATGATACATTATTCATCAGATCTACAGGAGGACGCCTGGCTCGAGGAATCTTTATTTACCACCGTGGCCAGAAAGTTCTTGCCATTTTGATCTACCGCGGTGACTTGGGTGGATCCCTGGCTTGTATCATTTAATATATGGGTAAGAAGAAAGATGGGGACAGCGGCGAACCTTGAGGACATAAGCCCACTAGTACACAAAAATTGTAGCAACACAATATCTCATTCTAATGTGTCAGCTAACGGACTCACCTCAGAGCTTGTGTGCCAGTGCAACTCTCTGCGAGAAAGAACAAGTTGTTCAGTGGCTGTCATCTAAATGGACTCAGATACCATACCGAATTGCGCCTGGTTCCAATCGCATATCCACGCCGGCCATCTCTACACATGGTGATATGAGATCATGCAGAGTCTTGAGAGCTATTCAAGAGTCAAGACTCACGAGTTGCGATAGGCATTACTTCAACTGTAGAAAGTATATGTGTCAGAGTTGATACGACGGTACCGAGAATGTAGACCTTACTGTTCTGCTGTCGAGCCCATCCTCCAGTTTGGAGTCGATTGTGACTGAGACTAAATGGCCATTTGGCGTTCGGCCTGAATACTCGGATGTTAGTGAGGTCCTGATATATTCATGACGATTCACCACTTACACGTCCCCATGATCGGTCGTAGGAGGCGCAAGCATGTCGGGATTCTGCTGGTCGATAGCAATCTAGAGATAAATTCATAATGAATAAACAATAAGATCGACGATTCAAAAAACTTGCGTTCTGTGGCCCTAGGATAGTACCACCGAGAGTTCCCCTGATAGGCTCTGGTTGGATGTCTGCCCCAGGCGTGTACAGAGGCCCATTAGGGGCCGTAGGTGCAAGAGACACTGTGGTACTAGGACTTTCTGCAGCAGCCGACGCACTAGCGGTCTCCGTCGAGGAAGATTCGACGGAGATGGAGAGCGACGCGTCCGACGAAGTAGCTGCCGGGGCAGTATAAGCTCCTATGGCGAGGGAGACGACGCAGAAGAGCTGGTGGGAGAGGGTCAACATCGTAGAGGAGGGAGTGGGGTGACTGAAGTAAAATTCTGAGAATCCGATGCTGACTTTTATACGTCCAGGGGCTATGGAACTGGATTTTAGGCGAAATAATGGTACACGGTCCAAGCCGGCGTTGCTGGGTGGTTCATTCGTGACTATGTCACAAGTAGGTGCTACGGAGGAGAACGAACACCGAACAATTAGGCCCAACTACTACAGTCATTGGGTTGAAGTCGGGAGACAGAGCCCGCTCCACCCCCAGCGCTACGATACCTTTAATTACCATAATGTGATCAGGGTTCTTGAACAAAGCCCAAGGAAATCCCGAGATGTCCCGGGAGACTGCTGGACCATCAGAGTCTTAGCGAAACAAACCCCTACAATTTTCATGAATTACCACATCGTCCGAATGTCTCCTAGACCAGCGCAGCGCCACTCGGGAGCTGCTCGATAGGAGTTCGTTGCGAGTCGGGTGTTTTCTGTAGTGGACACTACAAGGAGGAGCACTAAGTTATCGTGAAAGCGGCTAAGAAGCTATTCATAGTAACTTACTAGTATGTTTCACCAGACAACCACGTACCAGTGTTCCCAAATTAGATACACTTGTGGTTATTCATAGCTGTTCCCCTTCAGAACTGGTAGCGCGCAGCCACCTCCGAACGATTGACTCGTCCGAGTAAACTATCGATGCTTTCCGTTCGGCACATACATCGATAACAAATCTGTGCGTGTCGAGAAAATCCTTTCTGTTACTGCCGATCTCCTCGATTGGTCTTGACTTCACTGGCGCTGAGAGCCTGTAGTTCCGCGGGCAGAGCATGAAAAAACTGGTTACTCTGAACGTGTAAGCGCTGTCTGAAGTATTCGGTTGTTATTTTCTCTCGCCAGAGACCATACCAGGCTGCTTCACCATAGGCTAGACGTATCGTACTGGGGTTATTTGTTTGCCGAAGTATAGCCTGGACCAATCGCTGAGCGGAAGTTTTCGTCTCCTGACCCTATCACATTGGAGAATGGCTTCAAGTTCACAGAAGTGAGAAGTGTAAAAATATGTTGGAGCTTACATTCTCAAGACCACGCCCATCACAGAAATCTTCAGCGGCCCCGAGCAGTTATAAGTGCTCGACCCGTGATGAGTTAGATTTCCGAGTAAGCACGGAGGAAGACGTGAGCCGGCAGTCGCACAATGGAAGAACAGAGAAGGCAAGACTTGTCACTGCGGGTGAGGCAACGCATGTCCAGAATTGCATCCTAAAAATGATAGAGACGATTCAGTCTGCCATTGTGTCTGTAGCTCGAGGCATGAAGTAGACAACCTCACCAGTAACTTTTGCACGCAGATTCTCTGAGAACAGGGAGCACACACACATTGAATTTGTCAACTATTGCGGGTGAATGGGTACGGCGAATGAAGACACTCACCATCAAGAAGTCGCCGAAGGAGTTGGCTTAGCAATATCCAGCGCTGGCCATAACCGACGTTATAGAGGATAACAACGAGATTCGTCCTTGTTACCGCCAGGAGACAGTCGGACAAAATCGCGACCGGGAAGTACAACACCATTCGTCCATTACTGTTGACTGTGTGCCTGTTCACATGAGGTGAGGCGTAACGATACTACGTCGCAGGATCAGATGGAAAGCCCCATCTAGCAGTACCTGAGCGTTCCGGGAACTGGAGTAGGCGCCAGAAACCCAACGATAGCATGTCGCCAATTAGTAGCCTGCGGCGGATATCGGGAACCAATACACACTCGAGGGATATTGACGCCAGTCAAGGACTCGTCGGCACCTACGTATACTGTACTTCCCGGTGGATTTGTAACACTATTTTGCACAAGTACTTAACATCATTCTGAGGAGTTCTGAGGAGAGCTATTCGCTGGAGTACAAGCATTCATATTACTTACTAGAACGTCGCGCTGTCGGTTAGTCCAGGTTTGCTCAGTTGTGAGTGCAGTAGGAGGCGTGGAAAATGTACTGAGCACTTGGCAGTTCGCATCGAAGAGGGCGATGTGGCTGTAAATGGCTTGTAACTTAGCGGAGTATAAAACTGATCACCTTCTTGAGTTGGGCCACTGTGGCGCACATCTTTTCACATCTGGATTTCCTACGGAGTTTCCATGAACATGCTCTATTGAGTAACTCTTCGTTAGCTCTTTCACATCTAAAAAACTGGAACCGAGCATTGAAACGGGTCTACTCTTTGACATACCACACGCTGAATTGACCTAAATGATCGAGAGCTCTTGAATTGGTGCCACTGCGTTCTAGCATGGGACGGTGAGGATGGTACAGTCTATACTATGCATGGTATACAAGGACGTCCAGAAAAAGAGTGTATGAGTATTTCTGGTAGGCCTCGACATGAAACGCCCCATCATTGCCGCAAAAACTCTTGGTTAAACTCTCTCCCAATGAGCATCCTTCTGATCTCCTGAGTACCTGCACCGACGGCGTACAACCTGGAGTCCCGCAATATTCTCCCCATAGGATAGTCTATAATATACCAAAAGGTTAAGGGCTCCTAGGTTTCAAAATTTATGGGCTATGATCAGTACCCACCATTTATGTATCCATTTCCTCCTAGACATTGCATTGCCTCGAGAGCCACTTCGATTGCCTTCTCGGTAGAGTAGAGTATTGCACCAGCACAATCCTACAGGCATGACAACTGTCAGTACGTAGATACGAGAGCAGATATACGTATGTACAAGTAAACATAGGGAAGTTCAGTACTCACCCGTCGGCTGATCTGGCCCTTGTCGCAAGCTCGCGCCACGGCGTACACGTACGATCGACTAGCATTCAAGCTCGTATACATGTCCGCAATCTTGGCTGTGGAGTTATGAGAGTGAGTATTTTGAGATATTTTGGATTACCAGAAGAAGGCGAATTAGAGTCAGTCGATGAAGTAGGACAGGACGTGAGAAGACACATACCTTGCATGAGCTGGAACGTCCCAATTGGTTGATCGAACTGTTTGCGGTCATGGACATACTCAACAGCGTAGTCAAACGCTGCTTGCATGAGACTGTGGGCACGGGAGACCAGAGATCGTCGTGAGCAAGTACGTCGCACAGTAAATTGAGCTCAAAAGCGAACATACCCCAGTGGCCCACCGCTGAGAACAAGGCGTTCGAGATCAAGCCCAGACATCAGTACAGCAGCGCCTTTGTCGAGCTTACCGAGCACGTTCTCTGAAAATATATGACTTAGACTGTAGAAGGTCGCTAATAAAATTAGAACTCACCCTCTGGAACTTCACAATTCTCAAATACCAGCTCACAGGTGTCGCTCCCTCGCATACCAACCTTGTCCAACTTCTGGTGTGTCGAGAAGCCCTTGAACGTATTTTCGATGATAAAGGCTGTAATTCCTTTAGAACCTTTCTCCGGTGAAGTCTTCCCGTATACCACCAATGTCGAGGCGATAGGCCCGTTAGTAATCCTGGAATCACATAACATTGCAGTCAGTCAGACGCCGCTCACTCGTCATAAACCAGAGACGTAGGCTCAGGGATAAATACTCACCAGAACTTATTCCCGTTCAACCTCCATCCACCATCCACCTTATCTGCCCTTAACTTCATACTGACAACATCACTCCCCGCGCCGGGCTCACTCATCGCCAACGCTCCCACCTTCTCCCCGCTCACCAATGGTGGTAGATACCTCCTCTTCTGCTCTTCCGTCCCATGTCTGTGAATCTGGTTGACGCAGAGATTGGAGTGGGCGCCGTAAGAAAGAGCAACTGAACCTGAGGCCCGAGAGAGCTCTTCCATCGCGAGAGTGTGAGCGAAGTAACCCAGGCCGAGTCCGCCGTACTCGGGAGATACAGTGACACCGAGAAGACCCATGTCGCCGAGCTTGGGCCATATATCCTGTGAATGGTGTTCATGATAGTAGACAGAGTAGTACACCACGCTTATAATCTGAAACATACCATAGGAGAGTTATTCGTCTTGTCAATCTCACCAGCTCGCGGAGCAACTTCTTTCTGCGCAAACTCAGCAACAGCTTCTCGGAACTAACCCAGAATATTGAAGAATGAGAGGGTGTATATTCGGAGCAAGAGTCTGCGACACACCTCGGTCTGCTCCTCGTATAATCCAGCTATGTGGACATTATAAGTTGACGTCGATGCGAAACGCCTAGGTATCCGAGCCCCAAGTGTCCGATTCGAAAGGCTTGGGCTTGTCAGACGATGGTGAGTAGAAGTTCGCCGACGAAGTGATGCTAGCATCTTCAGGTTCAAGATAACGGGGTTTAAAGGTGATGCTGAGAGACAAGCAATATTGTATGCGAGTATGCCGAGCTGAGGATGGACAGGATGAGAGCCAGGGGCTTCGGTTAGTACCCCGCGTCCGGATCTTGTTGAAGTTCGTCTCGATCTGACTAATTTCATATTACCCCGCACTGTTTGTTTCCGTTGGGTGGCACTAGGGGTGTGGCCCAGAGACCTTTGAGCAAAACGGACAACTCACAAAAACCCGATTCTCATTATTTACCGGAACGACTGTGAAGAACGGAACAGATATTTCGGGAGCAAATGTCAGGACAGAATGATGGACAGCTCGTACAATGTACGGATCAAATTCGAAGAGCCCTCCGACCATCGACGCTGCAGCAAGGACGTCCACCGGATGCGTACCTGCGAGCTGATGAAAGGCGCTCGCGCTTGGATCTCCTGTCTCTAAGATCACTCCAAGAACCCATGCACCAGATCTGTCGCACGGTTTGGGGAAGTAAGGCACAAGTAATGGAGGTAGGCTATAATACACAGGTATCTTGGCGCAATGGCGAGTCGACGTCTCACGAAAACAAGAAACAAAGCATAACACTACAGAACGGGCGTAATAGGAAATTGAAGGGGGCTGAATCTTGGCCGTATATCGGTATGGTATGGTCGTTCGGATGTCTAAGTACAAGGACTTTGGTGAGCCACAGGATCCGCCAGAATGAGTGCCATACGCACCAGTGATCAAGCACCGTTCCTGCCATCCATCCTGTCAAGGAACCACGTCGGATTCTGCGTGCAGCAAACAGGAAACTGCTCCTGCAGAATTCGAACGACGTCCGCTTCCTCCTCAGGATCGAGCTCGCGATCGTCGATAGTGTAGTTTTCGTACAATGCAAGCATTTGCTGATAGTGCACGGAGACAGGCAATTCTAACCGGAGGTCGTAGAAGTTGCAAAGCATTCGCAGGTGGTTGAGGCCAACGTTGCTAGCAATGCTGTACCTGTCCACCATTTCCGTAACACCCGAGGGAATGAGTTGGTGCTTATCAGCGTAATCGATGATGTCCTGGTAGTTGATACCGAACCCGTAGAAGAGCCTTCCCGGTGGTCGATAGGTTTTGGACTGTAGCAACTTGTAGTCGACTCTATAATCCTGTGGAAGATTCTTTGTCTTTGGACAGCTGTCCTCTATGGGTTTAAAATACTGTTTGATAAAATGGGATTAGTTGTGGAGATATTTTAGAAAGGACGCGTCAATAACGAGATAGCTACGCACAGGTGGCATGGGATAGGATGGGCAAGGACGAGGGACAGGCTCCAGTTGAGTGGTTTGAGCGGCAGACATGGTGCTACATAGTAGTTAGTGGTCAAGGTGGTTTCGGAAGGACCGCGCCAGGACGCGTCGCGCAGTAACAGGCAGAGGCAACGCGCTCACGTGACACACTCTACCAAGTTATTGCAAGGGGGACGCATCGAAATCCTCTTTTTGTGGAACCCCTTTCGCATGGCTGGCAGTAACCGTAGAGATATTTAGAGCAAGTTTTAGAGCATTTTATGGCCAATTCCGCCGCAATTGAATATGTACGTTGTTATCTTAGATCTAAGTAGCGTAAAACTGGCGGGAGGGGTCACGGAAGGGTGTCATTTCTAGATGGGCCCCTCTATAGTATATGGTATTGCATGGTCCTCCGTGTGACTAAGAGCAAATACTTTAGTGAACCACAGAGTCCGCATGAGTAAAAGCCGTACGGAGCATTCATCAAACGCCGTTCCTGCTATCCATTCGGTCGAAAAACCATCTCGGATTTTGTGTGCAGCAAATAGGCAACTGCTCTTGCAGGATTCGAATAAGATCCGCTTCCTCCTCAGATTCGAGCTCGCGATCGTCGATCGAGTAGTTGTCATACATCGTGAGTACAAGCTGGTACTGCACGGAGACCGGCAGATCTAACCGAATGTCGTAGAATCTGCACAGTTTTCGCAGGTGGTCGATGCCAGCGGTGGCAGCGATGGTGTACTTCCGGAAAACATCCGTGACATCCGAGGGTATGAGTTGGTGTTTAGCAGCATAATCGATGAGGTCCTGGTAGTCAACCCCGAAGCCGTAGACGAGCTTGCCCGGTGGTCGATAGGTTTTCGACTTCTTTGCGAGTAGTTTGTGGTTGGGTCTATAGTCTTGGGGAAGAGCCTTTGTCTCCGGACAGCTGTCCTCTATTGGTTTGAAATACTATGTGATAAAATGGTTTAGTCATGGAGAGCAGTCTAAGAAGAATGCGCCAATAACGAAATAGTTACGCACGGCTGGCATGGGATTACTAGATGGGTCAAGGCGAGGGACCGTCTCCAGTTGAACGCTTTGAGCAGTAGACATGCTACTAGAGGGTGAAGTACTGGTGGAGTCGGTTTGGGAGAAGACATGGAACGGGTGTCGCGCCTATATGATGGTTAGAAGCGGCGCTTAGATTCGCAAGCTCGCCGCCACATGCACGCTCTGGAACTTTGTGGCCCATGGAAACGATCGCACACATGCACACAGGGACACGGATCAGTTGCAAAGTCTCGTAGATACTCATAAATAAGCCTCTGAAGTCAATGAGAGATACAAAAATGTGAACATAATACATCGTTGGATAAAGCTATACCATGCAGACCTCACCGAATGAAGTCCTGACAAACCTTCCGCTCATCGACCGGCACATTCGCATATGCCTCCACGATCTCCTCGTCCAACCTTTCCCATTGCGTGATCTTCTTCACCGTCTTCGGGTCCAAATCAATCACTTTCACCTGCACCATTCTCTCCATGCCCCCATTACCACCGATAGTCTTCTCAGAGGCCTCCGTGGTATTCGAGGATTGTAGAGGTGGAGAGAGCGTCGCCGAAGAAGGAAGAGAGACTGATTGAGAGGGCGGAAGGATCCGGACGACGACCGAGCAATCTTTGAAAGTCGCAGAAAGCATATACGCCAACGTATAATATCTCAGCGACTCCATTGACGACGTTGGCGAGTGAAGATCCATCGCATCATGAGCGGAAAGGTAAGCATCCACGAATGACCTCCATTCGTTGAGATCGGGCTCGGTCTCCGTAGCCTGAAGAGCAGAATACTCCGGTGAAGTAGGCGAGGCGGAAGCCTCAGTGGAGGTGGTCGATTGAACGAATTGGCGGAGGGCGACGTAGCCTTCGCGGTCTAGCGGATCCAGTGTGCGCTGGAGTGTGGCGAGAAGTCGGAAGACCGGTGTGGCCAGTATAACGGGAAGTAAAAGATTCATGAACTGCTCCTTCATGGTCCAGATGTCCATCCTGCCGCTGGCACCATAGCCCATACCTGCCCAACCAATCATATTTTCCGCCCACTTTCTCATGTCATCCTCCACCCCAGGCCTGACAACTCTACCCTCAGCAAACACCCTCAGATTATTGATCTTCCCTTCGCTCCGCATCCAATCGTCCCATAACCCCTCCAGCGCTCTCCTCGCGCGGCTTTCGTCGCCGGAATAGAGGTCGAGAGGACAGAAGTTGGATGCGGCGGGGTGGCCCTTGTAGAGGCGGAGGGAGTTGTGCATGCAGGTGCGGCAGGTTTGAGATTTGATGGGAAGAGTTGTATCGGAGAGGTGAGTCGGAGAGGGAAGGAAACCCCATTTTGGCTAGAGAAAGAGAGATGGCGCGTCAGCGAGAGAAGGGAAGATATAGCGATGCGAGTGGGATGATTTTGGAAGGTGCCGGTAAAAGAGAAATAATGTCCATTCAAATAGAAAAGTACCGGGCCACATAGCACTCTCTTGCCCAAGTTCAAGTGGCCAAGATCGCATTCCTCCAGAATATTGAGTCCATCAGAAACAAGAAACTGGTTCCGAAACGAGACTCGGCAGGTTGACTACGAGGCGGAACGCAACAGAGAGCTCACCTTGATCTCAATCGTGCACATCCCCTCTCCACCAACCAAATTATCCGCCAACACACCCTTCTGCCTGCCTACATCAATACCGTCGACGTTCTTCCTCGATGCGGGACGTGCACCTCCTCCGCCTTCCTCACCGGATTCTTCGATTCCTGGTCCATCATGATAGTCGGCAAACCCTGTTAACCACTCTCGATCCAACTTCACGACTCTGAGGTTTACCAAGAACTGCTCAGGTATAAGCCTTCCGATAACTTGCTCCTGGAATGCAATCATTGGATCATCCGGCTCTTCGTCTTCTGCATGCTGCGCTCCAGCTCCCTCTCCCTCTGCCCCTATTCCCTCTTCACCTCTCCCATGAAACGAACTCGGAGATACAGTTGGTTTCTCAGGATCATTGGGATGGGATTTATGATGCTTGATCTTTCGGAGACGAAGGACTGTTCCAGTGAAGAATGGGTGCAGAGGTCCAATGTAGGCAAAGACGATGGTGGCGCCGCCTTCGGCAACGTATTTCCAGTCTGTTACCTTGGTGTCCGAGATATCGAGGTTGGTCGGGACGGTTCCTGTCATTTCTGGTCGATGGTAGAAAATGACGCAAATAGGGAATGAGAGCAGGAAGTATAAGGAAGCCAAGTTAGAGGTTGCGCAGACCCATCAGGCCTCGAAATCCCAAGTCAAATGGACGCCCGTCATGGCGGTGCTAGCACCGTTATGGTCACCATATTCACTAGGATCGACAGCACCTTACTTGTGGTATAGTCGCCACGGGTACCGTAGAGTTCAACGTTCAGGAGCAAGTCACTCGCTGATGGGAGTGGGTTCGTAAGTAGCTTCAAGCTTGCCTGCATGGTGCTAGTACAACACGCCACCCTCCGCAACGGAATGTGACCTTCGCTTTGAAACGGTTTGAGGCGCTCAGCTCTCGAGACTTGCATGTTGTTCGACGACAGCATCTATCGGATCAGTGTGATGAACATCGTTGACGTTTTGTATTCTATTTGACAAGCCGGCTGATCCTCGAGGGCGGTACGTGTAAGTATAGTAAAATTTGTGCATGTATGTACCGTTGTGGCCCTCAACGCAACCCTTCAAAACAAGGCCTCGGACTTCATTAACTTCGTTGATCTGAAGCCGACGAGGTTCAAGTTCCGTCAATAGAATCAGGCAGGCACTGATGTCGGTATAATTATCCTCGTCGATGATCATCACGGTCTCAAAGCAAGTTCATCAACGGATAAATGAGAATTCGAAGAGTGACCTTTCCGAAGTGACACTCCTGATAGCTATCAACAAAGCCGAAGGAGGCCGATGTGATGATTCCTCCCACAAGAAGAGTCGCCAAGGGAGTAAAAGCACCAGAAGGCTATGTTTGAGAGAAAAAGAAGTCGACTAGCTGGTCCTACTAGGCAGTCGCCAAAGTAGCTGCTGAGTTTGAGTGTCGTGTGCCCATGACAACGAAGACATATAGCGACTTGCTTGCTGACCGAGATAAAACTGTAGGCGGTGTAGACTCCGATAGAGACGTTTTCCATGGAAATGCATCCGCAAACATGGGAAGTAATGATGCCATTGGCGAATGGCGTCCGGGGACAGTAGGAGAACCAAGAAAGACATAACGAGCAATGACGAGGAACGTATCTGAAAGCGGGAAGAAAGAACAAGTTGGGGTGTGTGAAAAGAGACATGATGCACGATGAAAGGGACGACGGTGAAGGGAAGAAAGCAGGGGAACGGCGGAAACGGTTCCGGGGAGGAAGGGCACGCCGGCCACCCGGGCCAGGATCGCGTTCTGTGACGGCAACGACCGGAAGTGGCCGTCTGCATCTCGACTGGCGACGTTCGAACGCTCTCCTTAGCCACCCCCACCGTCCCCGCCAATCCTACCATGGCGCCGTCGTCGTCCAGCTCAGCGGCGGCAACATCTGTCCAAGTCGGTCAGTATTTTCCCCCACATTAAAGCAGTTTTCTACATCGCTCACGCACGCCCTTTGCCTCCAGCGCTGCGTATACGGCCGCCTACAAGCCAGGACGCGATATCCATTCCCGCTCGTTTTCAACGCACCGTCATTCATGCTGCTTCTCATACTCAGGTCACCGTAGACCCTACTGCCAGTGCACCCTCTGGCACAGGCGCATCCTCTGCTTCCCCCCAAGCATCTTCCGCCGCGAACGCCAAAAAGCAGGTCTTTACTTTCGACCAGGTACACGGCCCTGAATCGAATCAGCATGCCCTTTTCACCACTACGGCCCTCCCTCTCTTGTCCCGCTTCGTAGAAGGTTTCAACTGTACAATTCTTGCATACGGCCAGACTAGCTCTGGCAAGACTTTCACCATGACCGGCATCGACCTTGACGCCGACCCGTCAGACCCTAATAACGGCATGGGCATCATCCCCAGAGCCGTCTCCACAATCTTTCAACGCGCGCGCGAGGTCAAGGAGGAGCGCGGAAACACCTGGAATTATACCATAAAGGGCTCCTTCATCGAAGTATATAATGAGGACCTCATCGACCTCCTCAGCGACACTAGCGGCGGTAGACGCGAGGTTCAAATTCGTGAGAATAAGGACGGCTCTATCATCTGGGATGGTCTTCGCGAGATTACCGTCCGGAGCCCCAGCGAGGTCATGACGTGCGTTATTTCTCCTACCTCCCGCATACGAGATTGTCCTTGCTGACTTATGTTCTTTATTATCATATCTATCCTAGTCTGATTCGTCAGGGAACCTCCATCCGACGGACGAACGAAACAGACATGAACGCTCAGTCCTCTCGCTCCCATGCCATCTTCTCCCTCACCCTCGTTCAGCGTAAATATACCGGCGCTTCCGCCCAATCTGGGCGTTCTCCTTCCCCTCTTCCGCCCACTGGCCGCTCGCCTTCTCGCATTGGCCGCCCCGGATCAGTGCTCGGCGGGACTAGCTCTTCGTCCGGCAACAGAGTTAGTTCTCCTACTTTTGGCCGCCCCGGAACCCCCAGTTTTGCATCCGCGATGGGGAGAGGGGGCCTGAGACCATCCAGCGCTCTTGGGCACTCTGCGACCGATTCTCGAGCTTCTGTCGATGAAGATGCGGGCGAGTGGACGACCGTTGTTTCTAAGTTCCATTTCGTTGACCTGGCAGGTTCTGAGCGGGTACGCCATCCATTCCGCCATGAAAGTTTAAGCGAATGACTGATGGGGCTTCGGGAATCTTTTTTTGTCCTTTGACCCCTTTTGCAGTTAAAACGGACTGCAGCGGCTGGAGACCGTATTAAAGAGGGCATTTCTATCAACAGCGGGCTCCTCGCCCTCGGAAACGTTATCTCTGCCCTTGGAGACCCCTCACGGGCTAAATCCCATACCGCATCATACGTCCCTTATCGCGACTCCAAACTCACTCGACTACTGCAAGATTCGCTCGGAGGCAACGCCCATACACTCATGATTGCCTGTGTCAGTGCCGCGGAGTGGAACGCCGCAGAGACGGTCAACACGCTAAAGTATGCGAATCGCGCGAGGAACATCAAGAATAGGGCGGTCATCAATGAGAAGGAGGAAGGTTGGGATGACGTCGAGTGGTTGCAGGGCATGGTGACGAGGCTGAGGAAGGAGATGAAGACGATCAAAGATGGGGGATCGATCACCGTCAGCACGAGCGCCGGTAACTCTGAAGGATCCGGCGAGGCTTTGAAGAAGGCTCTCGCGAACTTCAATGAGGTCCAGCACAACTACGAGGAGTTGAGGGAGAAGTATGTGGCGAGGAACGAGGAGCTGAATAGGCTGAGGAAGGAGCATGGCGAGCACCATCGTTCTTCCACTACTGGGGCTGTCCCCGGTATGAGCAAGTACGAGGAGATCGTTGGCCCTGTCATCGAGGAGTACGAGAAGACGATCAGTGCCATGGAGGCCGAGCTGAGTCTCAATAGAGCGGCACTGAGGCATACGAACGAGTTGGTGGAGGAGAAGGAGGAAGAGCTGAACCAGATCACGGAGAGGAAGGCGGCCACAGAGCTTTATGTCGAGGAGCTGAGGACTCGTGTGGCGAAGCTCACCGAACGCGAGGCTTCGACCGAGGTATGCGATGGTTGTTCACTTTTCTTCCGCGTTTACTAACAGCAGACATTTTACAGGCTTACGTGCACGACCTCGAAGAGAAAATCAAGCAGTATGACGAATCCAACATGTCGTCCAGCGGCTCCATCAGCGACCTCAAGCGCGAGCTCGCTCGCTTCAAGGACACTGAATCTCACTCCACCAAGTACATCGCCGATCTCGAGTCTCGTCTAGCCCGTGCAGATGAGTCTGTCCTTTCTCTTCGTCATACCGTGGAAAGGCTCGAGGACGAATCCGAACGCCGAAGACTCGAGGTCGAAGTTCTCCAAGAACGTTTAGAGCACCTTCAAAAGGACGGAGAAGCCTGGCGTACGGACCTCGAAGAGCGCGAAAGGCGTGTCTTGGAATTGGAGAAGAAGATGCAGGAGTGGGAGGCCAAGAAGAAGGAAGCTGGAGAGGCGAGAGAGAGACTCGGAGGCGTCGTCGACGAGGTCACTCAAGCTCAGAAGGATCTCAAGGCGAATCTTACAGTCAACGGGGCTAGCACCACCAGCCTCATTTCGGGATCAACGACACCTAAGGACTCTTCTCTCGAGGAACAGATGATTGCTCTGCAGCAGACTCATACGGCCACTCTCGCCGACCTTTCCTCGGTCTCTGGGAAATACCGCGACGCGTTGCGCGAGATTTCAGACTTGGCGGCGCAAATCCAGGAGTTGAAGTTGAGCGGTGCTGCTCCGCCTTCTGCGTCTTTGGAGACGCCGGATCGTAATTCGGTGGACTTTGGTGCGCATCGGAGGAGGATGACTGGAGGGCGGATAAGGGAGAGCTCAGAAGGTTCCACCAACTCCGCCGGAAGGAGGCTTTTTTTCCGACAGGCGGCCTCGACAGAGTCGCTCCACTCGAGGTAAATTTTGCCTTATCTTACTAAACGACATTATCTCAAACATTGTTGACCTTTGAGCCATCTATTGTCACAGGTCGCTCTCGCAATCTCAATCGCTTTCGCAGGAGCTCTCCTCAGCGCGTTCGCGCAAAGCCTCCTTGTCAAGTACTGGCACAAGTAGCGCGCACTCCCCTACCAACTCGATGACTTCTGCGCTCCGTCCGAACCTTTCCATCTCCCTACCTTCCCTCACCGTCAGCCCCCACGAGCGTTCCGTACCTAGCCTCGAGAAGGAGATCATGCGCCTCCAGGATGTCCTTCGCGAGCGCGAGCAGGAAATCGCGCATCTCGAGATCTCGCTTAAAGAGAAGAACGGGGCTTCTGTCGCCGCCTCATCCGACTCGATGTCGGCGCCAACAGTACCATCCACACCTGACGAAGCTTCTGAGTCGGTCAACGGCGATGGTAACACCGTCTTTTTGTCCCCGAAGACGATGTCCCATTTCGACGAGATCAAGTCAAGTATGAAGATTGGTAGTGATTTGGACTCTGTTTCTGCATCTGAAGCTGAAGAGACGATGGAACGGTTGAACGAGCTTATGAGGTACGCATTCATTTCCATGGTTGTTTTATTGACAGTGATACGCCTGACTAACGTACAACTCCGGTTGCAGAGCGATGGCCCAGAAGGAATCACAGCATCGAGAGGTCGTCGACACTCTGAATGATGAGCTCACTGGACTTCGACGTCAGCATGACGACCTAAGCGCGCTTTCTCGCGACCAGGTACGGTTATTCAGTTATCCGGCCGCTTATTCCTGGCTTGTTATATACACCCGGCACTAACAGACCGTTTTTTCACCTAAATTGCTGGTCGTCTGTTCACCTCCTCCTGTTCCTTGATGCTCCTGGCTTGATTTTGCTCTGCCATTCTTTTCGAACCACTGTCTTTACAGGCCCTCAATATGTCGAGCGAGATGGAGAGCCTCACGGTCAAACACGAAGCCGACCTCGAGAAGCTCCAGGAGATCGAAACTCGTGAAGCCGAGCTACAGGATACGTTGAAGCAGCTGGAGGAATCGCATGCTGCTTCCGTCGAGCAGCTTCGCTCCGAACATGAAGAGGCTCTTCGCGTCAGGGAGCAGCAAGTCGACGAGCTCATCGCGCGCATGACAGAGGAGCACGACTCTGAGCTCGGTACGCTTCGTTCGCAGCTCGAACAGGCCTCGACCGATTTGGAGAAGTCACACCAGGAGCATTCCGAGGCGTTCGGTGCACTCAAGGCCGAGCACGAAGAGGAGCTTCGTCGTCGTCTGGAGGAGGCCACTGCGACGTTGGACCAACTCCGTCAGGAGCACGAAGCCGCTCTCCAGGATGCCGCTGCGAAGCACGAGGAGGCTTTGAAGCAGAAGGACGATGAGGCCGCCGCGCGCACCACTTCGACAGAGGAGGAATACTATAATGGTCTCACGAAGCTTCGTACCGAGCACGCTGAGGCGCTGCAGCGACAGATCGAGGACTCGTCGATAGCGATGGAACGTCTGAAGGATGAACATGCGGACGCAATGAGGCAGGCGGAGATGGCGAGGGAAGGTTCGCTCGCGGCTAGTGAGTCCTCGCAGTTTTCGGCTATCAAGGGCCTCCAGGACGAGCATGCCGCTTCTCTCGCCAAGAAGGAGGCTGCGTTCGCTCAAGATCTCGAGCGGGCACATGCGGAGCACGCGAGGGCTTTGTCGTCTGCGATGGAGGAACATGGCACTGCATTGGAGAAACTGAGGGCGGAACATGAGGCGGCGTTGTCGAAAGCGAAGGAAGAGGCTGAGAAGGAGCTTGGCCGTTTGACCGAGGCATTGTCGAAGGCGGAAGAGGACCATTCTTCCCAGTCGTCGAAGGCTAAGGAGGAGGCTGAGGCAGCGTTGTTGGCGGTGAAGGAGCAGCAGGAGATCATCTTCAAGGAGGTCGAGGCCAGTCACCAAGACGAGATCGCCCAGCTCAAGGCTTCTAACGAGGCGGCTCTCGAGGCAGCCTTGTCCCAGGCTGAGTCGGAGCGCTCAGCTCTCGCACAGGCACATGCAGAGGAGACTGCGAAGCTCAGGTCGACGCATGAACAGGCTATGGCCGACTTGAACGCTATGCTCGTTGCCGAACAGGACGCTCACCGACAGGCTTTGGAGGACGCGCGAGCCCAGAATGAGCAGCTTCTCAAGGACGAGCAGGAACGGGTCAAATCCGTCATTGCGACCATGGAGGAGGAACATGCCCGCGAACGCGAGACTATGAAGAAGGACCACGATCTCATAGCCAATGAGCTCGTTTCGTACAAGGCCGCCGTCGAGGAACATGTTCTGGCCCAGGAAGAGACACGCACGGCTCATGAGTCCGCTCTCAGCAAACAGTCCGAGATCATGACCAATCTTCAGCATGATCTCTCCGAGGCGCACAACGAGCGCGAGGAACTGGCCAAGCAGATCGAGCAACTTAAGGCCGAGGTCGAACGCGGACAGACGGAGCACACGGTCCTCGCCAAGGAGGCCTCCAAACGCGAGTCGCTCGTCGACGAGCTCGAAAAGCATCGGTCCGTCCTCGCCGAGACTCAGAATCTTCTTCAGCGAGTCCGGGACGAGAAAGATGCCATACAGGAGGAGAAGACACGACAGGAGCAGGCTGTACGAGAGCTCCAAGAAAAGCTTGCGGCCGTTCCTCCTCCGGCGCCGGAGTCGGCGCCTCGTCCCCACAACGAGCGTGGGATGTCGTTCACGAGTCGTCTCAACGGTATCTCACCTTCCAAGCTTCCTCCACCCACGCCCCCTCCCTCAGTACCTCCACCCCCTGCTCCCCGGCTCTCGTCGTTTAACAACGACAACGCCCACCCTTCGCTTTCGTCCATCAGTTCATCTCGGGAGTCGCAGCTTGATTCGCCGGCGACGTCGCTCACGCCTTCGCTCGGTACCCCTCAGCCCGGCCCTGACCAGAAGATGGTGCAACAGCTCGAGGAGCAGACGAAGCAGATCAGCGAGCAGGAGGCGATGATCAAGACGCTGAACAAGCAGCTCACACACTGTGAGGGTGACCTGCAGGCTCATATGGATCTCGTCACCACGCTGGAGACCTCGTTGGGTGACTCTGAGAAGAATCGTATGTGTCCTTTGTTTGACGTCAGGATAACATCATATATTAACTCGTATTCCCTCTTAGTCCGCAAAGCTCGCATGCAAGCAACCGAGCTCGCCCGAGAGCGTGATACGCTGAACAACCAGATCGATGGTTTGCGTAAAGAGCTTCAAGATAGCAAGCGCGAGGTTGCGAACGTGCGGCGGTCGGTCGTGGAGGAGAAGCAATCACTTGAGAGTCGCTTGGAGGAAGAACGCCGTGCGAAGGATCGTGTGCGACAACAGCTCGACAGTCGAATGGAAGAGTTGCAGAAACGCAAGTCCAAGTTTGTCTGTCTATGATCCATCGCTTGTTCTTTTCATGCTTTCTCTTTATCTCTGCCATGTACTCCTCTGCTGCTCGTTCTTGCCTTCTTCTTTTATCTTCGTTTTATTCGTTGGTGTTGTGTTCTGGCCGTTATCGTTATGATCTACTTGCGTGCCTTTAGGCCGTCACGACTCTCGTTTATTCTACTTGATAGTTTGTATTACTGGTCCGTTTCCCTTTTTTCTTTTCTTTTCTACCACTCTTGTGGCGCGATGAGAATTCATCGTGACTCTCGTTTGGAGACCTTTGATCAATCGCGGACTATGGCCCGCCACCTTACTCTCTCTCCCTGGATTACTATTGCGCTGAATCGTGGATACCCGACGTTCGTTTCCGTTCCCTGTTTCTTTTTCTCTGCCTCTGCATATGATCGCCTCTCGCTTATTACATCTATGTGGCGCCCCCATGCATGGTGGCGCTGTTACTATATGCTACATCCTACGTACCAACCTGGAGCTACCTCGACTATTATTCACTGACCTATATCACTCATGGCTCGCGAGCGTCAAGATGAACAAAGTATTATTTGTAAAACACGGCGATACGGATTTCGACAGATCTTCCCAGACGACGGTGGGGGCGAAGCGCGGGAGGGTGATCGTTTCGCGCTTCGAACACCGTTACAGTACCCCGCATGTTGCACTGCAAATTGTCGGGGTTGTTGATCCACGGCACATTGTTGTGCGGCTAGCGCTGGTTCAGCTGGGGATATTGGCAAGAACCGCAAAGCCGAGCACGGAGGCGGACAGTCATGGAGCGGTGGGCACGGTCCAATCCTCATCCTTACAGCAACCCGGGCGCACGGACCGTCCCGTCGCAATAAATCCGGTCTCAGCCCGCGCCTTTCGCCAACTCATCCCTCTCTCTCTCCCACCGACTCCACCCCCACAATGTCTGCCATTCTTGCCCGCAGAGCCCTACCCCTCGCCATCCGTTCCTCACAACGCCATGCTCTCCAGACCCGCTTCAGCAGCACCGCCCCAAAAGTTCTTTCTGACTTCTCGATGGAGAACAAGGTCTGTTCGGTTTCAACAACCCTCACCGCGATTTTCCCCCGCGTTGAACAATTTTCGGCTCACCCGTTACGCGACTCGTTCGCGATGGCTTGCTATCCCTGCCTTAGGTCTGCATGATCACTGGTGGTGCTCGTGGGTTAGGGAACGAGTTCTGTCGCGCTTTCGTTCGCTCGTGCGTCATCAACAGTTCAATGATCACGACGGTCGCCAGCTGACCGACACGTTCATCGCGTCTTCTCTTCCTTTTTCTCTGCTCGTACAGAGGATGTACTTCCATGGCTATTGTTGACCTGAAGCAGCAAGAGGCTCAAGCCGCCGCCGAGGAACTCGTTGCTTCCGCTTGCCGTGCGTAAACCCTCGACCGAATGCGTGGCGCCTGGGCATTTTTTGAAGACTTTCCAAGTTAACAGCGATATGAAGCCGTCGGACTTCAAGTTCATTGGACTTGAGTGCGATGTCTCGTCAGAGCGCTCGGTGCAGAAAGCGTTTGCGGAGACGATGGGCACGTTCGGCCGCCTTGATTCGGTCGTCGCTTCTGCTGGTGCGTTCTGTGCCCCAGTAAAATTACCGTCCCCACCCTGTTTCTGACGTTGCGCGCGTGTATGACGTGACGCTGGTCTTCCACAGGTATCGTGGAGAACTACTCTGCCTTTGAGTGAGTACTCTCGCTAGGCGCTCCACGGCGCAGCTCCTGAACCAGTTATTGATCCCATGGCCCGCTTTCATCAGTTACCCTTTCGACCGCATCAAGCGTCTGTATGATATCAACGTGCACGGAGCTTTCTTCACCGCGCGCGAGGCTGCACGCAACATGATACCGCAAGGAGGCGGCAGCATCGTCCTCGTCGCGAGTATGAGTGGTAGCGTACGTCTTCATTTGCATCATGTCCTCCATCATTCCAACATTTCCCGCCTTCCCCGCCTCTTCCCCACATCTATGACGTCAGCGTTGTGGTGGTTCGCTAATTGCCGCCCCACGTGTCATCTGTTTTGGGAATGTAGATCGTCAACATCCCGCAGGCACGTAATCTTATCTTCCGGGGTTATTCCGGGGTATTTTTAAAGTCTAACCGGCGGATACTGTACTGTAGCCGCAAACGCCCTACAATGCTTCCAAAGCCGGTATGTATTGTATCCATAGGTGTTGATTCTGTGTTGATTTTGTCGCTCTACTTTACAGCCGTCAAGCACATGGCAGCCAGTCTCGGCGTTGAATGGGCGAAAAAGGGTGTTCGTGTGAACACGCTCAGGTAAAGGCAATGATCGTCTCTCGATGTTCTCAGACTGACAATCTTCGAATCTAGCCCTGGCTACATGTTGACCAAGCTTACGAAGACTATCTTGAGCCACGATCAAGAATTAAAGGTGCGTTCGCTGGCCACACTTGTCACAGTGAAACTGACCTGGCATATCCTTCTTCAGAAAACCTGGGAGAGTCTCACACCCATGGGCAGGGTATGTTTTTAACTTTCATCCCATCGTCTTCTAGCGCTCACATAGCGCCTCGCATTTCAGATGGGCGACCCTGAAGATCTGGCTGTGCGTATTTTGCACGACTGTATTGATCGTCTTTGCCCCATCTGACCCTTTTGCGTATCCAGGGTGCCGTCGTGTTCCTCGCTAGCGACGCTTCCCGCTTCATGACCGGTGCCGATATTCGCGTCGACGGCGGTTACTGCATCATCTAGACAAGTTATTTTCCAATTCTGTTTCCGTACTTCTGGCCAGATAGACACATAACTTAAAGAATGGTACCTGGGCGGGCGCGTTCACTGTTCTCTCTTTTTTAATCCGTTTTTTGGTTTTGATACCTCCATCCTCTGAATCGTTCATCACAAGCCAAGGGTCTCGACTGTTTGTTTTCTTGGTTCTCCCGTACTCCTCGTTCTTGTATGCATATGTTACTGTAACAATGTTGGGTCCAGGTTGTCTCTTTTGACTGCACATCCATCTTCTTACGAACTGGTAATGTACCCACCAGTACATAGGTCTTGAATAATGTTTATTCTGTCGCTTTCCCATCCAGCGCCTGCGCGTGCGGCGACCAAGCGGTGACCACTTTCGCCGCAAAGGACAAATGGCGTGTGAAGGAATGCGCGGACTGAATTGAGCGTATATTTCCTTTTGAAGACGCCGCTCGATCGAGAGCGAATTAGGCCGTGGGAGCCTCCTATAACCTTAGGCGTCTTCCACTCTGCGGCGTCCATATATCACGTCCTCCTTCCCGTCCTCCCGCCATGCCCTCACTCACCCCCTCTCCTGTCTCGACCATGTCCTCCTCCAACTCCCTACACTCCGCCATGGGTTCCGGCTCCAGCTCAAACGCCAATGCCCGCGCAGGGCCGTCAAATTTCTCTTCGGGTTCAGCACCGCCGGCTGAGCGTGAAGGCGGTCACGGAAGCAGCAGTAGTAATCATGCGCAGGCACAGAGCGCCACCGCGGTTCAACAGCAGCAGCAGAAACAGCCGCCTGCGTTCGAGTTCATGAAGAGGAAGAAATGGGCGGATTTGCTCGTTTCGGAGTTGAGCGAGGCGATCATACTTGTGCTTTCGACGAGTTGTAAGATTTTGTTTTGTGGGCATGCGGTTCAGGAGTTGTTGGGTTCGAGGGATGAGGACCTGGTCGATTGGGATTTGGTGGATCTTATGAATGGTGCGTTTTTTTCCACCCACTCTGCTGTATGAAACATTGGAGCGCATGTTGAGATTGTGGCGTTCGGTGGTGGTGGATGTAGCGAACGACAAGGATAGCTTCAGAGAGATGTTCTCGGAGTCGATATCGCAGAAGAAGGATCTCCTGACGTATGCGAGACTGAGGTGCACGTCGGAGTACTACGGTGGTTCAGACTATACGGTGCCACAGAAAGAGGTTCTGTTCGAGATCATGGGATATCCTCACTTCTTACCCGGAGAGGAAGAATGCAAGTGTTTCTTTGCCGTTGCGAAGCCTTATCCCAGTCGTAATACTGCCATGTACGTCCCGCTACCCCATCGTCCCGTTTTCTCTTGTACCCCCTATATCCCCCTACCTTGACGTTTTAGAGCGCTAACACGCAGAATTGCTTAGGATGAACACCTTTCTTGAGCTGAAAGTCGAGAACGCACGGCTCCAAGAACGTCTACAGGCCCTCCGCGTTCGCTCCCAAGAATTGTCCAAAAATCAGTTCAATCGTGGTTCGCTCACCTTCAGCAACGGAGCCATGTCCTCCCAGCTCGCGGCCAATCTTGGCTTCGACTCCGCCCCGGAGTACGCACAGTCGTCTTATTACCATTCGGTACCGGCGCATGGGTACGGGGCAAGTGCGGTGGGGTATTTGCCGCAGGTGGAGGATGATGCGGACGAGAGGAGGGCGGCGAAGAGGGTAAGTTCTTTTCTTCGCTTGATTTTCAAGTTTCGGTTGTTTCGGGCGTTTTGGAGGTTGTGTGTGGTGAGAGGCTGACTTGGTGTGTTATATCTGATGTAGCCGAAAAAAGTGTATATGACGGACCAGTATGTCTGTGTTACTTGTGGACGTACGGATTCACCTGAGTGGCGAAAGGTTCGTGTCGTCTTGACTTCCATCCTGCCTCGCCGACCAAGGCTGATTCCTCTTTTGTCTTGTTTATCGTCTTCTAGGGTCCACAAGGACCAAAGACGCTATGTAACGCCTGCGGGCTGCGATGGGCTAAGAAAGTCCGCAAGTTCGAGGAGGCGAACGAGGCGGGGGGCGATGCCTCGCAGAAGGTCCTCGACAAGACCGTCCCGCCTTGAGCTCACCATCTCACTTTCACCTATCGTCTTCCGTTTCTACGCCCGGGATCTATCTGCATGTCTTGCATGGGTGTTTTCTTTTATGGACGTTATCATCTTGATTTATCTCGCTGGACTCACACGCACTCCAATTTTATTTTACGCTATTTTCTTGTGATTCTGAATGCGTACTACGCGGCACATCTGAACACTGGCATTCGCGTCTGTATGACTGTATCATTAGCTTCTTATTTGTTTCTTTGCACACGAGCCTTGTTCTACGTCTCTTACTGTACTATATAATAAGAGGGCTCACTCTGCCTCCTTGGAAATATATGAATGCTACGATAGGTTCTGAGCTCGACTGTTTCTGACGTGCGCAGATTTTCGATGTGAAGGTCTAAAGTCTTGATCCTTGTGTGGCGCAATGTGGCGCGAGCCTCTCCTGTGGCGCACTCGACGAACTTACAGACTCGGACTCGGAGCCTTGGGCTGACTTGCATTGTCTCGAGTCATCTCGCCAACGACCATCACTAACAAAGAACCCACATGATGCCCATGAGCACATATACTCACGGCATTCTCTCTTGTCTCTCGTTCTTCAACCATGGACGGCGAAAAAGCCCAGCAGCGAACTGATCTCGAGAAGGGGGGTTTGCGAGTCTCCGAGTCTGCCCTTGTCTCTGCGACTCCGCCCCTAGGACCTACACGAAACTTGGCTAGTGTTTCTCGAACTGAACGACCACGGGGTGGTGTGCGCCGACTTCTTGTGCTCCTTGCGATTGCTGGATTTGTTTTTCATGCTACCACTAGGGTGCTCAAGCATGCTGAGGACGGAGTTACATTCAGAAGACAGTCTCATGCCTTTGTTTATTCAGGGAATGCCGAGCATGGGCTGTATGGGAAGAAAGCGGAGGACCTATCCCTGTTTGTTTCTATCCCAATGTCACTTTTACCATCCTCATTTTGTACGCTGTTCAGAACCATCCCCAACGAAGCAAGCGCACTGGCCGTCGCCCGACAATATGCTACCAAAGCCCATCGCGCAGGTTCCTCAGGCGACCTCAGAACCGCGAAAGACTTTTTATCCCTCCTCCAAACCGAACTCTCCATCCCTCCGCCCGCCGCCCTTCCCATATTTCCCGCTGGGACCGATGCCTCCCGTAACGCGACATTATCAATCCCAACCCTTACGGAACCCAATGCCTGGATCGACGTGTATTATCCGATCATGAATACGCCGTTGGATAGGAGCTTGCAGATCCTTGGAGAGGATGGGGAGACTGTGGAGTGGAGTGCGGAGTTGGAGGAGGTGCCGGATGAGGCGGATGAGGATGCTTGGGGGGCAAGGGACGAGGTTCCGGCGTTTCATGGGTTTAGTAGGGGAGGGGAGGTTGAGGGAAAGTTGGTTTATGTGAATTATGGGACGAAGACCGATTATGATGCACTTGTTGAGAAAGGTGCGTGGGGTATTATGTTTATGGGGGTTGTTGGTCGTAAACTGATGGGTTTGTTGTAGGCGTGAACCTTACTGGGACTATCGCTATCGCTCGTGCCGGTGTAAATCTGCGTGGTATGAAGGTGAGCAGTTCACAGTATTTGCCTAATATTTACTTTAATATTCCGCTTTCTAGATCAAGCGCGCGGAAGAGCTGGGTGCTGTTGGTTGTCTGATATACACAGACCCGAGAGATGACGGCTCGGTCAGCGTAGAAAACGGTTATAAGGCGTAAGTGCACATCCTGGCTCATTCAAAATCCTCACTTACCTTCTATATTTATTACAGCTATCCCCACGGCCCTGCACGCAACCCGGACTCCGTCGAACGCGGCTCAGTAGAGTACATTCACTTATATCCCGGAGATCCGACGACACCTGGATACCCGGCCTACGAAAACAGTACTCGTATAGATGGACAAAACATCCCTCACATTCCTATGGTGCACTCCACTTAGTCACCACCAAGAATAAACAGTGGCCAATTTCCTTGGCCCGGGGGCGAAAATCCAGTTTATCGAAAGAAAATTCCTGGCGCATACTTTAAAAACAATGTTACTTTAATTGGATTATTTAATTCAATAAACAATTGAGTTAAATATTATTACTTGGCAGGGAACGGCCAAATGGGTCCCCCCAGATTTTATAAGTCCGTCAGTTTTTATTATTTTGAGATTCTGTCTTGGGGATCTCTTCCTTTCATGAAAAGAAGCCTTTTCCCAAGAGGAATAAGAACTGGCGGTAAAGTCAGTCCGGCTGTGACCGATATGGGCCCGTTGTTCGTTTTTGGTGGTGACTAAGTGGAGTGCACCATAGTATTCCCATCTCGTGGGCTAACGCAAAAGTCCTCTTGAAGGAGATCGAGGAAGGAGGGCCAAATAGGACGGTGAAGCTCGTGAACCATGGTATGTGACATCTCTTGTTTTGTTCTATACAGTACGGATAACTGATGCTCGCCACTTGATTTTCGTCCAGTAAACAACACGATCATGCCTATCTGGAATACAATGGGCGTGATCCCTGGACATTTGACAGATGAAGTGATCGTTGTAGGCAATCACCGAGATGCATGGGTGCGTTGCACACTCTAAAGGTCATCACGAAGATCATTTGGCTAATTTTTCTTCTACCATTCTTACTTTAGGTGCTTGGTGCTGGTGACCCCACTTCCGGCACCGCCTCAGTTGCTGAGATCATTCGAGGCTTCGGCGTTCTTCTGAAAGCTGGCTGGAAGCCTATGAGGACCATAGTCTTCGCGAGCTGGGATGCTGAAGAGGTAGCTATCTCTGTTGGTCACCAGGATAACGTGCATCTAATGGCCACCTATTCCCTGCACAGTACGGGGCTGTTGGTAGTACGGAATGGGGTGAAGACTTCAAGGATTGGATCGACGAACATGTCGTCGCATACCTAAATCTTGGCACGTATCTCGATATCATCGAACACTGACCCGCGTCACAAGTCTAATCACACTTGGTCTTTCACAGACGTTTCTGTCCTTGGCTCACGCTTTGAGGCACAGGCATCTCCCTCTCTAGCCCACTTTGTGCGCTCCACCGCTCAGGAGATCACCCATCCTACGGACCCCACTCGCACTCTTTGGGACGCACGCACCGACAACGGTCCCTATTATCAACCCGGCGACGAACTGGTCCATGCACAGGCCGACGAGAGAATGAAGACCGCGGAGGGTACCATCGGTGTTGGCTACTTCGGTTCCGGGAGCGATTTTATCGTGTTCTTGCAGCATATTGGGGTAAGCATTTCCTCTTCGCCTCGTCATTGAATACGTGTGGTGTGGTGTGTACATCATCCTGATGCCGGTGGTCATTGCGAGCACATAGGTTGCGAGCACGAACTATGCATTCATGGGTGCACCAGGCGACGCCGTATACCACTTACATTCCATCTTCGATTCTGTGCGGTGGCTAGAGCTTTATGGCGATCCGGGATTCTCGCGCCATGTCGCGATGGCGAAGTATCTCGGGCTGCAGATTCTCCGAATGGCGGATTTGACGATCTTGCCGTTCAATACGACGCATTATGCGTTCGACCTTGAGGCTCAGCTCGAGAGGCATGTTTTTCGCCTCTTGTTCTTCATCGCCCGTACCCAGAGAGTCCTTTTTGCTGATTTTATTTCGGTATATGCAGAGTCGAGCTTTTGGCGGACGAATTTGCTATTACTGTCGATTTTGCTCCATTGCGTTCGACGATTCATGAACTTCAACTTGCGAGTATCGAGTTGGACAAGGCTAAGGTCAAGGCGGAGGCTCGTTTAGATCATCTCGTTCGCAGGTGGCATAGGAGAGTGGCGCGCAAGCAATGGTTGAAGAAGGTGTGGAGGAAAATCAAGGGGATCTTCAAAGGCGACAGAGATGATGATAGCAGTGAGGATGACGGGAAGGAGCTGCTCGCTGGGCGCTCATGCGCGAAAGACATGCATGCCGGTGGCGCGATGCTGAAAGACCACACTTATATGCATATGCGGGTGCCTGGCAGGAAGTTCGCGAAGGCTGCGAGGGAGGTGCAAAAAATCAATCATAAACTCGCGTCATTTGAGCGTGGGTTTATCGTCGAGGATGGGCTCGTCGGCAGGGAATGGTACAAGGTTCGTCTTGTCGCCTCCTTCCACAAATAATTCGCCAATATGCTCACCAGTAAATGATTTCTTTTTTCTTGGTTGTGGAACAGAACATAGCGATCGCACCTGCAAAATTGGATGGGTACGCAGCGGCACCGTTACCCGCTTTGACGGAAGCGATCACGATTGAGGGGAATGCGACGTTGGCGACGGCGGAGGCGGAGAGGCTTCAGCGGGCGGTTGCGTTGATTGCAAAGTCTCTGCAAATTTAAGATGCAGAAATACTGTTGTCGTGATCATATGTTATTCGCACGTCGAATTTACTACTGCATTGTTGTTTACACGTAGGGTGTTTTGGTGTCCAGAGTCGAGTAGATTGGGTGGGTAGCCATACTTTTCTTGCTTCGTTTGCTTTGAGGATGAGTGGCATGGAAAGTTGGGAATATCCGGGTCGGTCGAAGTCCTTGTCTCGATAAGGACTGAGAGACATTTCATCATATTTCATCATCCCAACGGTAACCCACATGATTCACATGATGCACACATACTCACGATATCCGCTCTTTCCTCCCGTTTTCCAACCATGGACGGCGAGAAAGCCCAGCTAGAGAAACGACTTGACTTCGAGGAAGGCGGTCTACGGGTTTCTGTCCTTGCGACCCCGGGGCTGCCTCTAAGAATCACACACACATTGGCTAGAACTGAACAACCACGCAGTCGTGTGCGCCGACTTCTTGTATTTCTTGCGCTCGCTGGCTTTGTTTTCCATGCTACTACCAGGGTGTTCAAGCATGCTGGGGATGAAGTTGCATTCAGAGGACAGTCTCATGGGTTTGTTCATCAAGGGAAGGTCGAGCATGGGCTGCACGGGAAGAAGGCTGAGGAACTCTTCCTGTTCGTCTATATCCCACTCTGTTACTTTTCCCACCCTCACCTTGTACGCTGTTCAGAACCATCCCCAACGAAGCAAGTGCACTGTCCGTCGCCCGACAATATGCTACAAAAGCACACCGCGCAGGCTCCTCTGGCGACCTCACAACCGCAAAAGACTTTTTATCCCTCCTCCAAACCGAACTTTCCATCTCTCAGCCCGCCTCTTTCCCACTCTTTCCTGCTGGAACCGATGCCTCTCGTAACGCGACGTTATCAATCCCAACCCTCACGGAGCCCAATGCTTGGATCGACGTGTATTATCCGATCATGAATACGCCGTTGGATAGGAGCTTGCAGATCCTTGGAGAGGATGGGGAGACTGTGGAGTGGAGTGCGGAGTTGGAGGAGGTGCCGGATGAGGAGGATAGGGATGCGTGGGAGGCGAGGGACGAGGTTCCGGCTTTTCATGGGTTCAGTGGAGGCGGGGAGGTGGAGGGCAAGTTGGTTTATGTGAATTATGGGACGAAGGCGGATTATGATGCGCTTGTTGAGAAAGGTGTGTGGAGTATTATGTGTGCGTGGGGGTATTGCTCGTAGACTGATGAGATTATGTCGGATTGTAGGCGTGAATCTTACTGGGGCCATCGCCATCGCTCGTTACGGTGCGAATCTGCGTGGTTTGAAGGTGATTATTTCGTTTTATTCGCATAGTCTTTTACCTTACTATTCCACCTTTTAGATCAAAGGCGCGGAAGAGCTGGGTGCTGTTGGCTGTTTGATATACTCAGACCCGAGAGATGACGGCTCGGTCATCGTAGAAAACGGCTACAAAGCGTGCGTACACATCTTAGCTCACTCATAACGTTCACTCACCTTTTGTCTTCATTACAGCTATCCTTATGGCCCTGCACGCAACCCGAACTCTGTTCAACGTGGTTCAGTACAGTACGTTCAGCTGTATCCCGGAGATCCGACGACACCTGGATACCCGGCCTACGAAAACAGTACTCGTACGGACGGAGAAAACATCCCTCTCATTCCGAGCATTCCGATCTCGTGGGCTAACGCAAAAGTCCTCTTGAAGGAGATCGAGGAAGGTGGACCAAACAGGACAGTGAAGCTCGTTAACCATGGTATGTGCACTCCTTTCCTCCGAGTCCGCCCTATAGTACGAATAACTGATGCTCGGCACCTGGTTTGCGTTCAGTCAACAACACGGTCATGCCTATCTGGAACACAATGGGTGTGATCCCTGGACATCTGACGGACGAAGTGATCGTTGTGGGCAACCACCGAGATGCATGGGTGCGGTGAACATTCCAGGGACGTCACAAATAGTATTTGGCTGATTTTTGGCCTCTGCGTTAGGTGCTTGGTGCTGTTGACCCTACCTCCGGCACCGCCTCAGTTGCTGAGATCATTCGAGGCTTCGGCGTCCTTCTGAAAGCTGGCTGGAAGCCCACGAGGACCATAGTCTTTGCGAGCTGGGATGCCGAAGAGGTAGCTATCCCCTTTATTCACCTGGCTAATGTGTGTCTGATGGCCACCTATCCCTTGTGCAGTACGGGCTTGTTGGCAGTACGGAATGGGGCGAAGACTTCAAGGATTGGATCGACGAGCACGTCGTCGCATACCTGAATCTTGGTACGCCTTTCCACATGATCTAAAACTCTACTCGGATCACTAAGCCTATCATGTCTTGCCCCTTACAGATGTTTCGGTCGGTGGCTCACGCTTCGAAGCACAGGGGTCTCCCTCTCTCGCCCACTTTGTGCGCTCGACCGCCCAGGAGATCACCCATCCTACGGACCCCACTCGCACTCTTTGGGACGCACGCACCGACAACGGTCCCTACTATCAACCCGGCGACGATTTGGTCCATGCACAGGCCGACGAGAGGATGAGGACCGCGGAGGGTAGCATCGGTGTTGGATACCTCGGTTCCGGGAGCGACTTCACTGTGTTCCTGCAGCACATCGGGGTACGCATTTCCTTCGCCCGGTCATTGAATTCGTGTCGCATCTGAGTTTAGCCATGCTAATGTCGACGGTCGTCTTTTGCACATAGGTTGCGAGCACGAACTACGGATTTGGGGGAGGACCAGGCGACGCCGTATACCACTACCATTCCATCTTCGACTCCGTGAGGTGGTTGGAGCTCTATGGCGATCCGGGATTCACGCGCCATGTCGCGATCGCGAAGCATCTTGGTCTGCAGGTCCTCCGGATGGCAGATTCGACGATCTTGCCGTTTAATACTACGCATTATGCGTTCGAGCTCGAGGCTCAGCTCGAGAAGTATGTTTTCCCCCTTATTATTATTATTATTATTATTATTATTCTTCTTCTTCGTCGTTGCCCTCTCGTCCTTACCCGGAGAATATATTTTGCTGACTCGTTTCTTTCGGTGCGGGCAGGGTCGAACTTTTGGCCGATGAGTTCGCTGTCACGGTTGATTTCGCTCCGTTGCGTTCGGCGATTCATGGACTTCAGCTTGCGAGTATCGAGTTGGACAAGGCCAAGGTCAAGGCGGAGGCTCGCTTGGACCACCTCGTTGGCAGGTGGCGTAGGAGGGTAGCACGCAAGCATTGGTTGAAGAAGGTGTGGAGGAAGATCAAAGGGATCTTTACGGGCCATAGGGATGAGTACGAGGGAAAAGGGCTGCTCGCTGGGCATTCGTGCGCGGAAATGCATGCCGGTGGAAACCATGGTCCAGACATCGTGCACGCTCACGAGCGCGAGAACCACGGTGGTGCGATGCTCAAGTACCATGCTCATAAACATAGGAGGGGGCCTGGGAGGAAGTTCATGAAGGCTGCGAGGGAGGTCCAAAAGATCAATCATAAACTCGCATCATTTGAGCGCGGTTTCATCGTCGAGGACGGATTTGTCGGCAGGGAATGGTACAAGGTTCGTCTTCCCGTCTCGTTCTACAAATTAATTACCATCATGCTCATTGGGTACTCGATCGCTGTCCCCCCCTTTTATATGTGTTTTGAATTGGCTGTGGGACAGAATATCGCGATCGCACCTGGCAAATGGCTCGGGTACGGAGCGACACCGCTACCAGCTTTGACCGAGGCGATCACGATCGAGGGGAATGCGACGTTGGCGACGGCGGAGGCGGACAGATTGCAGCAAGCAGTTGCATTGATTGCAAAGTCTCTGCAAGTTTAAGAGGTGTACTCAAACTGTTGTTGTAGTACAAGTTCTTTGCGTGTCGAATTTAATTACTATCTTGACTTTCATGAGTAGCCTGCTGAGCCGTCCAGGGTCAAGTGAATCGTAGTGATAACTACCCTCCCGTTGTGTCGTATTCCTTGGGTGAGTAGTATGGAAAGTTGGGCATATCCAAGTCGGTTCAGGCCCTTGTCTGGGTGGCACTGTGGCACCGGCCTGGGAATAGCCGAAGCACGCGTGCCACTGTACTCAACATAACGTTAGTTTGTCACTGGCATCACCGAACAATGTCAACCTCAACATCATCCAAGCCGCCATCATCCTTCTGGAAAGGCAAGGCCAAAGCCTCAGAATCCGATTCTGCAAATGAAGACTTCAGCGACCTCAACCCTCCCATAACCTATCGCCACCTCCATTCCCCTCCCATCGGTGCTCGCGATCCCCTTCGCGTCATCGCGCTCTGCGACAGCGACGCGTTCTATGCTGCATGCGAGCGACGCAGACTTGGAATCGACCCAGAGAAACCGTTCGTGGTGCGACAGTGGGATGCGCTCATTGCTGTGAATTATCCGGCGCGGAAGTTTGGGATTACGAGAATGGCGAAGGTGGCGGATGCGTTGAAGAAGTGTCCGGAGTTGGTGGTGGTTCACGTCGCGACATATAAGGAGGGGGATCCTGAGCCTGGGTACTGGGACAAGCCTGATACCCGTACACATAAGGTGAGTGATGTGTTTGTGTCATGGTTTTATTCGTTGCTTGCTCATATAGGGTGGCCCCGGTCCACCAGGTTCGTTGTTTTATAGGTCTGCTTGCCGGCATGAGAGATTTAGACGACATCGTCGTGTTTCTCTAGGTCTCACTGGATCATTATCGACGAGAGAGTGCTAAGATTATTACAATATTTAAAGAAGGCCTTCCCGAGGGAGAAATAGGTACGCCCGCCACCCGACTGCAAGTGTGCATCGTAGCTAACCCACCTCAAAGAGAAGGCCTCCATTGATGAAGCCTTCATTGACTTCAGCCGGCCTGTACGGAAGATCCTTCTCGAACGATACCCACACCTTGCTACAGTACCACCCGATGCTCCCGATGGACTTGATACCGTCCTTCCCCCTCCACCACCAATAACCTGGGACAGCAAGAGCAATATCATACCCATCTATCCCTCGAAGTCCTCCGAAACTGTGGTAGATGCTCCGGAAACAGATAGAGAGGCTGAATCGCATAAAGAAGACAAGGACGTGGAACCTGCGCCGACATGGCATGATGTGGCCCTGTCCATAGCGGCCGAGTTGATGGACAAAATACGAGGTGACGTCCGCGAACAGCTTGGGTATACCACCTCGGCAGTATGTTTGCCTTACTTCATTAAACTACGACCGTGTTAGCGCACTCAGCGAATACTTGTTTCGTAGGGTATAGCTCGAAACAAGTTTCTGGCGAAGGTAAGCAGACTCGTTGACTGTCTCAATACCGAACTAACATTACTTTTCATAGTTGACTGCGTCATATAGGAAGTACGACAGCCAAGTAAGCAGGCATTCCCGGGTCATGGTCGTACATTGACTCATGGGTCGATCAGAGCGTCCTCCGAAATGCCGCAATACCCAACTATCTACAGCCTATGCAATTTCAGAAGGTATGGTGGAGTTGAAGTGACATCTAACGGTCGAAAGGAAACTCATGATCTTCGATCAGATTCGTTTTCTAGGCGGAAAGCTTGGGAAAGCTCTGGCAGACGAGTACGACGTGTCTACTGTGGGCGATCTGTTGTACGTTTCGTTCACATCGCTGCTTCTATCTTAGTGTTCTTACGTTGTGATTGCTCGATATAGGACGATCAGCTTAGGTGGGTCTATCGCTCTCGTTGTGGATCCAGGCTGACCAACATCGCGTCCAGAGGAGATGCAGCGCAAGTTCGGCGAGGAGTCGATATGGGTCTATGAGATTCTGCGGTGAGTTCTGTTGAGGATTGCGGATCTATTGTTCACTGACACGGCCACAGAGGAATCGATAGATCTGAGGGTAACTCTCGTTCTTCTCACTATCGATTTTATGTGATTTTGATCCTGATTTGTGTTCAGTCAAAGAGAAGCCATCCATGGCAAAGTCGATGATGGCGTCGAAGAACCTACCACGCCCGATCACTACCGTCGCCGAAGGACCTCACTGGCTCCGTGTTCTTGCGGCAGAACTCGCGTTGCGACTGAACGAAGCACGAATGGAGCACGACGTGTGGCCGAAGACTATAGTCGTGCATATACGAAGTGGTCAGGCCACTATGTCTCACCTACAACTTGCTCGCTCATTGCTTCTTGTTCATTTTTTATAGGGTGGGAGCCCTCACGATCGCGGCAAACTGCCTTCGCTTTCACCAAGAACCTCACCGTTGACGTTGTCGTGGCCGCGGGAACTAAACTCTGGAAAGAGCTCGTCGGATCACCGAACGGTAAACCGGACGTGCCCATCAATGTTCGTCATATCGCGATGGGCTTCACAGGAGTCGAGGCGGTAGAGCATGGACAGAAGGGCATTGAGGCGTTTCTTCATGCTCGGCCGCCTGGGAGTGCTGGTGAAGGCAGCAAGGATGAGGTCAAGTCGAAGCCATCGTCATCTTCGGCAGCAACGGTACTCAAGCGGAAACGATCGTCGTCGCCGGGTCCATCTGGTTCGAGTTCCAAGTTGAAGACTAGCGAAGACGATGCCCCGTCAAATGCTACAGACGATATCAACGTTCCACAGGACAACTCAAGTGAATCGCCTTCGACACATTCCTTCATGTGCGATCGATGTCGGAAACGTATCTCTCTGGAGGGCGACGCCGACGATATGTCCTATACTCCCTCGGAACGCGAAGAAAAACTGGCTAGGCTGCGCTCCGAACACGACGACTACCACGTCGCACTCGAACTCTCTAGAGCTAGCGGACCGAGTCTTACCATCTCGTCGAACCTCAGGCCTAATTTACAGAGTAAGGATCATAGCGCAAAGCAGCCCAAGAAGAAGACGAAGACAGCGAAGAAAAGTGAGGGCGGGAAGAAGGGTGTCGCTGAGGAGGGGATTGCGAAGTTCTTCGTGAAGAAGGGCTGAGTTTTTGTTGTATGAGTGGATGGGTGGTTGTAGAGCAGGATTTACATGCGGCTAATTTATGGTTGTAGATTTGTTTTGTATCAGTAGGCGGTGATCTTATCCTACAAACATTCCGATGATCAAGCTTTTTTGGTCAACGAAGAGTCCCTTGCTCGGGTCTTGTTTGCCTGCATCCCTCCTTGTTCATCCTGATAATTCTGTTCCACATGCCAGAGACAGATGATTTGCATCCGTATACCCTAACGTTACTCGGCGCCCATCGTCCAAACGGAAGGAGATATGATGCCTAAGTTTGAGCTGTAGTTAAAGTGAAATGGCAAGCACAACTGTGCCACGGCTGTATAGCCCCAGGTACATTTTCACTCCGCCACATTTTTTACAGCTCAGCGTACGAGTAGCACAACTCGAATGCTTGTGGAACATGATGCATGCGTCACGGTATTGTGCGGTCTGTGAACGCCTTGCTATTCGGGACCACACCACGTTTTCGGCGTGGAGAGGGCGTGTGGCGATGACGAGCTGTATATGGACCGAAGCCCCTATAACAGAACCCTGATGCGGTTTGCGGCGAACCGGATCCTTGTCGGATTCAAAGCGATGGCTGTCGTACAGACATCTGTGCCGTTTCACAGGATTCTACAGCCTGCGCCACCGGAAGAGGAAGATGAAGCCCGAGAAGGATGAGAATACGATGCTTGGTCGATGTCTCTTGATTGTTAGGTCATCGATGGAGCCAGTGCGTGTTCAGGATGTGCTCCGCGAGCATCATATATCAGTGCAATTTCCGCTGTGTGGGTTGTGGGGAATCACGAGGAGGTGATTGGGAGATAGCGACGAATACATGGTGTGGTAAACTTGAATAAATTGCCCAGAAAAACCACGCGAGCCTGTAATACGAATAGGACCCGAAAAAAAGTCTTTGACGGGCTGCGGTTGATGTTGTGGCTCTGGAGGGACGTCGGGAGCGAGTGGGAGCTGTGCGGGGATGGATGGCTTGGGTGATCGATTTGATTGCGGGCCGGCATGTCGCGTGGTAGGCAGAATCCGCCAAGTGGTTGCTCTGTCGTCAGAGAACGCCTGCTGCTTCCCAAACCACTCTTCATCACCTTTCTTCTTCTCCACCACCTTCACTTTCATCCTTTATATTCACAAAAATTATCAACGGAAATGTCGGCGCCCCCTCATCCCATCTCTCCACCGCCTGGTGCGACGTCCGCTTCGTCGGGCGTGAGGCGCCACCATACCATCACAGCGACCTCTCGGGCGCGTGCAGGAGGCAGAAGCACTATCTCGGAGGAACCTCAGGACGACGAGGGGTGGAACAACGATGAGGTCGTCGACCAGGACTGGGTTGGAGCCGTCGGTGTCGTTGGAGAACTCAAGGGATCCTCTCTCCATCGGCAAAGCTCACTCCCGACACGATACAATCCGAGTCGAGGTTCGCATTTTCTATATAACCAATTCCTCCCGACCGGGCACGTTTTATGTTTTATGTCTTTTCCCCTGTCCCTCTTTCTTCCTCCCCATCATGACGGCCGTCTCCCCCTGGTCATTCTCCTCCGCTGACTACTTCTCCTACAAAGCGTATGGCCAGGCCACCCGTCAGTCGGGCACTTTGACGCCCCGCACCTTGAACAGCCTTTCGGCCATCGCTGGCCAGGAGGGCGAGGAGGACGACTGGGAAAGAGATCTTAGAGGTTTGAGAAGTGAGGAAGAGGTATGTTTATTCATCCCTTTCACCTGCACGAAACCATCTACTGAAATCTTCAAGGCTGCTTATCAGTCCGTCGATCCCGCACAACACCAGGGCATCGACAGCAACTCCCAGACATCCTCCGGCCCGTCACCCATGTCTCCGCACTTTTCTGCCATACCTTCACCCCCACCCGCAGCTTCGGCTGGCGTACGAAGGCACCAGAGCTTAACCTATGGTGCGGCCACCGGTGGTCCCAGGAAGATGGCAACGTCTGGCCTGAGGCGTGCAGGCACCCTCCAGACCTCCATCAGAGCACCTGGCGAACATCCTCAGAGCCCGAGCCCGACCAACGCGGAGGAGGAGGTTTACGTCGAGGGCTCCGTGGAGGATGAGCCCTCGTATTTTGCGGCTAACACGCAAGGTCAGTACGCGACTAGCCCTATTGGCGGCCGCTCACCTTGGAGTACTCCAGGGACAGAATGGCGTGCTCCCGGCACTTCGAGCTTGGCCAATAGCACCAACAGCAACGCTGCTATCGATGACGTCCAGCGAGCCCTTTCATCCCTAGACATCAACAACCAAAACCAGCAAGCTTATCCCTCCAATGCATTCCCTGGTGGCCAGTCTACGCACCCTCCGCGCTTCAATCCCAACCAGCCACCTCCTCAGCAAATGCCCGGGATGCGCCCATCGAACGGGTACGACCATAATGGCGCCTCTCGGGGTCCCGATGGCCGCAAGCTCCAGCTCGTCACTGATCTCAATGCCGGTAACAACGTCGCGCAAGGTGGTTCCTCCGGTCCAGCTAGTGCTTCCGCCTACGTTCCACCCATTGGCCACGGAGTCCCACCGCAGAACAACGTGCAGCAATCTCGAGGCCCCAATGACCGTGACGACCGGGCATTCACCGCTTCCGGCGCGTGGGATCAGAAGGAGCGGGTCCTGCAGGGCCGAACGTCCAACCCGAACCTGTATGCCTACCAACAACAACAGCAGAACAAGAATGTCCCGAATGTACCGCCCATTCCAAGCCAGTATGTCAATCAGGGTATGGGTATGAACTCAAGAGCGGGCCTCATGAGTCCCGGGCAGGGCCAAGGTGCTCTACCAGGCGCGCAGGCTCCTGGGTTGATTACATCTCCTATTGACGTACCCACTCTCATTGCTACGAAAGGGTATAACCCTACTAACTTTGATATTCGCCCCGTCAATGTGAGTCATCACGAGTCCTTTCGCTCTTTATTCCTTCGTCACTGCTGACTACTCGTGTCCGCGCTAAACTTTGTTCTCTCCCTCCCTGCAGGCTCGCTATTTCGTTATCAAGTCTTACACCGAAGATGACGTCCACAAATCTCTCAAGTATGAGATTTGGAGCTCGACGGATCCTGGAAACAAGAGGCTCGACAAGGCGTTCAAGGAGACGGCCGCGAGAGGCCCCATCTATCTCTTCTTCAGTGTGAACGCGAGGTCGGTGTCTTTCTTGGCCTTCGACATCTCGTGTATTTTACTGAGACCCACGGGGTTCGGATTAGCGGTCACTTTTGCGGCATGGCCGAAATGCTGACGCCGGTACGTTGGCGCAACTTAAATCCCGTTCCACGTTCACCTTAATATGTGATGTGACTCATATCTCTCTCGGTTTCTTTTTCTCACTTCTACAGGTCGATTACACTCGGAGCAGTACCGTGTGGGCATCCGATAAGTGGAAGGGTGTCTTCAAAGTGCGATGGATCTTTGTCCGCGACATTCCAAACGCCAATCTGCGCCACATCAGGCTCAAGTCAGTCTTACCTCTTTCGCGCTCATACGCTCCTCATCTCTGTTATCGACGACCGTCATAACCTCGTCATCCTCGGAGTGAGGGAGTTGTTAATCGCTCATCATACCTTGTTTAGTAACACGCAAGAGAGGAAGCCTGTGACCAACTCACGCGATACCCAAGAACTCATGGCAGACGCCGGCCAGGAGATGCTGCGTATCTTCCATTCCCATCCCGCCCGGACGTCTCTTCTCCAAGATTTCGCCTTCTATGAGGTCGATATTCCTTTTTTTATCACGCTTTTCGTCCGTTAACGCTTCCGATATTCCTCTTTTTTTTCTTTCTTCCTCTCTGCCGTATAGCTCCAATCCATGCAGAAGCTTCAACAGCCTCAGCAACAGACCCCCGGTTCCCCTCCGATGTCGCATCCAAGCTCGCCTTCCCCACCCCAGCAAAATGCCTACGCCATGAACAACCCGGGCGCGCTCGTCGGTGGCTACGGTCAGCAGCCCATGCCGGGGATGCAGCAGATGGCGCCGATGATGCAGATGGGGATGGGTTCAGCGTTCGTGAACCCTCACGCGATGCAGAGCGTGATGAGAAACCCGAGTCCGGTGCCTATGGGTGGGCCGGGCATGGGCCTTGGTATGTCGGGACAGCCTGGGTACGCAAACATGGGTGGTGTACCTGGATTCAACGCGTAAGGTGTCGTGGTGCATAAGGTGACAGAGTTAACTGGTATGATGCGGTAGGGAGTGATGATGTATTGAGCGGGTGGGGTCGAAGAGTGTGACGCAGAGTGTTGCCCGTTCCTAGGGTGTGGAGTGGACGGTTTCGTGCCTTTTCGTTTCAGACTGCCTCGGACTCGGACCTCCTGCTTTGGACACAGGAAGAGTACGAGGAAAACGGACGTGGAATGCTGTAATCTCTTGTGTAATTGTCTTTGCAGGACGATGCATCCGTTCATCAACACTGTGTCCTTCTTCCCTCTCTTCTCTCACAATTTGCCTTGGATATAGAGTCGTCTATCTGCCCCCCTTCCCTCTCCCCGCTTCGTCTCTTTTCTTTGCCGCTTCGTCCTGTTATGAAATGCTCCTCGCGTCTAATGAACGAATGAATGAATCATGTACAACATCACTATGCACCTCCCTTTTCGCTTCGTCTCCTCTCCTATATATTTTCAGTCTCGTCCTGCCCCTCAATGCGCTACCGAACGTCTGTTCTCTTCTCTCCCTTTCTTCCAGAGTTTAATGCGTTGGGCTTCATGTTTGTTGTGTGTTACTTACGTGCTACAGCCGCTACTAGTACCGGTACAGTATTGCCTCCCTTCCACGTCAGTTGCTGTCCCTTCCGTTCCTCCATTGAAGCTCTGGATCTGCGTCCACTACCCTCTCGCCGGTCTTCTTCTCTGCTGCCTATCTATTCATTCGCTTCTGCCTTTTTCATTTAACTGTTTGGTTTTTTTCGATCTTCGTTGGTTTACGTATATAGTAGCGTTACTAGTGCTCGCTCGTTGCTCGCTACATACCGAAGTGTCATAGCTCCCGGCTCTCAGACCTCAGATCTCAGACGGACAAGGAACATCACATCACTTCGAACGGACTTGGACGGTAGGAGCAGGACTCGCATTGCTCGGACTTCCGACCAGACCCACCGATTCGAATGCCTGTTACACCATTCCTCATCCTGTTCACTTCGTTCATCTGAATCTCCGTTACTTTAGCTGCTGTAGTGTACGAATGTGGGCCCCTGACCTTCTCTTATTTGCTCGTGTTTCGACCCGTTCAAGTTGGCTTTTGCGGTTTTCTTGGTAATTGCTTGGTCTAATGTACAATATGTGCTCTGCTTCGTTCGGATATCGGTCTACGGATGTAGTTACAGTGCTTGCTGCCTGGTGAACGTGAAACGAATAGTAGTACCAAGAGAAGATGTTGCTTGTTTGTGGGGTGTAATACTACGAATGTGTCTATAAAGAATATAGCTCTGGTTTCATGCGAACTTCGTCGCGGGCCTGGAACAGTTTTATCGGTTCAGTATCTGAGCATGCATATCGTACGATCATGATCTCACTCACTGTGTAGCTCAAAAGTTGACATCGAGGGTTAAACCTTGTTCACGACACTGAAGGAGTATCGCCCGAGAGTCCTCGTCGACATCCAGTTTTGCACCCTCCCAGGAAATACTGATTTTTTTCCACCTCGCTACCGGAGGCTGAGTTGCAGCCATCTCCTCATCCGACCACCAACGAGAGGTTATCATACTGCTCAACCCCCAAACTGAAACATGATCTGTGTCGTCCGTCCCGTCATATAGATGAAGCTCCTCTAAGCGAGGACAAACCGGTGGAGGACCTTGAGGGCCACGATATCGAACGACGTGGAAGAAACCATCGTTGGCGGTCCAGCAAAGGTCTGCGGAAAGGATCCGGAGTGCGGGTAGTGTCTGAAGCACGAGGGCAACATCACCCCCGTCGTTGAACAGCACCGAGTCGAGACGTAGGGTGGTCAAGGTCGCTCCTGAGCGAGAGTAGAGGTATTGAGTAAGGAGTGGGTTCTCGAAGGGCTCCGTCTCATTGGAGAAGGTGAGGTCAAGCTCTGCAAGGGCCGGCATGTCGATCGGTTGGAATAATGGCGCTGCTCTACGCTCGTCGTTGCCACCGTAGTCTATGGCCACGGAGAAGGATGTAAGGTGTGGTAAGGTGCTAATGGGAAGGTGCACTGCGTCCTGTGGATCGTAGGCGGGTATGGTACCAAGGCTGCAACGTTCTAACGAATAGCATTGACACAGCATGAGTCGAACCTCGATTGGCGAATTGGATATATTGGAGCAATCTAGTTCCTTGAGTTGTGACCATGGAAAAGCAACCATGCTTAGCAGAGACTTGTCTTTGCAGCTCAACGTCACCTTTCGCAGTCGAGGAGAACGGCTAAAATCGACTACAAATTTCAGTTCCGATGGGTCCCAATAGCTGGTATCGATTTTGACCGTCTCTAGTCTGGGGAAAGAACGAGGGGTAGGCGTGTTTTTGTGGAACGGGTATAGAGCCGACCGCGGGAAACATAGGGAAAGGTCGGAAAGCCGATCCGTACAGGTCAAAAGAGGTTGCAGGAGAAGGCGGATTCCCCGAATACCTCGGGTCTTCGACGTCAACGAGACGTTGAGGGAGTGTGGATGCGATCGTGACAAGAAACTTTCCATGATTGTCAAGGCATCGTCTGTGTCTATTTTGGGCAAAAGGCAAAGATCCGGATGGGTCCAAAGACGAGGAGTATTGAACGCGATCCTGCGCCATTGTGCACAGATGCTGCACAAAAAGAGTGGGTTGCGGCGCTGGTCCGACAAATACGAAAAGAGCCAGAATGTGAAAATCTCGGAGAAAATCTCGGATGGAAGTCTTCGAATAGGAGATAATATTGTGCGCCACGTCTTCGTCTTTTCGAGTACCGCTTGCTCTTGCGCCGCGAGCAGAGTTTTTGCACGCCGGATTTGAGCGAGCTCTGCCTCACCGTCCATAAGCAGCGTTTGAACGTACTGAACTTCCGCTGCGGAAGGCGCGGTGTTTCCTGCCAAAAGTAAAGCCATTCGCGCGTGTGAATCTGACAAGAGCTGGCAGACAGTTCAGAAGGAGGATATGAACAGGGTGACCTTTCGAGCGACGAAGTTTGAAACTGAAGCATACCTGAGCAGATTCAAGTTGAGTTTTATCGTTTTCTTCCGTCATTCGGAGGTTGTTTCGGTGAAAATAAATCCGGAAAGCGAATTTCTGGGTGCACGAGTATCAGACTATCAATCCGCTACTAGGGAAGTCATAGGCGGTCTACCTTACGCGTATATTGCGGGAGGTGGCCGTTTGGAAGCTTGAGGAGCCTTCGTTTTTTGTCGCGTCTTTTGGTCGTGGGAGATTTCCCACCATTGCCACAGTGGCACCAATCTGTGCCTCGGGTGTCAGACACCGTGCGGACTTGTGGGAGGATTCGCAGAAGTTGAGGTTCATGGTTCTTAGACCGGAGCTCGCGGGCGTGCTAGGGAGGCTTTGCAGTAATGTGTTACGAGTGTTCGAGAGGACTCCCCTTTTTGTACCGCCAAGAGCGTTGATAGAGGAGATCGAGTCGGAGTAGCAGTAACCTTGTCTTTGAGAATTTTTCCCCAGGTTCTGGATCCCGTGAGAGGCCTGATATCTCTCGTAGATATTTATGTATCAGGGCATATTGTAGGTATCACAGCGGTAAAGGTTCCCTGGTGGATTCCGTAAGTAGTGTAACGGTACTTATGTTGCTACGGATAGGGGTATTGGTCCTCATGGGCCCGTTTTGTACCCTGAATATAACTTCCTTCCTTCCTTCCTACCTTTTGTCAAACATATTCATGGCCAGACTCGTCACCATTATCTGTAGCGGGTACTTCTGAACCGTTTACTACATAAAAGCTTTTATACCTGACTCCACTTCAAGGGGGGACAGCAAAAGGGGCGATTCACAAAGCACCACACACAATGAATAGCGCGGTCTTTGCAGGAGTACTTATGCCCTCAAAGGTCACATTTGTTAGACTGACTTCAATATACGCCGACAATACGAATGACATCAAAAGCTATAACCTCCTCTTCTGTTGGAGCTACAGCTTCGCAAATTTGCGCGAACAGTCGAAAAACGCAATCACGACACACAACCCCATAGGGGTCTTCTCTGGCATGAACTGCTCATAGCTAGTCGCCGCCCTCTGGAAATTCAGAAATCGTATATGATCTCAGACATTAGGACTATGGCGCAAGTAACAGAGCACTTACAGAAACTTGCAATTTCTTTGCTATGTGCAAACGACTGAGAAAACGTGATCGTTATTGAGCATTGAAAGATCGAGCACTACGAATCCACGATTGCATACTCCTCCAATCCTGACACAGTTCAAAATCAGGACATGTACACGTCAAGAATAACCGAGTCGCTCACCAAAGCTCTATGACAGGTCTACATCTAAACCCTCTGCAAGACATTTATCAATTACCGCTTGTAGCTTTTTGCCCATCTTGAGCTCCTCACCACCCCTGCTCAATCGCACCCGCTCCCATCTCGCTATATTTGGGGGAGCGTTCGCGGACTCCGCGTCAGACCACCATCGGGATTGTATCATTCTCACGACAGCTCTTGGCGAGTATTCCATCCAGTCAGGCTCCTCGTAGACACTGAGCGTCTTCAGACACGGAACTAATGGGACAGGGCCCTTGGGGCCATGGTAGCAGAGGGCCTCGAAAAAGTTGTGGTCCAAAATCTGGCACCCATCGCAATGGAAGTGTTCGAGGGCAGGCAGGAGCTGAAACATATTTGTGACTTCGGTGATGCCGCCGAAAATGACGCCGTCGATACGGAGGGATGACAACGAAGGTCCAGATCTCGAGAACAAGTTTGTGCAAAGGAGCGGGACTTCGCGCGCATTCGAACCATCATTGATAGAGAGTTCGAGTTTGGTGAGGGATGGCATGTTCACTGGCTGGAAAAATTGCGCGGCTCTGTCCCATTCCGATGCGTGGTCGAAGGAGATGTACAGCACGCGAAGGTTCGGGAGTGTGCGTAGTGGGATAGGGGATGTGATTTCGCCCGGATCTGGGTAAGGGATGTAGAACATCGTACAATGTGCGACGGAAGAGCAGGCGAGTAGGGTGTCGCGCGCTTCACTGAGTGAAGAGAACAGTCGGTGAGATCTGAAAGTGGTGAGTTGGTGCCATGGCATGGTCCAATGACGAACTATACCGCGAGTCCGGTACTGCAACCTGACCTTTTGAAGCACCGGCGCGACAGGAAAGACGACATCCAGGTCGGCCGGGGAATCCAAGTTGGACTCGTATTTAAAGAATTTGAGGGCTGGCAGAGAGCGCGACTCCTGTGTAAATTGATTGAGTGTTTGGAGTGCGGTTTCTGGCAATACCATCGTAAGGCTCTCTAGCCTCTCCATGCTCGATATGACCGCTAACAATATGCGTTCCAAGCCTGGCGTTTGTGGATCCGGAGAGTTGAGTCTCAAAGAAAATTTGCAGGGCTGTGACCTGAGCAAGATCTCCTCGAGGACAGTGATCGACTCGTCTGTCAAGCGTCATCCGCGGAAGATGAGATTGGGATGAGTCCACAGACGGGGGTCGGTGATGGCGATGTTTCTCCATCCCGTGCAAACAGTGCTGAGATGACGAGCAGTCCGACCTCGAGAGGGCCCACCGCCATAGGCCCAAAACATAAATATTTCCGACATGATCTCGTTAGGCAGATGCTGGATGGGAGTTGTGGCGTTGCCGCGGCTCTGCAGACGGAACTCATCTTCTCGAGCTCGTGCGTCAGGAGGAAGTGCCCTAGGCTGCGTGCAAGCATAAGCAGCGGTGTTGATCGAAGGGACCTCATAATGTTTCACGCACCGCAGATGAAAAGGTAAAGACAGTGTCATCTTCTTCCGAGTCTGAGATATTTTGTGAGTTCATCGAGGGGAATACTTAAATGCCGGATACTATCCTCGTTTTCGCGCCAGCCAATTCTTTCGTAAGTATGAGTCAACGTAGAGAAAGATGATGGGTATTCTCACCGGTCACAAGTCTTTCTTTCTCTCGATGTCGACGTTCGTGTTCAACCGCGTCAGCGAGTACCGAGCAACAATAAGCAGGTACCCCGATATGGATCCAGCTGTGATGTGGCGCTCGAGTGCCACAACCACCGTACTGCTTGCTCTCTCCTCCCATCCATTCTCCGTCGTCTTTGGCCACACGTCTCATTTCATGCCACCATCACCAACATGACAGCCGTCGCCCCTCAAAATACCATATTTGATGTCAATCCCTACGAGGACCACCCATCCTTGAGCCCGGTGGAGGCTGATATCCTTTGGGAATACGCGAAGCTAAACCAACACATCAAGGACGTACGTACAACACACGTTATCAAAATATGCTCTTTGTTGACTTTTGACCATCGCGTCTTCGACTGTGCTATTCTCTTGGATGATATTAACAGCTGGTGGCCCAGACCCGCAGACTGAGCGAAGCTCCAGACGAGGGCATGTTGAAGAGGTTGCGAGTGCTAGAAAGGAAGATGGGCCTGGTTCTCACTTTGGTGCGTGTATCTTCGCTCTGTCGTCGCGACCCAATCTCTGAAGGCGCGTTTTTTATGGCCGGAATCAGTTCAAAGCATCAGTATGGGGTGTGGTCAACGAGCAGGCCTATGCAGACCACAGTGGAACGGCGCAATCCGACGAACCGTCCGACTCTCTCATCTCACAATGATTATGTATGCACACTTCGGACTTGTACAATGGTACAGTGTATTTTTATAGATCCTCTATGGCACACATATCTGGTAGATCAGACTGTCCATACACGAGGTAAGTCCTTAGACCTTGGGACTGTGAATCTAGGATCTCGCAAGGACCAGGACTGAGGACGCGCCGCACTATCTATGGCGCTCTTGACATCGTCGACCGCGTTGTATCACTGCCGCACTACTCTTGCAGCACTCATGATGCACGACGAAAAATTGCCGTCTCGTGCGTGAGACGTGCAATGCAGCTCACTTCTTCATTTACGGCGACATCTGACCTACCTCTGGTCTGACCTACCTCTGGTATCCGCCGTGTTCCAACATGATCTAGCTTTTGATGATATTCGGTCCACAAAAGCTTTGTCTACCGCAAGTATCAACGATCAATAAGCTTGCCTGGAACCGGGCTCAGCGATGGATTGTCGGCGGGTGTGATAGGCACCAGTCCGTCTCCACCGTCACAGAGCCATTGGCCTGTTCATCATCTATTAATGGACGTGATAGCGTCTGCTTTGCTATCACGCATCCCATGGTGTAGACACAACCAAAACTCATATTTGTTCCACTCTATTCTTGCCGAATATCCTTTGTCTGCTGCAGTCGCGAACCCTGATTGTTGCAGCAAAGTGCATGCTGAATCTCATGTATTACACTTCGCACAGGTGGCTTCGAAAGAAGCTATCTTCGTTGTAATTCTCATGAATTGTCTCTACTCATTGTCTTGATACACCTGACCTCATTGCAGGGACACAACACATAACTTTGAGCTTGTGAAAGGTTGCTATGCCTCGTCCATGGTGGCCGAAAGACGGGCTTGCTTCTCCCTTCCCTTCTCCCTTCGTCTCTTCTTGCCATCAGACAGATGCATCTCACCTCGCGCCTCCACTCTCGCAGAATTATCATGTGGCCTTTTCCTTTGGTCCGTGCGCTTCTCCCGAGTGCTTACACCTTTGTTTTCCCCTTCACTCATTTGTTATTAGCAGAGTATGCCACCGAACCCCCATTCGAGACCACAAGCCTCCAATCGAGTCAGTGTCAGCTGCTAGTCTACTTTGTATGAACTCCGAAGATGTCAGGCCTCAGGCTTTAGGGATCGGATCTCGACTCTCACGAATGAGTCTGTTCGACGCGTTCTTTTTAGGCGCCGAGGAGGAGTCGAACAATAAGGAAAGGGGCGCTTGACGATGGTAGGTAATTTGATTGAATCAGAGTGTCCGCCAGTTCTCACCGTGTTCTCACAGGTATACAGATCCCAGTTCGAGTGAATGGTTGTTGTCAGGCTAAGATGGCAGACAATGATGTGTGAAGCTCTAGAGGAGAGGAAGAAAGTCGACAGAGAAACTTGGGTAGAGTACGGCATATTGAGCGGGACGCGTATGTATCTCTCTCGTCCGGTAACGGGCTACTTTGTCCCCCAGGAACGGACAGCAATAGGAGTGGACTGTCGCGGAATGAGAAAACATCCGATTATCTGTGCATGGGAGCTGTGCCCCTCAGTGATAGTGCTTTGGGCGAGTGATGGATGGAGTCGAACGCCGGGAACAGCGCTTCATTCCTCCGCCAGCTCCCTGAGTGTCATACCCCTCCGGTGCTCCTCAACGAGCGAATGGACCGGAGACAACTTACCACGTAAAGCTTAGTGCACCTGCCCTGCTCCTGCATGCAACACGATCGGGATGTAATTCAGACGAGGACACTACAACGGGTTTGGGGAGCACGAGGCTCGCATGGAGAGGTGCAAGACAATAAACCTGTTGGGGGGAGAGAACAATGAGTTTAGCGGGCTGAGCCCCGGCGGTCGTTCCTTTCTTCCTCGACTGCCAACGATCTGATGATCATTCCACCCCCCCGCGAAATTCGCTTTGGGTGTGCGCATAAGGCGCTGCAGCGAATGCTCCGTCGCCTGCTGCGTGGACCGGAGATACCAGAAATGTGTTGTTTGACCTGGATTTGTTCGATTCCAGCCTGCCGTCATGCGTCTCCCCAATTGTCTTTCCTGTCTCCCGCCAGCCGTCCTTTGTTGTCTGCCATTAAATAAACCGCGCCCCCTGTCCCCCTTCTTAAACTTTCCAACCCGATAGCAGAGCGTATTTTCTGCACCCAGCTCATGGCAGGCCCATCTTCCGCTTCCGCTCTTCCCCACAAAACTACATTCGCTCCAAGACCGTTCCCGCCCCCAGCACTCGCTGGCGTCCCACTCGAGTACATCATCGACTCTCTTCACAAGCTTGCCCCTCGTTATTGGAATCATCTCGAGACGTCCGACTGTTCTATTAGTGCGTTCGAAGAACCAAGTCTTTTACCTTTGTCTCTCAGTTGTGGCTGACGCTTCGTTACGCCACCCACAGTATTCCCTGTACATCCTATATCGGCAGGCAAACTCACAGAAGACCCCAACATCCGTCTCTATGAGCCTTTTAATGAGATCGCGACCAACTCGTACGATCCAGCCGGCCTCGGGAGGCGTGTGACGGCGCCGACGCTGAACATGGAGCCTCCACGGGTGCTCATGCGGGTACGTCGCATTCCCTTTCATAATGACTATGATACGCCACTGACCAGTCAACGGACCTACAGTTACATATCGACTACCTCTCTGCCCAATCTACACTTCTCCGAGGCCTCTTCAGTGGGGCCTCTCCCCTCGACCTCATCAATACCACTCGACCACTCGTCGCCCGTCCAAATGGAAGTGGGCCACCCGATCCGCGTTCGCGAACCCCCACGAATCCCCTCCAAACCATCCCACGTCCTCCTCGTCTCCTTCCTTCCCCACCCCACCACCCCATGATCTTCCTCCCCGTCCCCGACCCAACATCGTTCCACTACCTCGTAACGTGGATGTACTTCGGTCGTACGGACGAGATTGAGAAGGCGCTTCACCAAAAGAAGATATTTTGGGCCGGAGTGGCGAGTAATGTGGAGTATTTGGGGATGCCGATGGCGATTAAAGCGTTCTTGGGGACGTATTATCAGAGGTGGTTGCAGCCGGGGACGGCACGTCCGATACCCCCGATTGTGGACAGTAAGGTCGTGGAGGAGGAAGAGGAGGAGTCTGAAGAAGAGTCTGAAGACGACGATGTGCTGATGGAAGAAGACGAAGAAGAGGAAGAGGAGGAAGAGATCCAACCGGCACGAGGTCGTTCTCGCGACCGTCAGTCTGCGAGTCCAACAGGCAGGGTTGTGGCACCGGTTTCCTCTTGAGCATCGAACTCTCTGTCTTCGTTGCCCCTCGCAGGGACTGGCTCTCCGACGTTTTCGCATTTCGCATTTCTTCGAGGCGCGCTTCTACCGCGTTGCAGGTATCCTACGTGCTCTCCTTTTGTTGCTGTACTCTACAACTTTTTGTGTCAGCTTGGTTCATTGTCGGACAGAGGTGCGCTTATTTCGCTTTGTATCGACCTGGCTCTCCTTATTATGACGAACGACGACGTTTCTGACTCGACCTGTATTGGACTTTTTTTCTTCGTATCTTATTCAGCTGCCAGATAATGCTCTTTAGACTGTGATGGAACTGTACTTCTACTCCTACTCTCTTACTTAGCCCCCGCTATATCTCTAGCGCCTCCCTGGTGATCACAGGTCGTGGATTCAGATGTATCTACCTTACCCTGGCCCCTGTACGGGGGGCGCTATGTAGCTCAAGCTTTCGCGTCCGAGTGCCACGCAATCTTGACCCTTGCGATTCTTCAGTTTCAGCCCCTGTCTAACCCTGCTCGACCTAACCTACTCCAGTGCACCACTCGCGGACCCGAGATCACGACATCGGTACGTTGCGTCTTGCTACCAGCAGTACCACAGACAATAACCGTGCGCAGCGGGAGGAGTAGCAAAAAGAAGAACAACCTCAGGACATGACGACCGTGACGACGTCGTGCACGCCACGCTAACCCTGTACGCAGACTAATCCTGACCTTGCTCTACCTCCTCCACGGACCGATAGTACGAAAGGCTCTTCAGGTTCGGTTCCAGACGTTCTACTAGTGCTGGTGCTGTTACTGAGGGAGTGCTTATAACACGAGGATGAGGAAGGCTAGGTTCGTTCAGTTGGTGATCATGATCGGGCGTTGTTGATTTGCAAGTCAACAATCGGGTGGTAAGAACAATAAGAGATGACGGACAGGCGGTTCGGGCGTGTTCACTATCCATCGTGGGTATCACCACCTCCGGGTGATGATGGTGTACCAATGACCGCCTGTAGCCAATGGAGATGCGCCGTAGATACCCATGGTCAAGGGTTTCCGACGTCGTGGATCTGAATCCTATTGAGATCGGTGGTGCTGGGTGCAGTGAGGCAAGGTCACGGTGATGGTTCCTGTGAGATCGACGTGGACATGTGTGTGACATGGTTGAACGTTGAAGGGCAGGTTGGAAAGACAATAAGGGCGTCGGCCGAGGCTTTGCTGGTGGTGGCGGAGTATGACTAGCTTGTCGACGATGAGTTTCTGAACTCGTTCGCTAGTTCTCATAATCCAGAGCCAGACAGAAACGAGGATGAGGTCGGATAGGGTTTGCGACATGCATGGCCGCTACCCAAAATCCTTTGATTTGTTATAAACGTTAGCAGCCGAGAGGAAAGAGGAGACAAGCGAGAAAGCAGGATACAAGCAGCGAGGATGCAAAATACAAACGAAAATACAGGATACAAGTGAGAATCCAGGACACAAGCGGGAATCCAGGACAGAAGCAGCGATAAAACACAATACAAGCAATGGCAAAACAGGGTGCAAGCGATCAGAAACAGAATAGGGGCGACGGAAACCGAGATACAGGGATGAAAGATGCTGCTAGTATCACTAGCAGCAATACATGACGTCGCGAGAAGAAAAAGGTGAAGGGACGGTTGTGTCTGTAATGCTCATATGTTCAAAATAGCCTGCAAACCGAAAGCAAAAAGCAAAGCAGAGGATAATGTAGCAAAAAAATGTAGGAAAAGGGTGGGGGGATGTATGAAGTACACGACACGAACCACAGGCATTGCAGATGCAATACGCTGGACAGCAGACGATCGCGGTAGATGGACTGTGCCAGGACATGGTCGTATATCGAGACTGGGGATGTATGATGGAGGATTCAGTCTGGTTTGTGAGAGTGTTGGCAGATGAGAGTTGAATGGCGTCGGGTAGGAGGGGGATACATCGCTGAAACCTGGGTGGAGGGTGCCTCCTGTAGTGAACCCTGCGACGACGACGATCTAGCTGCGTGGACCGGGCCAGTAGTGATCAAAGTAGTTGTCGTCCGATTTGAATGTCTTAGGAGGCAGAGATGCAAGGGGGATACCGGGGATGAATTTTTGCTCGGGTCGCTTGTATTCGTGCCAATTCTCCGTGGGAGGTTTGCTTTCAGGTACGCACGGCGACTGCGAAGAAACGGAGAGATGTGCGTCAGTCCTCTGCAGGCTACATATATTCCGGTCTCGCAAGCCATCCAGGATGATGGGCCACGGCAACAAGGTTTGGAATGATGTGACGATGGGTGGGTCTCGTGGAAGAGGAGACGAGCAAGGGAAAGAGGAAAGGATACGAAAGACTCACGACATAATTCTGCTTCTTCATCTTCTTCCAGTCGACATTTGCAAGCCAGGGGTGCTCCATTACTTCGATCGCCCCATAGAACCCAATCCGTTGAGCCGCAGATTTGTTGAGTAGCCTGTCGATGAGGTTCCTCAAATGCCTTCCCCAGACGACTACCTTCGTGAACTTGTGAAATTTTTCGTGATGGCAGACCATATCGTCTATCAGCGCAACCTCGTCAGGGTCTCTCAAATATCCCCATGGCTACCGATAGAGATGGCATCAGTGTCCAGAACGAGCATATCGGGTGGATGTCAACTTACGTCGTCCGGGTTTCCCTCGAATCCGAATGGCTACGAGAGAGGACATCAATGTCCAGAACGAGCATATCGAGTGGATAACGACTTACGTGTCTCCTGGCGATCAACTCGTAGAGAATGATACCGCAGGCCCACCAGTCGACGGCGGTGCACGCAGGCTCTACTACGAGTTCCCTGAGGGTTTCAGGTGCCATATACGTACTGGAACCACCGAAGCGCCAGTCGGTTTTGTCATCTTGGTACTGAGCAAGGCCAAAATCGGTCAGCGCGAGGTAGCCGTTCCCGTTCATAATGATATTGGCGGGCTTCATGTCTAATGGAAGATCGTCAAGCTGACGTGAGTACACCACCTGACAGAAACACTGACACTGAACACTGACCTCGGTGTACGATCCCGTTTCTGTGGAGGAAATCCAGCCCACAAACGATGTTGGCAAAAAAAAATGTCGCAATCGCCGGGGGCATCCCACCTTGAAATCTAGGGGAATCCATGAGATCGCACAGGTCGCCGTTGGAGCCATATTCGAGCATGAGGTAGAAATTGAGGCCGTCCTCATAGAAGTCGATGTATCCCATGACGAAGGGGTTCCAAGGCAGCCCATGCAGAAATTCAGGTTCCCTTTTGGTGTGCTTGTGCTGGAATAGCGCAGAAGTCAAGATTACGAGCAAGACACATGGAATGCTAGAGAGAGGTCCTCACCCACAAGAACTTGTTTATACGTATAGATTTGGCGGCGTACAGTCGCCCGCTTTTGCCATGCCTAACTTGATAAACGCAGCCAAAGGCGCCTCTGCCTATTATTTCAACACAATGAAGTCAACGACAGAATAGCGCAGCCCAAAGATATTAGAATTACCAAGTTCTTTGATGAGTTCGTACTCCTTCAAGTTGATGCGTCTCTTGGGCAGGTCTGATCCTTCAGTAACTGTTTGTTTTGGTGCCTACATGCCGTCGAGCGACGCAGGATGCCGCAAATTGGTCAGGTCTCGCATCTCCTAGGATCGAGAGAACAAGACGCACCGGATTTACGAGAGCCTGTACAGAAGACTTCTCTAGTGGTGGAGACAGTCGTGTACGCTTTGTTGGCAATGGTGACTCGGGTTCCTCTACGACATCGCGGGGGCGTTTGAAGCCTGTTTGGATTTGAAAGCCACGAACGGGGGTACAGGGCAGAGGAGCGAATGGCACTCCGGTATCGTGACGGCGTTCAGACAGTCGTGTACGCTTTGTTGGCAATGGTACCTCGGGCTCCTCTGCGTCATCGCGGCCGCGTTTAGAGCCAGTTCGGACTTGTTGAAGGGCACGGACGGGGGTACGGGGTGGAGGAGCAGGTGTCACTCCGGTATCGCGGCGGCGTTGAGAGCCAGCTTGGCGGGGAGGGGGGACGAAGCCCTTGTCTCCCTGTGGAGGAGTGAAGTGAACTTTGCCTGGTCGTCTGGGCTGAGGTACTGGTCGAAGGCTACGGACGGGGGTACGGGGTGGAGGAGCTGATGGCGTTCCAGATCGTCCTGCACGCGAGGGAGGCGGAATTGGCGCAAATCGAGCTTTTACGTGGTTGGTCCCATCTTTGGCAGCGTTTGGTGGAGGAAGAAACTCGGGAATGGGCTGTGTCCGGGCGCTCGTGTGATCTTGAACAGGTGCAGGTGGAGATGAAGGAGGAGGAGGAGGGGCGCGTTTCTTTTCAGCCATGCTCTTCTTGGTTGCTTTCAGGAACACAGAAGTTTTGATATCTTTCTTAGCAGCGCGCAAAGGCTGCACGCGGCGGAGAGGAGGGTTGGGGTCCAGTGGAAGGGGTGGATGTTGAGCAGCGGGCACAGGCTGGAGCGCAGGATCTGAGGTGTGGTTGGTAACTGAACCGCTCGTCGCTTGATCCCAGACCGCAGGGAACAACCGGAAAGTAGCATTCCCAGCAGGTGCTGCAGGAGGAGAGCGTGGTCCTTGAGCGCGAGTCTTGGAAGAACGGTGAGCGCGACTCGTGTTGGAACGTGGAGGGCGGCTTGGGCCGGGCTGTTGTTGTTGATTTGACGCGTCATTCCCGTTCAGGCGACGACGTTTAGAGGGGGAAGCAGATTCTTGTTGGGCAGGGGGTGCGCGTTTACGCGATCTCGTACGCGACGAGATCGCGTCTGATGCTTGATGCTCCGACATGAATGCGCGTTTGAGCAAGTTGAGTCGCGTGTATGTTGAACGGTGCGAGATGGTGGTGGTTGGAAAGAGGGAATGGAGGACGCGTTCGGCACGCGTTTTATGCGTCACGCGCGCGCTTCGGTGCCGAGCTTTGCGCCAGATATGGCCCGCGCTTTGTCTATGACACCGACTATTTGAAATTCATGGTGGTGCCACCCGCAGTGGCCGTCAGTTGAACAATGACAATTTCAAAGAAATGAGAGTTTTCTCAAGCTGATGGTAGCAAAAGAAAACACGTCGTAACGTTAAATTCACACAATTACATCCCTCGTGAACTACAATTAGATTTAGTTGTCTATTCAAAGAATTCGGGTACTGCGTACAGTAAAGTCCTCGTTTACGACAACCTCAACCCGCCCATTTTGCTACCGAGCCCGCCTACCGCATTCACATTCCAAACGACCAACTTTCCGTCCACTCCGCTAGTACTCACCTTCGTCACATTACTCCTGTCGCCTTCATACGGTCTCACGCTCGTAATGGTATTCTGATGCACCGTGAACAACTCAGTATCGCCGCTACCACCAGCTCCACCCATTCCACCAGGACCACCGCCAATACCGCGCGAGTCTGCATTCTTGAATGTGTTGAAGGCAGCGCTGTTGAGCCTTCCGACAGGGGATGCACCACCCAGAGCACTGCGACCGCTTCCAGCTGATTTGGGGGCGGTGGTATCGTCGAGAGAGCCGACGGCCTGCCAACCAGACTCGGACCCGGAAAAGAGTGTGGGCTGGCAATCGTGACCCGCGGCGACGATGGCGTCCTCGGAAGTCCAGGTCAGAGTCACATAGGGAAGAGAGTTGACACGGATAGTGAAGGAGGCAGGACCAGCGGGGTAGACTATGGTGATGGTACTGTCATGACCTGCAGATTGAAGTGTGTTAGTACCTTGACCTCTGAGGTTGTGATGAACTACTTACTGGCATAGGCAAGAACGTCTCCTGAAGGAGAGAATCCGACGGCGTGAACCCAACCGCCTGAGGGGCTGGTGTATTCGCCACAGATCGTGTTAAACGGAAGCTTCTCTCCCCAGACGGTCGCAGCAGGCCTAAGGTAAAGACGAGTGAGTTGATCTGATTTAAACGATAGTTGTCAGACGTGCTGACCTCTTGTCCACATCCTTGATGTACGCCGAGAAAACGCGCGCTTTCATGTCTGCACTACCGGCAGCGAGCAAGACATTGTTCGGGTGCCAGTCGACGGAGAGGACGGTAGAACGTATGGGTTTCTTGAGCAGCCTCGAAACCCACCAATCGTTGTCCGGATCGAACGAGCATATGGCGATAGCCCTAAGAGATATTGCTTCAGCACCAGCGCCTCCGAAGCGACCACTTGGCAAAACCACCACGAACATGCACGTACCTAGCACCGCTCGCAACGGCGAACTTGTCTTCATTGGGGCTCCACCGAACGAACGTTGCGGCGCGATTGATCCGCAGTAGGACGAGGGTGGGCTTCCAGATGGTACGACCGGTCTGAGGGTCGGGGGTCTGTTGCCACACGTATGCGTTGCGATCCTGAGAAGCGGTCACGATGCGGTTGGAGTTAGGAGCCCAATCGATGGAGGTGATGATCTTGTCATGCTACAATCCGGCGAAGAAGCTGTCAGACATGTGGACCAATGGCGAGATTTTTCGTGCTAAGGGACGGTCATACTTCAGAGAGCGTCTCGGTGGGCTGCCAGTCGTGGCTAGAGCGGGAGAATATTTGGACGTCATTCGAGTTCAAGCTCACAGCAACCTCTGCACCGATATTGTGAGTACAGACAAGAGTGGCAAGGTTAGGGGGACGACTGACGACTGCGATCAGCGTTGAAGGCATGTCCTGTGATGGGCACTTGGGCGATGTTGTAGACTTCGGGAGCAGCCATATTATGAGGAGCGTTGCGCAGAGGACGAGCAGTCGACTACTGCGATGATGACGGTATGAGTTAGAACGGTTTGCCCGGTGGGGAATATTAGGCGCCCCCGCTTCGGCCGTGGCCGCAAAACAAAATCCGAAACTCGGTGCTGAACAAATCCTGGAATTGTCGGATCTACCCCTTGCCAGCAGTCAGCGCCCTATAAAAGTCGACAGCCATCCTTGGACTGTCCCTACACTCCTTCCATTTCTTTCCCCTTATTTCCTGCCCGTCGCATCCTTTTTTTGGCTTTTTTTTTTGCAACCACCTGTAGCTCTATACACATCCATGGCTTCTCTCGGGAATCTCAAGTTCATCTCTGACCCTAAGACTGTCGCCGTGAGTGCTACTGAATTATTGCTGTGAGAGAGTCGTGCTCGTTGCTCATCCTCTGAATTTGTGGCGTAAGATTGTGGGATGCCCTTTCAGGTGCGTCATAAGAATTTAACTCAGTGGCCCTCACATCGCTAACTTCTTTCCTCACGTAGTGGTGGTCAGGTGCGCATATAGAAAGAACTCGGCACGAATGTAACAGGCAGTCTGATCTCCCATGCAGCCCAAGGTTGGTGTCGACGAAGGTCCTATCCATCTCGTCGACGCGGGCCTCGTTGAACAGCTCACCGAGCTTGGATGGCAAGTCAAGTTCGACGGACATCACCAATTCGAGGACATCTCCGCCGAGTCGGACCCTCCGATCGGAAAGTTGAAGAACCCTCGGCTAGTCTCGAAGGTCACTGAAGCTGTGGCGAAAGCTGTCGGTGGACATGCGCAACAAGGACAGCTTCCTCTGACCTTGGGAGGAGATCACTCGTTGGCGATGGGCACCATTGCTGGAACTTTGTCGTACGTCCACTACTTATAAAATACTCCCTCGCAGACTCCTAGGCTCATTGGGCTGCAGGAAGTACCCCGATGCGTGTGTAATATGGATTGACGCACACACCGACATCAACACCCCGGAGACCACAGACTCAGGTATGCAAACCCCTAACTGTGCCACCCACCATGTTATTGACCCCGAGCGCCACATTTCTCAGGGAACATTCACGGCATGCCCCTGGCCTTCCTCTGCTCCCTCGCGGACTCGTCTTCTACCAAGATTGCCTCCTCCACGGAACAAACCCCCTTCGAATGGCTTGACTCTGTCCACCTCGACCCTTCCAAGCTCGCCTACATCGGCCTTCGCGACATCGACGCAGGCGAGAAAGCTATCCTCCGTAAACATAACATCGCGGCCTTTTCCATGCATGAGGTCGACCGGTATGGCATTGGCCAGGTTGTCGAGATGGCGATTGACAGGGTGAACCCCGGAAGGGAAAAACCTATCCATTTGAGTTTTGATGTCGATGCGCTGGATCCCACCGTGGCACCGAGTACTGGAACGCCTGTCCGTGGCGGGCTGACGTTCAGAGAGGGTCACTATATCTGCGAGAGGTTGTTTGAGACTGGACTGCTGGTCGCCGTGGACTTGATGGTGCGTTGTATGGATCCTGCATAACTCATTGGGGTTCTAACCGTCCCTGTCAATTTCACCAGGAGGTCAACCCGTCACTCAAGGATGCCCAGGATGTGCAAGCCACCGTCGCGGTCGGCTGTTCACTCGTTCGCGCTGCGCTTGGTACGCAGCCTTCCGGTGGAGTCTTGTCCCTCTGTTGTATACTGACTCTTGTTTTCAGGAGAAACCCTTCTTTGATCATGTCGTCGATAAAGCAAGAATCTGCGCCGAAGTAATCAATAAGTAAATACTGTATCCTTATGACCTTTGTATGGTTTGGACAAGCGAATTCATGGACATTGTAACATGCAAGATACAGAGTTCGAAATACTAAATAATGCAAGAGCCTTCCTTGACCCACAGCACGCTATAACTCAGTCGTTGATGTGCGCGTTCGGAATAGACTAGCACCGCAAAGCTACCCTTTGCTCACGTTCATTGAAGTTGATATCTCCCCAAATCCTTGGTCAATCATTCAATCGAGGTTCACAGAACTTCGCGTACTTGTGCCACAGTGGCGTCTGCCGAATAAAACATCCATGAAATATATGGAGAACTCGAACTATGCCGACATCCGCCGCTCACTGTCCGCGACGTCGCAAGCCCTATGTAGCTACAAATCACAATGCCCAAACCTCGCAAGATACAAATTATCAGCACCCATTCCATACACTCGTCCTATCTTCAGTGCCCTATTGCCACACCTACGAAACAAGCACCATCCCCACCGATATAATCACCCAGCCCAGGAGTATAAGAGTCAACTACCTAGCCCACAAGTAAAAAGCGATGTCTACCGTCCGTTCTTGTAGAGTATCCCATATAAACCGAGGGAACGGCGGGTCCCCAATCTCCTCTCCCTACGTATTGACCACCCAGGACACGGGACACCGTCCTCACTGCTCGAAGATAGCCAGCACTTCAGATCTTACTTTTTCCCTGTCCTCGGTTAATAGCTCTCCAGGCACTTGCAGTACCGCGTCCATAAGTTCTGCAGCGAGCGCATCGTCCAGTGGGTTGTTCTGTGTCTTAGATGCGTAGAGCTGGGTGGATTGACGGAGGGAGGGAATGGGTGTAGAAAAGGGGAGGAGGTGAGGAGTACACAAAGGAAGGAAAAGCAGCGCGGTCAGCTCAACCACTTCGCAGAGCACAATCATTGAAATTTGCCTTACAACGTTCCCGAGCGCTACCAACGCCCGATATGCAGGTTCGCTCTCCTGTCTTTCGACCCTCAGGACCTTATCGATCAACCTCAGATGGTTCGCCCGAATCGTAGGATCCACGCGCTCTTCTAATGAGATGCAAGAGAAGCTGTGGGCAAGAATGGTTGGAAGGCATTGAAGAAGGTAAGGGAAGGAAAGAAAACTCACTTCAACAGGATCGACGCAAAGGCCACTCTCTGCTGCTTCTGCAGATTCTCTGGAGGAGCTGCAAACAGCGTATCGAAAATCTGCGGCCCAAATGTGATCAGTTACCGCACCTCTCAAAGCTTCGGAGTGGCCTGGACGGAATAGATGAAAAGTAGGAATGGAGACCACGCACCTTCGCCGCCCATACCCCGTCTTGGAACAAAGTCTTCTCTTGGAACGCATTCGTCAACGTCCTCAATAACAACAAAATGTTCGTGTCGTGTGACTTCGTCCGTGGCGTCTGAAGAATGCTCTGCCATCCTGAGGCGTTGAAGAGTGCGTCGAAGAGGGTGTCTCTGGTTCCCGACGATTGGATTAATGGAGCACAGTGACCGACAAGCAAGCGAGCGAGGTCGATCACTATAAACATACGACCAGAACAGTAGTGAGAGGGTTGCGGAAGACCGAGTTAGGGTCAAAAGGAAAGAGCGCAACGAACCTGGGAAGCGTAGAACGTCAGGCCAACGTTGCAGGACATGCACCAAAGTCTCGATGTGGGCGCCTTGCAATTTCCTCATCGGTGGCCTGTTGGTACGCTCGTCGGTAGCCTCGGTGAGGTATGCAAAACAATCTTCGATATGCTTCTTCTCTTCGGGGTATAAGACAAGTGAAGCTGTTGACTAAACCGTTCGGGAAAAGGAATGGCAAAAGATTAGCCAAAAGTCGAGGGCGCTAGACGGTGGAGAGCCAGGTTACGATTTCGTGGGCCAAGTCGTCGTTAAGTTGATAGATCTTGCTCTTCATTGCGGGCAAATTCGCCGTCTTCAGCGACACACCCTCTGTCTAAATAACCGTTATACATCAGAATTTAGCCATCACGATCGCTCGAGTCAAAGAGGAAAACTCACACGAGGAATAATAGACTTAGGTTGTGCCGGCACCGGTGCTGGAGTCGGCGGCTGCATCGACGGGCTGACATATCTCGAAGCACCAGTGAACGGATCTCCACCCGAAAACGAAGCACCAGATGATGTGCCCCCGCCACTAGGAGCGACATAACGAGATGCGCCAGTGAATGGATCTGAGTAGCTCGCCTGAGGACCTGTTGGGACCGAACTTCCTGAGGCCACGTATCGTGAACCACCTGTGACACATAAATTAGCTAGGGATCCGTTGTCTTGCGGAGGCCTCGATGTATTGTGCGCACCAGTGAAAGGATCCGAAACGGCGCCAGGTGCATCTAGTCGGAACCCTTCAGTGTTCCGCTCAATAAATTGTGCCGTGTCATCGAGGTGGTGCATGGGCAGGCCGTTCCGTTCCAGGAAGCGATGAGCAGCCGTGTATGGGTTCTCTGTTCCATATCAGTACGGCATCGTAAGGAAACAGTCACATGAGAAGAGAGGATTAGGATGCATACCGCTGACGTTGTAAGGTAGTTTCAGAGCAGGAGCACCGTCCTCGATAGCCACATCAAAGACGTAGTCCCATTGTTTGCCTTCGTAGTTGACCTTCTCGCCAGCCTTTGGTTTGTCCGTGCCTGTGACCTCGCCGATCTTCTGCCAGCTGCGGCTCATGCTGTCCCACTACAAAAAATAGATGAGTTCGACATATGTGGGGTCAAACAAGACGTGGGCCGACCGAGTACGCCATGATGGCACCGTTCTCCCTGACCATCATAGTTTGTCCATCCTTCTGGCCTAAGTAAGTAGAGTGAGCGTCTAAAACATAGGCCTGTCTTGAAAGAAATCTAGCGAGCGTACCTGGGTTGGCCAAGGCCTCCTCTCCTGGCAGTTTAGACTTGTCAACACCTGCGACCTCCGCCGAAGGGACAGCTGAGTTGGCAACTTGTTCTTCGAACTCCTTGAGATCCTCCGCAGAAGCCCAGCGCTCCTCATGTTCGCTGAAGACGCGTACCAGGCCGTCACTACAGGCCGTCACGAAGTCACCATTCGGCATGGCTGAGATCGACCACACCGAGATACCGGGGTGGACGATAGTCTGTGCGCATTCGCCGTCTGTAGTCTGTGGTAAGTGTGCGCATATGATCCCAGCAAAAACAGAACAATTACCTCGCCATAGACGCGCCGTACGATCCTCCCCAGCAGAGACAATATCTCCACAAGGCAGCGCAGCCAAAGAATATATGTAAGCTGTGTGCGCCTTCAGGCTGTGTATTATATCGCCATCGAAGGTCCAGAGAAGTATTTCACTGCAATTATTTTATATGGCCATTAGTTCTCTCGCCATAGGAAGAGGCGTCGTGACGTACGTGTCGTTTGAGGCAGAAGCAAAACCGATGTCGGTTATAAGGACGAGACCACGAACAGCATCTTTGTGGCCATTGAAGATCCTTATCGCCTTGTTTTTCTGCCACAGGATGATTTTACGATCCGCACCGCCTTCGAAGTTGAAGTTAGCTCGACTGCTCCGAATACGGGTGAATAGGGGTTGAAGACTCACCGGTCAAGTATTGATCATCGTCAAGTGCGAGTACGGCCCATACAGCGCCTTCGTGCCCTTTCAAATTGTACACAAGCTGGAAATCTTTCCAGACCTTTGCAGTGCTTACACCCTTCGTCTGTGCCACGACTACCATGAAAGATGACAAGCACTCACCCGTCCCAAGATCCTGAGATGATGGTACCATCTGTACCGGTATTGAGAGCGCAGATGTTGGATTGGTGGCCGAGTAAGACGTGTGAGGGCTCCTTAGAGCTGCCATCAAGAGGCCAGATGTTGATTGTACCATCCTGCCCACCCGACACAGCATAACCTTCTCTCACGCTCCATCAGCTGTGGAGTATAAAGCAAGGTAAAGAGACTGACCTTGTGGCACATCCGGAGTAGCTGGGAGGTAAGTGACGGCGTTGACAAATTGCTTCACAGTCTGAAAGGAAATTTGTGGGGTGAAGGCAAGTGGTGATGACCTGAACCATGCTATCGTAGTCGAATCACGAGCGGCTGAGAGGATAAGATCTGGAGAAGGCGAAGCGACGGCCTTTGGCTATAGAATGGATTGGTTTCTGGTCAGCATGTAGCCGGAAAAATAAGATACGAAATAAGGCGCACAGAGTCTTGATGCCCTTGTAGAGTAGCTGACAGTTTGAAAGGCATGGCCGGGAGAGGATGTGGTGGTCGGAAGGAAAGAGCAAGTCGAGTGGGCGGCGTCAGTACTGTCCCCAGGCCGAGATCCCAGTACTCGCGCCACTCCTCTGGCTCTCCGTACCCTTCCCCTATTCCGCCAGTTCTCCTCCGTCAGCCTATTTCGCATGTTCTACTCCACGATTCTATATTTCTCGGCCGATACATTTATTCTGCAAATATTTCAGGTGCTTTCTCACAACAGACAGCGTTCCGCTGTATCCGCCACCGCAAACCAATATTGACCGATACTGTATTGACCAATCTACGTCCAGAACATACGGGACGAAATGATCGCTCACCAGTCTAGGCTTTCGGACATCTTCTCCAAGCTTCCTGTAATATTCTGCCTGAAGAGTGTTCGCCACAACGCCACACCGACCTTGCAACGACCCAGTAGTGTGGCGAAGCCTGCCCTAAACCTCTCGGAAGACGTCGCGCGCCGAGCGACTTTTTCGTCTTTCATCCCCTCATGCTTTGGCAACTCGTCGTGTTCGCTCGCTTCCACGGACGATGAACTGCTGCGTGAGGACCTCGCAGGAGATGAAGTTATGGTGCAAGGCATAGACTGCACCTCCGTATCTCCCTTTTGCTGCTCATTGACGGCACTGGGGCTCGTTAGCGTGGTGTACATTTCTCTACTATCTTCCCATCTGTCTGTCTTTCATCGCATGTTCTTAGCCTGGATTTCTAGCGTTAATACACATTATGAATTGCCTTCCTGATTCTCCGTTGCGCAGCAAGTGAATGTGGTGGAGGTCTGGACCTTCAAACTTCTCCGTTTGGCGATCTTTTTCTCGTCTTAGCGTATCTTGGGCTTCGAGGCGAACTCAGGTACAGAGGATTGGTGCTCGTTTTGCCTTCCCCGGTTATCTGACGATCATCGAGCTTGATCAATACTCGATATAGGATTGATTTCGGTGCGAGGTTGTCAGTATTCGCCGCATGACATGGTAAATTTGGAAGTTTGAGCTTGACTACGGCCGCATGCAGAGGTTCGTGAGGACAGAAACACACGAGCGGAGGACGTTGACGACATATTTTCGGTTTTCGGTGAGCTCTTACCCATAATGTGCAGCTTTTTTTAAACATTCAGTGGCTGGCTTCTCAGAAGCCGTCAAGTACCTCTTCCTACAACACCGTCATGGCCTCATTCCAGAACCGGGTACTATTCTCATGACCTCGAACTTCGTCAGTGGACGGTCTGCTGCGGGTCCTGTGCGGAGACTAATCTCTTTCCTCACCTCGACAGCAAACAACGCCTCGAGCACAAGCACAATATCTATATGTTGGGCCGATGATGCTCCCTGAAAGATGCTCAACCGTCTTCAGTATGGCCCGGGATATAATAAGCACCTCCCAATACCGTCACGGCGCAGTGTCTTCCCTTCTGTCAAGTTCTACGCCCCCTAGACCCAGCCATCTATGTGTACCAGTATGCGCCACCGCAAGACACCACCGGCTTCGATATGGCGACAACGTTCCTATCCATGCACGTCTGGGACACTCATATGCCCTTTTCCTTCAAAAGGAACGGACACTCTGCAGTCGGAGACCGCTCGTCACCCTCGAGGCGCATGTACACCTTCGGCCCCCCCTGCTTGTGAGCAAGACGAGCCAGTCAGATTTCGCCTACGGTTCGTTGGAATTGAAACCAGAGGCTTTTTTCGCAGCCTCTTCGAGAACCGAACTCGCTATTAGCCCGTATGTGCTTTGCAGCAGATGTTGGGCTCTATGGTGGTTCATTCGCCCTCACGCATTGAATGGAGGAGACTAACCGGAGTCTCACAACTATCAACCGTTATCTTACATACTCGATCGAACTCTGAAGTACAATCCTATAACTTGAACCCAGTACGAGAACCGCCAAACCCAGAAAACAAAAAGCACACTCAAGCCAATCTCTTCTCCGCCTCCTCCCTCACCTCATAATCAGTCCCGCTCCTCACCTCCGAATCCTGCTCCGACTCGCCCGATCCCTCGCCCTCGCCCTCCCCTCCATCTCCGAACCGCATCGTCGTCACCACCGAAGTCTGATTCCCCACCTCCGAAACCTGCCGCATAGCCCAACTCCGGCTTCCTGCTTGTATTTGACCAGGCGAGCCTGTAGTATCGAGGGTAGGAGTTGTCCAGGAGATGTTGGATACGTCCCAGAGGGTACGTTTTTGGTGGACGAGAACGATGATGATGGTTGGGTAGAGTCCCTGTAGCCGCGTGGACAAATAATGATTGGTCAGATGGTCGTGATGCGAGCGGGGACACGGAGGGTGTCAAGGGGAAAAAAGAGACGTACGACGACTTGGTTTCCCATAGAGTTCAACACCGACACGGCGAACTCTCCTGGGAGTGTTCCCGTCGATGGCGAGCGGATATAGGTGTAAAGTTTAGACAACTATCCACATCAGTAATCACATCAGCCATGCATATAAAACGCATAATTGAGCGAATAATATAAAACATACCCAAATAGCCAGATAAATCATCCCCGACTCGATGAGCAACAATATGATCCTCTCGCTGAACGTCCACCGCCGAGCCCGCTCGTTCGAACGTCCCGGTCCCGGATTAAAATTCCTGATGTCTTTTCTGAACTGCCTGTTCACCATCCGTGTTATCAGTGATCAGAACGTCGTGCCTACTTAGTAAGTTATTGGGAATGGATGGAAATTGTACGCACCAGGCTTTGAACGCGATCGCGAACGTCGCGAGGCCGTTGATCGCGAGGGAGAGGTAAAAACTCGCGGTTTCCATGTTTTGGCACGAGGCCGGTCTTTTGAGGTAGTTCCAGTCGTTGTCCGCTACGCAGCCTACGTAGACGAACGCCGTCACTGTCGAAACACGCTCAGATTAGAACGGCGTTTCAACAAGAAAAAACTGAGATAACATGTGGGCGTTGGGAGGTGGACTGACCGGTACAAGCGACCAATGAAATCACGAAGGGTAAAACGACCCGTTTTTGATAGTTCCAGAGCGAACACGCTCGCCACGTCACCACCGAATCTCCAACCACGAACTGCTCAACCAAACGCATCCGAGTCAACTTCCGAAGGCCAGCTGTGTAGCGTGAAGTAGTACGCACCTCGAGGGTGAAAACGAACGACTGCCAGAACCACCTGATCTGGTTCAAATTTGAATAACTCTTCTCGATGCCCGCTTCCGTCTTATCGAATATCTGACGCATCGGCAGGATGATGTTCACGATATCGAGCGACCAGAGCGTGGATGACATTAAGAACATGAGGACGGAGGTGAGGAACATGGCCGTGTGGGCCCATGTCCGGGGCTGTTTCCGTCTGCAATTATATCGAGTTGTGCGTTAGTGGGTGGTTGGGATTCAGAAGAAGAGGAGAGGAATGAAGAACGAACCGGAGTATGTGGGCTGCGTAGAGTAATAGGACGATGAAGGCTCCTGTATCAGTGATATTGTGTATGAGCAAGAGCCTTAGCGGACGTCATGCATCCACGAACCATAGAGCCCAGTCTCCACCACCAGTGCAACGATCTCAGTCTCCAACGATCGTGCCGTAGCATGCGCCTTGCCCAAATCCTTATCCAACTGCAGATTTGGATCCGTAGAATTCGCAGACATAGTATCCGATAACAAGAAAACCGAAAGTAAAGCCCAGCTCTCACGAAGAGGAATGCAGAGTCGCCTTGCACTTCGTATGGACCAAGAACCAAGGAAGACAGAGAGAGAAACGAGTGAGTGGGGATTTTAATGACCTACGGAGACCACGGGCATGAAAGCACAGACACAAGGAAGATATACTCCAACCGTCGGTGCACCGCTTCGCCTACGGGGGTGGTTTCATAGTAGCTCCAACCCTGACAACACGAAACGCTAGAGAACATATGGAGTGTAGCAGTAACGCCCAAAAGACTCGTGGCTATCTTAGGACTCAATCAACGATTAGTATGCCCCCTCGTTCTCCCAAAAAAAAACATAGAATGATCAGCCTTAGACAAACGTATCAACGCGTCGGGATGAAAGATGAAACAGTGAACACGACATGCGCATTGCACATTGCACACCACCACCACCACCACCACGGCGGCGGCGGCTCACCTTCGACCCTGCAAGATCAACAAAAAGAGGAAAAGACCCGGGCTGATCACGATCATCGAGGCCCGACACACAAAGGGATTTTTGATGCCAGCCTAAGGGAGTCGCTAGACGCCACATCTGTCGCAAATCCCGTTTCATCGACAACATACGTGCTCGAGCCGCGGGGTACACCTTGATCTGACCACCCATGCCCGGTGTAGCCCACGTATGCATATATAGATCAATATATATCGTGACTGTTGAGACACGAGACTGCGGCCACAGGATAGGGACGGCGCTGGATGGATACGTTTGTCGTAGCATGGAAGATATGGCTAGACGTTGGAGTGAAAGGCCGGTCAGAGCTCAAGTCACTGGGTCGAGGAATATATGCGTCGAGCGATTCTGCGCCATTAGAAATAGCATGACACTGTCGGCCAGGCGCTAGACGTGTGCTCTATATTAAAGCGAGTGTTTCGAATAGCGCCAGTAGATGCACGTACACTGGTATATGGTCAATCAGCAATCAATCCTCGTAAATCTTTAGCGATCACGCAACTCACCCGTGCTGAAGATACGGCGACCACGCGCCACTGACACGGCGAGAGGCCTTAGATTGTCATTGCTCGTGGAGACAGTGCAAATTAAACAGTCAACTAGGCGTCTGCCAGTGACTCGCGTTCGTCGATACTACGCTGACGCTGACGACAAGAACTCTGTTGACGATAGGCTGCAGCCACAGGAACAGATAACGCGCTAGAACAACAGTGCAGACTGCTTGACGACGAGCGTGAGCAGTCAGAACTGAAGCCACTAAGCACGAGTGGAAGAGCATGGCGAGTGTACGCTTTGTGGAGATGGCATGACGGGCGTTTGTCGCAGTGCAGACGATATCACTAGATGACGAGCACGAGTGGAAGGGCATGACTAGTGTCATTCGGCGACTGTACGCTTTGCGGAGATGGCTATGGCAGGCGCTAGATTGCTCGTCGTGCAATATCAACGCGGGAGTTTCGACCTGCCAGTGAACAGCATCTGTGGATGAACGATAGTCAATCAGCCTAAATTTGACCATCAAAACATAGCGATACACCCATACGTACATACCTATGTACGCTTCGGTACCGACACGGTAGGCTCGAAAACACGGTGCGGCAGGGCTTCTCCCTCAGTGTATTCCATGCCATGCCAGGAGCAGTCCAAGTTCCAAACGACCCATCTAATTAGCAAGATAAAAACAAGATAACGTACTGTACCATGCGTGTATGTAGACAGCGAAAACGAGCAACAAAGACTAGGCTCCCCAAGAAAGATACAAACAAATGCAACGCCAGTGATCAGGAGATCGAATCGCTCTGCAGCTCCTCGAACTTCTGCCTCGCTAATCGGATATTAATCTTCAACGCCGCTCTCTCTAAATCCACCACGTCAGCTCAACGATCCAAACATCGAAAAGAACGACCCAAAAACAAAACAAAAAACTCACCTATCCTAGTATCATGCACAATAACCAACACATACGTATTCTTCGTCATCTCATCGAGTACCGCCGTGAACTCAGGCAACTCCATCTCGAGCGAATGGAACGGATCGCCGCGCACGCGCGAGCAGGAGTGTTTGAGCGCTTTGATGAGTTCTGAGGTGCGCTCGTAGCGCGTCGCGAGGAGCTTGTGTTTGTCCCTGTCCCTATCTGTGTCTGTGTCCGTGTCCAAGTCGGGGGAGAGGGAGTGGGAGAGGGAGGGAGAGGAGTCGTGGTCGATGTCAGTGCGATTTGGGTCGTGGTTGTGTGCGGAGGAAGAGAGTGAGGTGGACGGTGGGGATGAGAGGCTTGGTGTCCCGTTGCCATTGCCATTGCCATTGCTATTGCCGTTAAGCGTTCGTGAGCCGGAGACGGAGGAGGGGTGTGATGAAGCGAGGAGAGAAGAGGGAGTCGAGGAAGGGGAGAGTGCGGAGGTGGCGATGACGAGGAAGGTGGTGCGTTCGAAGAGGATGACTTCCGTGGCGCTGCAGTTGCGGGCGAAAGTGGTCAGGTGCCGGGTGAGGATTTCGGCGTTGGGGATGATGGTGTGGACTATCCTCGACCATGCCTAGCAACACGATGAGCCGACGATAGAAAGAGAGAAAGGGGGAGAGACAGACCTTGTACAAACTCTCATCATAAATGCTCGTCCCAAACACCGTGACCTCCATCCCACCACTCTCCCCCCTCAACTCCCTCCCCTTCTTCTCCAGCATCGCCCTCCTCCCCTTCTCATCCCCACCCACCAGATCCATCTTATGCACCAACAAAAACACGTTCGCCTGCGGGCTATACTTCCTCAGCGCCTCGAGACAGTCCCTGTAGTACACCAAATCCTTCGGCATATCGCGCGACTCGACCTCAAACACATAAATGAGGACGCCGACGTGCTGGAAGATGGTGGAGCGCTGGGTGGAGAGGTAGGAGTCCATGAAGGAGTCTTGGCCGCCGCAGTCCCAGAGGTTGAGGATGAGGTCGCCGAGGAAGCGGACGTGGTTTTGTTCGACGTCGATTGTGGCGCCGAGGCGGGAGGTCAGGGACGCGGGGTTATTGGAGCTGCATGCATCGAGGTGGGAGGTGTGTGAGGAGGGGAGTGGGGAAGAGAGGGAGAGGGAGATGAGGGAGCGGGGACGAACAAGATGAGAGAGCGCATGGAGGTCTTGCCGCTACCGGACGCCCCCATGAGGAGAACCTTTCGAGTCAATCAGCATTGCTGGGGAAGGGTCCACGGTTTTTCTGCAGTATATCTCCTTACCTTCTTCTTCATATTGGCAGACGGTGGCAAGCTACCTGTTGTATAGCGCGAGACTCAGATGAAAGGGGTCTATCAGAGGTTACAGGTTGAGTTCTAGTACATGTTGTGGATGAAATCATGTTTAGCATGCACATACATATCAGCGAGGCGGCGTATTGAGTGTGGTGTGGGTGTCCGTGGATACCAAGGTGGACGTCGTGATTCTGGTTGGTGGACGGTTGTCCAAGATGACTTCATTTGGCCATTGTGGCGGTGGCGCGAGTTCAATGATAAAGTCATAGAGACCGCCATGCAGCAACGAAGTACAGCTGGATTACAACACATCGAATAATCTCGACAGACTCATTCGTACATCTGCGTCCATATTTAAGCTTCTTATCCAAGTCCTAATCCCACCTAGAACTGCCCCTGTCCCCACCTCCTCGTATGCGACGCCATCTCCACCGCCGCAGCGCCCCAATCCTCCCCATGATTATGCCCCTTAGACTCTCCCCTCCCCAGCCCCGCCCTCTCCAACGCCTGATCATCATTCAACGCCGTCAACACCCCAAATATCACCGGAATGCCCGTATCCATCTGACAGCGCATGAGCGCGTGCGAGACCGAGTCGCAGATGTACTCAAAGTGCATCGTTGAGCCCTTGATGAGCACCCCGATCGCGATCACGGCGTCGAACGGCTGGTTGGGCATCGTGAGCGTCGTGGGTGCGGGGGTGTTGGAGCGGGAGGAGAGAGAGGCGGTGGGGGACATGGTGAGGCCGCCGAGGAGGTCTGTGGCCGTCGCGCCCGCTTGGACGTGCGAGCCTGCGATCACGCTGTATTCGTGTAGTTTGATAAATAAGAGAAGAACGCGAATGATAATTGAGGAGAGAGGAGACGCACCGCGAACAAGCGAGGGGAAGTTCAAAGCTGCCCGGGACAGACTGGATGACGATGTTCGAATCCTTCACTCCCGCCTCCTTCAGCTTCTTGACCGCGCCCTCGAGGAGCGCATCAATCACAGTCTGGTTCCACCGTGCGTGCACAATAGCGATGCGGAGCGGCGAGCCGTCGAAACGAGCGGTGTTGGGTTGCAGACCCTTGATTGTGGCCATCTTGTTGTAGTTGTAGTTGTGGTTGTGCGTGAAGTTGAAAGTTGATACAAGTCGCAAAGCGCTGACTTCGCCACAGGAACGGGTGCTGTGGCGTACGTAAACCCGATTTGTCTCGATTTTGACCCCGAACGCGACTTCAATTTTTGTTCACCGCGTTCCTCTCCTCAGCGCTCAGCCTCGCCACCCTCTCATCCTCCCCTTTGCGAATCATGGCCAAGATAATCGAGCCACAAAACGAGGCGCAAGACGGCAACCTCGCCAGTACGTCCCCGTTTTCAAAACCAATTTTGATTTTGTTCTGACTGAATCCCATTGCTCTTCGTTCGTTATAGCCACCTACTCCCTCATATATACATTCCTCACCTCCAAATCACACCAAAAGGCGGCTGAAGCCCTCAAGAAAGCCGCCAAAGATACTGTCGTGCTCAAGGACGACGTTACGACCGCGGACCATCCATCCCTTGAGGTTATCGTGAAGGAATGGAAGGAACTCAAGGCGAAGACGTACGTACAGTCCAAAATCCAAAATATTTTACCTCCCTCTTTCGTATTCTGTCTTCGTACACCTCGAAGATAACGTCAAATTCTGATATGTTTGTACGCATTTCTTTTTATGACAGTTCCACCAAGTCTGCGCCAACAAAAGTAGCAGTAGCAGTCACCGCTGCGTCGAGCTCGAGCTCAGACTCCAGCGACTCTTCGGACGAAGATTCGGATTCCGATGATTCCTGTACGTCCTTCGTCACTCATCATATAACCAACAACACTTTTGTAAACAACCTTCTTCCACTCGCAGCGTCCTCGTCCTCCGATTCCGACTCTGGTGCGTACGCCACATCTACTCTAACATCATCCTCCACCGCACCACATTCCCCTGCCTCTCAATCATAATCTTGTAATGCCTTTCGAGAACCCAATTCTGACCTACGCCCCCACCCCCTCTCCATCATCATCGAACAGACTCCCCCTCCCCCTCCGCCAAAAAACAACCTATCCCTCCTAAAACGCAAACACTCAAAGAGCCCGCAAAGCCCGCTACCACCCCGAAGCCCACGCCAAAGCCCACGCCAAAGGCTAAAACACCGGCGAGAGATTCGAGCCACACGCTTTCTTCTGGATCTGCCGCTGAGAAACCGGATTCTAGTGAGGAGTCGAGTTCGGGTTCTAGTTCGGAGGATAGTGAGAGTGAGAGTGAGAGCGAGAGCGAAGCTGAGGGTAAGGATGAGGGTAAGGTGGTTAAGGTGACGCCCGTGGAGAAGAAGGAGGCTGCGAAGGAGAAGGAGGTCGTGAAGACGAAGGCGGAGAAGGCGCAGAAGAAGACAGAGACAAAGAAAGCGACAAAGACCGCGTCTTCTTCGAGCTCGAGCTCTGACACTGACTCTGATACCGATTCCGATTCTGACTCCTCCGCCTCGTCCACTAAGAAGACCACCACGAAGACCACCACAAAACCCGCCGCAGGTTCTGATTCCGATTCCGACTCTTCGTCGTCATCGTCGTCCTCTTCCTCTGCCTCCTCTTCTGCATCATCCTCCGCGCCTACCAAGAAAACACCTGTGAAATCCACACCAGCCAAAACTAAAGGTGCCGCCACCACTACCACTACTTCTGCGGCCACCACCACCACCACGTCCACCCCCAAAACTAAAGCCAAGAAACCCGCCTCTTCCTCCTCTTCCTCTTCTTCCTCCTCGTCCTCCTCCTCCTCGGATTCCAGCTCTTCAGACTCCGACTCCGACTCCGAAAAGCCCACCGCAGGCGACAAACGCACCTCCAAAAAACAGCCGGTAGTCGTCACCACCAAGAAACGACGCACAGGAACCACCGAAGACGGTGAAGCGACGGCCACCGTCACCGCTACCACATCCACCTCCGCCACCTCCGCCCCCACCACCGCGGCCACTTCCGCCGTCACGTCCGCGTCGGTATCAGCATCAGTCACGCCAGTGCCGCAGAATGGGCGTGAAAGGAAGGTGAAGGGAGAGAGGAAGACGAATACGCCGTTTCAGAGGGTGAAGGTCGATCAGGTCGTTTTTCATGATGAGAGGTTGAAGGATAATACGTTCGAGTCGAGGGTGTGTGTTTTTTCCTTACTCTCCTTCTTTCTCCCCTTCTCCTTTTCCTCCTCCCCTTTCCTCCCCTCACCCCTCCGTCCCCTCCCTCCCCCTTCTCCACAGCCCGTATCTATGTTGTATAATCTATAATGCTGACAATCTGACCGTCGTGTGCAAACTCTATCGGCCGTCGACAGAACGCGGACATGAACGATTATGGGGCGCGGGCGAGTAGCGATCTGATCGTGACGCGGGGCGACGGGTTCAGGAAGGAGAAGAATAAGAAGAAGAGGGGGAGTTATAAGGGTGGGGATATCACTGTGCGTTTCATCCTCTCTTCTTCTCCCTTCTCCCTTCTCCCCTTTCCCCTTTTCTATTTGACCCTTTACCCTTCACCCCTCCCTGACCTCCCTTTACGCTTGGATTGCCAAACTGACTGGTTTGACTTTTTCGGGGTCGGTTGTTTTTTTGTTATTATTAGATGAAAACGCATAGTTTCAAGTTCGACGATTGAGAGGCGAGATCGATAGCTAGAGGGGAGGATCTCGAGAGTTCAAGTCGCTCATTGGCTTGGTGACGAGGAGGTGAAATGTGCAGAGGGTTGGGTTACTATTATATCTTGAGATTTATCTGGGCTTTATGGTCGCTTTCTTCCTTCTTTCTTGAAACAAGAATCGTCTTCTTGCGCGTTGAGGTCTTCATTCGCGAATACATGCAGAATCTACATACTGCATTTTCGTGGTCTTGTGAATAAGCCCCCTCGGTGTCTGAAACTTGTATCGACTTGGGTCAAAATCGAACACTCAAACATCGCGAGTAGAAGGTCACGTCGTGCTGCGCCACCATTTATGTAGCACACGAAAGCAAGTCATACAACAGCAAACGCCAGACCCGAATCGCAAGCAACCCGACCTACAGAGAGAGGGTTCAAGCAAAGACCTTCGAGACCGCCAACTCATCCTCCGGTAATGCCCTCGCCACCTTCCTGTCCGTCCTCTCCTCCTTCGCCTGTCTCCTGTCCTTATACCGCTCACCCTTCTCTCTCCTCATCGCTGTTCTCACTACAGTCGGTGATACGAATTCTACAAAGGAAGTCACCACGATAGTTCAAGTCAGGAAAGCGTCGGGAAAGAAGAACAAGGAAGAAAGGCGTACCAGGGTTCGAGAAAACCGTCGCGCCGCTAAACGCGCCTTCGAATATCCGGATCGGCGTCAGCACGAACCTGGGCCCGATCTCGACGAGGGAGGTCTGTGGGGGCCCGTTAGGCTGTAATGGGTCCTTTTCGATGATCTGCAAAGTAAGATGCGTCAGTGTGTTGGCTAGTTGACGGCAGAGGTGAACTCGCGTACCTGGAAGTTGCGGAACCAGATTTTGTTGTCGAGTAACGAGAAGGTGAGAATGTGGTCGATGAACGGCTTCGCCTTGCGTGCTTGAGGAGGCACACCGAATATCTGCATCCACACAGTGCCATCCCGCCATAAAATAGAAACTCAGCCCATCTCGCCACCAGGGAAACAAGGAACAAAGGGGTCACTCACATGCGTGAACATCTCCTTAATCAACCTCCCCCACTCCGTCTCCTCGAAGCCCCCACAGAAGCTCAACAGCCCTCTACTCCCCTTCAGACAGTTTCCGGTCATTTTCAGTTCGTCCATCGTGTGCACGTTTTGGACGTGCATCTTCACCGAGGGCCCGTTGGGCGTTTTGGCCGCCCAGAGGTAGAGGTCCTCGTGCCGACGGGCTTCGAAGTAGAGGGTATTGTTGCAGTTGTGGAGGTCTGCGAGTTCGGGGAGGAGGGAGAGTTGGTTTTTGGAGTCGAGTTTTGAGTCTGGTGTGGTCGCAGGGGTGAGGCATGGAGTACAACGAGTGATTGTGTTTCGTCGTTATACAGATACATAGGTGCAAAGGTAGAAAACTATGGTCAGAGCCTGACCAAGGAAAAGACGACCAACGAACTCACCCTTTTTAACGTGCGGCAAAAGCGCCTCCAAATCATTCATGAGGTGCCTCATCCGATGCGTGATGCCTCTCGACGAGAGCAACAACACCCTCTGCTTATTCCTCTTCACCTTCTTCACGACCTTTCCCTCTCCTTCCTCCTCACCCACTCCGTTGACAGTGGTAGACATGGGGACATCACCGTCAACATCAAGATCGTCCGCCTTGCGCTTGCCTTGACGTTTTGATTCGTTGACTTTTTGAGCTTTGAGAATGGAGGCCATGAGCGTGTCTGTTTATAGTGCGTGCTTTCGGCCCAGGAGATAATGTGAGGAAGATACTAGCCGGAGAACGAAGTAACTGGGAGGAAAGGAAACGAGCTGCAAGTCAAGCTTTCGCGACCCGAACGCTCGGCCCTCAAACTTTTTGCTTATATAATTTGCCGCATATGGCCGTTGCCAGATCGAGAAACAGGTTCGAGCCGTTTACAACTCCGCTTCTCAACGAACCACCATCACCCCTCTCCTCACACCTCTGGTCCCCCTTTTCGCAATCTTCATCTCTGGTTCGCATACAAGGACATGGTTTCTCACAGCAGTGCCTCTACCGAGAGCGCTAGCTCCAATGATACTGTAAGGCCGCTCAACGCAGAAATTTCGGACTCGGAGCAGGCTGAACAGGATGTGTCCCGCTGGCTGCAAACTTCTAATCCCAACGTCCAAAAACTCTACAATCTAGCACTGAATGTCACGAATCACAGCCGCTCCAATGGCCATAAGATTCTGGAAGCTCTGGTTGGCGATGTGCAGGTATTGCTCACTCGTGAACGGCTCGCGGAACGTACTCCACCTCCAAAACTCGAGTCCGCTCTCTTTCTCGATGGGGAACCGAGACGAATAAGGGTGGATTCTTGTGACATATTCCTTAATAACCGCGACTCCTCAGCGAGGTTCTTGCTCCTCGCGTGCGGTATGTTTCTGCTTTCGTACATCACACGCCGGAATAAGAGGACGGGCGGCTGACTCGAGCGTTCATAGAGCGCGATGAGTCTTTGAAGACGAAAAATTGGCAAGTCTCCGTGTAAGTCACGATAAGTCATATATTCTGTAGGAATACTGACGTCCAACGTCGCTCTTTTTACAGGCAGGAACAAGCATACCTGCTCGAGTGGGGTTTCAGTCAGCCCTACGTCGGAGACGCACTGGAGCGGTTTCTAGAAGTCGTGCACCATTGCCACGAGGAATATGACCCGAAACAACATTACGGTCGAGTCATCCCCATCTTGCAATCTAGTGCATGCGGCAAATCACGTCTAATCAAGGAGCTCGCGAAGCAGGTCAGTGTCTCACTACTTCAAGAGTCAAGATTCGGTCTATGTTCTAGCAACGATGTAATGCTTTCCCGCAAAATATATATATATCATTCCTCCTAGGAATGCCTCATCAGCGTTTGTTTTCGAGACAACCTTGATCCCACTTCTGGCTGGCCTCCCGGTGATATGGCCGCGAAAGCGTTCTTCGATGACCACTGCGACGGCGACTATATGGTATTTACTAGTTTCAGGATTCCATTCTTGGGGGACTGCGAGCTCATCGGGACATGTTGGTGATTCAGGGTGAAGAACTCGCGGCCGCCTTCTTAGGAGCATTCGCCGAGGTTGCTGCCGAAACAATGGACCTCACCGCCGCCACCGCACTGGCCAATTGGGACTATGTTCTACCTGGATCCAGACAACAAGACGTGCGAGGACAGTACATGCAAAGGGTCACGGAGCGTGCGAATCACAAGTTAGAGAGTCGTAAGGCGTGGCTAAAGCAGGAACGGGCATGGATGGCTGGTGTTAAGCCTACCGCGCCTCGCTCGACCTCTTCCCGTTCCTCTACACCTTCTACCGAACAGAATCGATCACGCTCTCCAAACTGGCACAAGAAGCTCGTCACCGAGTTCTGTGCCGAAGGCTTTGAAGCATTGAACGACAACGTTTCCGCTCTTGAACGAAGTCGGTTCTTCATTGCTATAGACGAGTGTAGTGCGCTTGGCGAGGGCTCCGACGCTGTGACGCTCCCTATCAATCGCATCTCACTCCATGCTATGCAACGGATATTGAATGCGGTGGACTCACTCAGCATCAAAATCGAGATCTGGTTTCTGCTCCTCGATACGAACTACAAACCCTTCCTGCAAGGGCCGTCGAACACACATGCCGAGTCTCTCGGTCCAACAAAGCCGCTAACGTTCCTGTGCCCATTCGTCTATCTCGGGTTCAACCAGATGGCGCGTCACATATCGGTCAACATCGCAAGGGAGGTCTTAGGTACTGATCATCTTCGAATGTTTGGTCGCCCGGTCAGTTTTCTAGAAACCTCCCTGTTGCTTTACTCTACCCATACCTTGACATCTGGTCCATACAGTATTGGTCTACGTTGAACGCCAAGGACGTCATGGACATGGCGAGAGAGAAGTTGTTCTACGTGCGCAGGGGGGCTCCGATCTTCGACCACGAAAATCAACATCACGTCTTTGCCGCCTTCGCCTCACGCGTCGCCCTCGAGCTCGCCGACAACGAGACCGCCAGACGACTCGCGGTCGAAGCAGTCAGCGATCATATGCGCATGGTCGTCTCCATTCTTGGGGACAAAATGAAGACGGAAGCACCATCGGAGCCAGTGCTCGCCCTCGCTGCAGCCGTCGCACTGACTGAGAACATGGAAGGCTATCGGGAGGCGCTGGCGTATCTCTTCGACGAGCTAATCCTCGAGGGCGTGATCCTCGACCGCGGCGCTCAAGGTGAGCTCTGTACTCGCCTCCTGCTCATCCTCGCCAGGGACCAGGCCGCCATGTCCGTCCACGACGGAAGATTCATGGACGCCAGCTTGACACACATTCTTCCGATCACGCTCGCCGACTTCCTCGAGACTCTCGTTGGACCCGACTATGGTTGTCCCGACGAACAGTCGAAGGAGACCGTCGCAGAACTTCGCAAGCTCTCTCATGGACTAGCCGTTCACTGGACGCACTTCCATGTTCTCAAGAAGCCGCTAGACGAAATACCGATTGCCATGCTGGAGTGGGCCTTCTTCGCCGGTGCCGCGCTTCAATGCGCACAGAACCAGGAGAATATCGACTTGCTTCTTCCCACATACTCTGGTCCCCTCGACGAGCCGTACAGTTCTGACTACTTGGGTGCTGCTGGAGTGAAGGCGATTGCTCAGGAAGGTGCTCAGTCGCCGAAGGTTGGAGAGGGTCTCACCATACCACCTATAGTCGTCGAGCGCGAGGGGAGAAAGACACGCGTCAAAAAGAAAACAATCGTCATCCTCATGGACTTTGGCGCAAACCCCAGCAACGAGCGCAAGGTCCAGTCAACACGGCGCGCGGCCACGACTCCGTACGATGACCAGAGTTTGACAGAGAATCAGAGAGAGGCAACCTGGAGAGGGTATTGCGATACAGCATCAGGTGACGAACCAGAGCCGGAAAACTTCTTCTTGTGCATCCGCGGTCGGGGTCCAGAGACGTATCCCGTCATGAAGGGTTTCGAGGAGGAGTTTCGCGCGCTTTTCGACCATCGCTTGTCCACTTCTCTTCCAGTTCCGTATACTGAGATGGAGGCGAAGATGGAGGAGATGATGGATCCATTCCAGTTTTCGGCCGAAGAGGCGTAGATGCCAGTGATTGATTCTGTGGTCCGGCTTCAATTTTTGATGGTTTCTGTGTCGTGAAATATCAATGCGCCCCTACTTGGTTGCTTTCGCATCCCATCGACTACAGCAACCGTCAAAGGAAGTGCATTGCCGTCGGACACAGCAAGACCCCAAGAGACCTACCGAGCTACCCGGGCCTACCGACTCCCAAAAACCAGTCACGGTCAATTTGCCACAGCGCCACAACCCAAATCGGAGAATCGGAGAATAAATAGAGCAAAAACTCTGCTAGACGAATAGACGGGCTCGATATACGACAGCCTACTCATACTACTGAATTTGATGTCGTCGAACCGTTCTAGCCTCTAGCAGAATTGTCCCGTAGTGCGACTACGAGTATCAAGTATCAGTACCACGACACAAACAGGAGTAGAAAGACGAAGACGAAGAATCAAAAGGTCGACCTGGTAAGTAGTACGCATATACCACACATCAATAAGACGGCACGGCAAGTAGGTAAGTGACTTTATACGGATGTATGTACGTGTATGTACCTGCCAGCAGCTTGAAAGCGAAGCACGAGTACGATATGGAGGAGCAAGAAGAATAATCACAGGAAAGCACAAGAAGGAACGGTCCGGAGTCCATCGATCATCAGCGGCGTCGGATACGAGCAGAAGGAACGAAAATGAGATGGAGGTTCGCAGAGGAAGGTAGCGCAAAGCTGGAGCGATATAAACAAAAGGAATAGTAATGATCGGTGAACTATAAGCAGGATTAAAAACGAAAAAGGGAGTGCCAGCGTGGGCAGGTATGAGGGATGTGGCAATGGGGCCGCATCGTTTGTGATGTTTGTTAGGTCGATTGAGACCGATTCTTGGATATGATATTTGGTGCGCTGTGGAAGTGAGTGATAGTTTGTGGTGGCTTCGTCGACCAGCCGAAGCGAGAGGATCTCTTAAGTGTCGAGCAATTTATCCCGAGACCCAGACTATTGTAAAGAAAAAAGTTTCAGTGGTGCAGGGAGGCAAGGATAGAAAGATACGCACAAGCGATAGCGATAATGAGATACAAAACGATCAACATCAAGCCTTCCATATAGTTCGACCTCCCATCTTGGATGAGAAGGTTAACGAGCAGGACGGAGACGAAGAACACGACGGTCTGCGTTACAGTAGTATGAAAGATCATCAGCTAATGCTCACTGCTACGAAGGAATGTGATCATAGAGTACGCACCTCGAAGTTGGCGAAGAAGAGGGTGAGCTCGTGGCCCGAACTATGCAAGAGGAGAGGTAAGTAAATCGAAGCACCAGTCGAACAACGGAGACCGACGTACATCCAGCCAACAATGACCAAGAGCGGAACGACAAACGTCGCCAATTGCTACAATACCTCAGGTCAGCATTATGTTTAAACCGGCCACAACGAAACCACGTACGATCGAACTGCCCACACAGACACCGATTGTGAGCTCCATTTTGTTCTTCATGGCCATCCAGACAGAGGTGACGTGCTCCGCTGCGTTAGCCTGCAAAAAGATACGACGGTGGTTAGCCAGAGCAAAATGAACATTACCTGACTGCGGGAGAGGAGAGCAGATGGACGTACGACGATGGGAAGAAGGATAAGACCGATGAACGGCTTGGGGATACTATATCTGTCCGCGGTCTCTTCGATGGAAGCAACGACTGTCGAATGGTAGATGAGTATTTACTTCCTCTCGTAAACTACGATCAATATTATACTTACGGATGTCAGCAACGAACGAAGTAATAATCGTCACGCTCAACAAGCTATACAAAATCACATTCACGAACACCATCAGAACAGCAGAGAAAAGAATGAATAGGATAAAAACACGCACGCAACGCCAGCAGCCACAACGCTCATCTTCGGAATCTCCTCCTCTTCCTCCGCTTCGTCCTCCGCTTGAGCTTGAACACCAGCAGGAGACAGAGTTCCATTCTCTTCGTCAGTGGGGGCCGCCGGAGCCTTCTTAACCTGAGGCTGGAAGAGTCGGTGGTGGGTCTTCAACTATTATCCCACGCCACACATACGCCACATACGCCACATCGCCAGCACCACAATCACGTCACAGACACGACATTAGTGTTTATACTGAATATTGCCAGGAAAGGGTATACGTACCTGGAAGACCAAGTACGCGACATAAGTCGCCAAAAGCAAGAGCGCTGTTCCCCTCGAGATCGTCAACAGACCCTTCTGGCCCACCTTATCGAGGTCGTGGACTTGTTGCATGGGCGAGACCATATCAGAAGTGGAATTGGTAGACGGGATGACTGAGTACTCGTCGTCCGGGTTGGTATCGACGCGGGCAGAGTGGTACGCTGCGGGAATAATCAGGGCTGAAGGGTGTTGTGTTAGATAGGGTGCAGATGATAAGAGAGCGGGAACAGGGAAAACGTACTGATACAGGCGAGAGTCATGAGCTGAACGGGGTGTTAGTTTTATCTTTGAATGTGCTGATAAGAAGGGAGCGTACAGAGGCAGAACTGGATCCAACAGGAAGATGGTTCAATACAGAATGGGCCTATGAAGACGTGCGGGAACATACGTCTGAGCAGCGGTGACCTGGAAGACATTCTCGCTATGGTAGAGTCCTCCAGCAAAGAAAGAACATCCCAAGACGAGAAGAATGTTTGACAAGATGGAGCCGAGAAGCTATACGTGCTCTGCATCAGCGCCTGGGCTCCATTACAACGAGAAACCATCAGTACCGAGGTTTGAACAATCTGAATTTGATCTATGAAACCGCAGAGATGAGCGTAATGCACAGGAGATGGGTGAAACAGGAGAAAAACGGTGACCGACCTTGCAAAAGGGCGCTGATTCCGACAATAATTTCGACAGCGTTTCCGAAGGTAGCGTTGAGCAGGCCCGCAAGAGTCTGCCCAAGCTTCATAGACATCTGCTCCGTGGCCTCACCGAGCAACTACGGATAACCAGAGCCCACGCTATCATTATTTCACCCACGTACAAGCCAAAACAGTTACATACTTTTGCGAGGGGCATGATGGCGAGAAAGCTGAAACTGAAGCGGAGAGCAGCATCCCAGTCGAGGACATGTGCGACGACAGCGAGAGGAGTGAGGATAAGAAGGACGTTGAACCAGGAGCCAAAGAAGAAGAATTTGAAGGAGGCCAGCCAGCCCGGTTCGCCTTCTGCTTTGACGAGTTTCACGACGCGTTGAAAGAACGAGAGGCGGGTGGCTGGATGGCCATTGCCGTTGTGTGTGAGGAGGGGGTCTCGTTCTGAAGGCGACATTGGAGATGAGAGAGCGAAAGGGAGAGTCTACAAGTGGGTGGAAGTATGGGACAGGATGTGCTGCGAGCTGAGTTGAATATGACCCGCACAATTCTTGGCTGTGGCTGTACTCCGCAAGCGCGTCATCCGCGTCCAACACAAGACACACGCTCTGCACTCAACTACACTCTTTGTCCCTCCTGTCAGCACCCTGCCCTGCTTGTCCATCCTATCCACCAACACTTATCTCAGCGCCTGTCCCCATGTCAGCAGTTCCTCCGTATGCTATGTTCATATCCTCCTATAGCCCAAGGCAATGTCCTAGCTTCTCAGGAGATACGCCTACGGAAACGCTTGGTCCCACGGGACATAAATTTTAGCCCATTGAGATCGGCGGAACGTTCGTAAGGAACTGGCAGGCAGAGATTATGGCAGGAGTATGCGCACAGCCCTCGGGACACGACCTGGGGTGACACGGCGACTCGCAAGCAGTAGCGTCCATCCTCTTTTCTGTCGTCTAGTTTTAATCTCTGAAATGAGGATGAGGGATTGCCAAACGCTGTAGCTTGGCATGGACAGAGAAAAACGAGGCGGTAACAATCTTATCGGAACACAATTGACGAGCGCGCACGGGGGTCATGCAGAGGTCGTGGCTGGAAGAGCTGAATTGGCTCACTTGGAGGTGAAGTTAAGCGGGAGAATTACTACGGAATTTATTGCGTAAGACTCGCAAGTAAGCAAGAAAAAGATCATAGCGGATACGATATGTTCAGGCGACGCCAGCAGGATTTGAACCTGCGCTCCCATAGGGAAACAGATTTCTAATCTGTCGCCGTAACCACTTGGCTATAGCGCCTTAACGTTGAACTTATTCATAATATCATCATCCGTAAATACTCTACGTCAACGTGCGAAGCCCTCGCCACTCATTCGCCACTTTGGCCGCTTTTCTTCCGCGTCCATGAGCAGGCATTCCTCTTCCCCGTCCACTGCAGCAGCGCACTAACGCCTCGTCGTCTGTGCCAGGGAAGCGAGTATGGAGTCCAAAAAATCTGTGTGGGATTCCTCCCGAACAGGTTCACCGGCCTTGCCAACTCACTACAGCAGCTCTCGTCCTGCCTCCCCACTCCCCGTCAAGGGCTTCTACTCCCCCTCCTCCCCTCGCAGCGTTCACCGGTCACCCCCTCGTCGCTCAGGCAGTCCCCTCAATGTACCGCTACTCTCCAGGCGCATGCAGTTATATGTTACACGAGGCGCTGCATTGTTTCTTCTCGTCCTTGGTCTGCTCGCTGCCTCGTTGCTTATGCGCCAGGCCGAGCTCACGAATCGCAGCGGAAGGAAGTCTCAGTATCCGTTTCATCATCATTTTGGCCCTGGAAGTCATTCGGTCTCTGCTGGAAGTGGTGGCAAGGATGTCGTGGACGTAGATGAGGATTTGGACATCGAAGGGTTGCCTCGGCTTGGGGTTTCACGGACTATGATGAACAAGTGGGCACAGTACGCTCCGTGGATGCCTGCAGGCGGGTATCTTGCGCCTCCGGTTGGTTGTGATATCTCTCAGGTGCGTCTTCGTTTTCTTCAGTTCCACCGAGCAACTGAGCCTGAACGAACGTCTTGGCAGGTCAATCTGGTAAGTCTCGCTCAAGTCTTCGTGATCTTGGCGAACGAGCACTTATTCGCTGTAGCTTCAAAGACATGGCGCTCGTTATCCTACATCACACGCAGGCGAAGAAATTGAGAATGCTATAAACAAGCTACTGCTCGTAGAGGAATACCAGCACGACAACCTCGAATTCCTGAACAGCTACCATTACGAGCTCGGAGAAGACGACCTTATTCCCTTCGGTGCCAAACAGTTCGTCTTTTTCCTACATAAAATGCTTCGCTCGTAGACGAGAGTTCCCATCCAATGTCTAGGTCTTTTACCTCTGGCAAGGATGCGTGGAGTAGATATTCTCACCTCGTCAACGGTTCCACCCCGCCTTTCGTGCGTGCTTCAGGCTCGGAACGGGTGATATTGAGTGCTCAAAATTGGACTGCAGGTCAGCCTGACTCGTAATCATCTTCGATGATATGACCGTCGGGCTTACACGGATCGTGTATACTTAGGCTTCGCGAACGCCAGTCTCGAGGTGGTTATACCCAACGTCGACGTGATCATACCCGAAGGATCTGATGTTCGTCTCTTATTCTCTCTCCACTTTTCGTGCTCTACTAAAGCTTTTTTTTCATCTAGAAGAATAATACCTTGGACGATGGGACGTGTCCGAACGTTGGGGACAGCGACGACCAGGACCACGAGTGGCTCTCTATTTTCGCACCACCCATCGCTGCACGGCTGAACAAGTGGGCACCGGGTGCTCATCTCAAAGATAAGGACGTTTATGGTCTCATGTCGATGTGCGCCTTCCACACACTGAGCCTAGAGAGCCAAAGTCCGTTCTGTGCGCTCTTTACCGAGGCGGATTTCGAAGGGTACGAGTATCGCAACGACATCGACAAGTTCTACGGGACTGGGTAAGCGAGCCAATTAAATCTTCCCTAAGCAAACTTCACTCTCGCTCACGCTCACGCTTGTTCATTCGTTTCTGATTGCAGGTACGGCCAGAAACTGGGTCGTGTACAAGGCGCAGGCTACGTCAACGAGCTGCTCGCCCGTCTAACAGGTCAGCCCGTCACAGACAACACCCAAACGAACCGCACGCTCGATTCTTCACCGGATACGTTCCCCCTCGACCGCGCGTTCTACGCCGACTTCTCGCACGATAACGAGATGATCGCGATCTACGCCGCGCTCGGCCTCTTTCGCCAACATCAGCTCGCGAACGAGACGCTCCATCCAACGTCTCCGGATTCTTCACGTACGTGGATCGCGTCAAGCTTGGTGCCCTTCGGCGCGCGGATGGTTGTGGAGAGGATGGAATGTGATGCGAGGAATTCGGTGCCTGCTGGCTCGTACGTGCGGATATTCGTGAACGACGCGTTACAGCCGTTGGAGTTCTGTGCAGGCAGCGACGAGACTGAAGCGGGCATGTGTTCCCTCGAGGCTTTCGTACAAAGTCAGGCATATGCTCGGAGCGACGGAAATGGGGATTTCGAGAAGTGCTTTGAGGATGATTGAGTAGATCGTTGCTTGAGTTAGATAGATATATTACTACCACTCGTTTATTTGTTTGATTTTCTTTACACGGTCTGCGGATTTCTAGACATTGGGACACTTATGTACGCTTTGACATTCTTTTGGCTATACAGAGTTCTCCATTGGTTCATTCTCGAAGTGGCGTTCTTGCTTTCTCGACAGGGGCTCTTTCGTCGGCCGGGAGCGGCGCGGAAGTCAAAATGGCGGCCCGGCTCCTTGCTCCAATCTGTAAACGCAAGCGGGCCCGAGCAAGTCACTCGAAGCCACATCAATATCCCATCGACAACACCACCCTCATCGCCGCCGTCGACGTCGACGTGAACGCAGCCCATCATGTCCATCTCCACGATCCAATCATACATCGAATACGTCGAAGAAAAAGTGCACACCACGGTCTCGAACGCCGCCGCAGATTCTATGCCCATGATCCAAGAGGCCCTCCACAGATTCTCCGTCGATGTCTCGAGATTTGGCTTTCAGATGCCCGAGATCCATATGCCCAGTCTCGGGGACTTTGAGGTGCCCCCGCCGCCTCCGCCTCCGCCACCACCGCTGTCGTTCTGGGAGAGTACGGCGGAGTGGGCCGGGGATCATCCGTGGAAGGTAACGGGGATCGGTGCGGGCGTTGTTGGTGTTGGGTTGTTGGTGGGATATGGGACTACTAGAGGTAGAGGTGGTGCCAAGTTGAGGGCCTCTGGGAAGGCTGGGGCCTCCAGTAGTGAGCGGAGAAGAGTCGTAGGTATGTGTGTGTTCTTGCGTGGACGATTGTGCGTGAGGCTCATTATTTGTGTGGCGGGGCAGTCGTTCTCGGTGGGGATACACCTCTCGCTCTACCATTGATTCAGGATCTTGAGAAGAACGGTTTTATCGTCGTCACGAGCGTCGCGACACCCGAGGCTGCAGACGAGCTGGAGAGCCGGTGTAATGGTTATGTTCGTGCTCTAGTGCTCGATCCTGTCGAGGTAAAGTTCATATCTCCAGTCACCTGCGCAGACGCTCACTGGCGTTATTTGTGGTATGCTAGCCTGCCACTATACCCATTTTTCTACGATCGCTAGCTTCCACCCTTTCGCGTCGATTCCCTATCAACGCTCCGGGAGACCCTCATTCAACTCCCGCCACCCACCCACACATTCATTCCATCATCTCACTCCTCACCCTTCCTTCTTCATACGCGCCACCTACGGCTCCTCTGGAACACCTCCATCTCCGAAGCTCATATCTCCCTTACTTGAACGCCACGCATCTCACCCCTCTCCAAGTCATCCAAGCTCTTCTCCCTCTCCTGCGGAGTTCACCGGCGCGCGCTCGCGACGCAGCCTCCAACAATGCAGAAAAGAAGAGCATCATCGTCTGTATCCCTGCCGCTGAGTCCCGCGTTGGCTTGCCATTCGCTGCGGCGAACGCCATGAGCGCCGCCGCCACCTTACGCGGAATCGAGGTCTTACGCCGCGAGATCGATATGGCCACTCTGACTGGCGATGCTCAGACCTCCATGGGCAACGTCAAAGTAATCGTGGTCGACGTCGGCGCTGTCGAACCTCCACAGATCACGAATAGACGACTGCTCACGTATGACGCGGGCCACGCTATGGACGCCTGGACGCCCTCGGAAAAACTGGCGTATGGAGCTGCGTATCAGTCTATCCTGGAAGAAGGGAACGCGTACGGAGTACCACGGAAACCGACGGACGTCGGCGTGTTCGTGAAGAGTATCGTCGATGTCGTCAGACATGGCAGACGGAGGACCTGGTCCGTTTTTGGCGTGAGCTTGGGTTTGGGACCTGTCGCTGGCTGGATCAGCGGCGAGAGGTTCTCTGTGGGCGCTGGTGGTATGTTTATATTTAATTCTAGGGACTTGCGAATTGATATGCTAACAATACGCTTTGATCCTTCCTCAGCATCTACATATGCTTTGGCGTCCTACCTTCCGACCTCGATCCTCGATATCATCCTGAACATCCCACATTTCTTGCTCAGCATACGGAACGCCCTGGTTTACGCCCCTCCGCGCGTCGTAATGCCTCCACGGCCCTCCACTACCTCCACCACCGCTCCGGCTCGTCCCCTTCCTGAATCCTCCACTGCCGCCTCTGCACCCACCGTGGGCACAACCGCAGGCACGAGTGAGAAACAGACGAATAGGGGTGACGAGTCTGGTTCCGGGTCTGGCTCTGAACAGGAGCATGAAGTCTCAGAGACGGGCTCGGAGGCCGATGTGGAGAGTAACACGGGAGAGGGACATGCGATGGGTGAGAGTTGGGTAAGTCTGCAGCCGGGGACGAGCTCGATGCCTTCGACCGCTACGATGTCGTCTCAGGCGTCTTCCGTCGCTGGAGATGCGTAGGGTACATACGGTGACCGGGCGTGTTTGGATATTCAATATACAGCTCTACTCAGTCGATTTCTTTGCTTTGGATCGCCGTTCATTCTTGACAAAGTTGCTGGGCAATAATGGGGCTCGGTGGGCGGGTGCTCTCTTGCTGTTTGCTGTGATGTGATGTATTTGCTTCGTTCCTTGGATAATCTGTGTATGTCTAAATGTACTGTACCTCTCCGGATGTATTCAATTCGGCTTAACCCCCCCAATCGTAGTATTGCTCACCTCTTTACTGGCCGCTCCGGGACCGTTCGTGGTGTGAATTGTGGTGTGGCACTAAGTTTGGCGGTGGCGCTATTGTACGCGCGCATCAAGTTTATCAGACTTTTGTCCTTGCTCTCGAACGATGACGATGTCATAGTAGATTAACGAGGCATAGTTGCTATAAATTCAAGCATGCATTGATACTGCTTCATACTGCTTCATACCAACTTTCGTCCGACGCTGCCCCTGCTATCAGCCCTAATTTAGCTTTAATCGATCGTCCACAGCGACCAACCCTCGTCTCATAGATTCTTGTGGAATTACTCTGTATTGTCAAGCGCTCTTATAATACATTCCACATACACCATGGGTAGGCTCCCCCTAGCTTTCCGTCCATAGGTTTACTGACATGAATACCTCTTAACCGCGGTGCTACATTCCCCTCGGTCAAATAACCTTCCTCGAGATCCAGGTCTCTCGGTCTGGCTCGTTCCCTCCGAAGAACAATCCTCCCTCCTCCAACGTCTCATGTCCCGACATCCCTCCCCCTCATCCAACTCCGACTCCAAATCCACCTCCTACCCGACCTTCTACCCCCACATAACCCTCGGCTCCTTCCCCACCTCCACCGCCTCCGAATCCTTCCTCAAACTGCGCGAATCCATCCCCATGGGCATCTCCTCCCTCCCTCTCTCCTTCGCCTCCGTCCGCACGGGGGACCACTATTTCCGCTCCATCTATGTCGCGGTCAAGCCTACCGAAGAGCTGAAGGAGCTGTATGAGGGATTACATAGGGCTATGGGGATCGACGAGCCGAAGAGCCCGGCGTTTCCGCATTTGAGTTTGTATTATATCGATGAGGAGGACGCGGAAAAGGGGGAGAGGGAGAGGATGTTTGGGGAGATGGTAAGAAGTGGGGTTGTTCAGAGTCTGTCAACGGAGGAGGGGGAGGAAGGGGAGAATGGGGTGGTGTTGGATTGTGGGGTGGGCACTGTGCCGGAGCCGGATCCGGATGCGATGGTGAGACTGGATGGGATCGTGGGGAGTGAGATTTGGATCGTGAAGTGTGAAGGGCCGGTGGAGGGATGGGAGATTATGGATAAGATATTGTTGGCGACGGCGAAACATTAGAGGGGATGCGTCTCTAGAGTTTGGGAGCCTTGCTCGTAATGTAGACCTACTTCTTGAGAGGATGCCTGCTGTCGTATTGCCACAGCCTTGATACACACTGTATTTTCAGAATGTACTCATATTTCGAACCATCATTCAATGACCGTTATAACGATATATGACACGAAAGACGTAGCTAAGAGCAATAAAAAGAGCGAGCTTCGAGAGGCGAAAACGAATGGCTGGGTCGAGCGCAGACGAAGGAGAATGAGAAGAAGGAAACGCTTTGATCCAGCAAACGTTGATAGGGGCAAGAGGACTGGATCAAGTATACAAAGATAAACAAGAACACGGAGTAGAGACAGTGTTCAAAGAAAGGGGGTATGATGGACGCCATTTAGCACCACAGAGCAAGAACTCGAATGATTCGTAAGGGAGGGCATAGAGCGGGCGTAAAGCAAATGGATACAACGGTGAGAGGGAAATCCTGGTGAGAGCTACGGCAATAGAAATACAGATGGTCAACTTCAATCTAGAAGGCAAAGAGATGGGTGAAAAGAGGCATGTATCTGCGAGAAATCAAGTTTGAGAGGCCGTAAAGTCGTGAGTGCGGTAGGAATATGACTTGGGGAAAGAGAATATTAACTAAGGTGAGGAAGAAATCTCCGAAGGAGGGTCAGAAACCTCGGAGGAGGCTAATGACGAAGTGACGTGTTGAAGTGGGACGGAATGCGACTGCTTCGTTTCGTCCAAAGCGACGAAGGGACGTGAAGGTACAGGCAGGGCAGCAGTGGAAGGAGGCGGCGGTGGCGCCTCCGAGGGAGTCTTGGTATACACAGGTAAAGGTGTCGTCTCGTCAATCCTGCGCTCTCCGTTCGCGTAGTACAGCTCCTTGTACGATGGCAAGCTCGGTGCAGCAATGTACGATCGCGAAGGCGGCATGAGTGGCGCAGTCTCGGAAATGGACTCAACGTCCAACGAATCCGTCGAATCCGAGTGACCGTGGCTCATAACATCGTCGGCAATGTGGGACTCCATGAACGAAGGCGACGACGACGACGACGACCTCAACTGGACGAACTTCAAAGGAAGCGCGAACGCAAGCTTCTCCGTCAGTTCCTCCTCGTCCTCTATGTACTTCACGACGATCGAAATCTGGAGGGTATGCTTGACGCCAAGCAGGGGCGACGACTCCGTCAAACGCAGTTTCGGCACGCCAGCCCATTCCTCGCGTCGGCTCTTGCGGGGGCCGTACTGCTCGTGCTCGTTTACGAATGGAAGGGTGACGTGCATCGCGTACCATGCATTACGGTCCGGTTCTTCGGGCCCACGACGGAAGATCTTACCCTCGTTAGAAGGTAAGAACTCGGTGTTGATGTAGTCTGGGCAGAGAGAGAAGGTGCGGGCGCAGGAGACACGGTCGGCGGGGCTGGACATGATCCCGAGCTCGTAGTAGGAGCTGTCGGGATGTGGGACGAGGAGAGGTCGCGCGGGGGGTTGGTTCTCGGGCTTTGGAAGTGGGAATGTGTATGATGGCGAGGGGCGAGTCCTGAGCGTACATAGGAGACATCAGAATCGATTAAATAAGACGTAAAGGGTGAAGGTTGTACGTACTGATATTTCTCGTGTTGTTGGATATCGAGCACGAATTCTGTCAATCTGATCTTCTCGACTTCCTCGTCCGAGAGCTCAGGAGCGCGCAGCCGAAGGGAGAACGGGAAAGATTCCCTCTTCGTATCGATACGCTCTGGGAGAGAGACGATCACTTGGAGTTTGGAAAGGATGTCGATGGGGATCGAGTTGGGCGGTACCTTTCCGGTTCCCCTGTCTAGAGCTGTGACAGAGTAGCTGAGCATCGAGAAGTCGGAGGACTCGGAAGCGGGAAGTGGAGGGGGTATGTGTCGCCGGTTAAGAGTGATGGGACAAGGCGTGGCTTGTGTGAGTCTAGTAGAGGTGATGAAGGGGGAGCATAATGTCGATATCCAGGACGAACTGGAAGGGGTCTCGTCTACGTTCGCGAACTTGGCAGTGGCGTACAATGCGTATTTCGTGCCAGCAGGTCCACGCTGGCAGTCGCCAAACACATGTGTCGGTGGCAACCACCCAGGAATGGTGAGGTTAAACACGATATTCCACGTACATGGCCTGTCTGAGTCCTCCATTCCTTCATTGCTAAGCTCTATCGACTGACTGGGTGCGAGTTCCTGCGATACCGAACACAGTCGAAGACCAGAGTAGCCTGTCTCGGGGCTTAGAAGCTCCGTTTGCCCCTCGAACGTGATTGATAGCGATTGGAGAAGAAGACGGGTGGGTGCGCGGCGGTAGAACAGTGAGGTCGAGGACGAAAGTGATATGGAAACATGGCCAGAGACGGAATATGCTGATCTGCAAGGTTCGTCAGTGTCAGTGACGAAAAATAGTGCTATGTCCACCTCAGACTGCTTACGATTCGTCTGGCTCTCCGAACATGTCAATCGAGTCCGTCAAGGGGACGATGTTCAATGAGACTGCCATGAGCAAGATTATAGATCACACAGGTAGAGAGATAGAGAGGGAAGAGCAGATATACAGTGTAAAAGAGCAAGACAAGCACTGCGCCGTTATTATAAATGGATTCAGGGGATCAATGGAAGGGGCCTGGCACTGAGGGAGAAGGGAAACAAAAAGATCGAAAGGTGAACAAAGGCAGGGGAGCCAACGGCATTATGTATGAGTCTTGGGCCGGACCCATTATTGCCGGGATCTACGGACCAGGGCAGGCGCACGTTCAAGTGATAACAATGGGGATGACTGGTGACCCTCCGAGACCTGCCTTTGTTGATTTGCCCTATAAGGCAGTGTTTGATGACAGTCGCAAAGCGAAGGCCGACTAGAGGTATCATCAGGTCCCAATCGAGTTACACTCATCGCTTACCATCATCTTCCCGAAGTCACTCGATAGCTAACCTGCAATCTTGCGAGCCAAACGAAGCTTGTGCAGGGTTATCGTGCCTCGTCGGCGCACAGAAGCATACGCTGTCACCGGCGTTCTACAACACCAAGCCTGGTTCTTACCTACAGTCATGCTGCCAATCGCCTGCAAAGGAGTGTGCCTCGAGATATGATGCTTCATGCATATCGCGAGCCTTTAGACCTTCAAGCTTCAAGTCGTACGTCATGATCAAGTAGGGCGACGTCGGACTGAAGACAGCCTGGAGAACCGAGCACCGAGACGCTAGGCTATCATTGGTAAGACGAGATTGCATAGACAGCGATAGATTGCTGATCCTCCAGACGAAATGGAGGGCTTTGGATGTGAAGCAGACATGTAGTTTGTGTACACATTCAATAGACGTTTGGCTGGAAAGAAAGGGCTCAGAAGGGAAATCTGAATGCTCGAGAGTCGAGAGTCGAGATCAAAAGTGCGCCACACCTCATTACTATCAAGGATGGTAAAGGCAAAGAAGACAAGGGTGCAACACGACTATACCGTGTCATCATGGCAGAATCAAAGCATCTCATCTGGAAAATCCGCTGCGAAAGACGCATATCCAAGGGAGACGACCCTGAACAGTACCACTCTGAGAAAGAAATTCACAACAGATGGCTCCACCAAGTAAATCTGCGCCTACAGCTAGACCAAGCCATGACAAATGCTAAGAAGTATGGACCAAAGGCACTCAGTAAGAAGAAAGTAACTGAGACTTGGAGCGGGACACTTCTCAATGAAGAGGACCTCCCAAAAGACTGGGTAAATAAAAGCGGGGTTTTAGTGGGTATACAGGATTTTGGGCATCGTTAAGGCGGTGCCCGGAACCCTGCGAGTCCCACACTACCTGTTATACACAGGTGTGCTTTGCATTATCCGGATTCCAACTCAGTAGCACAGCTGGCAGCAGCTGGGTTAGTGGGGAGGTATCTGAGAATAGCATTTCCTCGCGGTGTTTCGGGCCTACTGGGGTGCAACTCCCTACAACCAGCCGGCAAAGGAAGCTAACGCTGTTCGCTGTCCTGCGCCACTCGGCTCCACCAAAAAAAAAAAAGATTTAATTACACTAAGTATGCAGGCACTGCTGAGCTCGAGGGGCACGGAGAACATTACATGTGCGTGGTGAGGTTTTTTTTACAAAGGGAATGTATAAGAGTGTATAGTATGGATATAACAGTAGATGAGAATGCCGTGGAGACTAGACAAATAGAAAACACAGTGCATTTGCTACTTGTATGGCTACGCGTCATCATCTATCTGTAAGCTATCCCAGCTCTCTCTGCCACACCATTCAGGTAATGCATGCCACACTTCAATCTGATGATCTGACTCAAGGTCCTCCAACTGGGTTTCACATTCACCACAGATGTCAAAACCCTGGGGTTCGTCATCACTGCCCATGATTAACTTCATCAAGACATCATACTCCAGGGACCTCGACGAACTATACATGAGCTCGAGGGCGAACTTGATTCCAGCCCCGCAACAACCGTCTCCCTCGATATCAACTAGATAATGGGCAAAATTTCCGTCGTCGTGCGTCTTTTCATAAAGTCGTTGACGGAAGATGAGGGCAGTGCGTTGAGCGGTTGGAGGGAGAGTGACGCGTCGACCATCAATGTCGATTCCATCGAGAGTTTCTTCAATGGGACGAATGGCGCACTGGTAATAGGCGATGGGGAGGATGATGGGAAGACATTCTTCTCCGACGATGACACCTAAAATACCGTTGAAATCGCTACTTAAGGCTGACAGACGGGTCGGGGACCTATATTCTTCTAGGCTGGATGGAAAGAGCGTGGTAAGATGTGCCGCGACATCCTTTCTGATACTTTCGACGAGATATTTCGAGGAAGATCGCATGAGCTGTGTTTTCGGGGCAAAAATGAAAACACGTTATAATAGCAATCAAGGTTCAGCGAACTCACGCTACACAGAAGCGACAAATTGGCTTCCGAATCTAGCCCCTT